GGAAGAGGAGGATAATCATCAAATGTCTATTACCTCGCGCCACCATAACCTTCCAAAAAATGTCGACAAAGTACGAAAATATCAGACGTATCTTCTAACTATAATTCACAAGCCGGAGCTGTCAGTAGACATATGTAGTTTAGAACTAAAAAATCAGTAGGCTTTTGAGGTCGGAAGCTTTCTGTTATCGCTAAATCCGACAAATCCGACATTTAGCGAGAGTAACAGCATTAAGTCTTTTAGGTCATTTTCGTTAAATCTCTGCAACTCGGAAACTTAAAGCTCGCCAAATGTCGGATTTAGAATTTATGACATTTGGCGATGTCGTACATGCGACATGTCGTAATGCGAGAGACATGTTACGAATAGAATAGCTTACGACATTTACGACATTTACGACATTTACGACATTCTACGACATAGATTCGAATTTACGACATTTTCGACATTTACGACATTTGCGACACGGGATTCCGAAATCCTACTTTATGGTGAGTGTTCAAGGCTGCTGTGCACCTCGAATGTGACATCGCTATGACCCGACAAGCAAGTGCAAATAATTGCTTGCTTTAGCTCTTGCTTTAAAGTTCTCAAAAAATGAATGGGTTGAAGAGCTGTGAAGCTGTGAAGCAACAAGAAACATTAATTATTTATTTATTTATTATTCGTTATTATTTTGAATGACGCAACAGTTCGCCGACTTCAATTCTTATTGCGTGGAGGGGCCTGCACTATAAGAAACATATCGGAAGCGGTTCATGATGGTCAAACTGCAAGAGAGCGAAGGCATGGGTTTTAAGAAAGAGAAGGGGAGCCTCCACTGTTCTTTGAAGAGCACCGGATCCGCGGAGGGTCACCAAAACAAATACTCCACATAATAAGAAAATGCCGAACAATCGAGCTACAAACGTAATTGGTGAGTAGTTGAAGCTGTAGTTGATCACTACACACTACTAGATCTTAGAGTACTGGGTAGGTGATTATGATGATCTATCTTTGCATAGCTCTTTGCATCTAGTAGCTCATCTATTAATAGTCTATCTATCTCCTCTCCACAACATGTGGCCAGCAGCGTCACCTACCCGTCTGACGTCTGACAATCTTCTTTTGCTTTCACCAGCAGGTGGAGCTCGAAAAGCTTTATTGTTGGTAAGTCAAGTTCCAGTCATGCACTTCCCTTCCTTGCTTCTTCAATATTCTCTTGGCCTTTTCAAACCAGTACACCCATTCCACCTGACCCCAAAGCCGAAAGCCCACACAATCACACAATGTTACAGATACCAGCTCAGATACCAATACAGACACACACAAGAACAGCTGTCAAGATTTAAACCATTTTCGAGAGTTGAGAGTCTGCCTCTTGTGCGTTGTTTCGGGAAGTTTTGCCACCAAAGTGCTTCGCACTTAGATCGCCAAACAACCAAACAGCCTAGTACCAGGAGCTCCACCAAGTAACATCCTACAAGCGACACAGTGTTTGATGATGACCAAAACGAGTTCATAGTTGAATGAGAAACCACCCAGTATTGTTCTGCCGTTCTGATATATATGAAGGGACAAGCAAAAAACTAATTGGATCTCTCCTCGCTTTCAGGATTCTTTTCTTTGGTGTCTACTATTCATAGCTTGTCTACCACTGTGGCCAGTGGCCAGACAGCATTATTCTTTTTTAGAACTTGAAAGTTTGTAAGCAAAACAGTCATTCAATTGCCATCCTTCAAGTGCCTATGTCACCGCCGCTCCGATGCTCTTATGGCCATTGCGAGGTTCAACTGTTCCTTCTTTCTGGCTGGTCGGCTAGCTATATACTGTGGGTCGCCCAAGCCATCTTGCCATCTACCGAAGCCTAATACTTGCCTTCGTACTGCTACCAGTGCTATAAATCCAGCGATCAGTGAGTTGGGCAAGTGAACTGCACCTCAGAAGGAGGGGAGGGGGAATTCGTCCTTGGAAAGAAATCAATTAAAAAAAGGAAAGAATCTTCAACTTTGCCTTCTTCGATTCTTCTTCTTAATTAAGAAACAAAAGGCTGGGATTCTCATGGCTACTTCAACACTCTTCAACAGTGTTCTTCTTACAACACAGAATACTTAAAAGCCACTCTGAGTATTTAATGCAAATGTGTGAGGTGGCTGAGCAATATATACCGGTGGCAAGCCAGAAGCTAGCTATTAATACCTGAACAGCTCCTGACCTCTATTTAGCAGCCACAAGTAGTGAATTAATTTAAAGCAGAGATCTCCTCACTATTCTACAGCTTTCCCACGACGCACGACCCATCTTCCCCTCCCCGACAGAGGAAACAGGAAGGCAGATAAGTAGCTAACGCGGGCAAGCACACCAGCCTTCGGTTTTGGCAAAAGCAATCAGACTTCGGACTTGTTTGTGATCTTTCCATAGTTCCATCAGCGTCGAAGAGCACACAGTAATTGAACAGATTGACCTCAATAAAACCACAAACAAATCACATCCGCCATCAAAGCAATGTGTCCGAAGATGATGATGAACGACCCAGCAAGCGTCAAAGACGGATTCAAAGCCACGGGGCAACGGCCTGCTGGCTTCCCGAGCAGAGTTTCTATGACTCCTCATCAGCCAAGTCGCGGAGGCAACAGTGGGCAGCCGAACACAGATGCTACGCTGGCGGGGGCTACATCAGGAGCTGCCACGCACGATTTTGTGGTGGGCCTGGGAGAGAGGCCGGTGAGTGTGATAGAAGTGCTTTGTGGCGAACGGGCGAACCGTCGAGGCCAGGCCTTGGACGTTCCTGCGATCCACTTTGTAATGGATGACCGAGGGATGAACAACTTGCCTGGCAACTACCCAACCCTGGTGGAAGTCAGAGGAAACAATTGGCCTCGTGCCAATGGTGAAGCGATGAGACTTGCGGACATTATCGACCGCACCCTCGAGGAGCTCGATTTCTAAGATGGGGGAGGCTGCATCCAACAAATCAATGTTACATAACCTCTAGAGTACTGCCCGTTATTGAACAACTTTCAACTTTCCTATCTATCTATGAGTCTTCATCAGTCATCGTTCTGTCTTCACGACATTCAGGAACCCCCAGAGCGCGACATGGCTGCTGCGGCCATGAGCTCTCGCTTGTGTTTCTGCACGCACTCGGAACTACAGTAGACATAGTCGAGCCTGCTAAACATGTCCTTTCTCTTCCGTCCTTTGACCACCACTTGGCAAAAGTCACAAGCATTACCACCCGCCGCCTTGGGCTGCAGTCCATCCCGAACACGCTTGGCGTCCTCTTCTTGTTTGCGAGCAACTTCAGCCAGCTCCCGTTGTCTTTGATCGTGTTCCGCTTGAGCCTTTTCCTCTGCCTTTTTCTGCTTTTGTCGAGCACGCTTCTTGCGTTTCTTTTCGGCCTCTCGATCCTTTTTGGCTTGAAGATCGTCTACCGTCAATGCTGGCCCTACTTTGGCTTTGGTGTCCCATTTGCAGTAGTCTTCTCCAAGAGTGGCTCTGGCCATGCGGAATGCATCTCGTATTTTGTCGTGGGATGCCAAAAAGTATGGCGGACGACTGCGGGCATCTACAATGGAGGGGTCGGCGTGGCCCTCTACCAATAGATGGATAACGATGGAAGCCGCTGTTTCGTTGTCCACAGTGTTTGTTTGCCCTTCGTCTGGCTGCGGCTGCTGCTCAGATTGTCGTTGTATGGATGCAGCCTCGGCTGCGTAGTGGAGGCAGGTCATGAAATCCGGACCAACGCGGCGGTTGATCATTTGTTCCACAGTCAATGAAGTTTCTTCTTCTTTGTCGGTTGAAGCAACGACCTGCTCTTTGTCCGCAAGCAGCTCGATGACTCTGGACAAATTGCCCTCGTGACAAGCCTTGTGTAGAGGTGTCAAAGGAAAGATAATTGCTGGCTTTTCTTCAACTGTTTCTTTTTGTTGCTGTTGCTGTTGCGCGGGCGGCTGCGACACAGTCCCTTCCTCATTGGTCACGGCAGCATCATCCACACGAGTCCACTGTCGCACTTGCACAGTCATCATGACTTGATGAGCAATACAGACATTTTCAAAAGAGGGTTTTCCAATGTCCAATGGCAATCGCCTCAGCCTGGAATCCTTCTTTCCAATTCCCACGTCGGCCTCATCCAAGGCATCAAACAGGTACTTTTTCATTCCCTTGGGACAAGACAGCAGAATGAGTGCACACTTGTCAATGTGTGGTTTCCATTGCAGCATTGTTTCCGTGATGTCTTGTTGCAAGTTTTCTTCTCCTTGTCGTCGTAGTTGAGCTCCCATGGATTTGGGCCGCCCCTTGGCATCCTGTGTGGATTGTGCCTTGCCTTGACCCTTGCGCACCGTGTACCGTTGACAGGCTCGATGGACCAGGCATTTGCTTTTGGAAAAGATCCCAGCCGCAAATCGTCCACTTCGCAGCAATAAGACCAACACATGGTTTTCTTGTGCCGCTTGGCTGAGTGTCAAATACTCTTGACAGGGTGATTTTGGAACATAGTGGCGTTCGGCAATGTCGCTGTCTTGTCCTTTGGACAGCAGGGCCGTGGGCAACAACACTGCTTCGGCATCGTGGATCGGCATGGCATCACATATCAAGTTTTCTACAAATTTCTTGACGGTGAAATTTCGCTGCTGTTCGGTCTGAGTGGGCTTGGCTTTGCTCTTTTTCTTCGGCTTGGGTTGGCTGTTGCTGCTACTGGTATTTGTGGGAGGTGCCTCTGATTTTGCAGCAGTAGTAGAAGTATCACCGGATTCAGTTTCTCCACTTTTGGCCGTCCCTTCTTCCTCCTCTTCTCCTTCCGAGGATGAAGAAGACGACGAGGCCACTCCTGCAGTGTCTGCTTCCTCGTCATCAGAGCTATCCTCCTGTTTTCGTCGACGAGTTGCGTTATCAGCCGCCGCCTTGGCCGAATCCTCCAGTGCCAGCGCTTGTCTCAGCAAAACCGGACATTGATCCGAATACAAATACAGAGTATCCACCAGACTCCCCACCTTTATTGTATCTTGGCCGTTGTTCATCGTGAGTTCAGGACCAAAGTGCTCTGGTTTTGTGTGGTTGGGAATGATGTGGAGAGGGGAGATGAAACCCGCGTCAGACCCGCAAGATTACTAAAGCCTGCTAAGCTACAATCAGATTAAAAAGGGAATACGAATTGACGTCACAATCGGGAGCGAAAGTTCTGTCGAGGGTTCGGTATTTCGGGACAGAAGGAGGATCCGCTAAATACCGTCCTTCACCGGAAAAACAAGATTTGAATGCTCCGTCCTCTCAGATAATTTTGCTTCCGTGTTGTTGCTTGTTGTTGTTTTCTTTGTTTCGTGGACGGCAAAAGACCAAAGACTAGCTAGCTAGCTTGAGCATCCTAATACGAGACGTTGAGACAAAAAAGGAATCATAGCACTTGTCAAGTTAGTTAGTTGTGGGTGGTTCGTTTCGTGCTTGGTCGGGAATCACAATCATCAGTTTGATAATAGTAAAGAAGCGCTCTGATTGGTGTGGAACGTCAGGGAAGGTTGTTATTGAATGCTGCTTACCAAGTTCAGGCCAACATCCTTATCTTCTTCAAGACTGATTCGCTGCATTCATCAGAGCAACAAGCGGAATCCATCGGGATTGCCAAGACCATTATATAAGCCACTGCATTATTGCTACCCCTCCAGCATTGGGAAGATTCAAACAATAAATCAGCAGACAAACCCCTCTGTCTTTGCCATCGAATCGAGAGCATTTTTGAGCACCCAGAAAACGAGCAATACCAAAATAATGGACTCGAGTGAAAAACCTGTGGATCCGGCGACGGAGAATCCCGCCAATGATCCTACCGAACCAGCCGATACCACTGCAGCAACAGACACTAGTAACACAGACAAGAATGATACAACTGGTGCAAACAACGAAGAAAGTGTTATTTCCGAGGAAGAATTGGCCAAGGTGTGTAGCCATTCCATTACTTTCTTCATTCTTCAGAAAGGACGGATGGATTGTACATTCTTTCTTTCATACTTTTATTATTATCCCATCATTACTGACTGACCCTTCTTTGTCATTGTTTTGTTTTTTTCTTTTGGACAGGAAAAAGCCATTTTTGATTCTCTCTTTTCCACTCGACGCCCAAAAGACGGATGGGCTGGTTTGAGTTCTGGCCTCAAGAGTGTCGCCAAGGGCACTGCCGCTGGTGTCGCTTCTCTCATTGCTCAACCCATTGCCGGGGCACAAGAAAGTGGCATCAAGGGATTTGTCTCCGGTTTAGCCACGGGTGTTGTCACGGCGGTGGCGCTTCCCGTTACCGGTGTCTGCGTAGGAGCCTATCAAGTCACCCGGGGAGTTGTCAACTCGGCCGAAGCCATGAAAAACAGCCGACAAGGAATGCTTTGGGACCAAGAAAAGAGAGAATGGTACTACTATGTCCTCGATGCCGAAATGGAGGAAGTCGAAAAATTGGAATCAGAAATGAACAACAAAACCAATACTGCCAATGGAAACTCGCCACAAGAAGAACGAAATGTCAAGGATCGAGAATATTACGATTTACTCAATGTGTCCACCAATGCCTCGCAGACGGAAATCAAAAAGGCATATTACAAAGAAGCACGATTGTGCCATCCCGACAAACGACCTGATGATCCAGACGCTGCCAAGAAATTTCAGACACTCGGACATGCCTATCAAGTACTCAGCAATGAACAAACCAGAGCTCACTATGATAAACACGGAATCATCAATGCCGAATCGGATGTCGCCATGCAGGAAATAGATCCATTTGTCTTTTTTGCCGTCATGTTTGGATCCGAAGCAGTACACCCCTATATTGGAGAACTATGGATTGCCAACAAGGCAGACTCGCTCATGAAGGTAAGTGAAACAATTATTATGCAGCAAGCTTATCACCACAATTCGTTCCAGCTCGATGTTGACTCAATTTTTTGCCGACCCGCGCGAAGGAACAAGCCGAGATGGAATTTCGCAATCAACAACAACAACTAAATGGAGATGAGAAATTGGATTCCTCTCAAGAGGCACGCCAAGAGTATGTAAAGAGAACATCTGCTGCGGTAGAAGCCGACAAATTCAAACAACGAAAGAGAGAAGTGAGGTGTGCTTTCAATCTGCGAAACAGAGTCGAACCTTTTGTGGATGGAACCCAAGAAGAGGAAGAATTTATTGCGCTTTGTCAAGCGGAAGCGGCAAACATCACAAAGGGTGCATTTGGTGATGTCTACTGCAGTGCTATTGGTGGTGCCTTGCTCTTGGAAGCGGAAGAATTCATTGGTTATCAGAAATCATTTATGGGTTACGAGGGACATACCGCGAGACTCAAAAAGAAAGCGAATGCAATCAACAGTGACATGAAATTGGTTGGTGCAGGAATCTCGGCCGCGCGAGCTGGTAGACAAGCCTATCAGGAAGTGGAAAACTTTCAAAAAGAGGCAAAAAGTGCCATGGCTGGCAACAAGAATCCAGTGACACCGGGAGCTCCTGATGGTGCTGACGGAGAAGGAGGAGAGTCCAAGGAGAACGAAATGGGACTGGATTCCGAAAAAACCAAAGTCGCTGCCGAAAAGATTGAAGCGTCACTCCCGGCATTCCTGGAACTTGCCTGGGCTATCAATGGGCGCGATATTACACGTACACTCAAACAAGTTTGTCTCAAGTTGTTTTCCGATGCCAGCGTACCCATTGAGGTGAGACTCAAGCGAGCGGAAGGTGTGAGAATGTTAGGGCATGAATTCCTGGCCATTGGCACTGCCACGGCGCTGACAAAATCCAAGGAAATCGATGCCAAGGAAATCAAAGCACGAGCTGAAGTCGCGGCCATGGCAACTTTGGCAAGAGCTCAGGGACAGGAAGTTTCTGAAAAGGACGCGGAGGAGCTGATCAAGCAGTCCAAGATGCAACAAGCAGCTATGCACGAGCAACAGCAGGCCGCAGAAACCGAATCACGAGGAGGCACGTCGCCATGAGCATAGTATGCATCTGCTGCATATTATTTTAAAGAGTAGTAGTACATTACCTTTTGCATAACACCCGTACCCGCGCTCTCACTTTATGAACATTCCAAAGCACCTCCATTTTGCGACTGCATCCACCTCAGTCACGTTTCACTGAGTACTGATATAGCAACACCAAAATCCTGCAGCGTGTCTAGTAGGCTTGGAATGATCCATGCTACTTAGCTCTTGAGGGATGCAATGTGTCTGAAGGGTTTGCGTGGGAGAAGCTAAGAACCCTGCGACTCCTTAACAACTTCTGCCCATGTATAACAATGGCGCTTGCGGCGGTGGCGCCGAAGAAATTGACGACGACGACCAAGACGATGACGCCGACGCCCAACGACCTACCGTGGCCCGAAAGACGTTAGGGAAGATTTGGAAAGGAAACTCCTGAAAAGACCATCTGACGTGAGCTTGCCCGAATACAAAAGGAACCATTTCCCAAGCAAAAAGGTCAATGGTGGGAGGTTCATGATGATCAGCACAGACTGACCGTTATCTACCTTGTCCTCAGTGCAGTCATCAATAGGTTCAATCAACTTGCATGTCGAAAGTGGAGAGAAGAGGCTCTCCATAACAGTGGTCACTATTTGGATGAAGGGAGGTGTTAGCTTCCGGTCTCAACTATCATCGCTCTATGTTGGAATGATTGAATCATTCAATGCATGAAATCAGCAGCCAGCGGCCCGCATCTTCCCTTGTGAAGATATGCAAAAAGAGTGCGGCGTGGTGGAGCCAGGACCTTCATTGTAGCGTTTGTTTAGACAACATCTACCATAGAACAACATAGGAGAATCAGGAAGCGATGTAATGGTATAGCCATCCAGTTGCCTGCCTGTGTTAATGACCTTTGTTCCCTCACAGACGGGAGTGCACGGTGTGCAACAGACGCTTCACGAGCCAACTGCTTTTGCTTCCCAAAGTCGAAAAGTAACGTGTCTCGCTCGCTTGGAGGACTTAACTTGAGTCGAGTCGAGTCACTCGAGTCACTCGACCGTCCAGGACATACTAACCCTAACGCTGATGTTACTTCGTTACTAAAATTTTTGGGTGGCCTCCAAAACCACAGGCAACAGCCTCTGCAACACCGCTCTCAGCGCCATCGTCTGTGCCTTGGTATCATCTTGACGTTGTCTTCTGCTGCTTCCACCTTCGCCTCCTTTATCATCGAGACTGTAGCAAGATGGTGAGCATGATTCGCAGCGCTGTTGAAGAGTCCAAGAGCCTGAAGTGTCTTGCGTTGTCGCAAGAGCTCTCGTTGGGGATTTCTTTGAATGTGCTTTCCTTGTACTGTTGTTCTGACCATGTTTCTTCTCCCGTTACCCCCAATCATTACTGTAGGGTGTCCGAACCAAGACTATCAAGAAGAGTGCTCGCACTATCGTCGAGAAATATTACACCCGATTGACTTTGGACTTCCACACCAACAAGAGGATCATTGATGAGGTTGCCATTCTTCCCAGTAAGCGTGTGCGCAACAAGATTGCTGGATACACAACACACTTGATGCGCCGAATTGCTAAGGGACCCGTCCGAGGTATTTCCCTGAAACTGCAAGAAGAAGAAAGAGAGCGTCGTTTGGACTTTGTCCCCGAAGTCTCTGCTTTGGAACAGGAAACTATCCAGATTGATCCTGATACTCGGGACCTGTTGGCCTCTTTGGGATTTGGAGATATTGATGGAGTAGCAGTCAACACTTCACACCGTGATTAGATCCACACAATCATAACAATAGCACAGAATTAGGAGCAAAGGAAAGTAGTTTCCTCGTGCGGTAGGCAGTTATCTGCTTGTCTTTCATTACGCTGGGTTATGTTCCAGGAGGTGTTCTTCTACGTACCGGTAACGGTACAGTGGCAGCAGGACAAATAATAGTTCATTCTAACAGTCGCCTAGATCATTATCCCTTTCGCCCCATACATCTCAAGTTTCTGGAAGAGAGGCCAGGGTTGGGAAGAACGACAGCATGCTACCCACACTGTCTAGATAGTTGGACTACGACAGTCAGGTCTGTCCTACCGTTTTGCCTTACTCGTCCAGGTTCATCGTGGGATCATGCTCAGGGAAGGTGAGCAGAGGCATACAATACCATTTCGTCAATGCTCAGTTCCACAACACCCCCTATCAACCCTATTCTTTTGTAAGTACCCGCGAGCTCCTCTTTGGTCAAACCGTTTCCCTCACCATCGTAGCCATCCCCAGTTTGCAACGTCGTCCCCAGCTTCAGACCATTGATCCCATGCGAGAAGCGCCCTACTTCGTGCAGTCCCATAGTTTCTATTCGAGACTGCAGCTTGGTGGCATAGTCTGCATACGTGACCAGAAAGTCTGGTGGCAATTTCATGGCAGAGCAGGACCCCTCGATGGAGTCTTGGCAAGAGGTTGGGTCTGACACCATCACAGGGTAAGCTTGATCCACAAACCCTACTGGATCTTTGGCAAACTGCTCGCTCTCGCAGAGGATTTTGGGGTCGGAACGGCAGGATGGGGAGCAGTCCAACGACCAAGTTGAGAACCGCACTGGACCAGGGCCATGCAGATAGCTGTGCAGAGGAGTGGAGTGACAAGCCCCCGTCAAATAGTGGACAGAGAACGTGTGCCGTGAATGGCTTTCGCTTTGTTGCATCGTAGAGTACTCTTGTGCCATGGCTGCAATCTTGTGATTCACACTGATTGGTGCATTCTGATGGAACAGCCCCAGATAAAGGAGGGCAATGAGATTGGGTAGAAAGAGCAATGCCAACCAAAACATTACAAGCCCATTCGTGGCACGTGCTTTGGACAACCACAACACCAATGATCGGACATGCGGTCCCGCTTGAAGGCAAAACAGAGGCAGGATGGGCAACAGGAAGCGAAACTCCTTATGACCGGACAGAGAATGTGCTAGTGCGTAGGTTGCAATGATTATCCATACATTGCGGCGTGCCATAGTGTTGTTGGGAGGAGGACTTTTTGCGACAACCAACAACCACAAGTCGTTCAAGACAAAGGGCAGCCAAAGTCCTGTAATGGCCGGTATTCCCGCTGTAATATACCAATGCCAAGGATGGGATCCGTACAAGGCCGAGTTCCCCAGTAGCACATTGAAATGAAAACTCCCCAGGAAGGGAATCGTCCAAAAGCCGTAAACGCAGTAATCCACCACGCAAGCTATTCCAATGCCCATGGCACCAAAGACAGCACATGTGCCTAGCAGTGTGACAAGCGCAGGTTGCAGTTTTGAATACCAAGCAGTGGCAGATGATTGTTGCGTGCTTTCCTGTGATTGCTGAATAGCCAGTATCACTCCCATGGGAACCCATGCAGCGATGGAAGAAAACCTCATGGCCACACTGCATCCTCCCAAGAGGAAGCAAAGACAGTGCCGGATTGTCGAACTCATTGTACAGTACATAGCAGTATTCTTTTTTCCCAAAATTTCCGGCGCCAAAAGAACCATGCTGATTGTCAGGAGCGTGGTTTCCATAGTATTGCTGTAGGTTCTAACCAGTGTATAGCCATGGAACCACGATGCCATGCTGCAAAAGAGGCAATAATAAGGTTCCTCACTGACGCTGGTAGTCCAATGTGCCAGAATCCAAACGGCCACATCGGTAGGTGCTGCCGCCATGATGGCCATGAGCCACTTGGGACCTTGGGATACCCAAAAGTGAGAATCCCACTTCCTTTTTTCCAACCAAAGGTAAAAGAAGTGAAAGGGTAGCACCGATAGATACGATCGTATTGGTCCTTGGAAAGATCGGTCCAAGAACGAAAGACTTGTCTTATCCATGGGCCGTCGTTTCCATTCCCAGGTGTATCCTTCACAGTCCAAGTTGAGGGAAGAAGACTTGTGCTGATTATTCGCCCAAAAGACTTGGCAATAGGCAGGTTCCAAGGTTTGCCAGAATTCATCGGGATCAAAGAAGGATTGGACCAGAAACGTGTTGAGCAGACGAAAGGTGCATACCCCAAGAAAAACTGCGACTGTGGTCTTTATTTTGGGCCACATGATAGAATTCAATAAGAGGTTATAAGAGCATTACATCGATCACTCCTGTTGCTCTGCCGGTATTACCGGTATGGGGAAGGCGTCAAAAGAAGACCGAAGGACGATCGAAGATGTGGAGGTGGGTTGATGGTGCGGTTTTACTTTTCTCTTTCGGGCTTCGCATGTCTCTGGCCGCTCTGCAATTTTATTCGACGAAAGCACGCATCACAAATTCTTCTAATCGGAATGGAGCTCCTGCCTACTAGCTAGTAAGGCAGAGCTATGCATGCATCTCAAATATAGCTTGCTTCGTCTGGTCAATGTTCTATATTTACTGTATGTATACACATTATAGTTACTAGTGTCTACCGTATAATTTCTGTCATAAAATACATGTGTACAAGGGCTTGAGCTGGCCCAATAGCAAGGAACTCATTCCATCATGTTGGAGTTCCTGTGCAATTGCGTGAAACAGCAGCCCGAGTGAAACCTAAGAGTACAGGTGAGGAGAATCCTTCTCCGTCTTGGCAGCCATTCCTGTTTTAGTTGGTCTTCTTGGTGGCGGTGGCACGGGAGTGATCCAAGATCTTGCCTTTGATTTGGAACCGATCCAGGGCAAACTTGGAGAGTCCGTTGACAATCAACCACCCCCAGTAGAGTTGCAAGAACAGCAAAAAGACGGCTCCCAACCAGGAGATGCTCATGTACAGCTTGTACGCCACTCCTTCCTCGGCCCAGTAGGTGACCGCCAGAGCATACTGCAAGTACTCCAAATGCTGTGGCACAAACATGCCAATGCGGATTGTCAGGAACGCCAGACTAAAGACGAGTCTCGAGGCAAGATAGAGTTGTGGATGGGCCATTCTCCACTGAGCATTGTTTTTGAACGAGTTCATGATTGCCAACGGCACCGACGACAGTTCCGTCATGCCAAGTGCCATGGGTGCATAGTAGCGGAATCCATTGGTCAAAAAGACAGACTTGGAGGATGCTAAAATGACGGCACAGTGATGTACCAGCATTTCCTTACTCTCCCGGACAAACAGAATTCCCATGACAATGCTCCAGATTTGAAATCCAATTTGGATCGAGCCCAGCAAGTACAAACGATCCTCCACGTGCCCTTGAATCTTGTCTTGTGGTGGAATAGTGTCGTTGTTGTCGTCGTTGTTGTGTGGAAGAACCAAGTACTGAAAGTACAACCCCAAGCATCCCAGTGCCAAGTTCGTCACGCAGTTGGTGATTTGATAGGCCAAGCGTCGTCGCTGCTGTGTGACATCATTGCCTTTAGCCACCAGCTTTTTGGCCATGGGAAAGGCTGCTAGATAGACACCCGTAACAGCCACAATCGTCACGGCAATCGATGGCAGCGCAGTCTGCAGGGCATGTTCCGCTGACAGATACACCGGTGCTTCCAAGAGGCGTTGGACCGTCGAAACATCTAGATCTGTCATTGTTCTTGCTTCTTTGTGTTTTTTATGTTGGATAAACTTTGTCTTTCGATTGTATTGTGTGACCTCTTCTTCTTTCTCTTTCTTCCGCAACAAGCAACAGAATGGCAAGATCACAATGTTACAGCGACAAAGCACAACAAAGCTGAGACACCTTGATGTTGACGCTGGTTATCCAAAGAACTTTCGAAGAGAAAAGAGAGATGAGACAGCATGCCGCAAAACGAGGGAGACTTGGTTTGCGCATGCGGAACACTGTTTCCCGCATTGTCATCATTTGGCGGGATTCAATTAGACCCCTGCAGAGCTGCCAGGATGCTCTACATCGTATGCATTGCATCCTCCCATCCAGACCCTTCCTCTGTCCTCAACTCGGACCAGGTCAGGGTAGGATCTAGCGGTACGTGTACCAGTCCAGGTTCCTTTGTTTATCTTTCTTTCTTAACTGCCAGGTACCTCTGCAACCAAAACATGGTTGAATGATTCAATCAAGTCACCTCCTAACCAATGAGAACATCACTCTCTCCTTGGCTCTGAACCTCTGCTTTATTCAACTTGTAACTGTGCGCCTCAGGCTTGATACCAGCTTCTTCTACTCCTGCGCGGCCAAGGCAACACCGTTGAATCTTCAATCGCACCAGAACATGTAGCTTTTGGAAATTTACAAGCCATACCAGTACGCATTGGAGACCAATGGAGACTCTCAATCTGGCACCCCACCAGCCAGATAGATTGTGTCTGGAGCAGACAATGTCACAGAATGCAAATCTACTCTTGGCTCTGGCGGGCGAAAAGCCTGGAAGTGTTCTCCGACACCCTAACAATCTGCGAAGCCAATAATCCCACCGTTTGGCCTCTTTCGGTCAGGATCAAGAAGTTCTGGTACCGTGCTATCTCCCCACCAAGTTCTGTTCGGCTACTGATAATGGCACGCTGATTCAAGATTACCTGCTGTACTCCTCTCTTCGTCCTTTGAACAGGTATCGGTACCAACAACTGCACCATAGGAACTGATTTCCAGCATGTTCCTGTGAGTGTGGCGCAAGACTGGTCGTTTATGCTGGGACTGAAGCAAGAAAGGCTCCTTGACATTCCGCGGGACCCCGCAAAGATCGTCGCCTTTTTGGATCTTTTTTCACCTCTCATTTTTTATTCTTCGAGCCTTCTGACACTCTTCCTCTCCTTTCGTCTTCTACAACCGACCGCATGATTGTTCCTCTCCCTGTCCTTTTGGTGGGCATTACAGCAGTACACGTATTCTTGGCAAGACATTTTCTAATCAACCCACGAAACGCTGGATCCATCGATACAATTAATATGAGTGCCGAGCAAGATGCCGTGACGAAAGAATGGGATGCCTTTGCGGGCGAATGGGATGACATGGCCGCCGGTTACCGAGATGCCTTTGTCGAGCTGTTGTGGCAAGAAACGGGATACGACACTCCCGACAAGCAAAAAGATTTGGTGGTATTGGATTTTGGGTGCGCCACGGGATTGTTGACGGAAGCCATCCACGACAAGGTGCAAAAAGTAGTAGCCATTGATGTTGCTCCAAGTATGGTAAAAGTCTTGCAAGAAAAAATCAAAGCCGCTGAATGGACCAATGTCGATGCCTACTGTGCCGTGGCGGCCAATTTGGATGCCACCCCGCAAGTCAAGACGGCACTGGAAGCCCTCGAGGGAAAGGTTGATGTCATTGCGGCATCGTCCGTACTCAGTTTTGTTCCGGCCGGTGATTTGGAGGCCACAATGAAAGTATTAGCTGGATTGCTCAAACCAGGAACGGGACTCTTGATGCATACCGATTGGATACAAGGCGAACAGCATCCCGAAGGATTTACAGAAGCAAAAGCAGAAGGAATGTACAAAGCGGGAGGATTGCAAGTCAAAACTATGAAAACTCCCATGATGAAGATGGCAGGACACGAATTCTCCGTTTTTCTCGGTGTCGCGACAAAAAGTTAATCGTTTAATTCTGTACTGTAGTTACGGATGTCATGTGCATGTCTAAAATGCAGTCTACTGCTGGATCGAAACACAAAGTCGCAAAATCAAATCAGTTTTATCAGCCAACAATCAACCAATAGCAACCCTACAGTGCTTGCTCGCCTAATGGAACATGGTTGTGCCAAGATCGTTGTGAATCATGTTTCGTTTTGGTTTCATGGACTTGTCATGCTGTATGGCATACTCAAAGGCAGAGCAAAAAACAAAAACAAAACAAAATTCTATTTACTTCCCGATAACCTTGCCTGCATGGATTTCAAGCGTAAAGGAGACTCAATTGTAAGGCTGAAAACGGAGCCACGGTGTGCTGCGTCTGAATCCGCATTGCTCCTCTTTCTCTATCCGTTGGTGCTCAGGCTGTCTCCAGCTCCATTGCCCCATCGTGCTTTTCTGGTGCTAACCTCTTTTCCTCCTCTTCTTGTTCCTTTTTCCTTTTCAATCTCGCAAGGCGTTCGGGTGTAGCTTGTTGTATCAATGGCTCTCTGTAAAGAGTGTACTGCCATGCCGTGTAGTATTCGTTGCCCTGATCGTCATGGACAATCTCGTTTACACGTCCTGAGTCACTTAAAATCTGTCGTCTCCAATGCTCCAAGAAGAGTCTTTCCCAGCCCTTTTCAAAGGTATTGTTCAGGAACTGCTCACTGTGGACATAGTCGTGCATTAGCTCGACGAGTTCGCCTTGGGTATAGTTCCATTGCGGATCCAGCTGCAGCACCGGCAAGTCCTGGAATAAGGCATCGAACTCTCGCTGTCGTTCCACAATGGGTATCACACCATTGAGGAGCAGCTCGTAGTGCCGGTAACAGTCATTCCCGTTTCCTCGAGGTGACAAACCAAACGGGTATTGCGAGGCGGCGGTATAGGTTTCCCTAAGAGTCGCTTTGGTTTGTTGATTGCACGAGATCTTGTCCAATGGCGTCATAGTCCGATTGTTGCATGCCATCTCCCACGGGCCTTGCCGATGCAAAGCATTATTGTGCACGTTAAAGTTGGCAAATAGCAAAGGCGTGGTATCCCGCGCAGATTGCCACAGCTTTGGGTCGGTCCAACGGGACTTGTCTCCGCCAAACGGGTTGGAATAGTTTCGAGCTCGCATGAGAATATCCATAGTGGGTTGTTGGGGCAAAACACTGCCAGCCAGACCCAAGTTCATCATTCGAAAGAGTGAGTGGTTCGCGTTGTTATCGTAGTTTGGGTTGATGCCGTACCATGCCAGCAAGAGGGGGTCTGTATCCAGACGATCCTTGAAATATCGAATGGGAGATCCGCCATCGGTTTTGCTCGTGATGAGAACGTATGGAACTGTGATCTTGGGGCGATGAACTTTGAAGAACCTAGCGATCGGTCCCCGGTAACTGTCCGCGTGGATAACCACTCCCGGTCTCAAGCAGGGAATGATCTCGTCGGTCAATTCGGATGCAAAGAATTGCTGGTGTGGAGATGGGGCCGTGCCGAAGAGGAGCAAATCTGCAAGGTCTTGGCCATCCACAGAGTTTTTGATGCGGTGTTTGTCCTGATTCAATGAAATTGCCACCGCTTGGGCACAACAAGTTACATTGCAATGCTTTTGATAGCGGAACCACGTGGCTCTTGTAATGACTGTGGATTCTTGAAAGGCCGTTTTCATAACGGGTTGTCGGGGATTCTTCCGTGGTAAGCGAACATCTGCAAATCGAACATGCCTCAATGGTTGCGTGTCGCTGTGAGCATATCGCCGTACCATGTCATTGCCTCGATTAAATAGGAGGCCCTTTTGGAGATGTGCCTCCAATGGACTCAGCTCATTTTGCACTGGTTGCTGCTTCCCTGTCATTCTTCTTTTTTGGTTTGCAAGAATGGGTTTGGCAACCTGCCTTGATTCTGGCAGATTGACAAGACCATTTGCTGCGGTTTCCAAAGTGCATCTAGGCTCACTGCTGATCATAACATAAAACAGTGTTACCGACAGGAGGATTGCAAATTGTAGAGTCTGAAGCACACAAGGCTGCCCTCCTTTTGATCGATTTGCGGTCATGGTTTTTGCTGCACTTTGTCAATTGACCTATCTATTCCTTTTTTTCTTCTCCAAAGAGCCAGGGTTCAATGGTGGATAAGTGTCTGATGGAAGAGGTTGGCTATGAATTTAAGAATGGATAGCTGAAGGCTGGATCTTGTAGATTATGTGGAGTTTATGTGGAACTCCTTTGGTTTTGGGGTGTCCTTGGGCTGTCCCAAAAGAAACAATGGCCATAACACTGCCACCACGCGCGCAAGTATTCTAAAAAGCTGGCTACCGGTATCGTAGGCTGCTCGGGCCGGGGACCCACCAAGTTCTAGCTAGCTATTAGTAGCGTACATGTACCAATAGCTAGTAACTCAAAATGGTTTCAGACAAGAAGTGCTTGAGGACAGCTTTGAGGAACACCCATGAGCCAGGGCCCAGGTGTTGCCCATTCAAGTCTGTTCACCGGCCACACTGGCCTCCTGTGAGAAGGTGTGACAGTTAAGCATGACAGTGATACATGGAGCTTATATGATTTTCGCTACTCTAGAGAGGCAAAGTGGAAAAAAGCATCAGACCTTCCTTTTCCTTCTTCCGCCTCGATAGCACGAAAATATGCATCGACGGCAATGGAATTGTTAAACAGATACCATACATAGTCTACCGGTACCATATTGTGATGCATGTGCATTATATAAAGTGTACATCTAGCTAGTATTGAGTTCATGCAGTAGTATCGTGTCGAGAAATGCAAGTGTTGCCTTCCTGGAAGGTACAGATTCGTGTCATTGATTGTCGTTTGTAATTTGTTCATCTTACACATCTCGGAAGCATCATCAGGCATCCAAAAAGTCTGGGCTGGTGGAGAGTAGATAGAAAATGATATTCAAATCATGCCGACTCTTGGTCAGCAAGTCCAAGAAGTGGTGCCAGTCGGTGTCCACGTAGAGCTGGACCTGACGCAATCCGAGTTGATTGAGTGACAGATAAAAGTCCATCTTGGCCTTGACATCGCCTTCGGCTTCGGGGTAGATTCTACGCAACATGTAGTTGGTTTCCAACATGTTCAAGAATGCCAAGAATCCTCGAGCCTTGTTGTCGCCAAAAATCCGCTGCAGCATGATGGACTGCAATGCCCGGTTGTTTTGCAATGCCTGGGCAAGGACAATAGCTCCGTCATTATCGACGCCAACGGTGTTCATGGCAAATTCTTGTAGACACGTATTGTGTGCCAACATGTCTGCCACGGCGCGAGCGGCGGGGATGCCCATGACGAGATTGTCACATCCACGCATATTGAATTGCAGCAGAGTGGTATTGTCTCGCAATGCCTCCGCCACGAGAACGCATCCATCATCGTCGAGACCACTGAAATTGATCATTCCAAAGGTTTCCAGTGTGGAATTGTTGCGTAACATGTCGGCCACAGCACGGTAACTGGCTACGCCATGATCGGCGTATCCCATTTCTCCCAATTCCAAATGTTCCATGGTATCATTGTACTGTACAATGTTGGCAATGAGAATCAAATGCTCCTCGTTCATGGTCAATCTCCAGAGACGCAATTCTTGCAATTGAGGCAACTGACAGAGCGATCGCAAGCTTTCGACGGAAACTTCTCCGCCTCGTTCCAGTTCTAATTCGACTTTTTGAATACTGTGAACACGCGCCAGGGCTTGCACTAAAGTTTCCAGTGAGAGTCCTGCTCCCATGACAATGGCATTGGTACACTTGAAGGCTTGCAGTTGCTGTAGACCTTGAATGGCTTGAAGGAATTCTCGTGATTCCACATCATCTCGACCGAGCAATTGCGCCGTATGCAGTGTAATTCGTTCCAAATTGAGGGCTCGTTGCAACAGAGACGTCAACAAGGGCAGGGGCGCCACAAAGTTGTGCAAATGCAACTTGGTCAGGGGCAATCCGCCCAAGGCGTCAAACAGTTGATGACACTGATCATAATTGAGCGAACAAATCATTTCTCCTTCTAGCTGCAGCGTTTCAATGGTGTTGTTGCTGTGGACGGCATCCAAAAAGTCGTCCAAATCATCGCCCAAATCCAACGCGGAATCCAAGTCCAACGTGGTGCCGTCGCGAGCATCATTGCGACGGAGCGAATCGGCGGGAGAATCACATTTTATATCACCACTGTCTTCGTCCGTAGGAGGAGCATGCAGAATATCAATCGTCTCCGAGTCGGGACTCTGGTGAAGTGTCATTGTTGTTTGTTTGTTTGTTTGTTTGTAGATTGATGGATATCTAGACTGCTACTTTTGAGGTATCTTGTTTCTTTGTTGATACGGTATTAATAGATCAGGGAAGAAACAGGTAATGCACAAGTGGCTTGAGATCAAAAGTGCATTCCACTCTTCCTCTTGCGGTGCAGCAGGCTAACCAGCCTTCCGTACGATTGCTTTCCTCTTTTTGTTCGTGGTGATTGCTATCCTAACTATGCCGGTTGCCCAGCTCTTTCACTAATACGATGCTGTTGAGCTGTTGAGGCCACTTTCCATGGTGACGCTCCTTAGACGATGTTCCGTTTTCGATTTGCCGTTGCTTCGCTTCTTTGGAGGCACTTGGGATTCAACAGAATCTTTCAATCACGAATGAGGGTCCGGGATTAGCAAGCAAGACGTGTCAACTTCCACTGTGCGGAATGATCAATCGGCCTTGGGCGCAGTCACTACGGTAGGACTGACTATGAAGCAGTTCGGACCACAAACTACCGGTAGCTAGCAGGCAACAGGCAAGGCATATGAAAGCAGCACAGTAAGAGAGACCTCGCACGCCTTTAAAAATAAAAATAAAAAGACAACTTTTCCAAAAGTAATCTACAAACCACAGTGTCCCTCAGGATTGCCGAACTTCATGCACTACATGATGCACCACGTGATGAATGTGCTGATGGACGACCATTTGAGGGGCATGGTTCTGCTTTCCTCCAAAACGCCGTTGAAAGAACCCCGCCAAACCGCCCTTGTTTGGTTGTGCAGCACTGATCTCGGCTTGAGCTAGATCTGTCGTCTGTGCAGCGAATTGACCTATATCAGTGTTTTGCATCCACGAGGAGATGAGCGATTCCACAAGGCCACCCGTCTCTTGACCACCGTAGTGATTGTCATTGTAGGTGCCGATTCCTGCCGACTTGTCGTCGTCGCCCCTGTTCGCTTTCTTCTTGTTGCGCTTGTTAGGCTTGTGGTGGTGGCTCTTTTCGTTTGCGACGCCGAACGAAATTGGTTCCAAGCCTGTACTCACGACTTTTGGGCAGAACAAGAACTGCCCCCACGACCTGTCCATTTGCAACGAAGAAGAAGATTGGCACATGCTCAATTCCATTCCGACTAGTCGCGGGAGGAACGGAAGAACTAATACGGCAAACAACAACACGACAAGGGCGGCTCTCTTGTGCTTGCTGTCGTGAGCTGTTGCGGAGTCCGGTGTCGCTGCATTGTCTGTGATCGGTTGCATATCTGACTGGACATTCGTTGCCTCTGTGGTGCGTGGACTGGACGCTTGCGTGGGATTATTACTCGTCGCTTGGCCTTGACTTCCCGCTCTGCCTTTTAAGGATACGGGAGGAGCTGCTGATTTGCCACCAGACTGACCACGTCGATGGGGAGGCACATACGCCTGCGTCTTGGATTTTGTTGTAGTATCCTTTTTGCGCTTGTGAGGGGGCACATACGGTTGTTTTTGCTTTTGCTCATATTCTTCTTTCTTGGTTTCATTGTCATTGGCAGACCGAGCCGTTCGAACTGCTTTCGTTGATTGTGGCTGCCCATTCACTAAACTCTTGACACTTTGTACTTGACTGTCAAACCAAGACGACATGGCATCGCCCAGGACTTTGCGTCCTCGCTGAGGATGTCTGTCCCATTCCGCCATGATTCTCGATTCCTCGCAGCGATAATCCAATCTTTGCCAAAATTCCTCCTTGGAAATGACATTGGGGACCAACGACTCATAAAACAGAGCCACTTCGGGGTATTCCTCTAGCTTTGCTTGTCGGGCTTCCTCTGCTTTGCGAGTGTAGAAATTGGGATAGAATTGTTTCAGAAAGGCTTGCAGAGCCTTTAGATCCCCATCATCGGAAGCTGCCTCCAAGCCAAGAGGCTGCGTATAGGTACTCTCCCGATTCCGCCTTTTCGATGCCTCTAGAGCAGCTTGGTGTCGCCATGGATTCAACATCCTCTCCTCCTTGCCTTGGGTCGCTGTGACTTGTTGTTGAGTTGTTGAGGTTGGCACGAGGGGTGCAAGTTGTTCTGTGGGAGCTTTGCACAAGATGACGTGGTTTCTTCATTCAAGCAACAGGATTTTTCGTCGAAAATAGTTATTTTTGTTGAAATTGGACGAAAATGCTGGCGCAAACCGTGGAAAACGAGCCAACTAAACCTGCAGAGCCAGCAGCAAAACCTGCAGGAGAGCCGAGGGAAAAACCTTTGAGGTTACTAGCTAGTAGTACAGTACGCGCCGTTATGTCTGCAAGGTCCTGAAATGGGACCAGTTTCACGCTTTTGTGTTAGTTTCACGCTTTTTGTTAGTTTCACCGAAAATGGACCACCGTTTCCTTGAAACTAACCCAAAAGCGTGAAACTAAACCAAAAAGCGTGAAACTAACCAAAAACGCGTGAAACTAACCAAAAAGCGTGAAACTAGTACAGTATCTGTCATAGTAAATCAATGTAAACACGACTTAAAGCGTGAAACTAACTCAAAAGCGTGAAACTAACCCAAAAGCGTGAAACTAACCCAAAAAGCGTGAAACTAACCAAAAAGGGTGAAACTAACAAAAAGCGTGAAACTAACCCAAAAGCGTGAAACTAACAAAAAGGGTGAAACTATCGTTTGAGTCCCGTTTCAGGACCTTGCTGCTGTCTGCAGGCTTGAGAGATCTTTGCAGCTACTGCTAGCTAGCTAGACGAAAGGTAGATAGATATCCAAGGTGCAGTCTCCTGACTCTGTCAGAGCATTTGTTTCAACAAGTTGTTTGACTACAAGACCAGGATGGCAAGCTACGGGTAAAGACTCGGATTGCTACATGTACAAATAGTAACACAAAAAATGGCGTCTCCTTTGACCTCCTGCATCATGATGGGTCCTGTGGAGGGCATGCGAAGTTTCATGACAGATAGTGCCCTTGATGACCTCATCCTTCCTGGTCATATTCCATCATTGACAGTGACTAGTGGCGCGTCACTTCATTTGGCACCATCTACTACTAGCCAGCTAGCTAGCTGTTCATTGCTAGACCAACTTGACCTTGGCGAAAGACTTCATCGTGCCTCCCTTCTTAGAGGCAACCAGCATCACCAGGGCAAATCCAGCAACTGCCCAATGTACAAGGTAAGGTCCAATGATGCTTTCAACAGTAACCAAAGGACCCAAACAGACAAGAAAGAAGGCCAGCATCAAGGCTTGGGCTGGGAAAGTGAGAGAATCACGAGCCCAGGTAGCCAAGTGAAGTAAAGCAGCCACAAAAGATGGCATTCCTTCATCATTCAGAAGGTGTTGGTTCTCACACATCTTTGGTGATACGCCCAAACAGAACATCCTCAAAGGGGAAACCAAGATGTGGGAGAGAGTTTGTAGGGAAATGTAACATGAAGTACCACCTTGGATTTCCACATATTCTGGAGACATGCCATCCTTGAAAGGTGTGGCGTATGTAGAGGACAAAATGCCATCCACAATGATGGTGCCATCAGCTGTAAGAGGGGCATAGACACCTTTCCTGGTGACAGTCACAACCTTCTCAACTTTGACAGGTTGATCACCTTCAAGCAACAGAAACTGACCAACCTTGACAGATCCTGCCTGAACCGGATGGTAATGACCAGCCACAAATAGCAAATGGTCCTTGGTGATCTCCAAATACTTGCTTCTACCGAAGTGTACCTGTAAGAACTCTGCCTCTGCATCAGGGTTATGATGGGCAAATGCATAGACAGTCTGGTATCCACCTGTCATTGTGAGGACCTTGTCCCCCACTGCCAAGTCCTTCATCACAGTGGTGCCCTTGCCCAAAACCTCTACACTGTTATTCACAGAAAAGCAGAAGTCAGGTGTAGGTGCAGGTGTAGGATCATCAGACTGGTCATCAGAATTGGATGAACATGAATGGCATAAAGCATCAAATCCAGAACCCGTCCATCCTGGTGTTTTGGCATTGGGACAACTTGTATCATCAACGAAATATTGTTGAAAGGTGTCTGTTTCCTGAACATGATCATTCCAGGCGCATAAGTTCTGGTTAAAAGCAGCTGCCTTGTAAAACCTTTTGCCCGTTTACAGAAGAGAAAGTAGATGAGATAACCAATGCATCATGAAATGAAACCGGCAACCCACTTTTCCCAGCACTCACATAATCCTAAAAGTTTCCACTGAACCCACATTCCAACCACTAATATCTTGGTTGAATGCGGCTGCACGACTGAACAGTGTTTGAGTTTGATTGAAAGCATCTGAATTTAGAAACACCCCCAAACCTAAAGACTCACTTGAACATGGCTTCCATGTTAGTGATACGGGATGTGTCCCAAGGAGAAATATCTTGGTTGAAAGAATCAGTATTAGAGAACATTTCAGAGCTGGTTGTGGCACTGGAAAGGTCCCAGTTGGAAATGTCACGGTTGAACTCCTTGGCGTACAGGAACGTGCCCTGGAAGGATGTGACTCTGGATGTGTCCCAGCTGTTGAGATCTTGGTTGAACGACTCGGCGTTGAGAAACATGAACGACATATCAGTCACCTGGCTTGTTTGCCATTGACTAATGTCATCGTTGAAAGATGGAAAACCGTTGAACAACTGTCTAAAGTCATCCACCAGGGACACATCCCAAGTGGAAATGTGACCATAGTCGGACGTTCCGTACCAGTTCCATAAAAGAATTGCATCGCCGAGGGCAGATTTGTCAGGGATGGCTGTCAGAGATCGGGCAACCTGATGGGTGTGGGAAGCACCACCAGGCCCATCTCTGCCCTCGTCCTTGCGAAGTGAAGCAGCATAGGCAGCGCCATTTTGAGGTTGAGAGGGGACAAAACCCAATGTTGTGATAAAGATTGCAGCTGAAGGCTTCATGGTTTGCTTGTTTGATAGATTAATGAGCTGCGTGGGCCGAATTCGTCTCAGAGTAGCTACCAGGTACGAGCTACAGTACTGCACCTACCGACGGAGGGGGTTCAAACTTCAGTCTTCGGTTTTGGTTTGAATGATTCTATCATTCGGTATTCGGTATTCGGTTCGCCGTTGGGGCGGGCTGTGAGAAGCGGAATGGGAAGACAGTCGTGTAGAGGAGAAAGATGCGGTAAAATTAGTAGAAATATATTTCATTTAAGGTTTACCTTCTAAGCTACCTATCTCAAATCATCTTCACCTCCGTTTCGGTTGCTAGCTAGCTTGCGGTACTTAGAGGATACCGGTACTGTACTAGCTAGAGAGGAGTGATTCGCCTGTGGGATGTTATTTCTATCGCAGAAAGCTTCTTTTTGTACATTATGGAGGACTCCGCACCGTTACCTAAAGTACTCTGTACAAGTGTACGAGTACCAGTACACCAGTACTATTAATTAATAGTATGACATACCGGTACGGCCTGAACCGAATCGAATCGAATATCGAATCATTCAATCGAATCTTGGAATACATGTGTGACAATTCGCAACGAGACCAGGGAAAATGACATCCAGGACCGTTCCACAGTCGCACTCTTGGATGTTTGGGTTCCAAAAGGATGCCGGAGACCGCTTCGCTCGACGAGGCAACCAGAACTTTGTGGCAACGTGGATTGGCTCTGTCAAAAGGAGGTCAAACACAGCGGTTGGCTCCCTTCCTTTCGTTGGTGCACTTGATCGAGTCGAGTGACACGTCACGCAGCCTTGCACCCTTGCACCCTTGAAAGAAACCGAAGATGAGTAGTGAGAGTCTCTGAGCTTGCAGAGCACAGGATTTCCCCTCCATGTGGCTTTGATGAAGACTTGAGTGCCTGGAATGTGTCAAGTGCTACAACCATGTATTGGATGGCTGCTTTTCGATTTCCCAGGTTTTGACAAGAGGGCAAGCTTGGAGCTCTGGGATGTTTCAAAGGTAGGATTTCAGGATTGGAGTGCGTGCTTCGGTCCAAGTTTATGTTTGTGCCTTCAGCTTTTCCATGTTTTCTTTTATCCAAGGTGGCCCCATGCACTAGCCCCTTCAACCACACCTGTCTGTTTCAATGCTGCAGGATATGATGAAGTATGGATGGGCAGAACCATCACAACAATTGTGGCCAATTAATTATCTGGGAGGAGATGCTTGCTCGAAGACGAGGCAACCAGGTACCGTATGGTCCCAAGCAACCCCAAGCTGGGATTCTGTTTCGGAAGAGTTTCCCCTTCTGTTGTACATGCTGAGTCGAGTCATCAAGTGAGCTGTGAGAGGAGCTAGCCTGAACCCACACCGACATGAGTAGCTCAAGACAAGTCTGTAGTGCTCTCTGCCATGGATCCCCAATAGAATAGAAACCATCGAATTGATGCCCCGCTGTCGTTCTAGCTACCGGTAGTGTGCAAATAGAACTTAATCCCTCCGGGGACTTTGTAATTCCCAAGTTAATTGTGTGGTACCGGTACGACCGTATCGTACGAAGGTGTCATGGTGTGCATGCCGTGCTCGTGCATGCCGTGCTCGTGCACTGTGGACGAAAGATGTCCAAGCAGCTTCGCTGAGGCACCCCGGATGCGAAAGAAGTCCTGTGCTCTTTCCGTACGGCACCGGTACGCATGTCTTTTTTAGTCCATTCCCAAAGCGAATGCCTGAGAGCCTTCGCTAAAATCAAGAAGATGCAAGTGAGCATTATCTGAGGCAATTAGTTGCGGGGAATGGGCTTTCCCTGCACATTGTTTGGGTCAAACTGCTAGTTAGAGCTAATCTTCCACTTTGAGTCATGCTTCCAGATTGTGTTATTCTTCCAGATTACGTCATTCTTCCAGATTACGTCATCTGGTACTTATTTCTACGTGTTTTTACGTAGAGTCTTCCAGATTGTGTCATTCTTCCAGATTGTGTCATTCTTCCGGATTGTGTCATTCTACTATTTTCAGTCATTCTTCCAAAACAAAACACTGAGAACCTGGCAAACTGTTAATACACGTATTCCCGCAACTCCCGTTGCCTGCCTCTTTATTTTTAGCAGTTTTCGATTGTGGTCACACTTTCTATCGCCTCGATTCGATTGAGAATCTCCAACAATACGACTCCAGCACAGCCGCAAAGTGTTTGGCTACTTTACGACAGTATCAAGGATTACTGTACTGCAACCCAAACATCATCCATCAGCTATCCTTCTAACTATCAGTCTTGCGCTTGTCCCCACAGTTTTCTTCACCGCTGCTTCGCTTCGTTTATCGCTCCTGCGGTAGCTACACTGTATCGCGAGGATACCAACTGTAGATCCATCCACCATGACAATCAAGAAGACCGCCAACGGTGACGAAGAAAACCAATGGGAGCAAGAGGAAGATGAAGTCTACCTCCCACGAGAAGAAGATCCCGTGGAAAAGCCGGCCAAGGTTCTCGATGATGATAACAACAACGCGAATGTTCCCGACGTCGAAGAAGAAGGACGACTGCCGGCAGCCTGTTACTGTTCGATTACCAAACAAATCATGGGCGATCCCGTGGTGGGACCCAATGGTGATTCCTTTGAAAAGGAAGCCGTCATGGAACGACAAGGTGGAGAGTTACTCAGCTACTATCCCAATCGAGCCTTGCGGGCGTATATGGACGAGCAACAGGAAGTGTTGGGAGAGGAAGGTTCCGTCCGTGGGACACTGCGCAAACTCGACAACAATCTGCGAACCAATTGGGATCGCATGTTGGAGAATACATCCCTGGCTACCGCATTGGGTGGAGAGTCACGACCGTTGCCAGATGGTGAGTGAACAAACAAACAACAAAAGGCAGTCGTGTTGTATGGTTGCCTCGGTCAGCAACTCGCTCATCCTGTTTCGCTGCTCTGATGTACGTGTGTGAAGAATTCTATTGCACATTGACGCTAGATCTACCCCATGAGCCAGTCATCGACCCCGAGGGGTTCACCTATGAGAAGGTGCGTTAAAGTTCCTTGCAGCCAAGGGTTTTCTTGTATCGTATATACGCTCACACTTCTTTGGGGCGAAAACAGGATGCGATTGTCCATTGGGTGAGACACAATGGTGATTCGCCCGTCACTCGAAAGCCACTCAGTGTGGATCAGCTCTACGACAACAATGCCGTTCTTTGTATTCTTTTGGAAGAATCCGAAAAACCAGAAGATAACCTGCATCCTTGTATTCGACGTTGGAAAGAAGAACTCATGAACCCTCCTCCCTCCATTGTGCCTCCCGACACTACCGTCAATGCTCTCACCACCACGAGTAGTAGTGGTATGGGTGGCATTCCCATGAATGGGGAACAATCCACGGAAGAAACCACGACAACCAGAACCTATCCGACAACTCACGAAGAAATGGAAGAACGATTGCGACGAGAGCATCGGGCATCCATGATCAGTCTCTTGCTGATCATTGTCATTATCTCTTTTGCACTGATATACCTGCCATTCTATTTGGTGGTATTCGTGCTCGCTTTTTGCAGTTGCATGTACGCACGACGCAGATTCCACGAGCGTCATCATCAGCGTGCCTAATAAGCGAGCAACGCAAAACGATTGATTGGTCTTTTTCCAATCTGGAACAATACATTTGTATGATACATAGAAACAGCTACATATGATACTGCCACATTAATGAAACACAGAACAACACACAGTGCGGACTTGGTTTACTCGACGGGCACATCGTTAGTTCACTCTACGAGCACATCGTCGCGCTAGTTTTGTTGTAAACTTGTGTGGGCACTTTCGTCTGGAAGTTTCAAAAACGCAAGTCGAGCAGGGGGAGCACGGGACGCAGGTCGCCAACGGGCTATGATAGGCAGAGGACACGATGATATTTACATGATGATCTAGATGAATACCTGGTATATTGCTCTCTACTATTGATTCAATGTGCATCTTCGTCAATCCAACAACCAGAGCAGAAGCAACATGCGTGCCACTGGAAATGACGCCGGTAACAACTTGTGGTATGCAACGGCGCGAGACTACATGTACTGGAATCGTCACCGGAGCTCGTCGTCAGATACGCTCGAATCTTGGACCTCCAATGTGGCTGCATGCGAGTCTTCCCCAGCGGCATCAGGCTGCTCCCTGTTTTGGAAGGCTTCAATTTTGTCAATCTTGGCGTCGATGAAGGGAAGAACCTCGCTCGTACTAGCCGCGAATTGCCGGGCCAGATCATAGTCACCCTTGCTGGCATGCGCCACGGCCACGCGGAGGAGGGTCTTGTTGTCCACGAGCTGCTCGAGTCGTCCCGTTTGCTCCAGAAAGTCAATAACGACCAGTCCAGCCGTTTTGACGTCATCGATTAAACACAAGAACTCAATGTAATTCCGAATGAATCGTTTGTCAAGTGCAATTGGGTTACCTTGATCATCCTGCGTTTCTTCCAGTTGGCCCAGAATGCTCTCCACGGTGGCAAGGTAGGAATCCAAAATGTACTGTTTCTTGTTTGGATTTATCAGCAACTTGTCGTCAACCAGTCGCCTGGTAGCTTTCCCTACCGATTCCAAGACAAACGTAAAGGAATCAATGCTGGGTGACCATCCTTGGGATTGGAACATTTCCAACAATGACAGGCAGCTATCCACGTTGCCTCTCCACGCATGAGCCGACAAAACAATGTTCAACAGAGAGGGAGTAAACTGCACTGTATCCTCCTCACCCGCAACGAACGCGTCCAGGAGACCATTCACTCGCTCCATGCAACGTGGATCAGACCTTATGGAACAAAGCAACACAAAACAGAAGAACAAGGCAGGTCAGGTCGGGTCAGGTGGATTTGTACAACATCACACATGTCCCGATTCGATCGAAATCATGCACCTCGTACACACTTACCGTAGCAAAGCAGTCGTCAAAGAACGGACAAAGGCACTCGAGTGTTTGTACCCTTTCTCTTCCATATCGTTGAGTACGACCAAGGCGCTATCGCACAAGTGGGGGTTCTTGGCAAAGCACAAGACTGTGCTTTCGTATATATCTTTGGTTGGTTCCATGCCAAATAGGTCCAAGGCATCCCAAATCAGCATCGTAAACTCTACATGATTGTGGCGAGCGGCTGCGTCGGCCATGTACTCAAGTGTCGACATGCCCATAACGTAGGAATGCGGTGGTCGTATCAGATCCAGTCGCTTTTTGAGCTCCATCAGTTCCTTCTCGACATGTTTTTGTTGTTGGATGTCACCATTGCTGTTTTCTAACCGTTCATTGACTTGTCTCTCAATATCGGCAACCTCCTCCTGTTGCTGCTGAATGATTTCCACTGTCTGTCGTTGCAATTCGAGCACCGCATCCAGAGCGACATGGGACCCCTGGATGTTTGGCGTGTATGGAAACATGTTTTCCACAACCGTCAAGACAATGTGAGGAAGTGGACGAAACCCTCCCTGCACAGTCCGATGCAACACATCATGATAGGGCAGATTGTCCATCCGACTGTATTTGGCACAAGTCAACAAATGCTGAAAGTACTTGGGTGGCAGGTCGAGCTCCATATTGGACATTTTCGCATACAAATGCCATGCCCATCGTCCCACATCGGCCGATCGTTGTGTCACCAAGGAAGTGACCAAGTGTGGATAGCACTCTTCTTGAATATCAATGTGCAATTGCTTGAGCTCGGACGACAAACCACTCACCATGGTTCTGATTTCCGAGTGTAGATTTTTGACCGGGTCAACGAGCCGAACAGCAATACACATTCGTCGATACAGGAATGCGATTTGTTCTTTTTCCAACGTGCTGGATGCCACTCTTGTTTGTTGCGCTGTTGTTATCGGTGAGCTGTCTTGTTGTTGTTCAAAGACATCTGTCTGGGTTCGTGCCAGAATGTAGTGGAGGATTTCGTAGGCATGAAAGGGGTGCGAGTACGTCAAGTAATCGAAAAAGTCCATGACAAGATCGAGTGACAGCTCCATGCCACGATGGAAGGTGGCGTGTTGAAAAATCTGAATGGCTCGATCAGGATTTCGAAACTTTTTCATAGCCATTTGTAGGTGATACTCGGCCTCTTTCTGCTGACTGGACTTTTGCTCTCTGTTGTTGCGAGTGTCATTATTATTTGAAGCTTGCTTCTTTGACCATGTAGTAGATTGTTGTTGTTGTTGTTGTGGAAGTAGTTGTGATGGCTGTGATTTTGTTTGGTCCTCCAATAGTACTTGATCCTCACATGATTCTTCTTCTTCCACTTTGGGATCTTCATGGTAGTTTTCTTCTTGTTCTTCTCGCAGATCTTCCAACTCATGATAGTCATCATCAGGCTCCAATGCAGAAGCAGCAGCCGATGCACTCCCCCATGAAGACCCCCCTCCAAGAAATTGTCCCCGCTTGTATCCCTGAAAGATGTCGGCATCTCTCCATGATGTTGTCTGATGTTGCTGTTGGCGTGCTATTAACAGATTCTGGGGCATGCTGTTGTATGCCTTGAGGGTTCGAAACAGGTCTTTAGCTCCTTTCTTGGTTGTGGCTTCCGTAGATGATGATAGCGACGTAGGATCATGCAACGACTCCTCCTCTGTACGGTGTGGATTGGCATGTGTTGACAACCTGGAGACTGGTTGATTTTGAAAAAGTAAAGCACCCAACGGTGGTATCTTCCCGTGCTTATTAGTAGACACAATGGGACGACGTCTGGAAGCAATTGCTGAGGCAGTACGCAGAGTACGGGTAGCACTTTGAGCACGCCACATGATTCAAGTCCTGATTGGGTATCTATCTATTTCTTTGTAATAGTCAAACGATGGATCTGACCGTGAAAGTGGGATGGGGTGTCAAGAATATTAGGATCTTGGAATTCTTGAAAAAGTGGCGAGTCAATTGGCACAGATAGATGAACTTTGGATTCAATCCACAATGTAACTCAGCTGAGATCTCCAGCAAGTTCAAAGAATCAGAATAGATCTTCTTAGTTTGGGGATAGTGGGTTGGGGAGTAGTACTGGCACTGTAGCATCAATGCTCAAGGCTTCCAAGAGATCGGGTGTCGCCTTTTTGTTCCAAGAATTAGGATTGGTTGGTTCTTGTCGTGCCACCGCTTTTAGCAGTAAGAAGCCAATTGAGCTGTAAATGCAAAGAGGAATCCATTTTCAACCAGCTACTGACAAGGACGGCAAAAGTGCATGCGCGATAGAAGGAGGGTCTGAGGCGACGCTGTCAAGAGCACGCTGGTTCGTTCCTCGCCAGTTAGATTGCGAACCACCACCCAGCTAATCCAGAGTACACAGAGACTGCAAATCAAATCGCACAGCTCTCGACCTCACAGAGCTCACAAATCAACGACAACAAAAACCAACACAGAACAACACAGAACAGAAAAAACCAATCTACAACAACATGATGACACAGATTGAAAACTACAGCATATATGAAGTCTCTAGTTGGCTCATCCAACATGGGTTTGGTAGCCATGTGGATGTGTTCAGAAGCTGTGAAGTGAATGGGGCTTTCTTGGTGGAAATGACCCCAACTGAGCTAATAGATGATCTTGGCTTCACTCCACTGGAAGCCACCAATCTCTTGGATGCCATTCAGAGAGAAAAGTCAGGGTGTGTGCCTACTGCAACTGCTTATGCTGTAAACACGTATGTTCCTTCTGCGGCTGCCATGGGGTCCTTCAATCCTTCGCCCAACAACAGATCCTACATGCCAGCTCCAGCCACCAACACTCCTTCCAGTTTTACACCTCCAGATCCTCGTATCCAGCTTCTTGAAACAGAAAACAATGCTCTAAAGCAACAAAATGCTGCCTTAGAGGCAGACACCATGCATCTTCAGGGAGAGCTTCAGAATTTGAAAGCCATGTATGATCAACTAGTGCAACAACAACAGCAAGCCATTGTGCCTGCTCAACCACAACCAGCTTACACACCCCCTCCACCCCCTCAACAAACTTACACACCCACTCCACCCCCTCAACCAACTTATACACCCACTCCACCACCCCAACCAACTTATACACCTGCCCCATCTCCCCAACCAACATATCCAACTCAGACATACTACCAACAGGCACCACAGCAACAGCAAGTCGATTACAGTCAACAGCAGGCACCACCACAACCACAACAAACATATGCTACACAGCCCAACACAATGGGTGCAACCACTGCCACAACTACCGATCCCAACAAGAACAATGGCATGAAAAAGACTGGATTCAATGTGATCAAGGGTGCAGGTGTTGGAGCTCTAGGAGGAGCCACCATGGGAGCTGTTGCAGGAGCCATACTCCCTGGCATGGATGCTGGTGACGGTGCCAAAGCAGGTGCTGCCATGGGTGCTTTGGGAGGAGGTGTTAGTGGATTTATGAAAAAATAAACGCACATAACTCAGCCAAGAACTAATAAGGACTAAATCCGAAATACATTTGCTTCTTTTGTCACTTGATGGCTTTTAGCTACTTTCTGCAGTAGACTAACAACACTCGACCAGGGTCTGTGGTACTACCGGTATTCCAGTTGCCCTGAGATGTTAGGCCGAATGGGGAGAACCCAGCTCTACACCTGTACCGTTAGGGCACAATTGGAAACGCTGCGGTAGTACTGCCTAGCAGCTTGAACGTTGTCGCAGGTAAAAAGCTGGTGGAAGAATGGAACAAGGCAAAGCAGCTTTTTGGTAATCGACCTCTCAGGGTGGTACCGGTACCCATGGATGGTCCTTTCGTGGTGTGGTATCTAGCTCTAGCTACCGGTAGTTCACATGCGAAGCAATGGATCCAGTCTTTCGTTGCGGTCAAACGACACAATACCAACCAACCACCTCCATTGACTGCGGTACCATATGGAAGATGGCTCCTGGAAGCACACAAGGTGATTTATCTATAAATTTAGCATTCCATTTACCACCATTCACTTTTCAGTGACAGCTACATTCCTGACACACACATTGTACTGCGAATTGTTCCGGGTGACAATCGACTCGTATTATGGCCAATGCCGTGTTGTCACAGAGATTGCCGGGGACATGCCCCGATAGCTGATTGTTGTAAATATCCAACATGGTCAATTGGGTCAGCAATCCCAGTTCGGACGGAATCTCTCCAAAGAAGATGTTCCCCCACAAGGATAACCAATCCAAGTTGGTCATCAATCCCAATTCGGTTCGAATACCCCCCACCAAATCATTGCCTCCCAGATAGAGATCTTCCAATGCCGTCAATGCTATAATTTCGGTAGGGATATTGCCGCTAATGTGATTTCCCCAAAGGCGGATTTTGGTCAAGGCGGTTAATAGACCAATTTCGGAGGGGAGCGTCCCTGTTAGACCCTTTTCAGCGCGATCAATGACGGTGGTGTTGGCAATGTGGTAGGTTTCCCCAAAGAGCTCGACTGTTGTTGTTGTGGTAACAGAAATTGCGGTGGGCGAAGCGGACGGTGCACTGGAGGACGGTGGAAGTTGATTGGTCGTATTTTCATTGATTCTTCGTCTTCTTCTTCTGCTTCTTTGTGTTGTCGTTGCTGTTGTTGTGGCTGCTGATGCTATTGCTGGTGCTTGGGTTGGCAATGCGGTTGGAACGTGAACGGTGGTAGGATCCCTCCTCCGCAGTGCTAAGTCAGTGTCAACATCCTTGTCGGAAATGGCAGAAGACGGAGAATCCCGCTGGAGTGTGTAGGATTTGGTGTCTTCGTCTCCACTACTACATGTACCATCCGTGTAAAACCAAGCCAGCGCAGCAACCGTGGTGGCGGCAATGACCATGATCATAGTCATGGTAACAACCTTCATGATGATACCGATGATGGGATGATGAGATCTCTCTTGTGTTGTGCGAGGATGGGTTACCTCAACCGACAACCACAAGGCTTCCGTTGATGATCCACCTGCCCAAAACCCCCATTCGCAATCAAAAATAATGTGCTTTTTGACATCACCCAAGCGTCCAGGACTTTATGGGGGGGTTAGGCAGCAGCGCGGGGGAGGGAAAAGAAAAAAAAAGGGAGAGGGTTATCGGTTGAGTTCCGAATTCCCGTTTGAGAGCAGGCAGGGCTAATGATCCGGTCACGAAAATGCCAGTAATTAACCAAGAAGAGGGGAAAAGGCAATGACCTGGTATTCCCCCCCATGTCCTTTAAGTATCCAACCATGGGTAAGACGTCCGAAGAACAATAATATGTCAGCAAACACATCACAACTGCCATCAACCGAATTCAAATCGCTGGAATCTTCAACGGCTAATCACTTTCGCTCCTTTCCTTGGCTCGCACCAAACCTTCCACAAATTCAAATCAAGGAGCCAACCTCCGAAACCATCGCAAGGTACAACTGTAAGTGATTGATTGTTGTTTGTTTCGATAAAGATTGACAATGGCGGTTGTTTGTTCGCAATAGCTCATGATATTTCTACTGCTACTACTGTTACTATGGATAAAGAACGTTCGATCGCTCCGTCGTATCGCTCGCTGGATATACCATCGCTCGAAACTCGGTGCAGCTCGGAAACTCGGCGCAGCTCGGAAACTCAGTGCAACCACTGCTCTGTTGTGGTGACACGACAACAACAACCACTACTACCTTGTGCTTTGCTTGGTGCCTTCAAGTCAGCGTCTACATGGGTAGGGGCACGTACTGCTGGCAACAATAGATCGCTACTGCCACAACTCGCGAAAATCAAACCTCGCTGGATTACAACGCCGGATTACAACAAATCGTCGACAATGAGGATCCCCACTACTTCTCCCGCCTTCTCCAATTGGCTGCAAAGTGCCAACAGATACCCATTCAATGAGCTGAGGGTAACAAGGCAAGGATTCACCTGCAAGTATGTCATTTGTGGGTACAACAGTGATGAGGAGGATAACTTCTGTTTGGCAACAAGAAACCTGGAAGTGACTGTTCTTGAGGAGTTGATACTGCAAGGAGCATGCAAGCCACTTCCTCCTTCCATGACCGACATCATGGATTACATGCTTGGTCCAGGCCTTCAGAAAAGTCCAAAATGGTTCAGAGCTGTTGTCTCCACTCTTTCTGAAATGTTGGAGTCACCACATCCCGCTGGCTGTGAAAGGAAGGACATCCTCATTGAGTGCATCTATTGGTTAGTGAGGGAAAGGATCAGTGAGAGCTATGAGGTTTCCTCCCTTGAAGGACAGTTTTATATGGATGCTTGGCATTTTTATTGTTGCCGCTGGTATGACAATGAGAAGATTACTTCCTTCCAGGAATTGGCTGAGCTGAGTGAGAGTATGGTTATTGATTTCATTGGCAATGATTCAGATGATGAGTGAGACTATGGTTGATGATTTCATTGGCAATATGTAAGTTACTTTCTAAATTAGAGATGAATTTGATGTACCTAAAGAGTTGTTGCTGTTGTTGCTTATGCCTGATATCCATTCAATCGAGTTTGACAGGTAGCATCATGAGGTGGTCTTCCTCTCCTGTTAGTCAACCACTGGCAGTATCTCTGACAGCAGCCAATCGGTGGAGGTTGATGGAAAGGATTTGGCAGTATTGGTTGGAATCTTTGCTGCATCTGTAAGTGGAGTTGCATCATTTGAATCTGTTGTTGTCTGTATAGAAGCAGGTTACCAACATAAGCATTTTTTTCTCGTTTGTGCCACAGGAGCTGCTTGTGGTGGTGGATTGGGTGGTGGAGGCTGGAGCAGTGGAACCGGCTGTGGTTGTGGTTGTGGTGGAGGTTGTTGCTGTGGTTGAGGTTGAGGTTGTGAAACTGGAACTGGACTGGTGCAAGCTGCACACAAACAGCAATCATTTGGTGCATACTTTTGTCTCTTTGGTTTGAATGAAACAATGAAGTCTGAAAAGAATCTCTCTCCAGTGTCAGGTGGCAATGGCTCTGCATTTGGGAAGGGGGCATCCACACCAGCAGCTTCTGCTAGCTCATTCAGGTAAGCCAACTCTGAGTAGTTCCAGTATGGAACAACCTTTTCCCAACCAGCTGGCATTGACCTCCTTTCATCCACACTGATTCTTGACAGGAAGGCTCTCTTGTGCCTGATCTTGAGGTTGTATCTAGCAGTGCCAGCAAGATTGAGTGCGTCAGCAAGAGACCTCCTCATTCCACTATTAGCAAAGTGAGCAAACTTGTCATGGAAAGCCTCTAACTTTGACTCTCCTCTCTTTGACAGATACTCTGGGAGATTGTGCTTGGAATTGGAGATGGCTGGATTGTGTCATACATTTGCTCCAGTGGCAGTGGATCAGCCAGGTGAGGGGCTTTGTCAATACAGTTCTCTACTGCTGGCTTGGTATCTTGAGTGAACAAGGTGTAGTTCTTGGCTGGATCCAGTCTGCCCTGTCCTGGCTGGCTACCATCACTGGCAGTAACCTTGTATCTGCAGAACACTGTTGCAACTTCTGTCTCATTGTCTCAGGTTCTCTCATCTTCTTTCTTAGAAACTTGGAGTACCTGTCTCTGAAGACCTTGGAGGCTTGCATTTCGGAGATCTCAGGCATGGAGTAGTGCTTGCCATTGGGGAGAGACCATTCTTCAATGCATGCAGCAGCTTCTCATAGTCATCAGGTGAGTACACATACAAGCAATCCAAGAGGTCTGTGAGTGCTGAGAGTATCGATGTGTCCTTTTCTCAAGTTGACAGTATCCTTTTTTCATAATGAAACAGACCAAGCCTTCCTTCAATTCCTGGGAAGAGGATCTCCCAGTAGTCATCCTTGTGCGCTATGTGTCGCTGTACATGGCAGCAGGGTTGAAGTGGCTCTCCTGCAGCTGCATGAGCATGGGAGAAGTGGATTGTCTTTGTGGTGGGAACAAAGCACAGCAGAGGCAATCTCACCAGTCTCTGTGGCAGCATCCCAAACAGCAGCAGCACCAAGACTTCTGCTGTAGTTCTTCACCACCTGAAAGGTATGGTCTTGGCAGAAGATCCTTTGTTGCACTTTACACTTTGGATTTCTCTTGTGTCCTGTCATTGTCACTAATCCTCCATGCATTCCTGTTGGTAGCAGACGCCGCATCATACATGTCACGGATGTCTCACCAAGGGGAGGAAACAGTCTATGTAAGTCCCATCTTTGAAGGATTGGTTCTCTCATTCCCTCCCAATAGGAGTAGTATGACATCATTCTCTAATGTACTCCCTGTTGATTGCATTGTAGATAGGCGGCTGCAGAGGTCGCCATTGCCATAGGTCAACATGATGTCTTCAAAAGCCTCTGTGGCAGTTCTCTGCAAGTGGCATGTTTTGTTTGGCAGGGCATACTTGGAGTCCACAGGATAGAGCAGGGCTGCATGCTGTGGGATGGTGCACAAGACCTCTGCACTGTTGGCTTTGAAGACTCTCTTGTAGCACCGGCACTCCATTTCCATAACCATGCACCAAGATGGAGGTCCGGTGAGTCCAAATAGTGGGAAGAGAGTCTTGTTTCTTGACCAATTTGTCCTTATATTCTTGAGTTTGCCAGAGCATCTCCATCAGGACAAGCCACAGTATTCCACACCTTTCCAGTCCAAGAGGAGTTTCTGGCCAACAATGGGTTAGTGGGGATTTAATTGCTCCTTTGTGGATGAACTGTCATGGTGAGTCCTTCAAAGTGTTGGCTGATTATGTCTTGATTCCTTGTGCTGGTAATGGATTCTGACACTGCTTCTGCCATTGCTACATTGCCAGTGGTGCTCCTTTCTCTTGTGACTTTCCACAAAGGCAGTATCCTTCACAAGAGCTGTGACTCTTTTACACAGAGCAGCTGGAGTGGACATTGCTTCCTTTTCCTGCTGCCGGCTCTGCTTTGGTTTCTTGCTGTGTTTGTTCTAGCAGCGAAGAAGGCTCTCCATTCTCTTTGTTGATGCTTCCACTTCCTTCTCATTCAGTGGAAGAGGAGCACTGAATGCCTTGTGAGTCTCCTGCTCTCTCTGAAGGTTTCCATTGTGAGCTCATTCAGAGGTCCTCTTCCTCTTGTTATTGTATTCTTAATACAGAAGACAGAGTGTGATTTTGGGGACTCTGAGACCAAAATGTCTGCCTTACAGATGAACAGTTTCAGTGGATCAAAACTTCTGCTCCTCCTCCCAGTGTTGTTTGTGGTCCTTCTCTCTCGCTCTCTTGGAGGATCTGTTGTTGTTGTGGCTGTTGGCGGCGAGTTGAAATGCCTCTTCTGTTGGGACTTTCTCTGTTGACTTTGACAGCCCATTCCTCCTCCATTGTGGGTGGTAGCTTCTGTTGTTGTCATGGTCGTCTTTTGCTGCTGCTACTCGCTTGTTTGGCTGGGAAAATGACTGTCGAGTGGAGAAGAAGAGCGCCATCGTCGCGATCGATCGGCTTTCACGGAATCTTTCTTTCGCGAAAACAGAAACAAGAAATTTGGAACTTTATAGCACAGTTTCCCTGTAAATATTTATAGACGGTACGTTAAGTATATTTGAATCTTTCATGACGCACTTGCTGATGTATTAGCTTGATTAGCCAATCACATTACTGCTTTCTGCCGCTTTCGCCCTGTTCGGGTCTTCGCCAGAAACTTTCTTGCTTGGTGCTCCTCGTGCCTTACAAGTTTGGACCCACAATGTCTGCAGTAGAGTTAGAGCTAAACATTGGCTTCAGTACCCCCGGGATTTGAAACGGCGCCAGCACAAGCATATGCAGCACAAACGATCTGTTCCCTTTCCCAGAACATCAGGTTCTCTCAATGCTACCAGTACTACTCTATCTCTAGCTAGCTAGCTAAGTGTTTGCCATCATGAACTGGACGAAGAAGATCATCTTGATGTCCCTGGCAATGTTCGGGTCTCTCTGTGCTCGATCTGTTCAAAATCGCATTGAAAAGGGCGTCGTTCTGCAAGACTCTATTCCTCTTTATCGATTCGATGCCAAAGCCAAGGCGACCGTAACGTATGTGTCCATTCTCAAGAACTCATCGCCCACACATATGGATCTCAAGGCGGCGGCATTGTTGAAAATAGTTCGACGACACCACGGACAAGTGGGGTATTTGGGGAAGTGTTTTGCAGTTGCCATTGAATCCAAACAGTTTGAATCCGCCGACTGCGATTTGGTCGTTGTGACTTACTGGAAACGACCCCATCCGCTCATGTCGCCCTCCTTTGGATTTTCCAATTTTCGATCCGAACTCGACCAACAAAAGACTTGGACCGTACATCAGGCGCAAAAAATGGTCAACAGTGGACACTCCGTACAAGCCGTACTCATGGCCATGGTGGTTCATGGATTTTTGCCCTTTTTCATGAACATTTACGCGGCCGTCACGGGGTTCGAATACACATTTGAGCCCATGTCACCAGTGCCAATAATGGATACCGATAGTGTCAGGAGAAGCACAGAAGAAATCACAAAAGCAAACGACAACAGCCAAGAAATTGCAGAAAACGACAACAACGAAACAGACAATGATGAAAATAAGAATGAAAATGACACCACAGAGGAAGACAAACACGACAAAAGCATCAATAAACAAGAAGAGGATGAACAAGAATGCGTGGTAGATCCACAAGCTGCCAAGATGCAAAAAGTGGCCAAACTTATGCTAAGCAACGATGAAAAGGAGCCCGAAGATGAACCAGCCTATGTTTGGAACTTTGTGCAAAAGGGAACCATGAGCCCCGAGGATGAAGAAAAAGATCGCAAGTACAGCCACAAATTTCTACAGATGATCACCTATCATGATGGAGGGCCCATGCACACGGCGCCGTTGGAACCGGCCGATTCCTCCAAGGATGGGTCCTATGCCATGCTGGCGGCAGTCTACTATCCCAGTCGAGCATTCTTCAGCAAGCTCATCAATTCGTCATGGATGTATGAAGCAATACAAGACAAGCGACCGGGAGATGATAGTTACTGTGTCGTCACAGTGCCAATGAGACAAGACAAACTCTGGATGCAACTAGCAAAGAATTAGCCATCATCTAGCTAGTGTGATGGTGAAGTAACAACTATTGAGGGAAACAAAGTGGCATCTCGACAACCAGTTCATCACCACTCGGTCCGTCCATCGCACACAAAACAAGACGATTTTGAACTTTTAGTAATAGCTAGTACGTAAAAGGAATTTGCAATCGTACCGGTACAGGTACCACTGCTGATCAGCCTCGTCAGCTTTAATAAGCTGCGGTGCGCACATCCATTGTCTTTTTTTCTTCATAGCTACGATTGACGCAATTTTGCAATCCTCCAACGTGGGCGGCAAGCAGAAGGTTACCAGTATGGTGCGAACCAGCAAAGCCATCGCTTACGAGAATCGAATCATTCAACCGAGGCATTTCGTTTTGTGCGATTCCATTCCTCCTTGGCTGGTTGGTTGTCTCCTTAGTTTTACCACCACCTCGTTGCTTAGCTAGCTAGCTCGATAGATAGATTCGTAAGTGTACGATCAACTGGACACAGCCACTTGTTCTTCTTGACAGTGAAACAGTAGACGGGTGAGAGGGGGGCGATTGTCTGGCTAGCTAGTCAGCTATTGCCCGTTCTTGGACTGGACTCGACTCCACTCGAATACGCAACACACACCGTTGGCAGCAAAGATCTAAACGCAAGCAAAGCCCACGAACCTTGCAGACAGCCAGCGCGCCTCCGCAAAGAACAACTACCGCAAAGATGGCTTCTGCCAATCACACAAACAGCGCCACAGCACTTCAAAACAAGATTACGTCATTGTCTTTAGTACTACCTGAGGATTTCCATGTTGTGCGGGGCAGTTCCGTATTTCAAGGGGGCGGGGAAAATACATCTTGGAAGAAGAGTGTGCAAGCTGCGGAGTAACTTCTAGAGAAGACTTCGAATGAGAGAACAATACGGTCAGTGTCAATACCGGCAGCTAGCAGCTAATAGCGGTCTTATTGAGAAGAGGAGGATGCATGTATTACCTCGTAATTTGCGTACTCTGTACTGGCTGAGTAGAGCCATTCAGGAGCCTTCAACGGAAGGCCCAGCATACCGGTACCTGATAGAGAACGTGCCTGCCAGACTGAAGACCTGCCTCCGACTGTCACTCGAAACCAATCTAGCTACCGGTACCTTTTGAAGCCAGCAATGAAGTTTAATATCACCTTTATAAAATGTCATACGATATGATCATCCTTGGCTGCTTCTCCCTGTACACTCGTACATTTCCCCCGCATCTTGAATCATATCTTCGATTCACTCATTCCGCATGCAGCCATGCCACTGCGGTTCGCATGGAACCGGTACACTGGTGGTACTGGTACCCTGAACTTTGCCGGGTCTCGCTACCTGTCCCATGCTACCATACAATAACATGCCTCATCTGCATCATTTGCATTTTTGATATTTGCTCCAACCCCCTGCTACTCCGCAGCACAAATGGGGAAGTTCTCATTTACTACTTAGTTTTAAGCAAAACGGGCAACCTAACATCACCTAGTAGCATAAAGATCAGTCAGCCTTTACGCCTTGGCATTAAGGCAAATTGCAGTATCTATACCCTTACATTTAGAAATATTTGGTGCAAAATTGACCCCTTCTAGTAAACACCCAATATGACACTATCAACTACACTATCTCAACAAAGTAAGACAATGTCATTCAAAACAACATCATTGCTGACGAATACCATTCAACAACTAGGTCAATTGGTTGGATATTGACTGAGATCTGGTAACCAGCAGTTGGTGGCTTTTTGATCACAAAATCATCTTTCAGTCATGCTCCTAGGAACATTCAGGTGGAATTCCTCATTTGTTTCCAAAGTGATCCAGAGGTTTTCCCCATTTTTGCGGCTTTCCTCATTTTGGCTGGTTTCCACTCTTGCCCGGCCAGTCTCGCCTTAAGTGCCATCTCGCCTCTAAACCAGCACCTCCAGGTAAAACAGAGGTAATTGAAAAAACTCTTTTTGGAAAAAAGAAAATCACTCTTTTAAGTTGAGTCCCACTCAGACAGCTGTCTTAAAGCATAAGACAATAACTCTGTCTTAAGACGGCCGTCTTAAACTTAAGACGATGACCGTCTTAAAGAAGTCATTGTCTTATGCTTAAGACGATGTCTTTTTTGTGTCAGGAGGATGGAGTAGTTTTATAATTTAATGACTAAACAATCTCCACATCCCCCTGAATGTTTCAGACGCCGTCTTATGTATAAGACAATGACCATCTTTTAAGACAATGACTGTCTTATGTTTAAGACGGTCTTATACTCTATAAGACAGCTGTCTTAAGACAGAGTCATCGTCTGATACTTTAAGACAGCTGGTTATCTTGTAAATTTTAACAAAACTGTTTATAGCTTTTTTCCAAGAATCAATCTTTTTACCCCAAGGTGCAGAGGAGACGTGTTCCTGTATAGTACCGGTAGTGACCAACTGCCCCCGCAACAACGTCAGACACTGCAGGTGTCTTGGGCTGTCTCAATACCCTTTTTGAAACGAAAATGCGGACGCAAGAGGCAGCTTGGGAACCTATTCAGGATCTGGAGCACTGTGTTGGTGCAGCTCACGAAGACGTAGTCGGACATCATTCTGCTTTCTGCTGATTCGATTCGATTCTACGCCAAGCAGGGTTCTGAAGACTTGCTGGTGGACGCCACATCATTATTCTGCCTCAGCTTGTGTTTGTGAGGCTGGAGACCTTCAAATCAACCTCAATTTGCTGAATGTTGATTGATGATGGTCCGATAGCTTCATTTCGACGACTTTCTCATTTTATGAACCTTGAAAATCACGTGAGATCCCAATAACTTCCGGTTTCACTAAACAGCACCCCGACCATGTCTTATCCATACATCGAAGTAAACAACAGCGGCGTTTACCTTTTGCAACAGGGCAACTATGCCGCCGCCATGCCAGCATTCCTCCTGGCATTGGACGTATTCAAGCGACAGGTTGCTGTCTCTGCAATGGAGGAGTTTCACGGCGCCGCCATTGACTATCGGTGCAACTCTTCCTCTGCCGCACTCCCTCCACCTCCTGCCTCCCTTTACGACTGCCCATCTGATCAGTTTCCTCGCGATCACAGCTTCTTTCACAGTGTTTCCTTCAGAACAGACGAGCTCGATCGCAAGACGGCGACGGACCGTCTTCATTTCCACAGTCGAGCATTCGTTCTTTCAGAACGCTTGGAAAAGGATCCTACCGCCAAACACAGACGCGATGGTACCTCTGGAATGATCCTCTTCAATATCGGCGCAACTTTGCACGCACAAGCTATGCGCACGGGAGACAGTCAAGTCCTCCGTAAGGCACTTCTTGTCTACAAGTTGGCTCAGTCTTCCGCCGAGGAATGGGCGCTCTACAGCGGAGGGAAACGCAGCCTCCTGCTCATGTCTGTCGTGAACAACTTGGCACTTGCACACTGTCAGCTAATGCAAGTTGAGGAGTCTACGACCTCACTGCGACTGCTGCGGCAATTGGTGATTGAGACCGACGACCTGCAGCCTGATGATCGCAGCGCTATTGATTGGAATGTCGTGCTGCACTCAGAGAGTCGAATGGAGGAGTCGCCAGCTCCGGCTGCTTGATGGAAAAGGGGTCCATTGGTGACGACAACACTATGACACTACATGTAGTACTAGTTTATGCAAACTTCATAAGCTAAAGGCACGGGCACATTTCTCTTCTTTTATGCGTAGACTTCAATGAACTTGTACCGTACGGTACCGATTGGGACGTTGTTGTTGCAGGAGCAGACTGTACTGATATTCAAGTTGTATCATGATTGTTCAGTGAGACTTCCTGAAATCATGGTCATTCCAAAGGAGGCACAACAACCGCTTTCTCTCCAGGGCCCACTCCCGGACCCACAGCCGGAAATGCAACATGCCAACACCAAGACCTACTCCTTGACTTACTCCTGATCCAACTCCAGGCCCCACTCCTGGTCCGGCATCTCGATCTACACCTGGCCCTTCCGGCACTCCTGGACTCCCCGGTACTCGGAACTTTAGTTAGCACCATCTCCAGCTCGACAGCCTACCGGTACTTCTGGACCTATCCACAAAGTTATCGTTCCATGAGAAAGTTTGATGACCAAGCCTTGTCGAGGCCAGCACGACCGACAAGCCACAAGGCTCAAGTGGGTTGAGGCTTTTAATTATGGGATCGTCTCGGATTATGCCCACTCCTTGGGACGCCACGGAAGAAATGGCCAAGGATGTTTTCCCCAACATCAACGGTCTCTTGTTCATTGTAGGGAACAGTATCCTCCCCGTTGTTGTCGGACCTTGTGTGAATTGGCCATCCATCAACAAGGATTACAACAGCTTGCCGTTCGTCAGCACCATTGAAAGTCGGAACCCTCTGAAGTATCCCTGATATGGCGTTTAGGATCACCCTGAGAAATGCAGTTTTGAGTATACAACAGAATCAGGGACCAACACGCCGTTTGAGATCATCAACCACTCTGCCGATGCTGTTTACTTTTCGTTTCATTTGGCTTTGTTTTTTGTGAGCTTGGCACGGAAGAATCTTGTTTGGGCAAGCATGTCTAATCAAGCGGCTAACCGTTGCCCTTTGATTTATGACTACGAAGTTCGAAGTGGGCCCAAGTTCCAGCAGTATTATCGCATCCCAGCTGTTGAAAACAAGGATGCGAATGGAAGAGTCCGTTTTGTGGGCAGGGACTACTCGAGGAGGCTTGATGATTACAGTCGTACTTGGCAGATCATGTACTAGCTAGTATGCGGGCATCTACAAGACGGAATACCGTACTCAGACGAATACGGCTGAAACACTTTCAACATGTACTATTTGTTCGCCGCAAGTTTTGTTCTCGGGGCCAAACTACAATAGCTATTACCGCTACCATAGCAAGTAAAAAAACTTCCAAAATAGTCGCGGTTCCGTCCCCTCCTGAGGAGACCGTGGTGATTTTCCACGGCGTGTCAGGGTGAAGGCACGGACGAGAAAGATACGGTGTCAAGTTGAGGTGGGTGATGACATCGATTGGTTGGCGGTTGGCAGGTCTGTCGATCCTCATTCATTGTTGAAGGAAGCCACCCAAAAAACTACCGTAAAGGGAGTTGATAAGACGAAGAGATTGGAAGCAACATCAGCTCACACCCCCAAGCGGCAAATCTATCTCTCAACCCAGAAGAATTGAGAAGCCTAGTTAGGTTCTGGAAATTGAGCATACCATTGCTAGTATTTTGTTTCAATCCATCCTAGCATCCACTATGATGAGTTCTCTCTTGACAACAATTTGCATGTTCCTGCTGCTTCAGGTGTCCCACACCTTTGTGGTCAATCCACAAGCCTCGTCTTTCCTAGGATCAGCGAACAATTTGAAATCTTCAAGTTCCTCGACAGCTTCTACTCTGCTCTGTATGTCATACAAGAATGTGTTTGTGGCGGGAGGCTCGAAGGGTGTGGGTCGACTTGTGATTGACAAATTGTTGGCCACAGGCGCTCAAGTCAAGGCACTGGTCCGGAGTCCAGAAGTGGCAGAAGAGTTGAGTGCCATTGACGGTGTGACTGCCATTGTGGGCGATGCCTTTGAACAAAAGGCGGTTGAAAATGCCATGGATGGCTGCGATGCTGCCATTACCACGTTGGGAGGTTCCACCCAAGACAGGCGCGTGGATTATGAAGGCAACAACAACGTGATTGAATCGGCAGGAATACTGGGAGTCCAACGTGTGATTTTGGTGACTAGCGTTGGCTGTGGCGACAGCAAGGAGGCGGCTCCACCGAGTGTGTTTGAAGTTCTCAAGGATGTCTTGGCAGCCAAAGAACGAGCGGAAAATATCTTGATCAAGTACTATACCAACACCAACTGGACCATTATCCGGCCAGGAGGACTAGTGACAGAACCAATGACCGGGAAGGCTTGTTTGACAGAGAACAATCTTGTCATTGGCAGCATTCATCGTGAAGATGTGGCCGATCTGGTGGTCAAGGCTTTGAATTCCCCAAACACGGAGCGAAAAGTATTCAGTGCCTTGGATCCCTCTATTGTGAGTGCTCCCTCTGTTGTGAGCGGGGGCAAAACATTTGATGCTTTTGAACTTGTCGCTTGAAAAATAGTAAAGAGATACCTCGAAAATGGGCAATCTTTATTACCTATTTCCACCTATCTATCTATCTAGGTACAAAATTCCTGAAACGGTTCAGCCGATGGGAGATCAGGGATCAACCAAAGCAATTCCAAAGTACTAGTACCCAGTACTGATATTCTCAACTTGATATGGCATCATTCGTCTCCTAAATATGCATTGCAATCAACTACTTCTTCTTGTCTTCGTCTTCTCCTCCACTCTTGTCAGTTGCCAACTCTCCTTCCTCTGTTTGGTTGCTCGCTAATTTTTCCAACATGTCTTTTCCTACCAAATCCTCCACACTCATCTCCAATACGTTCTCGTCGTTGATAACGTTGACATTTTCACCCAACTTGGCCATAGCTTTTTCAATATCATAGCTCTCGCCTTCAAAAATGCCCAGTCGATCGGCAATAAGATGCAAATTTTGACAACCAGGACATCGGACCAGAACAACACCATTTTGATAGGAATGTTCAGAGAATTGCTTGATAGATCGTGTCTCGCAGACGTTGCAGGTATAGACAATGGCCAACTTTTTGCCCCCGGCTTGAGCGCCTGGAATTTGAAATTCATCAGAAACCTTGTCGTCGTCGTCGCTGGTATTTTCAGCCTGCTTATTCTTGGCATCATCTCCCCCAGCATTAGAAGAGGAAGACAATGCACGATAACGCGTCCATATTGCTCGTTGAGGGAGACAGCAATGTGGGTGTTGATGGTGGCAGCCAAATGATCGGTGCGCGTGCGTAGAAAATGCCAAAATTGAAGAACTCTTTCCTGGCTGCTTCGCCAAGCGAGAAATAGTATGAGTCTTTCTGCTAACAATACCCATTCTGGAGGACACACCTCTATTTGAAGGAATGGATCGGGCAGGGAAAGTTCGTGGTATCATCATGGTCGAGGAGTGACAAGTCAGAGAAAGGCGATTGATTCAACGAAGTGAACCCAAACAACCCCACACTATCAATTGAATCCCAATCTTGATCCGGTGCCGTAACAGCTCCCGCTGGCTTTCTTCTCACCTGCGTATCCAAACCCCAGTCGTCAGAAAGCTTCAACTCCCGCGCACCGTTGCGAGAAACGCTCTGGGCAAGAGTCGACTTCGGAAACGGAAACTGCCAGAAGGTTGTTGGAACCATGCTCCAATTATTTTGGAGAATTCGTGTAGCCTCTAGTAGTAATTCTACGACAGGTTGAAGTTTTCCTTGGGTTTGTGGCAAGTGATGTGTAAACGCTCACAATTTACCTACTTAGGCGTTACATGATGACTTGTAAATGGTCACATTTTACTTACTTAGGAATCACAGTTAGCTAGCTTAACGGCCGTTAAGTTACTTAGCGTGAAATTGTCACATGGTTCCAGAAGATACGCCCTTCCCCCTCCTGTGGCTCACTGCCGGGAGCTCGCCCGGCCGGCTTCGACTTAAATGTCAAGCCTAACGGCTTTCCATTTAAGTCTCATCCGGCCGGGCTCGCTCCCGTTCCAGTTCCCCACCAGTTGGTGGAAGGGCGTTCCTCTACAGAATGGCACTACCTGGTACCGAAACCAGTCAACAAGCCTACAACACCGTACGATGCATATGTCCACTCGTGTCAGGCTCTCTTTTGACTGATTTCGACGCTCCGCATCCGGCCTCCAGAAACGAGGCGTGACTCGAGCAGTTTCAAACGGCCACATTCGCTCCTTGCAAAATCTTTGACCAAACAAGCTCATAAATTCCAGGTCTACAATCCCGTCGTCTGATCAGAAAGAAAGCAGCCATCTTTTACTACAAGCCAAAGCCCGCCTTCACTCCTTTGGCGAGAGAACTGCCAACTTTTAACAAGACAACAAACATGCCACACCTAACTAACAAACAGATGAAAGCTCTGACAGATGAATTGATTTGCCCAATCACCTTGGAATTTCCATGGGATCCTGTCATGGCTGAGGATGGACATGTATATGATAGGGACGCTATTGAGCAGCACTTCCGCGACCATCGTGGGGATCTCAAGTCACCAATCAGCAACAAAAAGATGGGAAAGAACCTCTTGCCAGCAACCCAGCACCGCAACAGCATTGAAGCCTTGGTCGATTCTGGTGTCGTTGATCCAGCTTTGCCAGCCAAATGGAATGATATGGCAAAGCAGAAGATTGAACATGAAAAGTTGACGAAGAACTTGGTGAAGAAGGCAGAGAGTGGTGATTCAACTGCGATGTACCGACTTGGACTCAACTATGAACATGGTCGCGATGGTTTCAAGCAAGACCAGAAGTTGGCCTTTCAGTGGTACAAGAGAGCCCTGCCAAAAATGTGTTTGGAACAGCCGCATTAGGGCAGTGTTATTTGGTTGGTTTTGGTACATCCAAGAACGCGCATATGGGCATCATGTATGTTACTCTTGCAGCAGGTCAAGGATCAAATGTCGCAGCATATCATTTGGGGATGGCATTTGAAACTGGCATTTATGGCGTCGTGATTGCAAATAAAGCAGAGTCCATCTACTGGTTGGAGAAGGCCAGTGGGACCTGTCGCTACGATCATATGAGTGATCTCGCCCGACACGCGCTTAAGCAGAAGATCACGGAGATGAGAGCCCGCCAACAAAGGTGGACTCAGAATCGAGATTTTGGTGGTGTTGCTCTTTGATCCCGCTGCTTCAAAGGGGCTAGGACAGCCGTCACAGAAGGTGTGATGTCTGCGATGTACATGTAGGTGGATGATGCCCTTCCTTCTTGGTATCAGTAATTGGCTTGAGTACAGACCAATAACTATAATGAACTGCTTCATCTGCTATCTACTACCTAGTTTTTTAAATCTAATGCATGTATGCATAGTCTCGTAGCTCCACTGGTACCGTACCGGCACATGCTCGTGTTCATCAAGGCTTCCCCACGGTGAGCAAGATGCTCCACGAGACACAGTCCAAGTGCTCTGTGGAAGGTGCAAGGTATAGTGCAGCCACCCAACCAACCAGAACTCTGGCATATGATGCATATGCGTGCTGTCAAATGATTATGTCCCTGTACGGTAGTTGATCTACACTGTAGTCTTCCTCCTCGCTACTACTGAGGAAATCTTCCTCCTCGCCATTGCTGAGGAAATCCTCGTCCGGGTCTTCTTGGCCACCATTCTCAAGGATGTATTAATAGTCTAAAAATTGCGGTTCCCCTTGGCATGCACGGGCGCGAGGCAATTCTTGAGGGCCACCTTCGCGTCGTCACTCGACTCGCTTTGTGTGGGAAAGGAAAAGAAAAGAAAACAAAGACGATGACTGACGACAACAACCAAGAATTTCAAGCATGAGGACAACAACCACAGTATGAATAATAGCTGGTGGCTTTGTCCAACACACAGTATTTTAGCATGCTCACTTTTTGCTGCATTTGATACTTAGGCAAGAACGGATGACACACACCATTTGGTTGCTGCGCTCTAGCATTGCAGACAAACAGCATACCGAGCCCCATTCAATCGTGCTATTCAAGCACCTTCTCGACAAGACAACCCACTCGAAAAACGAGCTACCACCATTCTTTACCATGGCGAAAACACTCTTGATTCTGGGCGGATATGGAAACACAGGGAAGCTCATTGCCAACTTGCTCCTGGAGATACGCAAAGATACTTCCATTGTCCTTGCGGGACGCAACTTGGCTGAAGCCCAAAAAGAAACCGATCGACTCAACCAAGCCTTTGAAGGGCATCGTGTCTTCGCAAGGCAAGTGGATGCCTCTTCAGCGACAAGCTTGCAAGCCGCCTTGAGTGATGATGTCGATGTGCTGGTCGTAGCATCCAGTACAACGGCCTTGACCCAGCAGGTCATGCAAGCCGCAATTGATGTCAATGTTGACTACTACGATATTCAATACAGTGATTCGCATCGACTAGAAGTCTTGGAATCCCTCAAATCTGACATTGAATCGTCAGGAAAGACATTTGTCGTGGAAGGAGGCTTTCACCCGGGAGTTCCTGCCGCTCTTGTGCGCTATGCTGCGACACAGCTGGATCATGTAGTCGAGGCGGATGTGTATGGCAACATTTCAGAGAATTGGAAAGAAGTGCATGTACGCAAGGAAACTGAAGAAGAGTTCTTTGGTCAAATGACGGAAATGAAGAGCGATATCTACTCGAATGGAAAATGGGAGGCACAGGGCTGGCAAGTCGTCCGCGACTATGAGTTTGCAGAACCCTTTCACAAGCGAGCATGCGCCCCCATGTTTCTCAATGAATTACGCAGTCTCCCGACCCTTCTTCCCAGTCTGGAGCATGTCGGCTTTTGGATTACGGGCTTCGATCCAGTGTCGACGTTTGTCGCTTTGCCCCTATCCTTGGGTGTCAGCGCTCTTTTCCCCAAGACAATGACAAAGCCCATGGCCCGGTTTTTCACGTGGAGCTTGAAGACCTTTTCGAGACCGCCCTATGGAACTATGCTCGCTCTGGAAGCGCACGACGCACGCAAGGAAAAACAGCAGAACCCTTCCAAGCTGCACGTCACCATTGGGCATCAAGACAGCTACTTTCTGACGGCCGTGGCAGCTGTGGCTGGTCTTTTGCAATTGTTGGACGACGACACCAAGACCACGCCTGGATTGCATTGTCAGGCGCACTTTGTCGACCCAGAGCGCTTTGTATCTGATTTGGAGCGCTTAGGACTCAATGTCACAATCAAGAAGACAACCTAAGCTGTGACACGAAGAACAGTGTATTTATCTTCCAAGAGATAGACACAACAAGTAGGTGTAAACCGTAGACAACTAACTAAACGAAAGTATTATATTGAGGCTGTCGCCTGCTAGATTATTCCACATAGCAGAGCCATAGCAGTACCCAGATACATGTACTGGTACCTCGGTCCAGACATACGAAGATGCCCCATTGCAAGTGCTGAACGCTCTGCTGTCATGTTCCTCTTTGGACGAGTTTCCACTTTGCATGTCGACCGTGTGGTTCAGGTATGCACGGCGAGGAAACTGCGCAAGCGCGCCGCAAGATCCAATCGAATTGCATGCGAAGGGCGAAAGATCGGCCATGGTCGCCCTCATTGATACATGCTGTTGTTGCGGAGACTGTAGACAACGAAACTAACTAACTAGCTAGCGAGACAGAGAATACAAGACAGCAAGTACACATAATGACAAGCAATAGCGGCATTCTGAGTTCCTTGACGGCGACTCTGGGCCCCGAAGTGGTGTCCAAGATTGAATCCTCCAAGATTTTATTAGTGGGGAGCGGCGGCATTGGGTGTGAATTGATCAAGAATTTGACGTTGACCGGCTTTCGCCATGTGGAGACAATTGACATGGATACCATTGATGTGTCGAATTTGAATCGTCAGCTGTTGTTTCGCAGTCAACACGTCGGCAAGTCGAAATGCGAAGTGGCTTGTCAAGTGGCCGTGGAAATGCTGGGCACTACAACGACGGGTGCTGATGAAGAGAACAAGCAGCCCATTGTGTACCAGGCGCATCATGGCAATGTCTGTGACAATACGAAATTCAATGTGCACTTTGTCAAGAAATTCGATCTCGTCTTGAACGCGCTCGACAATGTAACGGCGCGTCGACGCGTCAATCGACTCTGCTTGGCGGCCAGTGTGCCTCTGGTAGAAGCGGGCACGACGGGCTATTTGGGACAAGTCAATGTCATGGACAAGGCCAGTGGCGTCGCTTGTTACGAGTGTATCACGCAAGAAACACAAAAGGTTTATCCCATTTGTACCATTCGATCCACTCCCAGCATGCCCGTACACACCATTGTGTGGGCCAAGGAACTCTACAAATTGCTCTTTGCCGATAAATTGGACGAGTCCATGCTCTACGAAGATCCACAAGGAGAAGAACCATCCACCTACATGAAATCTGTCGACGAGTTGCGGACAATTCTCAAAGACAAGGCAAAATCCAAAGACTATGTCGTGGAAGCGGCCACGGCCTTGATCAAGGCACTCTACGTCGCAGAAATTCAAAAACAACTCGATATGGGGCGCTATGCCGGAGCCAAGAAAACACCCGCCATTCTCGGTGACGACATTATTACCAACGGCGCGGCCAAAGACCAAACAGCTCCCTCGCAAACCAAAGCCACCGATCAATTGTGGACCCCCACCGAATGTGTCACGGAAGTCGTGGCGTGTCTCTTGGAGGCGCATGCCGCCGAACCCGACACTCTCCTCCAGGCATTCGATAAAGACGATGATTTGGCCATGAGATTCGTAGCCAGTGCTTCCAATTTGCGCAGTCATGTCTTTCAAATTACACCACTCCAATCACTCTACAGTGCCAAGGGAATTGCCGGCAATATTATCCCCGCCATTGCAACTACCAATGCCGTTGTGGCTGGATTGCAAATGATTCAAGTCATCAACATTCTCAAGGCAAAAATGGAAAAAAAGGAAGGCGGTAATCTCATGGAACACTGTCGATACATTAATTGTATTCGACAATGCACTCGCAATGGTCTCTTTCTAATACCTTGCAAGTTGCAACCCCCCAATCCCAAATGCTTTGTTTGTCGGGATGCCACCCTCCAACTTGCCATTAATGTGAACAATTGGACATTGCAAACATTTCTCCAGCGCATTGTCAAAAAGGAACTGGGATTTGAAGAACCCACGCTCTTGTTGGAAGACGATTACATTTGGGAAGAAGGAGAGGATGCCGATTCTCAGGCCTATAAAGTCAATCTGCCCAAGGTTCTTTCCAAATTGCCCTGTGGAGGGATGCAGCATGGAACCGTCTTGAAGATTGAAGACTTTTCGCAAGATTTGCAAGTCAACGTGGCCATTGCGCATCAAGATGTCTGGGAAGGCGAACAGTACGATAACCCCGAGCAACAATTCCACATTGGGGGAGATGTCCCCGTGGCCGATTCCAAACCCGCTGCCAAACCAGCCCCGGCGGCTGCCAAAAAGGAAGAAGACAAAAAGGAGAAGGTTGTCGATGACGACAGTGACATTGAATGCTGGGATGGAGGCAATGACGGTGACTCCAAGCCAGCTGCTAAGAAACGACCGTCGGAGAACAAGAATGGTGATGATGAACCGAAGAAGAAGAAGGCAAAAACTGCGGATGATGATGATGATGTGGAGGTTATCGAAATTGACTAGATCAACTCCCGGGGCAAGGGGCTTGCAAGGAACACAAAACAGAATGACAGGAGCACACATGTATCTGTGCTCCTGACTACAAGTGACGGTAGTAGGCTCTAACAACTATAACCAGGGGATGTTGTTACAGAATCTTACATGCTTTGCAAAGTACAAAATGTTAGGCAATTCATCCGGCAATTATGTTCTTTTTCGACAAAAAGGAATGGGCTCGAATGGGGAGTGCCTTTCCAGCATTGTCTCTATCGGCTGGGGATTCTCTGCCAGAAAATGTTCAAGGTATCATCCTCCTCCTCATCGTCAAGCCCCAACAATACGGCCATGTCTGACAAATCCACATAAAAGGCTTCACTTTCATCGTCGCGAAGGTCATCCTTGCTTTCCTTCTCCTCCTGTACAATGCCTAATGCAGGATCACCTTGCGCGTATTGGTGGCGGTCAAGTGGTGTGTACAGTGCTCGTTTGCTGGTCGGCTTGAAAGCAAAGGCTGAATTCAGATTGGGGCGATCATAGCGGGACGTCGAAGGAATCCGCTTGGGTGGTTTGATCTTGACTGTCTTGATGGGTCGAAGGCTCTCTTTCTCTTTGGCCTCGTTGCTTCGTTCCTTCCTTCTCTTATGCAAGGCGGATTTCACTCCATTTGTCACAACACTCATATCCACCAACGGTGGTGGTTTGCCACTGGCCGACCGCTTGGTGTTCCATTCCCGAGCCACCTTGATATCTTTGGCCCAAAACGCACCCTTGCTCTCCGTTGGTGCCACTTCTTTAAAGTGAAACATGAGAATCCCGGCAGCCCAAATACAAACGATATTGACCACTGTCAATGTAAAGGAGATGGCTCCAATCTGGGCAAAGTCGCCAGCCGTATAATCATTATCCACCGTGACAACATCAAAAGCGAGCAGAATCGAGTGCATGAAACAGATTCCAGCATTGACTGCTGGGGGCAACAAGGACGCCGAAATGGCAACCCCGACCAGACTGGATGTGTTGCCTCCTAAAATCGACAAGCAGACACCTGCACCTGAAGGAATGGCAACTGCCACACCCGTCAACAACCCAATCACATCACCTCTCGATTCCATTTCACTTGTGGGCCAATTTTCACGAGCGTCCTTCGTAAAACCTGCCAAAATGCCAATCAGCAATCCAATCAGTACACAAACCATCAAGGCCATTGATTCATTGAAAAGGCTTCCAGTGACCAGGGGCCAATCTCTGACTCGACTGCCAAAGGTTAGACCCAGCACTGTCGTTGGAGAAGAGGGAATGTTAGAAATGAATTATGTATTGCGCAGCGGAAACGCCAAAGTGCCGCAATGGACTGACTCACCGGGACCCATGATTGGCGACACCAACATGGATGCCACAATGACAACGGTATTGTCGGTGATAAGTCCAATACCGGCCAGGATGCCTGCAATGGTCAAGAGAGCGATGAAATCAAAACTCAGAGCCGCTCCATTTTGTATCTGCTCTCTAACTTGTTCGATCCTGAGGCGGGTTGCTGCATTCTTCCATTCAGCCTTGGCTTCGGCAATCAGCCGTTCCGCCCGCATCTTTTCCGCATCGGCATCCAGCGCAACACTGCCGAGCACGGAAATAGAGGCGCCCTTGGTGGCGACACTCAGGGCACCATCGCTGGCGTCCGGAGGCAGAGTCTCGTCCTGCTTGGAAGACGACTCTCCGGTTGTTTCTGTGGACGACGCTCCTGCTGTCATGTTCGATTCATTGTTGGGTATCATGAGATACGGAGAAGCCGTCCTGCAAAGTTCTGCCTTGTAGACAGAAACAGTTCCGACGTTTGTTCCAACTCCAATATGTTCCAGACGAGCCAAGATAATTCCCAAAGAGGCTGGACGAGCCATTACTTCCACACGAATCCATGATGTGGGATCTCCGTTTTGCCGAATTTCTCGAATAATCGATCCACGTCGTTTGAAAGGAGCAATTTCATCTCGATTGACATTCTTATCCTGGACGTGATTATAGGTTGGGAGGTTTAAAAAGTGATACTCTGCCAACAACTTTTGGAACTGAATACGAAGCAGCTCCTCGATGTGAACCTCTCGCTTTCTTGGATCTCTGTGGTCATTCTTGACGGCTGCAGCTTGTTCTGGGGTGATTTCTTGGCTTTCTGTGGAATCTACCTGAACAATGTCCCTCATGGGCATAGCTTCTTCATCCTGTGGTTCCACACCCGATAAGAGACTTATAGCGGTGAGGACACTGTCGATACTTCGAGTGCTTCGATGTGTCCTGGTACTTGCATTGCTACCCTTTTTGGATGGTGGATTATCACCGTTGGCTGACAATTTAGAAGATATACTCAAGGAAGCGATCATGCTGTCCACACTATGAGTGATTCGGTGTTTTTTCTTGCTGCTTCTGCTGCTGCTGCTGCTAGATTTTTTCTCGGCAAACGTAGTGGTTGTGTCATTGAGAGGTACGAGGGCTGTGGTGGTTGTGACACTTGTGGGCCCGGATGGCTGTTCCGAGTTTCTGATTGTACCTCGTAGCAGAGGATGATCCTTGTCTGCCGCCGATCCTGGGGGAGTGCTAGCAGAGTCATTTGCTGCTTTATCACTCTTGGGCTCTTCTATATCATTCTCATCATTATCGTTTCCTTCTATCTTGTCCAATTCTTCCGATTCTACGTCGTCTTCTTCTTGGGTAATGGTAAAATAACACGGAGCCACAACCGAGACCAAGAGAGCTTTGGTCGTTGTTGTAGGACCATCGTCTTCTGCAAAGGACTCACTGGGAAGAGATCCCAAGCGACGGTGCTTGGGGACAACTGATGCACTCATGTTGTTTGGGATGAACGACACCTCTCACGTTCCGGGAGATAGCAGTGGGAATTTTTGGAGGCGACAGCAGCAATGAGAGGGAAGTACGTCTTGATTTTTTGATTCGCGTTTCGCGGAACATTGGATGCACAGTAACTGCTTCCAACGGTCAATACTGTGCCGTGAAAAAGCGGCACGACACGGTTTTGGGCGATGGAAGTTACCGGATTGGGTGGATCGAGCTTTCTTTTGTCCTGCTATGCTGTCTAGCTAGCTAGCTGTAGCTAGAGCCACAGGCTGCTGCTGCTAGCTAGCACTATCTAGAAATCCCCCAGCACCTGCCCAAGCCTTTTGGTAACGGTATGTACTAGTACCATTCTAAAAGCAATAATAAGCATACTTGATGTGCAAGTATTAGTACATGTATGGTGCAGTCGTCTTGCTGGCTGGTCTTGGCCTCGTCAGAAGCTACAAGAAGGCACCCCTGAACGGTGACCATAGATACTAATAGTGCATGAATGCATCAGTTCCAGGTACGATACGGTGGATGCAGAGTCAGAAAGCCGGCTTGGCTTTGCTAGACTACTCTTTGTTTCCGAAATAAGGTTCACCAATGGCTCTTACAGAATATACCGGTAGAGCAAACACTGACAGGAAGCCGAATAAGCCACAACGTTGCATTGAGCACGCGCATGGTTTCAAGACAGTTTTGTCTTTGCCTGGGAAGACACATGGGTGGCAACACAAACCTGCGTCTAAGAATGATACAAGTAGATTTATTCTTTCTTATCGAGTTGGAAAATTGTTGGGCGTTCCAACCGATTCGATTCGCTGGAGGAGAAAATGTCTTTTGGGAGGCATTGATGGGCGTTTTGGTTCGTGTCGACGGCCTCCTGATGCATCCTCGTTGCTGTGCCGTAGCACTGACTGCCATTCTGATCACCTGGCATTGTCTCACTTGATTTGAATGATAGATTCTGAACAAAATCGTGTATTGTTACAATGTTGATTCGATTCGGCTGGTTGCTTTTCTTCATAGATCTGAGTGCCAGGGTAATACGTAGAAGAACATGAGGCACCAATGGGAGAAAGCTCCAGCAATGACAGCACAGTGCCATATTTCGTGAAATCCAAACGTTTTGGATATGGATTTGGTTGTTCTGTTGTGTACACGAAACCCCCAACCGTGTAGAAAACACCACCAATAAAGAAAAGTCCGAATCCAGACCAATGTAGTACTTGCAGCAACCAAAATGTCATGCAAGCTCCCATCCAGCCCAGTGTAATGTACATGGTCATCGACCACCATTTGGGTATCTGCACAAAAAAGACGGATGTCATGACCATGCCCATGATGGAAAGTCCCCAAACCACCATGGAGAACGTCCAGCCAATACTGGAATCGTGATAATATACCAGACACAGCGGCGTGAACGTCCCCGCAATTAATGGGTAAATTGCCACGTAATCCAAGGTCCGAAGACACAGCTCCACTCGGGGTGTCCCAATGATGGAATGGTGGAGAGTGGAGCACAGAAACAAAAAGATCAAACTGGCTCCGTAGAGGGAAAAACTGACAATTTTCCAAGGATTTCCCTGCTCCGAAGCTTGGGTGATTAATAGCACCGTCCCCAGAATGCTCAACAGGGTGGCGCTTAGATGAGACGCTGCATTGAAAACTTCATCGGTTGCGTGGATACTGCCATCCCGAGATCGAGCAGGGACGGTACCAAAGTCGGCAACACGCCATGTGTAGGAAGCCCTGTCCTCTCGCACGATATCACTCTGCGTTTGGGTGATGATGGAACTCTTGTTCTTCTCGTCGGGATGAAGTTGTTGTTGTTGCGGCGAGGACGATTGATAGGATCCTTCCAACAGGGAAGACTGCGCATTAGAATTTGGCATTCTGCTACCGGTACTAGTACTTATTATACATGCACTTAGTTTCTATAATAGCAATGTAATCAGTGTCTGTCAAGACTTCACTTGATTGACTCGACTCGACTCGGTTGTGGTGTGTGATGAGAGCCCAAAGAAAATTCGAGAAAATTCAGAATTGCAAGTCACAATTAATTGTGGATGCACCGGTTTAAAATAACGCAACAAAATGTCGCCCAGCTCTACCGGTACCGGTACCGGTAGCGTCAACTGGTCCTGCCTACCTCATGATACGACAGTACCAGTACGAGTACACGTTTCCGCTGGAGTGGCCGGCAACGGGAGTTGTCTATGGCTTAATAATAAACAAACGCCTATTGGTCAGTTTACCTTGTCGCCGTGGACGACCTGAGGTGCGTTCCTAACCAAACTCCATGTGTGTCCTCCGTGCATACGCGAAACACATTTATTTTCATCGATTTATTTAGGCGTACGGATCAAGATTTCATTCCTATCCATGTGACACACATACGCGGTACGCAAAAGAAACACCACCGCAAATCCCCAACTCTAACGAAAATCACCGAATGATTCGATTCGATTCGATTCGATTCAGTAATTCGAATCGAATCATCGAATCGAATCAGCCGGGATAAACAGCATCGTTCGATCGAAGCTACTAGCTAGCTAGTAGTAAGACCGTACTAGTACGGTAGCTTGGATCGCTGTTATCTCTACCATACGTTCATTAGAGTTGGGGATTTGTGACCGTGACTGAGTTCGGCTGGCTCTAACGTTTTGATTGGTCCTACGCGAATTCTTTTTTCTCATTAATTTTGGTACGGCGAATTGAGAATGCAAAATTGCAGATACGCCGTACCAAAATTAATGAGAAAAAAGAGGGAAAGCCAGCCGACTTTAACAGTTATCTTGATTTCGCGTATGCACGGAGGAATAAAGAGGTCAAAATGACTGGTTAGGAACGATCCTGAGACCGAGGATACAAAGTTCTGAATATTTTCTTTTTGGTTGACACCGGTTCGCCGTGCTCCTATTTGTGCCTCGAGGCCATGACGGCTCTTATTGGCAACCCCATTATTTGTGCCGTGCCAGGAAGTCCCCCGATTGGCGATCGTGGAAGTCGCAAAAGCCGTTAAAGTCGCGCAAGTCGTGCAAGTCGCGATTTAAGTCGTTCCAAGTCGCGCAAAGTCGCATCAAGTCGCGCAAGTCGCGATTAAAGTGGTTCCAAGTCGCGATTTTTCTCTAGTAAAAAGCAAGTAAAGTCGCACCAAGTCGCCCTAGTCGCGAAAGTCGTGCTTCAAGTCGCGATTTAAGGCTTCAAGTCGCGATTTAAAATCGCGACTTAGAAACCGCGACTAGCGCGACTTGGCTTTCTAGTCGCGAAAGTGATGTCATCGGGGGACTTCCGGAGCAACTAAAGTGTGGTTGTACAGGACGAATTATTCCGAATGCCGTTTCATATGTCGCCATTAGGAACCAAAGAAGTACCAGGGAAATTCTGTAGAGTAAATGTGCTTGGCATGGACTTTCTACAGCTTGCCCGCTTGTGTATGACAGTGAACACTCCTCCAATCCAGCTTTTCCGGCTTTTCAAGAGCGACGACCGGAGTATGTACCAAGATTATCCAGACGAGGATCTAGATGGAATTTAGCGCTCACCTGTGGATGTATCCCAATGTATGTCTCAAAGTTCGGCCTCCTCAGCCTTTGAAACGGCAGCTTCTGGCGATTGGCTTTGTCTGCATCGCGTTTGGTTGAGTTGTTGAGTCAGACGACTTCACAACATCACAACCATTCTTCCTCGTTGCTGAAATCTTTAAGGTTCACCTTGGGGGTTGAAGTTTAACGGCGTGAAGTTTCCTGTCGTTTGCGCAGGGCAGAGTTGAACGCGGGACGACTTGGTTTAATTCCATTAGTTTTTAAACTTACTTGTCGAAATGCTTGTCGAAATCTTCTTCTGCTACAGGTACTACTACTGTAGCTAGTTATTAGAGGTAGGTATCTCTATATTGTTATCACATGACTGATCCGCACTGTTTGGTTGTTTCCTTGCAGGAGTCGCACTGACAGATAGGAATGCCCGTGAGACCCAACAGCAGTTCCATGTTCCTTGATCACACGAGCGCACTTTTTCTCAGGAAAAATATCCCACGTTGAGCGGTCCAGTATTTTCCCATTAAAGTCCACCTCCACATTTGGATTGTCCAAGAATTGAGGTTTGGCTACATCCTTGCCACAGCAGAAACAAATGATCACCATGCCCACTTCCATTTTGGGGAGTTTGAACACCATGCGACCGTTTTCGGGGGACTTGGCTTCTACTGCAGCGCAATGGTCTGGAAATTGACACATTTCGGGTTTGTCAACGTATAGGGAAGCTTCTAATCGATTCACCATGTGCCATCGGTCGCCCATTCCTTCTTGATACTCCTTCCAATCTTGGTTTTCTCCCTTAAACGGGTTCAAGTCGTCGTTGGGTTTTGCAATGCTAGCCCCCCAAAAACCATAGGTGGGAATTTCTAGATTGAGACATTTCGGTGCCTGATCCACTTTGCAATATCGAGGGTCACAAAACAGGGGATCTTTCATTTGTTGTCCCATAATGATGGGTCGATCTCTCCACCAAGCGGCCTCGGCTACAGTGTGGTTTCTGGGCACAATGGGCTTGGTTTTGGATTTGGCAAACTTTTTCGTGGCCATGACTGCTTCGATTCGGTCGAGCGCAGCCAGCATGGCGGTCGTATAACTATAGGCCAATGCATCCGAAATGTATTGAAAGCCAAGGGGCCCGGGGTGCCAATTTCGCAAAATGACGCCCAAGGATTCTCTCCGTTCCGCATTGGTTTCGTTGAGACCGTATCTCGTGGTATTATGAAGTCCATCTCCCGAGTGCTGTCCCTCAAAGATGGGGTCCCCTCTCTTCCATTGATATTGACCTGAGGCTATCGCATACCGCATGCAAAAGGCATTGTATCCATACTCTTGATAGGCTTCGAACATTTCGTTCTCGTGCGGATTGCCGCCCTCTTGCTGCCCTAAGCAAGCTTCTTCGAAGAGGACATTGACGAGGTGAACTGGTGGGCTGTTAGGCAATAGTTGGGTCCATCGAACCAATTTCTCGCGTTCCTTTCGTCCGTCCATGTCATCTCCCACTTCAAAGTAGCTCCAACTATAGTGCACAATATCCGAGTCCGGGGAAACGTTTTGCTGGATGCACCAAACTTGGTTCTTGTGGGAGTCGCCACAACTTCCTCCCTGACCCGCATTTTGGATTTCGAGTTTCATACCGGCAGCCTCCCAAATTGGGGAGAAGGTTCTTTCTAATTGATGTTGATAGTTATCGTAGGCGCAGTTGTCGTGTCCAGCTGCCACCGAGCTGCCAATAACTCCAATCTTAAAGACGCTTTGATGGGGATTGAGCAAGGCCCGTGCCATGGTGTCGACCAGTTTCTCTTCCCTGGCAGTTCTCTTTCCGAAAAAAACCCACCCATTGGCCCAACCACCGGGTCCAATAAGGATCGATTGAGCACCTCCTTTGTGCTTGCTGTAATATTCCTCCAGTTCACTGAGAAGTTGTTGGCCTTTTCGGCGAATGGCCTGTACTTTTTGCATGTTCATGAAATAGTCGCCGTCGGTTTTGGTCGTCTTGTCGTCGCCCTTGGGTTTGGATTCGACATCTCCATCTAGCAGGTCCTGATGTTCTACCATACATGTCCATCGTCCCAAATGATAACACCCCACCATGACAGCCACAAAAAGGACTATATATCGGGTGAAGGATCGCTTGGATATTTGAATATTTTCATCCGAGCTGGCATTGGTAGGACTCGTCACTGGAGTCTGGGAAGGGGTAGCATCGGTCAGCGGCTTTAACTCAATCTCACTGGCATCACTTCTTAGGCCCTTCTTCTTGCTTCCATTGCGCTGTGAATGAAGCTTTAACATCTGCACCATGACTACCTGTATAACTACTAGTACTGCTGCACGTGGTTCTTCCGTCGATCATTGCCGCCAAAGCTTGCTAGTACTAGTACAGTAGAAAGGTTCGGTGCTTTTCCGCGAAACAAAATAAATGACATCGGAAACGCTGGCGTTGCGCGATGACCAGGCTGACCACACACAGCCGCTTTGCAGGCTTAATGTGCAGCTTCATCCCCATGAAGCGGAACCCCAGACGAAAATTGTCTTGCATCCACATAAGCATAGCACTTGGGTGGAGGTGCATCTCTCCCAAGTGGCCCAAGAAACCAGTGGGGTGGAGCCAGAGACATCCCTCCCCTCTCGCGATTGCATCCGTTATTCTTCCATTCCATCACTACACTTGGTAGCTAGTAGCTACGGGAAGAGCTGCGTACAATGGTGCCGTACCGAAACCGCTGGCGTAGCATTTCAACCTTGGGAATGCTCCACTCACGTAAGGTTGACCAAAGGCTGTAGACCTTGTCATTAATTTGCATATTAAAATGCTACCTTCCAGTACCCATTGTGAGACAACCGACACCTGTATAGTAACCGACACATATAGTATGCTATCCTACCAATGCACTGAAAAAGATAATCGTCCGGATGACAAGCCAAAAAGACTCCTACATGTAACAGTGGACTTAGCATTTTGCTAGTTTATTTGCTATTTACAGTAGTACGAGTTGCCCTTGATTATTAAACTGGTAGAGTGATCGCTTTACTTCCGTACTCATCTGGTGTGTTGCTGTCCTCGCATCTATAATATAAAAATTACACCAAGAATCCCAAGGTATCTCCATTGGTCTTGGCTTTCTTGACCAACCTTGTTCGCAAGTGGTAGGCTCCGACCCATTGGCAAAAGTCACCAATGTATTGACTGTGAAGAGAAATGGCTTTTCCACGGATCTTGTTGAGCTTGTCGTTTCCAAGCACAATCTTGGCACCGTAGACGGCGGGAGAGAACACACCAAACTTGGCCTGAGATCCCATTTCCAAACTCGACTTGTGAGTTCGTTGCGCTGGTCTAACAGCAGGAGCAGCCTTGGTGGACACGACAAACGAAGATCCACCGGTAGCACCGCCCATGGGACCCACAAAGGCACTAGTGGATGCAACCAAAAACACGGCAAGGAGACACAAACGAAGGAAGGATTTCATGGTGTTACTGTTGTTGGGTGAGATGAATAAAGATATTATGTCGACAGGAATGCTTTATCTTATTTGATCTAAGTGACGATGACTGTTGGCCGCAACACGCAAAGATGGATCACAAGCAACAAAGCAGAAGCATCATCGTGCTCACCACGAGACGAGAAAGGATTGCGTTGTTGCACCAACAGGTCGGGTCGAGCCAGACATACGTATGCGTCCGACTGAATGAATCATTGAGTCCCGGATTACCTCAGCACTTTGAGAATTCACGCAGATACTAGCTAGAGTATTGATCTTGAAAAATGAAAGCTAAATGTTTCTTCTCGAAGAGATCGACCTGCGCTCACATTTTTATTTACTAGTATGACGTGTCATTGTCATCTGCTCCCAAAGAAAAGCAACAGCTGCGAAGCTTCCTTTTTGGTTTCGTCGTCGACGTTGACTCAGCTGTGGTTCTTTTCGCAGCAGCCTCACTTATATTATAGTCTAATTACTTTTTGTTCTTCTAATAAACAAGAAAGATACCATGATCCGCCAATCCGTTGTTCTGATCGTCGCTTTGCTGGCCCAAGATGGAGCCGCCTTTGCTCCCATGGCCAAGCCATCGTCCGCTGTTGCGAGCAAGACACAACTGAACTTTGGGATTCCCTCTTTTCTTACACCCAAACAGGACGATGACGAAGAGGGTGACAAGATAGAGGCTCTTCCTAAGAAAGAATTGACTTTGGCCGGAGTGGTGCAGCTCATTACAGCAGGAGCTGGAGCTCCCTTTTTGGGAGACTTTCAGGGTGTCGACGAAGAAACTGGAAAATTCATGTTTTCTTTGGAAGCCAACAACTTGGTGGACGAGGACGGAAATTCCAAGCAAACTCAAATGCCTTACTTTGAGCAGGGATGGGTGGATCCTGAAGATGCCAAGAAGGCAGCAGAAGGATTCAAATTCCCTTGGCAAAAGTAAAGAAAACATGACAAATTTGACAAAAACTGGAATAGCCGAGAGATTAATGCCGAAAGTGCTGAAAGAAGGCTCTGGAGGAACTGAACGAATGAATCGAATCCTCAGTCAATCGAGCTGGACACGTACTAAAGCAGTTGACAATCTATTGTAAATAACCCTTTGATTGATCATTCAGAAGGCCCAATTTACGTGGTATACTGTTCGGTTGTTAGGAAGCTGTTTGTCGAGGCGGATAGATCAGCTTTGTGCGGGATCTACTTGTTTTGGAGAATCTTAGCCTACTTCTGCCACACCATACACGAGCAAGTGCTCTTCAAGACCATTATTTTCTGAAAGTGATCAGTCCTGTTCCCACAGGCAGGCTTGTTTGTCACCCTAACGAAGGGACTTTCGCTATTGGTTCGTGCCTTTGAGTGGAAAAGCCACAGGTTCCTTTTCTAGAGATTCATTCCTGTTCCGATTTGCCGCGACATGAGGGTCCACACAAAGTCACACAGTACAGTAAAGGTTATTGGGGCTGTCTGTCTCAGGATGGATGGAATGTTGTTTTCGGTGTTGATGTTGGTGTTGGGATCAACCAAAACCAATATGCCGCGACATGAGGGTCCACACAGAGTTTCATCCCACAGTAGACTACAGCAAAGGTTTGCATTGGGCTGTCAGTCTCAGGATGGACGGAATGTTGGTGGCGGTGTTGCCAAGGTTGGGGTTTGCGATTGCGGGAGTACTCTCACGTTAGGGTTGGAGTGAGTGACGCACGTCAAGAACAAGACTGATGTCTGAATCACGCTTGAAGTATCCAACGGAAGTTGCCGTTGCCAAATCAACACAAACCAACCAAACCGAGGGCAAAGGGCAACCTTGCTGTTGAGAGTCAACTGAAACGAACGTTTGTAACGTTAGGACAGTGCGCTAACCAACAGGTACGCACTTTGGCGTCAGGAGAGCGAAGACCACTGTTCCTTTTTGGGGACAGGTGGTATGAGAAGAATTGATTGGACACCACTCTTCAAAGACACTGCAAGAGGCAGATGCCTGCCAGTTTTTGCTGGGGTTCGCACATCCAATGATTTCGGAAGGGCCAATTTTTGCTTGGGTTCGCACATCCGATGATTTCGGAAGGGTAGCTTCCTTGATGTGATGGATCGGCATGTCCATGCATGCATGGGTCAGTATCGCTAGCTAGCTACATGTATTCTAAAGAGTACTAGTAGGTCGAGCATCTCGAGGACAAATCACTGCAATGTATGGCAATGCTGGCCTCTAAAGACCAAAGAGGTGCGGTACACAATACTATTGGCACATCTGTGGAAGTTATAGACTGAACATCACTTGTTTATAACAGAATTAATCTTTGAAACTTGAAGGGTCTCTTGCCTTGCAAATGTGGGTCTCCCCAAACACTTGCATTCCTTCTTGTTAGCTCGCTTTGGTTTGCTTTGGTACACAGGTATATTTAAAAAACGGATGTGGGGATCTTCGTTCCACCACTACAAGTCTGGAACTAAGCAAGATGGCTGCTTGCTTAAGTCACAATGAAGTAGCTGTCTCCTTCGGCTCCGTCCTTTCCGGCGTATTCGACCACATAAGGCTCGACATAAGCCGTCATGGGGAATTCCACAGTGGCAGTGTTGACCAGTCGGACAACATTACCAGTTCCAGGGGTCTCAATCACAGTGAAGAATGGGCGCTCCATACCGTCTTCTGTGTATACTTGGAATACTTGCTTGTTATTGTTGGGACCTTGCAACAATTCAACTCGTGCATTCAGGGGACGTCCATCCGTCATTAGCAGAACTTGGACACTGGCTACCTGGGGAGAAAACGGGTAGGTATGGATAGCACCTCCTTGAATAACCTTTGGAGAACTCCTTTCTGAAAGGTCACTGAAGACATCGCCAATAGAACCTTCCACATCAGGCATAACACAAGCTGAAAGAGGGAATTCCAGAGGACCAGTATTGCGAATAGCAATTGCATTTGGTCCACTGGGTGTCGCGATAACACAGCTGAAAGGACGCAGCATACCATCTTCAATGTAAACCTTCATTTTCTGAGGGGTATTATCAGGTCCTTGCCACAATTCGATGTCAGTATTCAGTGGACGGCCATCAGTCTTCAAAAATACCTGCACACGTTCCACGGAAGAGCTGGTTCCAGACCATGTTCGAAGGGAGCTACCTTGAACAGTTACCGGTGTTAACTTGCTGAAAACAGTCGAGGCCAGTTGGACATCAGCCGCTCGCTTGGCGGGATTTTCTCCGTCAGCTCTTCCTAGGGCTCCACTAGTGGCTGCTGGGACTGGCGGTGAGGACGCAAAGGCTGGACCTCCCATACCACTTGGAGAAGGGGAAGCCACACCTGGTCCAGGCGGGCCAGGTTGTGGTTGAAAGCTGTGTAGTTTGGTCACCAAAGGGTGCGCCGGCTTTACGATAAAGGCCGAAGCTCCCCAAGAGATGGTGGCAAGTGCCAAAAACTTGATGTGAATATTCATGATTGTCTGTTTTTCCAAGTAGATGTTGGGTAGCAAAAGGATAAGAGAGAAATAACACAAGCAATTCGCTTCAGTTAGTTGAGATTGACTTTGTCTTTTATTGGCTGTCCCTGCACCAAAACCGAAGATCCCGTGCAGTAGAAACAACGCCAAGTACGTGCGTACCTGATTTTATTGATAGCGACCTGTACGAGTATTGATGCTACTCGATTGCCTGACAACTGATAAAGGATTCTGTATAGGAGAAGAGGACAATGGGATTGTTGATGAGTATTGTGGTTTGCCGTTTTAATAACCTCGGAAACTCAAAGGCAAGATCTCGGCGCCAATCCAAACAATTCGTTTTGGGATCTTACCTTGGTATTTGTGTCTTTGAGCTGATGGCTTGGAAGGCAGCTTGCGATGCCCATCACTGACACCTTCGGGGGCAACCCCCTTCTACCACCGTGTACCACGACGTGCCCTCAACGTACTCGAGTAATAGAAAAATCGCTGAAAAACTGAGGGGGTATGATGCCCACTTACGTCATTCACCAGTTTCTTATTGGCCCAGCTGCAAGCTGCTACGCTTGACGAAAGATCTTTTTGATTGGCGGAACAGCTTCCGGACAGGTGTGCTACCTCAAGTTTGGCAGCTGCTCCATAAAAGGTTGAACGTAAAAGCAGCTGTGGATCAACCAAGAGCCCATCTCTTGGGCTTTTGGACGAGCAATGACAGAGCTTTCAGGTGGAACGTCCACGCCTTCCACTGTACCAGGTACCACTGGGTTGGCGAAATGCTGCACTTCAATTGATACTTTTTTTTATAAATATTAAAATGAACAAATGGGGCTTGAGAGTAGATAGTTTATCTACTGACGCCAGTCGGGGCCAGGCTTAAGCCAAGAAGAGTCGAAATTCAGGACAAGGTTCCATGGGATCAGGGGCGAGAAATTGATGGCCATTACGGGGGCCAAAGGGTTTGGCTTCGTGGGATCCACAGAGACATAAATGGGTAGCTTTCACAAGAGCAATAGAGATGCGGTAAAATAGATGTGCAATCTGAGAAAAATATGTAGAGAAACAAAAAGATACTAGTACTAGTCTAGCTAGTAGAGTGACTAAAGTCCATAGAGAGACCTCGTGTAGGTTTTAGGTACTCTTAGATTCTAAAGGACGGAACAGCACCGTATTGGCTCCCATAAAGGGCAGTGTGGCCTTTTGAATCGCGGGATCCTTGGCTTGCAAGTAAACTAGCAAGTCTTGATAGGTACTGACCATGGCACGTTCTAGTTGGTTGCTGGTTGTTGCTGTAGACTCGTCTTGAATCTTTCTGGTGGGCAATCGTCGGTGTGGGAACAATCGGCAATACACACAGCAGGGGACAATGACGAGGGGTATTCTTTGCTGAACGGCTACATCGACAATGGCATCAGTGGCTTCGTCCGGGTGCAACGCCACGATTGCTCGACAGTTTCGTACTGCGTCGTGTGTATTATCACAAACAGGAACCGTGGCATTGTCCGTATTGCGACGATTGCTATCCACCCCCGGCGGTGGAGTACCAAACCAAGCACGCAGGGATTGGAACGGCTTGATCGGTTGACAATAGTAGATGGGGTCTCCTCCTGGATTGATTATTGGATAGGGTGTGTTGTTGCTTGGTGATGATGGTCGTTGCTTTGCTGCTTGCCCCCGTTCTCCCAAAGCTCTTTTCCAGAGCTTGCGATCCCTCGACGGCAGTTTTCCAACAGCCTCTCTTGGATCCACCACCGTACTCTGAATTCCCAGCATACCCAATGCCATGGATACATGCCCTGATCCTCCCGCGACATCCAGCACCCCCGATCCCCCGTTGAGATATTCCAAGGCACGTTGTTTCAGCAGACCTGTCGCCTGGTCTGTAGTTGGAATGGAGTTGGCCCACGTAGATGGATTGCCAAGGTCGTGATTTTCGTGTTCGTCGGCATTATCATCATCATCGTTGTTGGTTGCCAGACTAGCCATGACCATGTGCAGCAAGAAATTGGCCACAAACTCTCCCTGTTTTCGTTTTTCGAGACCCCCCGCATGGTGTGCCATGCATCCATTTTGCTGCTGCTGTTGCTGTTGTTGGGTGGTATTTGGTGGTTTCTTTTTGACCTCTGTTTGTTTTTGATGATATAGTTTTTGCTGCCATGCTTGACATTTGGATATTCCCCAGAAAGTAGGTTTAATCAATCGTATCACGTTTTGAGCATCTGGAATGGAATGTACTGTCACCACGAAGCGAGGATCCCTCCAGTTGAATGCAGTTTCAGCTTCTTCTGTTTGGCTGTTGTTGGTGGTGGGAGCAGTAGTAGAGTTTTTTGTTTCTCTTGTGGTATGATCAAGTAGTTGATTGGTGCTTGTGGCGGCATCTCGATAGATCCCTCGTTGAATGTGTACCAGATCCCCATTTTTGCAGTACCGTCGAAGGTACGATCGTAGCTCCTTGACAACGTGAGCCGAACAGGTATGGTGGAATTGAATCCGGACCAAGACGTGATAATGATCGTCTTCTTCTTCGTCAATATTATTACTATCCACCAGCGGATCGTCGCCAACCACCACCACATTCATGGTGGTATAGAATCCTCGCACGCAACGACCCACCAATATTCCTGTGATACTGTCGGTATTGACATTAGTATCATCGACAGTGGTCTTGACAGTGACAGCCTCTTGATTATTGTCATCCTTCACCTCGGCACTTTCTGCCCCTGCTACCTCTTCCAAGACATTTTCGTTTATCTCGTCGTTGTCATTATCTTCTTCAGGCAAGCAGGCTAGCATCCTCTGGCTGCGTCTTAGCTGGATGACAGGTAGATGGCAGGCCAGGACCACGAGCAGCCACTCGAACAACTACCACTGCTGCTTGCCTGAAATCAACCTCAAGCAATACAGTAAGGTATGGATGGTGGGTGGTGGGAGGACGAAAGACGAGAGAGGTTTTACGCAGATCCATTCTCAGGGAGAAGAGGATCGTTTCGGGGAGAAGAGGCAAAGGTTTAAAAACGGAACACGCACCATTCCCATTTCCTTGCTTGACACCAAAGATACCTTTTTCTTACACCAATGAATCATTAGCTTGATGCCTTTCCGGTGACTCCAACGTTCTCATGAGGGACATTTTTGTTGAGCCAATACCGTAGCCCCTATTAGAACGAATAATCAAAGCGAGGTAGTCTACCGTATTCAAAGGGTGGGCTCGCTCTGCAGTCTGTTACTGTAGTTGAAGTCAGCTCCAACCTTCGAGTTCAGGTTGTATTGTCCGACGATGACAGAGTTGAAAGTGACCATGAGGACCCACAGGTGTTGGTCTCGTAAAGTGGTGACAGTGGCACTGATCATGATGGGTAGCCACCACTGTCATTTCTCAATGGCCTTTACGTCGACGTCGTCGTCGTCATCCACGACGAAAAGCCATTGGGGACGAGCAGTGCCATTCGCCGCCACCAAGAGTCGTATTGATCAAGAACACGACGACGACTATTCTCGCGGTCTCTCTCCTCGTCAAGAACGCGCGCAGATTCAAAAGGAACACATCCCTCTTTACGATGAAGGAAGCAAGTGGCCTCGTCGCTGTTGGAATCTTCTGACCAAACCCTTTCGACGTCATCATCAGAAACCAGGGACACTGATACTCATCAAGAGTGGAGAATCCAAGTGGAAAAAACGAGGAATCTTTACCGGATGGACCAATAGCAATAATCAGGTCACGCTCACGCCACAAGGAGAACAGGAATGTCGTCATGCCTCGCGCTTGTTGCTCGAAGCGGGATATTCCTGCGATCAGGTACATTGTTCCATGCTCAATCGAGCCATTCAATCCGTATGGATCATCAACAAGGAAACCGGATCCATTTTCCTGCCAGTGTACAAGTCGTGGCGTCTCAATGAACGCATGTATGGGTCCTTGCAGGGCATTTCCAAAAAGGCGGCGGGCCTCAAGTTTGGACAAGATGTTGTCCAGAGTTGGTAAGTTGTTTTGTTTTCTACTGCCATCTACCATACCGTTTGTGTGAAGAAAACGATGTTTTGTTTTACCATTCTTTCCTCATCCTTGCCATTATCATTATGATTGCCTTGTTCGCCAGGAGACGAAGTTTCAAGGCTCGGCCTCCTCCAATGTCCAAATCAGATCCTGACCACCCCATTCATGACAGACGATATGCCAATATTGACCCAGACCTCATACCATCCAGTGAATCCCTGCAGGATTGCATGAAACGACAAAAACCGCTCTGGGATTATCGCATTGCACCAGCACTCAAAGCAGGCTCCAATGTCATGGTACTGGCACATTCCAATTCACTACGAGGATTGGCAAAGATTATTGATGGCATTGATGATACCGTCATTGAGGATATCGCATTTCCACCGGGCATTCCCGTCGTATACAAATTCCAATTCGACGACAATAACTACAATAAACTCAAACCACTGGTACCACCCGAGGGGTCCTTGGTACAGGAGCATACCACGGGAGTCTTTTTGGAAAAACCAGGACTCCTCAAGGAAGCCCTCCTGCGACAGACCCAATGGCAAACATCCGTACCGGGAGCGGCCGATATTGAATTGGCACCCACCGTCAAGAGAATGAACAATATGGAGGAATCCTTGCTGCTCTTGAAAAAGGAACAGGAATTGGAACATTGGGCTGCAACACACCCCAATCACCAAACAGATTTTCTACACAATGTGCCATCGCCTTTTCATCATTCTCCACAAGAAAGCAATCCGAATCGTGGGATTTTGGAGGCGATCCATCGAACCATCCAACGCGTCCAGCCAACGGAGGAAAACACAAGCGAGGCCTACATTATTAATGGTGATAATGATCAGGGAGAATTTGAAGAGCCAATGCATACTAACACAAACAACAACAACATCAATGCGGCAGATGGCAATTCCATGACGGGTCCCCGCGTCGTTCCCAACATGGCTTACGGCATCGACATTGCTCCCGAGGATCCAGTGGTTGTGTTTGTTCGCCATGGAACGACACCACACAATGAACTGGGGCTCTTCACAGGATGGGAGGACCCGCCCTTGTCCGATCAGGGTGTGGACGATGCCAAACGAGCTGGCCAGTTGCTGAAACAACACGGCTTTGAATTTGATGTGGTCTACAGTTCCTGGCTGCAAAGAGCCATTGATACTGCCTTTTACATCCAAACAGAGCTGGACATGCAGTGGCTGCCCCTAGTCAAGAGCTGGAGGCTCAATGAACGCCATTATGGTAAACTCACGGGGCAAAGCAAGAAGATGGTTGCGAACACGTATGGCCAGGACCAGCTCAAGATATGGAGGCGCTCGTTTGATGTTCCACCGCCCAAAGCATCCTCGTACTCCTTTAGTTACCCTGGAAACGACTATCGGCGAATCAAATATGCCAAAGACATTCGCATCTCCCTTACCGAGACATTCTGCAGATCTATTGAAGCCAGACGTTTTGAGCTTCACCGGAAATGGCCCAAGGCGGAAAGTCTCAAGACGTGTATGAAACGCAGCATTCCGTTCTATACGCGTCGAATAGTCCCGGAAGCAGTCAAAAAGGGCAAACGAGTGCTGGTGACAAGCCACGAGAATGCCATTCGCGGCATCCTTATGCATCTTTGCGAGATACCACCGGAACACATGAATGATTTGCACCTGCCAAACGGGCTCCCTCTCATTTATAATGTGAGGAGGAAATGCATCAGTCTTCTGCACGATGGAACGGAAAAAGACCCCATGGAAGTTTATGATTTTGGATCGGCTGCTCAGTACCTGTTTCGCCCTTGTGAGATTACCGATGAAGATTTTGCCAGGATGGAGGAGCATGCGTCTGCTGTGGTGGAATCCATGGACGTGTTGTTACAAGCAAAGAAGACCGAAGCGCTTACCTGAGCGCGGCATGACGTGACGAGATTCCATTCTGTTACCAAGTCTTCCTGTGCCGTTGACCAATTTTTGCTTGTGTGCGTGTAGAGTCGATCCCAGATGGAGACGTCCATATGACACCCAACCACACTGCCGATTCTTCAATCGGGTGGGACGACATCCAATGCTTGTGTCAATCAAGCAGTCATCATGGGATGACTTTGGACAAGAAATCAATAGCTGCTAGCCACATGAATCGATTCTAGCTAGGTAAACACTGAGTCCAGCTACACACGTCCAATATTTTGATGGTCATATTTATTTGTTTTACTTCCGCTGTCACACTAGGCGTGCGCCCACCCGGTACCTACACTTGCTTCTCGCGCAATGTGATCAAGACTGCCAGCTTGGGGGCTTGAAGCCTTGATGCGTCGGGATGCAAGTGCACCATGTATTAATAGCATGGTTTTGCAGAGTTGTTATGTTATGACCGTACCCTTACTGCAGGAACAGCATACGCGTGGGTTACGAGGGTGTGCTCATTTACAGCCATGGGACATCGCATTCCTTCACTTGGATGTCACTCAGAGCGATCCGTACCCTTTACATTGCTCGTTCGGGCTTGAACGTGGGAACCACAAGAGACCTGAAGTCAAGACCTTCAATGGAAAGGCACTCAAAGCAGCTCTCAAAGCTACCGGTATCCACACTTCGGAACAACAGAATCTGTTTGTATTCTTCATTGCTTTGTATGGTTGGTCCTTCAGCACTCGAGCGAGGTAGATACGGTTCGTACTACTCTTGAGCACGGTACACGTACTATGTGGCTAACTTGGGTGGTACTAGTAGAGCTTTGGGGTATCTTTGCAATCTTGTACCGGTGGCCACCCTACGTCACGCAAAAGGCTTAATTCTAGGACCGTTCAAACACTTCCACATGCTCGCAATTACCTTGATAATAAGTTTCTATATGCTTCAAATTGGTTATTCAAAGACTTCATGACTGCATCCTTGAGATGAGAGCTACAGTTGTAGCTAGCTAGGTGGTACCGGTAATAATATCGGCAGTTTGCACTAGTCTAGTACCTTGGCTGTTGTCAAAGCCATCGTCATCATCCTTATTAGTACCGGTACCAGTAGTAGATCATTCCATAGGAGGAGTCATATCCAAAGGATATTGTGTTACAGTGTACTAGCTAGCTAGTAGCTAGTACTGGAGTTCCAGCACTTGCGCGTTTGACCTTGAAGTACCACTGTACAGTACCGGTACCGTGAAAGTATCCGGTACAAAACTGGTGCCTGGAATTGCTCACTAAAACCATACTACGCAATAATCGAATAATAATCTACCATTTGAGGGAAACGTAATCACATTTGAAAGAAACTAACCTTTCGGTAATACGGATCCCTTCCTATGAATACTGTACAGTGTAGCAGACAGGGGGTAGAGAGCACTACATACAGCCTGTGCGTATGAACAGGATTTTTAGAGAGCCAGCCTGCAGTCAAATTTTGGCCTGGCAGGCGACGCGATTCCTGTGCAATTGTACAGGCGACGTGATTCCTGTGCAATTGTACAGGATCGACGTGATTCCTGTGCAATTGTACAGGATCGACGTGATTCATGTGCAATTGTACAGGATCCGACCTCCTGTTCAATTGCACAGGAAATCTGGCGTGCTTCTGCATGCTGGTTGAAGGCAGCAATATCTTTTGATTTCCCGAAACCCCTGAGTCGTACAACAAAGCCAGAAGCACGACAAGCGTTGACAAAATATGGTGCAAGCATTTTAGTGCAAGCATTTTAGTGCGAAACTCAGCAGTATTGGTAGAGAATTCCTTTGGGAGCCAGTGCACAATAGCAGTGTTGGGCTCCGATCGGTTGCAAGTATTGTGACCGAGTGTTGGAATAAGATTGATTTCCTTTCTGTCTCCATCGTCTTTGAGAGAGCCGGCTACTTGAATGATTACGGGTGGAGACGTCCATACCTCAATCGTGCATGAAACCGACCCTAAAATAGGGTCGGATTAGGGTCGGATTCCCTTTAGGGTCAGGTTTCGAAACCGACCCTAAAAATAGGGACGGTTTCTGAAAAACCGTCCCTAATTTAGGGTCGGGTTAGAAAAATGTCCCTATATTTGATCATCAGCTTGACTGAACGCAGAGGACATGCTTGACTGTAATGCTGAACGTAATGGCAGATCTATTTGTTACTGTTGAGTAATGAGAAAGCCTACCCAGAAAAAAACGTCACAATTCCTGTGCATTTGAACAGGAAGTCGAGCTCCTGTACATATGTACAGCCTCCTGTACATATGAACAGGCAGGCCGTCCATTTCCTGTGCATTTGAACAGGACGTCGAGCTCCTGTATATATGTACAGCCTCCTGTACATATGAACAGGCAGGCCCTGTGCAATTGAACAGGCGTCGCTATCCTGTTCGATTGCACAGGAAATGGACGTTTTTGAATTCAGGCCAAAAAAATGGCTGGCCTTGCTCTCAATCTGCAGGCTTCCTCCCTGTTCATATGCACAGGCTGTATGTACCGGTAGTGCTCTCTACCCCCTGTCGTACTTTAGCTCAGTAATCGCGACTAAATTCCTGAATAGAATCCACGTTCCGCCTATGTACCGGTACCATAAACCAGAAACGTGGACCCAAATAAATAAGCCGAGCGTTCCTTTGGGTTCATAATGGTACTGTTGGAGCAGTAAATATTACCACCGAAAAACTGAGTACTCTGCTGAGCACAGTAGACTATTAATACCACTACCGCAAGTCTTGGAAAATGCTTCGTGTCTTTGGATTTAAAAGGTCACTTGCACTTTTAAACTTTCTTGTCGCTTGGGTGGTGGCATCAATCGTTGCAAAGTGCGAAAGAAAAAATTGGCCACAACGCACCGTCGTTTGTCCTCATTTCTTTCACTTCGATAACTGCTTCAGCAACAGGTCTATTCAGTGTACTTTTATACGCATCATGCCCATCGACACGTCTGCTTCAGTGGCGGAAGCCAGCGCCATTGGTTGGTTTGACTTTGCCATTGCGACGATTTGTGCATGGCTGGTGCCTCGACTGATTAGTCGTCAGCGACTATACCATCGAACACTGCGTCGGTCTCCCATGTGGATCAACGAGAAGGTTCGCATGTTCATGGACGTCTCGGAGAATCCCCGCGATTTTGCTGAACGCGCCATTACCCGATCCATGCTACAAGCCATTGGAATCTCGGTCTTTATCTATACCGTGACCGCCCTGGTATTGTCACTGTTGACACGCAATTTGGATTTTCGCACGTCGTACATTGTGGTGGGATTATCCAATTTTGTGGGATCCGCCTTTGTCTTTTTGCTGTCCTTTTCGGCGCCGCGATGGCTGGGGATCTACTCGAGCCAGCACAGCAACGGCCGTCGCATCCCGTTGGGAGCCAACCTCAAGACACTCTGTATTCGAGTGCGACTCCAAGTATTCCACACATTCCTCAAAGTCTATCCACTCACGATACCCTTCTTCTTGGGAGCCAGACCCACCACCGTGCCGGCATCGGTCTTTATTGGATCCATGCTGGGATTCTTCCTTTGCCTCTCCATTGACTTTGGAAATCGAGAAATCAAAGATCGCAAAAATCTACGCAAATTTGCACTCGCCGTTGCGGGAGGATTCATTCTCGCGTCGGCCTATCTATTCAGTTATGGATGCAGTTATGTCGAAGAAGTCTGGGGAGATAATCAGGCGGCCGCGGACGACAATCTGGTAGAAGGAATCGCCTTTTTGTGTTGGACGGTGGCAGGAGTTTTGCTCCACGTCGCCACCTGGAAATATTCCAAAATGATGGTGGCTTCGGGAAAACACGAAAAGGTCAAACGCCCAAAGACTTTTTTTGGTTCCTCCGTATTCATCTCCCATCGACACCTCGACAATCCGGAAAGCAAACACAAATCACGGTTTTCCATGCTCTTGTCCGGCAGAAGCTTGTTCAAATCAACCCGCAACACCAACAGCATTCAGGAACCTGCCAGAACCAGCAATTCGTCCATGGATCATCATCACAGCAACCACGCTGTCAATAGTCATCCCAGTATACGGCATTTGCAGATTGAACCACCCATTGTCGAAGAAGAGGAGGAGGCGTCCAGATCAACGTCCATACGGGAGGACCCTTCTTCCTCCAAACTCGATCATTCAACGGCCAAATTGGAAGATGATGATGATCTCGAAAATGTGCACGTCAGTGTTTCCTTTGAAGATGAAGGTCAACCCGACAAAAACGTCGAGAAAAATGACACGGCATCCACTGTGGTAGAAAACGAAGAATACAAGTGCAGGGATTCCTTCGTAGACGAAGAAAACAATCATCGTGGACCAGCAACGGTGAAAGAAGAAGAAAATCTTGACAATCAACAACAGATTGACAACTACAGCAATCACGATCCGCTATCCGGAAACTCGGCTCACGAATTTAATGAAAGGATATCGTGCACTGCGGGACCTCCTGGAGTTGACTTGGGATCGAGCAAGCTGGAAGAGGAGGAGGAGGAAGAAGAAGAATTAGAAGAACCAGATGAAGAGGACTGGGACATGTCCAAACTGCACCTTGTCAACGTCATTTGCTGTGGTCTCAACTGTGGTCCTGGGGGCAAAAAGAAACCCTTTGCCAAACGAGCTCTCAACTGTTGTAGTTGGACATTTTGGTTTGTGCTCTTGGCGGCGTCCCTGTTCTTTGTCGTACTACTCATTGGGGCGCAGTACCAGGAAAAGACAGTACGAAGACTTTTGCCACGTGTCAACGCAATTCTGTACGACTTTCAGAATGAGGGGGAGGTGTGTGCCTTTGATGCGCGGGGTGAAAGCACTTTGCGGGCCAAAGTCGAAGCGACACAACGAAATTTCACCAACAGAGACGAGGCTCATTCGGCGGGATACTCGGTTTTGCACTGCGGGGCCTGTGGGGCTTGCAGCAATTATAATGACCTTCGTCAGCAGTACACAACTCGAGAAATTCTGGGACAGGTAGCACTCAAGGTAAGCCAGGACGGTTGATAGTCCAGTACCTCGAGCGGTGGATTCGATCGGTTCCTCCACGCGACAATAACGAATCGTTGTTCTTTCATCTCTTTTTCGTTTGGTTACTATGAATGCAGTGCGCCAAAAAAGTCCTCTTTGGTGGCGGTTTTGAGAAACTGAAGCAGTGCACAATGGAAGAAACTTTGTTCCTCGACGCGTGTGCTGCTTGCTGGACACAGGACTATATCTGCGTCAAGCAGAATTGTATCTTCATTAGCATCAGGGCATTCATGATCAACACAGTCACCAACTTGCAAGTGGGCGAGAATGATGTAACGCCGTCAGCATGTGAAGAGGTAAGTCTTGTTTCGTTTTTGCTTCTGTACAGGGTCAGGATCTGATGGCATTCCCTTGGTTTGAAACCACTCCTGACCACTCCTGATGCAGGCAATGTGTGAGGCCACAGAGATCACAGGTTACGTTGGTTTCGTCCCCTGTTCGGGGGCAAGTCGCAGGCGAATGAACGTCACATCCAGCATCGCTAGACCCGGAAATCAGCAATGCAAAATTGTTGATGTACCAAGTTGGGAACGCTTTTTTGGGCCCAGTACTGGCAACAATGACTTTATTGAAGATTGGAATGCAACAACTCTGTACAGGTAGAAGTTTACATGACAATGAAACATATTCTTTGGTCTGTGTGCCCTGCCGGGATCACGGATCTAGCTAGTAATGAAAAAGTAGGAGAGGAATGGTTACGGTACACAATGCATAAAGTAAATTGGCTGCTTACGTGACATCCATCTACATCCCTCTCAAATGCATAAATTCCGTAGTGAGCTCGAGAGTCCTGCCTTGGATTGTGGCGGGTGCTTCCAGCTAGCTAGTTGTCTTGAGGTGGACTGTCACTCCCATCATGAGCGCGGTTCATTCGAGTATCGAATCGAATCGAATCAACGACCTTTTTGTGGATTCATTCGAATCGAGTCGAACCCAGACCGTGGAAAGCCAGATCTCGAATCCAAACGTCTTGCCGCAAGGGACATGCCGCAATGGATCCGAATGAGCCACGCCTGTTGTCGTTGTCTTTGGGACATCATCAATTGGGATAAGAAGACAGAAGTGATTGCGTAGAACAAAACGAGGACAAAGAAGGAAGGAAAGGCGAAAGAGAATGGCGCAATCTCACAAGATCAGTGAAGCCGGCAGCGGTATCAGGGGGTGCCAAACTCCAGGAACGTGTTTGAGCACTATCGGGTCTTGGGAAAACTGCAGCGTCTCAGTTTGAATCAATAGAAGTATCAAAGCTGTTTACTCATTGCATCACAGCTTTGCAAATTCTTTGGGAGAGCCACATTGATACGGCCGGACGCCTTTTGAATACTGCCATCGTCGTGTGGATTGGTCCTCGTACCGTACCGGTACCAATGGGGAAGAGGTTCGTTCGAAGGCCGCTGGCAGGTTATGATAGGCCTGCCCATTTTGCTTACGACTGTACAGTATACCTTACATGTGGATACGATCAAAAGGCCACAATTGATAAAACGGTTTTGTTTAGGCCCGACTTGGTGTGCATGTGAGCAAGACAGCCTCGGGGAGCGCTAGCTGCTCATCAATAGAACCATCAATGGTGAACTATGCATATGATACTAGTAAGAGGCAGCTGCAGGGCTACTACAAGTGTAGCTATGATAGATAGAGGGCATAGCCGAACCCTCGGCCTCCCGACCTCTCTAGCTAGCTAGCTAGCCAGGTAGAGGTGTCATACTAGCTAGTAGAGTACGATACCTGATGATAGCAAGCACGGCGTGTCACGGCATAAAGTCTGGGATTATTGATCGTTGTATGTGCGGCTGGCGGTTGAGAGTTCGCCTCTCCATTTCGGGTTTTCGGGTGAAGTGATAACGATTCAATCGCTTGCGGCTTCAAGGGCCTGAATGTGAATCAGCTACAGTCGTAGTGGGACATTCACAATAGTGCGTACATACCCCAGTTGATGTCAGCAACGAGAGGAAGAGGCCATGGAGGGGGCGATAAAGGAATTCGAGGCGGCGTTTGAGCCCTTCTTGAAGGAATGGTCAACTCGACCGGGTGAGCCGGACTACACGAAAGAGGAGTGTATCCAGATTCGTGTCAATGGCAAGGAGAAGAAGATCTTCAAGTGTTGGCTGAGAGGAAATGGCAGAGGAGCGAAATCAAAGCTCGCCAAGTTACTTTTGCAGACCAGAGAGGGGTCTCACGCCACCACGGAGCTGAAGCTTCCCAAAGCAGGCTTCCGAGCCAGCAAAGACCTGACGCTGGAAGCTAAGCAGGCACTTTGTTTTGACATGATTCTGGTCTGGCTTTTAGTAGGCGATGATGTATTCACTTCAGTGTTCGCGGGATGCCGCCTCTGTTCTCGTGAACTGTATGCGTTGGCAGCCTATCTTGGGCTGGTTCAGTTTCAAGGCATGATTGAGAAAAACAATTGGGACACCGATCGAATTGGAAATGTAGCTAATGTTGGCGATGTCTCAAAAGATCATCAAGGCGTGGTCTACAAGTTCGTTCGTTGGAAAGGATGGGGATACATATTGGACAAGGAAACGAGAAAGCAAGTGTGGTTCCACAAGGACTGGGTGGTTCAATCAGCACAGGGACCAACGTTTCAGGTTGGCGAGGAGTGTCTGTACGATGCAACGATGACCGGACGCGGCAAGAGACCAAATGATCCCAAAGCAGTCAATATCCGCACCCTGTCAGGTACACCCTTCAAAAAGCATCAGGTTGAGATGTTCTGTTGAAGTCACCAATTCACTGTAACCGGTACCGGAAAAAGGGTTCTTCTCGTGCGTGGTGAAACTCCTGTTGGAGTGTTTGTCGATGTCCTTTCTTCTCAAGAGCGAAATTTCTTATCTGATTGGGGATCTCATTTCATGTGTACAGGTGGAGCTCTACACCACTGCCAGCTTTATGGTGCCATCTTCGAGTTGCTAGCCCCCCAATGAACCCAATCAAAAATGTTTGCCTGACGATGATCCGGGCCTCCGCTGCTTCCATCATACGGTATAGCTAGTACTGTGTCTACTGTTTTAAAAGCTCACAAGACCATTGCAGTATATGCAAAGAAGAATAGAGTATGTAATATTATAGAGGTACCAAGGTATCAGAATTCATGTCAAAACCATACAGTTCATGCCTTGGTAGAGAAAAGTTCATACACAGCGCTTTGCCACATCACAATGTCTGTAGGATGTATGAAATAAATCAGATCCGTCAAAGTCGATTGTCTCTCAAGTGATGTCATGCCTCTTCGATGTTAGCCGTATGACCATACGATTTGTAGTGTGCTTTGGGAATTCAATCCATTGAGTTTTAGTTTTTGGTTTGTTGCTTTCGTTCGGTTTCCACGTCGCACGCGCGCCTGTAGAGTACTCAGGACTCAATCTAGTCACTCCTTTGTTGGTTTACTTTCTTTCGCCTTCTCTCCACAAAATGGCGTTTGCGTGGTCTTGGTTTGGTCATTATTTAATTTCAGTCGAGATCGATCGAGACTGGTATTCAGGAGAGCAGGGAGTGGCACAGAAGAGCTTGGAAAGCTACTACTAGCTAGTAGCCGAGTACATAGTCGATTAATAAGCTACTCGAGTGCTAGCTAGAGATTCGATTGAGAAGAAAACAAAGTGAAAGCCGAGAAACCGAGCAGCAGCTTGACAAAGTCATTTTCGATTGGAATTTTTGCACAATGACAGACCCAGCTGCAGAAGAAAAGGACACCTCTGCGTTGCGAGACAACATCAACAAAAAGGGATCCAACGCGTACTATTTTGCCCATGCCAATACCGCCTCAGGACCAGACTGGGACGGCAAGCTCGAGCCAAAATTGTTGGCCACGACGTCCTCCTCGGTTTCCGATTCCCAAAACCGACGACACAGTTCCTTTGATGTCAGCAAGAGCAACATTACATCGTACGCATTTTGTGACGAAGGAGCCACCGTGAAACTGTACATAACAATGGAAGGTGTCGGCGAAAAGTGCACAGAAGAAGACATTACCCTGGAGAATACCGAGAATTCGTTTTGTTTCGCCATTGAGAATTACAAGGAAGAGCCCATGTGTTTGAGTTTTCTCAAACTGACTGCCGAAGTTTCCAAGGTTACCTTCAAGCTCAAACCAGATCGAGTAGTTCTCATTCTTCGAAAGGTGGACAAGTCCAAAACATGGCACACAATCAACGACAAGGGAACAGCAGATCATGAAGTCGTGTAATACACTTAAGATGGTATCGGGAGAGATACTGGAGCTATGGAGTTATGTTATACATTGCAAACAATGTCTATGGTGGCGCAAGCTCTGGACGGATGGAAGTTATTTTGTCAGGAAAGTAATCGGATTTGGTACTGCAATTGGTGTGGTACAAGGCCAAGCAAACTGCATGTTAGACAAAGCAAAGATAAGCTTGAAAGAGGAATATAGAATTAAAAAGCAACTTTGTCTTCCTTCGTTGGGATCAGAGTCAAGGGAGACACAAATCATCTAGCGACACATCCATGCAACCAACCACCCAATGACAGCCAGAGGCTTGCAATGTGTGTGCTCACTGGCGATGATGCCTAGAGCTACCGGTATTCATCATGTCTCCACTTGTACAAATAGTATAATGGCTTTCTTTACACATAACACATAGCAAAGCGGACCAGCTACAATCTCAGGATTTAACTAGTCCAGATATCTACCAAATAGCGTTTGTCTTTCTTCATCTTTTCCACATACAGTTTGGCTGCTTTCTCATCACTTCCATCCAGGCCTTCCCCAATAATTTGTGTCAGAGCTGACTGCACATCCTTCGCCATGGCATTGCCGTCTCCACAAATGAAGACGCTGGCTTTCTTCTCCAGTATCAAAGATCGCAAACGGGCGGAACAGTCCGTGTCGTGCAGCATAATGTCTTGCACATACTTGCGCTTGTGGCCATTGCTGCTGCCGTTGGTGTCTCGGGAAAAAGCTGTATACAAGCTGGCAATGGTCCCATCGGCCTTGAGATCTTGCATGTCCGAACGGTACAGCCAGTCATGATCTTGGTGGCGGCAGCCAAAAAAGACATCGACGCTACCGACGGATTGATTCTTCCTCATAAAGTCGGCACCCACGCTCAACCCACTGGCGTCTCCTTTGCTGATCTTCAAATCGTCTTCCTCCATCTCAAAGCCTCCGCGCCAGGTGCCTTCCACGACCGACGATGCGGCTTCCTTGGATTCCATGTTGGAGAGCATCGCACGTCGATGTTGCAGAAAGCCCATAAATGGTGCTGATAATACATACATCATGTAGGGCAAGCAAGACATTGCGTGTAAGAGTGGAAAGTATGAAAGTGTTGGACAACATGAGAATAGATGATGAAAACTTACCAATACCTGTTCCCGGTCCGATCAGGACCATGGGCGTGGCCAAACTGGCGGGCATTCTAAAGTCGGCGGTTGGCTTGGGGAAGATCTTCACAGTCATGGGAGCAGCTCCAGCAGAACCTCCAGCCAAGAAGGATGAGGAAAGCACCTCTAAATGGCTTGTGGCAATACCCTTTTTGCGTCGGAGCCCACGTTCTGCTTGGTCCACTGACAGCAGCGATGGAGTGACGTAGTCAACCACGGAGAAGGACACGGTCAAGCTCAACTCTTGTTGACTGGCAAGTGGACTCGAGCTCACGGAATAGTATCGCGGAGGAATTCCCGGCAGGATGCCCAGTAAAGCAGTCAAAGGAATGCATTGGCAGGACGGGAACTCTTGCAAAATGTCCACAACGGACAATCGCTGTTGGTCGACAAAGCACTCGAATGCCTTTTCTCCTTCTGGTGTCTTGGATGCCAAGAGTTGCAATGCCTTGCGATCCTCACAGTCAGTAGCATGCTGTGATAGATTGGACAAGATACGTTTGCTCTTGAGTGGCGATGACAAGTCCACTTCTCGACTGATGGCTTCCCGTACAGTCATGGGATTGCCCTTGTCAATGGAGACACGTTGGTCAGGAAGAATGCCCTGGTGTTGCTTCAGCATGCCAAGGACAAAGTCGACTGCGACCGGAGGATTCTCCACGATCAAACCCAACGAGTCACCGGGTGTGTATTCGAGAGTGAAGTCGTCGGGCAATGTCAATGTCAGTTCGATGACCCGCTTTCCATTCCGTTCCACATTGTCCGCACTGACGCTGTCCGAGACTGTCAGCGGGAATAGCTCTGTGTATACATCGGCAGCCTGCTGGATCAGAGAAGCGTCAGCTGAAGCACTAGCACTCAGTATTCCTGCCGCCTTTTGAGCAGCATCCGTGGGAGTGGTTGTCAGGTAGCGCGCATTGCAGATGGTGGATTCGAAAGGCTTTTGGAGGGTGTAATGAATGGCCGAACTGCTGGCGGATGAAACTGTGACACGATCATCGTCCGCAGAGGCAGCTTGCAGTATTTGCTCCTCCTCCAAATGTGAAAGAAGTGCGCAGGATGACATGCTGGTACCAATCTTTGGAAGACAACTAGTGTTGACCTCCTCCAAGGGGCACTTGCAGTCAAGGTTTAAAATGCTGCAAAGAGTTCGGACTCCCGTCGACGACGAAACGACGACTGCCGATTGCTGTTTGAGATCCGCGCTGCTATCCATTTTCTTTTCTTCTTGGATCTCCGAGGATGATTCCTTGGGCGTGCTGTTACTCGTATTTTCCGGTGGGACATTTTCGTCGTTGCCACTGGTTGCCGATGAATCTGGCTGACATGCCAGACTGATCTCTAGCAAAATCGAAGCCACCCAGGGATCCACCACTTCCTCCAGACCCGTGGCTTCATCGGCACAAACCAATGGCTTGGCCCGCGATCCACCCAACACTTCCAATTGCTTGTCCACAGCCTTGCCAATGGCACAAAATACATCATAGTTGGTATCACCCAGTCCCAACACACTAAAGGCTGAATGTTGCAAAGGTGCAGCGGCAATGGTTTGCTTTCGTTTGATCCATCGCGCAAAACGATCTGAATTCTCGGGAGGATCGGCATTGCCAGTGGTGGATGTGACCACCAAGACTCCGTGTTTTCCTCCATTGGCAGGTGCCTTTTCCCAAATGGGCAAACAATTTTTCCTCCATCCGTTCAAGTCACAGCAAACAACCGAAGGAAAGTAGGTGAATGCATCTGGATTGGAAAGAAACATATTGTAGGTTGCTGCCAGGTCCTTTGCGATTTGTTCGGCATTTCCAGTGGCCGAGCCGTAGAGAATAAAGAGGGGAGATTCTGACTTGACATTTTTGTTCAGTGTTTTCGGTTTGGATGTTGGATTTGGTTTGGGAGCCTCTTTGGCAAGTTTGGGCGTTTTCACAATTTCCTCTTCCTTGGGTGGCTCTGTCGTGACTTGCTGCGTGGTGGAAACAGGATCATTGGATTTTTCTTCTTTGATTTTGTTCGAGTTGTTGGATGATGACGATGAGAAACATGCCTTGGTAATTTCCTCCAAGATAGAAGCAGTCCATGGCTCGACTCCTTCTTCTAATCCTGTAGCTTCATCCGCACAAGCCACACGTTTGATGCGTTCTCCCCCAGCCTCTTCTAATTTCTTGTCAAGTGCCTTGGCTGCTCCACAAAAAATGTCATAGTTGGTATCCCCCAACCCCAATACTGCATAGCACACATGCTGGAATGCCTTGGCTTCAATAGTTGTCTTGCGCTTGACATAGCGAGCAAATCGAGAGGCGTTCTCGGGAGCATCGCCGTTTCCAGTGGTCGAACAAACTATCACCAATCCGTGCTTGCGCATTCCCGAGGGAGGAGGTTTGGACCAGACGGAATCGGCATGCTTCTTGAATTTTTCCAGAGCTTCGCAGACCACCGATTGAAATGGAGCTGGAGGACCTTTTGCGGCTAGATCTTTGGCAATGTATTCGGCATTGCCCGTAGCAGAGCCGTAGAGTATATACAACGTGGACATGTTAGCCTGGATGTTACAAAAAATATTGTGAGGTTGTGCAGTGCAGACCAGCAACTCCCGAGGGAAAAGAAGTGATCGATGTGGTTGGTTTCGAGAGGGGAAGCCCTCCTTGCCTCCAATGAAGAACGTTCTAGAATCTTTGGGGGCGTTTCGATGACGTTGCCCAAAAGGGAAGAACGTGTCTCAGGAACCTCACTCGAAGCTTTATTGGCGATACGACCTTTTCGGAAACTCAGGCGGGGTCCTAACCAGTCATTGTGTTCTCTTTATTCCTCCCTTGGTTGGTGAAATCTATTTAACTGTTAAAATCGGCTTGCTTTCCATCCATTTCCATGAAAGCTGCGGTACGGCGAACCATTGATTTCACATTCTCAATTCGCCGTACCGCAGCTTTCGTGGAAATGGATTTCGCTTAGAGCCAGCCGAGCTTCCGAAAACGTCAGTCACCCAACGAATCCCCAACTCTAACCCAACGAATCCCCAACTCTAACGAAAATCGAAAATCGAAAAGTGAGAGATCTCGAGATCGCTGTCATCAGTATAGTAAAAGTGAGAACACAGTAACTCTACCACCGTGGTTGCTAGCACCGTCGTTGTCGTGTAGTTACTCTGCCATAATGGATCTTCAATGATGAGGAATACGAACAAGATGTGGCATTGCTTCTGCAACTATCTATTCTTATGGTTGGTCTTCTACTGTGTCTACCAGGCGAATTAAGGAATCCGTCCATTTTCGAACAACGGTTGCATTGGGATCGGTATTGCCAGAAACACCAGAACCGTGGGACCTTTGCTAGACGACTTCGGATGCGCAGAGAAAGCTTTGATAAGCTGCTTTCATTTTTAGTCGACGACCTGCTTGTTAACGAGACTCAAGCCACGCGAAGGGGTGGATCCATCATACCGGAACTGTGCCTCTACTGTACCCTTCGATATTCGGCCGGCGGCTCCTACCTGGATATTACAGACATTGCTGGAATTTCCCGTAGCTCGTTCTATCGAGTACTATGGAAGACAATAACGGCATTATGCAAGTGTCCGCAGTTGAAGATTCGATTCCCCCGTACTCAACAGGAAATAAAGACTGCAATAGACGGCTTTGCCGGGATATCGGATGGTGTTGCCATACAAAACTGTGTTGGTGTGGCCGATGGCTATCTTATGCGTATCAGGGTACCGACCAAGAAGGAAACTGGCAACATCCGAAGCTTCTTCTCAGGTCACTATCAGTGCTATGGAGTAAACATCCAGGCCGTACCACCATTCTCGGTTCATCTTCTTTGCCTATGCCGCTCCCGGGGTTTCGGATGACCGTAATGCTATGCGGCAATGTGCTTTACAAAATTTGGTGGAGTCGCTTCCAACCGGTGTTTGCGTAATTGGCGATGCGGCATACATCCCTACGGAGCACATGGTACCGGTGTACCATGGTTCCGACAAACTGATCCCACTCTACGACAATTTCAACTTTTACGCCAGCCAGTGCCGCATAAGGGTGGAGATGGCCTTCGGCATTATGCAGATGAAATGGGGTTTACTATCGCGTCCTGTTGGCTGTTCGTTGAAGAACATGATATGGCTGGCGCAGGCTAAAGCTCGCCTACACAACTTTTGTATTAATGAGCGACTCGAAACGGCGGGCCCAACGACAGAGCCTGCCACCAATGTGAATGGCACTGGCTACATTCCCAGCGTTCCGCATGATGTGAATGGTGATCCTGTACGACTTGACAATGTTTATTTGAGCTGTGAGGGGATGTCGTACCTACGGGAATTCATGGCCAAAAGAGTCAAGCGCCTACAGCTGAAAAGACCGTCGCGCAACAAAAAACGTAGAAGGGAAGAAGAATCGTAACACAGTAATCACACCTATATATTATTCCGTTCCTACATATTATTCCGTTCCGACAATGAGGGAAGCTGAGGCCGGAATGTTCAACTTCTTTTCCAGTCGACCAAGTCGAATTTCGATGACTCTTGCAAGGGGAGCGCTGGAGGAGTCACCGCTGTCTATTTCCGCCCTGATTTTCAGGTACTGTTGGCCAACCACCAGATAGCCGTCCCAGAGATTCTTATCCGCGGCATCCTCCGTAATCTCTTTCCTTTGGACAATAGATTCTTTCAGGTCAGAACTGACGCTGGTGATCGATTCCATGACGTCTGCCACAGCTTGTTTGCCGCCTTTACCGGCAGCATCAGCGCTTCCTGTCATATCGACCGTGGAATCACTCTTCAAACTGGCTTCGAGAAAAGTGGCAAATTTGCCTTCAATTGTGGGATGGAGTTTGCAGAGATAGGCACAATAGTACACCGCTATGGCAGGTACGGCCGACATTCCCTTCCGAGGAGTACACCACCTCTTCACTATGCAATAAGTCCATATGTCATTGCTATGATGGCCCGATATCTTCATTTGTGCAAGACAATTATCCTTGGACTTCATCAAATCGCTCATCAGCCGCTGAACTGACTTGTTGTTCTGCTCACGGTAAATGTCATTCAAGTTGAAACCGAATTCGGCACTGTACGCAAGTAGATGTTCGTCTTCCCCCTCCTGGAGACCCAAGACGTCGTCAAATAACCGTTCCTCAAACATCTCATTCGTCTCATTCATGTGCTCTGAAACGAGAAGCCAAAAGTCCTTGAACGGATTTCCGGTCACACCCTCCTGTGAAAGAGGCTCTCGTTCGAAGTCCTTTCGATTATTGCTGTCGTTGAGGGAGACGAAGTGAGGGTAAATAGTAGGATGGAAGCAGATATTGAGGACTTTGATGAGAGTGTTGATCCTCTTGGCTAAGGGATCCAACGCAAGGTTTGAAACTGTCGTGTCGTTGTACATGGTTCCCATCTCAATACTGCGGGCAATCTCCTTCCTAGCATCGTACATTGTCATGCTGCCTCCTCCCTTGACTTGACACTTCAGAGTGAGTTCACGGATCTGTACGCTATTGAATTTGGACAGATCAAATGTCATTTCGTTTGGTTCTCCTTTGTCGTAGATCAACGTCTTGGCCACACGGTACATCTCCTTATCTTTCGGATTCTCTTCTTCACCGCAGACAATTTGCTTTTTCAAGGGGTCGTACTTGCTGATCACAACTTTGATGCGCTCTGCCTGCTTAGCATCGGCCACCTTCTTCGCTATTTTCTCGTCCTCTTTCTTCTTCTTTTGTTCGGCCTTTGCCGCTTCCCTCATGACCTTTCGCTCTGACGGGGATGCAGACCTAGCACGGACAGCAGGCGAAGGGGAGCTAGCACGATACCGTGGCGGCCGCTCCCGTGACTCTTGCGCTTTGAGTTGTCCCATGTACATGTCTTGGTAATATGGCAGCGGTGGTAGCGGCACTGTGAGGGCTCGCTGTTGGTGGAGTTGCTGCGTCTGCAGCTGGCGCTTTTGTTGTAGATCCCACAAGCTAAGACGTGGACGCCCACCAACAAGGAAATTCGCTGCAGGAATTGAGGCTGCTGCTGCGACTGCTATGACTGGAATGACTGGGGCTGCATCCACTACTTCGGCAGCCAATACTTCGGCTTCCTCTTCGTCTCTCTTCCTCTTGTACCGCTCATCAGACTCCCGCATTTGCCGTTCTATATCATGGCTAGAACCATCGCTATCATCTAAAGCCATGACAACGACAACGGCAACGGTTGGAGTGCAATTCGATTCGGTTACGGGGATAGGAAGAACTCAAAAAAAGGGAAATTGTGGTGAAAGAGGAGCCACAAATGGATGCACATGATTGCCTGTGGATCCACATGATTGCCTGGTGGATCCACATGCACGAGGATAGCTATGGTGCACTACGCTAAAAGCTAGTGTAAAGATCTTTCGAGTGTTTTGAGTTTGAGAGAATGAAAGTTATGAGAGGATTAGAAAGCTATGAAAACTAATCACGAGAGAGATCACAATCAGGGATCGTAGATCTGAACTCCCGCGGGAGACTGTAAGGTGTGATAGAGTAGGTTGTGGTAGTAATCCTACTCGTTCCACGATCCAAAACGGAACGCGTGGAAGATTCGTCTAGCATTATCTAGTAGCGTGGATCTCTCCACGCCAGCAAATATCTAGCGCGATGTTTACCATCGAACCTAGTATGACTAGCGGTCAGAGAACCCTGTCTCAATGACTATTCACGAGAAGCTCAGTCATGAGTCGAACTCAAACCCTATCTAGGATCGAGTGGAATAAGGTAAGAGCCGTGTTTGTTCATTCGCCCCCTGACAAGGGTCACAGAAGGCACGACATCAGTCGGACAAGGAGAACATATGATTTAAAGTGCGGGGCAATCTCATGAGATTGGATGTAGACATGTGCGTCGACGATGGGAAATCCTACAAGGGGATCAGGCCTTGTATGGTGTATATACCTTATGTTCAAGTCTGGTAGACTGTGCCGCCATTGGCGTAGCATGTTGGAGCCGTACAGTGCCATTGTCATTGACTCGGTCTATAGTGTAAGAACCTTTGTACTTTGGCTGACCGTACTTGCGTGCTGATACTGTTGAATCATCACGGTACGTTGACATTGTATTAATGAGGGCACGCGTCGCGTTCTCCATCGTTGTTCTGTTGGATGAGTCGTTGCGACGTTCCTTGATGTACTTCCAGTTTGCTTCGAAACGGACGTTGTGAATCGCGTCACCGTTGAACACGAGCTGTGCGGCGTTGCCGCAGGGTGGTTGAATCGTGGCGTTTCATTGCGAAGCGAACCCCGTGAGACCCCATCCCAGGATCCGTTCACAGGTCGTCTTGGCACTTGATGTTTTGAAAACAGCGATCAAGTTGCCTATGGTCTGATGAGCACGCTCGACCATGGAGTGTTGAGGGTTGCGCGTGGTGGATGAACTTGGCACGAAGTCCAATATTCATCCGAGAAGTCCCCTTCTCGAACCTCTGCGCGGAACTCACGTCCTCTATCCATTGATAACCTCAGCGGCATGGATACCGAGTAAGCCACGTTTGTTCTTAGGACGATGGCTACTTCGTCATGCTGCCTTTGAGCAGATCTCTGCAATCTCGAACCATCCGGTTGGGATCAATCATTGTCAAGCAATGAAGTGTACATGATTCTTTTCTTATGAATCCCCGACGTTGTAGGGACCTATCAGTCAATACATAGTCTTTCCCAGGATCTCCTCGCAAGTCTTTGGAGGCATCAATCCCAGCTTACGCGTCTTGGTTTGTTCATCTGGCAGCTTTTGGCAACGCTGACATACGGCTGCACAGTCTTGCGCAGTCTTTTCCAGTGTAGTGTTGGGTTGGTTAGTTTCTGTGCGAGTCTCGCCAGGATGCCATCAACACAACATGGTACCATTCACTAGCTTCTTTCTTCTGCATAGTTTAGGTACGACGATCTTATGTCCTTAACTACAAGTCTAAGACTTTATCCCCTCTGGGGAAAAGTTTGCTTCTTGTAGTCTTTGGGCTTGTCCCTGAGGGGTTTCTTGATATCGTTGTCGTCTTTCTGACGATGTTCGATCTCGCGGGAACGAGAGAGGGAACTCGCTAGGAAGTCCTCTTCGTCTCAGCCATGAGCTCAGCGATCTCGCTGGCTTCCATTTGTTCTGAAGACACGTCGTTGTTGGAGGTGTTAAGTCTCGACAACGCATCAGCACGATGTTCTTTCGCCCTTGATGTACCGTAGTTCAGGGCCGTATTCTTCAGAATAAGGCGCATCGCATTAACGCGATCGGTATTGAAGTTCTTACATGTAAATCTTGTGGTCCGTATGTACAACGATCTTCTGTCCCAGAAGAATTTACGGAACTCTTTTAGAGTTTCCGTACTGAGAAGTTCCTTCTCGGTAAGTGTAACGTGTCTGAGCAGGGTTGAGCTTCCTGCTGTAGAACGCGAATAGGTTTTCCCTTCTGGGAAAATTACTGCACCTAGTTGAGTATCCTCGCATCCGTGTGGATAACGAATTTATGTTGAAGTCAGGGTAGCGAGCAAGGTTTTCTTTGCTGATGATCTTCTTCACTGGCTAAAGGCCTTGTCGTGTTCTCGGTTCCCCATTTCCACTTCGTTGTTTTGGAAGTCAACGAAGCGAGTGGGGCCAGTACATGTGATCGTCTAATCCACAGTCTCGATATAGTTCACTAGTCCAATGAATCTACGGAGTTCTTTTCGTTGGTAGGAGGACGATTTTCTGGATCCGTCTATTTTATGTTATGGTTGGATCCCTTCTCGAGTAATCAGTAACCTAAGTATTCAAGTTCTCCTCTTGGAAGAAGGATTGTAGCATTGATTTTAAGTCCGGCTTCTCGAACCTTCGGAGAATTCATCCAACTTTTCAACAGTATCGCCAGATCGCCGTTGGTTAGAATGAGTAGATCATCAATGTATCACGGACATGGATTCTAGGTCGTGCATTAGTGTTTCCATCTTCTCTTGGAAAGATGTCGGACTATTACAATAGGCCATTGGCAACCTCTTGGTACTCGTCTTTCCCCACGGGAGTACGATAGTACAGAGTTTTTTCGAGGGTGGACAGCTCGATGTGATAGTATCCCATTTTCAGGTCTAGACTAGTATGCGTACTTGAATCCATCTAGATTAAAGAGCATGTCCTGTATTTGGGATAGGATAAGGCTTCCGCTTAATCCTTTGTTCAGTTCCGAAATCAGAGATGAATCGTACAGATCCATCTTTCTTGGGAATGAATAAAGTTGGTGCCGCCCATCGGAACGGTTTACCTTCTTGAGTACTCCTGCCTCGCAGAGACGTTCAACCTCCATCTTAAGGTTGTTGGTATGGACACGTGGAATAAGGAAAGCCCTGGCATGATAGGGTTAGCATCAGGGAGAAGTTCTACTTCGTAGTAGTCCATCTGCCACTTTCCAAAGTACCATCAATAGTGTCAGAGTACTTCGTCAGTAAGGAATGAAGCTGTTCCTTCTCTTCCTTGTTACTGATCTTGACTTTGGCAAACTGCCTTTAGTCAGCTTGTTCGTATTCGCATCAAGAATCTTCTGAAGACGATCTGCACCGTCATCAACAGCAGTAGGATCAGGAATGAAGAAGTTTCTTCTTCATTGTCGCTGTCTTTCATAGGAATAGATGCGCCGTCCCACTCCACTGACATGGTATTGAAATCGAACTTGAAATCCTAAGTCAGAGAGAATGTCTCGACCTATGATCATGTCATACGCCCCAAGCTCTTGGTGACGTGTAAATCCCACTCGATAATTCTATCCGGGAATTCAGAATCATGAATGCACCTTTTCACTTCGTGCTGGTGTTTAATTCTCCTGCAGGGGTAGTCCACATGTTTGACGCCCCCAAGATCCTTCATGCGTAATTTCTAGCATGAGGTTGAGCAATCAAGTTCCGATGCTCCTGTATCCAGTAAGCAACAATGTAACGGGTTTTGGTTTCCCTTTTTTCTCGCTTGTTAAATCTAACATAGACGATGGGTTTGAGTCTCTTGTCTTTGCGACGTTTACGAGGTGTTGGCCACGGACGAGGTTAACGATGCTAAATAGATCATCAGAGTCTAGTTGAGCAGCTTCTAGGCAATCATCTATTTGCCGTAGTGTTCATCAGTTGCAAACAATTCTTGTTTACTAGTTAGTGAGATATCTTCATCACTTTGGTATGAGAAATCGGAACATGGTTCCGTTGAGTCATCATCCTGGCCTAATCCTCAGATAGAGATTTCTCCATCCAAGTGATTGAAATTGATAGAGGAGTTTCCTCATTTGTCAGAGTCTTCTGATTTGCGCTTGCAACATGTTGCGAAGTTTGCAAAGGGTGGCACGAGTATCGTCGATCTCGTTTTCTTCGTCATTGTCGACGAGAGGAAGAATGGGTTTGTCACGCAACTGTTTCTCGAAGTTGCGGAACGCATGCCTTCCTTGAGCCATCTTCATGGTGAAGAATAGTTTGAGGGTAGCTGAAAGCTATGTTGTTTGTTAACAAAATGCACCTATAGCTAAAGCTAGTGTAAAGATCTTTCGAGTGTTTTGAGTTTAGAGAATGAAAGTTATGAGAGGATTAGAAGCTGAAACTAATCAACGAGAGAGATCACAATCAAGGATCGTAGATCTGAACTTCCGCGGGAGACTGTAAGGTGTGATAGAGTAGTTTGTGGTAGTAATCCTACTCGTCCACGATCCAAAAACGGAACGCGTGGAAGATCGTCTAGCATTTATCTAGTAGCGTGGAATCTCTCCACGCCAGCTAAATATCTAGCGCGATGTTTCACCATCGACCTAGTATGACTAGCGGTCATGAGAACCCTTCTCAATGACTATTCAACTGAGGACTCAGTCATGAGTCGAACTCAAACCCTATCTAGGATCGAGTCGCGAATAAGGCTAAGAGCCGTGTATTGCAATGGCAACCCACGAGATTCTATCAAAGAACAATCTTATGCGATTTTCACGAGTTTTCCTGACGTACGGTGATTGCGTTTTGGCAGAATCTGGTGGGTTGGCCATTTTCGTTAGAGTTGGGGATTCGAGGTGGTTCGTGTTCGCGTGCGTACCACTGTATGTGGATAGGAATGAAATCTTTATTCGTACAACTAAATAAATCGACGAAAATAAATGTGTTTCGCGAATGCACGGAGGACACACATGGAGAATGGATAGGACCTCGCCTCAAGGGCACGGGTGGTCCGTGCGGTAGCAGTATCGAAATACTTGCACGCGTTTGTGTCAATAAGTGAAGCCATCTGGTACGGGTGCGTACCATAAAAGTACGTAGACTAAAGCCGATGCTAGTCGTACCCGGTATACGGTATCCGGTATTCTCATTTTGCAGCCAGCCAGCCAAGAAGCCTTCAGTTGAGAGCTACATTCCGGATTCCGGCATGCGCGCCCGAAATTATGGCAAAATTCCGTGGAGTACGGAATCGTTTCTATACAAATTTCAGTACTCAAATTGGATCTCACAGGAACCGTAGTTTATATTATATTCATTTCGAATAAAAGTATCTTATTACATATGCCCTTCAGGCTGGCTCGATTGGATCTCTTCCAAATCTACCGGATACCGTATTGCGGGACGACTAGGATCGGCTTAAGGTGGGGTACATGCGCAGGAGCTCAGGAGGATGCATGGCGAAGCCACTCAACGGATCTTCCGGTTAGCACCTCGGTAGACACTAACATTGCAGATGTATTTGTTATACTGCTGCTTCCATGCAGCAGCCACTTCATGGGAACCCAATGGCTAGCTATGGTACAATTAACCTGATCTGAGCAGCACCAAGTAAACTAAGCTGAGTGCCTGAGAATGGCTTCGATGCGGCTATAAGCAGTATCAGGGCTGTACTCTCGCTATCTTCAGTTGAATTTTGCCAAAGTAAATTCCACCCTGCCTAATGGCATATGTACTCCATGTCCTTGTTGTAACCATATCGGCGGATCTCTTCCACCTCACGGGCAAAATCGGCAGCTTCGCCATATCCACATTTCCGGCAACCTTGTTCAGAAACAAGTTCCCCGCAACTAGGGTCCAAGCAGTTGGCACAAACAACATCACCACAAAATTGACATAGCGGGAATGGTCCCCCGCATGCATTGCAGGCACGTCGTTGACACGTCCCGCACTGATTTGGGCCTTTTTCATCGCAATCGTACCTTCCGTCAATGCAATCCCTTCCGTCAATGTAATCCCTGCAATACAGCTCACTGCAGCTTCCACAGGATCTACCAAGTTTTCCCTCTTGGTTCTTTGAATCAAGGCATTTCTTGCAGAAGGCTCCGTCACAACCATAGCACCGTGTGTACTCACAGTAACGGAAGCAGCAACGGTCATTACAGTTCATGCAGTCTGGGCCCTCATCACAAAGACATGACTCACACATGATCAAACCAAAACCTGCAACTCCACAATCTTTGTAACACTGACAAGCAGTTAGTGTGTCCTTGTCAACCTGTTCATGGCAAACAAAACATACATTTTGATTAATCCATTTGCGCCGTTTGGCAGCCATAGTGGCGCTGCATCTTTGTGATTGACGTTGCCTTTTTGATGGCTTCGGTTTTTCTGATTGTTGCTGCTTGTTTTCTGTTGTTTTCTGGAGGACTGTAGTAGTAGTAGTACCAGTATGGAGACGGATTGGCGGATCTTTCCTCTTGTTGGCGGTTCTGCTATGCATAGTCGGACCGGTGCCATCACTGCAAGCAGTCACTTTCGTTGTCTCCCTGCTGGTACATCCCGCAAACCAGGGGTATAATTACTTATTTAGGTTAACAACCTATTGCGTCCGGAGGACCTTTTTCTACGCTGGCAATAGTTGAGCCCGAGGGCCCAAATAGCTGAGTCGTATACCATTGAAAAATTGCATGATAGGAAGATTCACGGTGCACACCAAGCGTCAACACTGAAGGAGGATATGCCTCATAGTAGCTAGCACGGCTACACTATCCTATAGTCTCACCGTCGTTCACCTCCGCCCCATGAACAAGGGGCAGGTCCCTACAGCTCTACTTACAACGGAAGTGTGCATCTTCCCATCATGACCTGGAGCACGGTGGCCTAGCCAGGATTTAACCTATTAGAAGGGCGCTGATCGACAACAGTCATCATCGATCCACCTCCACCACAGGTGCGTCTGAGTGATCAGGTCCCAGGCTGTGGCCATTGCCTTGTCGTGCAAGGCAAGATGCCAGCAGAGTCCATAGGCGGTGGCACACCTAAGACTGGACCATGTCAGGGTATGACCTATCCAGTGGGCGAACAATGTCAGGCAGAAGCCGACAAAGAGCCATGCGATAGGGCCAAGTGACGCACTGGCAGGCAGTGGCTCCCAAAGGGGAGGCACAGTGTCTGCTGGGGCGGTGTGGACTGTAAGAAGGATTGTGGGGTGGATATTGGAGGGGTGGTTGTGGGCTGTAGATAGTATGATGCTGGAGGGAGGAGGGTAGGGTGTGTTTGCTGTGGTATGCATGATGGTTGGTGGATGGAAAGGTTGTTGTATCGTGTAATGATGACTGTCGGGTCGTTGCTGCAACTCAAGCACAGGGATTGCTTGTGAGGTGGAGAGGAGGATTGATTCGAAGGAATCTATTCAAGGAGGCCAATGCTCTGGGGCATTGGCAATCAGGGTATGGATCAAAGGTGTTGGGTGGAGATGGCCACCGGATCAAAGGCTGGGTCCCAATCTAGTACAGTTACCACAACTGCAAAAGGAAGGGATCAAAGCCAAAGGCTGATAGGGATTCTTTCCGGGAAAACTGGAGAAGTCACGCTATAGCCAGTAGAGACAGTGGTGGGGCGGGATCAAGGGGTGTTGTTGGTTGATGGGGCTGTGTTACTATTTGACACTGGGTGTTGTCTCAAGGGCTGCTACTCAATCTGGTGAAGGCCACCACAGACTTCAACAGAGAGTCAAGCCAAGATTTGTAGAGGGTACTCAATTCAGTGGAATGGACAAAGACTGAAGAGTCACTCAGCAATCAGGTGGAGAGGTGGTAGAGTCAGGTGGTTGTTGATATCTGAGCCACACCATGCTGCAGGTCTATCTGGGGCTCAATCCTTTGGAGCAGACACACTCAGTAGGAGAGTCAGGTGCAGGAGCAGAGAGGTGGCTGGTTCAATGAAGGTGTTGCACAATCTATATTTGATTCTAGAGGGGCAACTTTTGTTGATTCTTGTGTGGGGTGAGATCCTTTGGAGAGGAGCTGGGTATCCCAGGGGGGGGCTGTAGACCTACCAAGAAAGCAGCCGAGCCTGGAGATAGCAGAACTCAAGTCCTTACAGGAACTCTGTTGTTGTTTGTTGTTCCTCTGGGAGAGGAGTTAGATATCAATGGGGGAGTGGTAACAGTAGCAGGAGGTCTCAGTTCCAACAAGGACGTCGGGAGAAACCACTAGTGGCCGGTGAGAAAGTAAGAATACAGGTGTAATTCTCTTCTCGGTGGTCACTGCAGGTATCTCGTGAAGTCCTTCTTGATGATAGAGGCTGTCGTTCGATCCGTACGGAGGAAGAGGTACGGAGAAGAGGTACGGTCGCGGGAAGATCGATCGATTCACGGAGGTGAGTCTTGGATCAATTCGATTCAAAGATCGATGCGATTCAAGGGATTCGGGTGAGTCAGTTGCCTTAGGGGTAAGGTTAATGGAGCTGTTGTTGTTGCGGAAGACTCGATCGTACGAAAAAAGGGGTTGGCAATGGGATTTCTTGGGCCGTCGGCAGTGAGAGAACAGCAAGTAACAAATGGGTATGTGTTTCTCTGCTCTTCTGGTACTGCGGAAAACCGGAGACTTCTTCTTGTGTTCAATTTCTTCCAACTTGGTCGGCGGCGGCCGAGAAGAGAAAGCCCGCCCGATCTCGTAGGATTTCAATTGGGATGGCTTTCTAATCTGAACCGGAGGACGCCGCTTTGATAGTCGCTTGATAGGAGAGGTGCAGGAGATAGGAGTATCGATCCTGTCAGTCCTTTCGGCTTGAATGAGAGATAAAAAGAGGAAGAAAGGATGTGTTTTTTCCGTGATGACATTGAGTGGATTCCTATAGTAAAACAGTACTCTTCAACGAAATAACAGATAACAAGCTTCCTGAGGTCCTTTCACTTCGTTTCAATGCTTCCAATGGTGCTAATAGGTGTGGTGATGGTGATGGTATAGAAGTGACCGTCGTATTATTATCGTTGTTGCTATTATAGTTGTTTCGGTTGACAGGTTCAGAGGTGGGAGTCGGTAGTTGCTCCCACGTGAAAAAGTGGTACCTCCCGCAAACCAATCGGTGATCAGGCGCTGCTTTTTCCCATTATCGTCTGACATGATGATTGATGAATCAAATCAAGACAGTTGTGTTCGTTGCTATGATACCTTTTATCTTTTATCATTGGAGAGTTCACTTTTCGTCTTCTGTTGTCATTGGAACACAATTTGGAACCGCCAAAAGTGAGTTGCGTGCTAAGGAAAAAGCCAGCGAGAGCTCTAATGACATCCATCCAACAATGCTCAGTACGCTTCATCTTTGGTCCATTATGGTCCAAAGGTACACAATGTACTCAGGACTAGTGCCGGATAAAGCAAGACAACAAAAGAGCATTCTAAAGATGATGATGTCGGTGGTAGACTTTACTGCTGCATGAACGAGCAGCGGCTTCATGGGAACCCAATCGCTAGCTATGGTATAATTGACCTGAACTGAACAGTACGAGTACACTTAGCTGAGTACCAAAGAATGGCTTCCACCTGGCTACCATAATAAGTGGTACAAAGTGCTGCACTCTCACTCTATTTTCAGTAGATTGTCACCCAAATCAATCTGTCTCTGCACATTACCATTGGTAGTCCATGTACTTGGAACCATATCGACGGATCGCATCATCCTCACGGGCAAAATCGGCGCCTATTTCATATCCACATTTCTTGCAACTTCGATCAAAAAGGTCATCAAAACAATGATCCAGGCAGTTTTCACAAACAGCATCATCACAACATTCACATTTCGGGAATGGCCCACCGCATGCATTGCAAGAATGTCGTTTACACGTCCCGCACTGATTTGGGCCTTTTCCTTCTTCATCATCATCCGTGCACTCCTTGCTTGCAATACAGCTCATTGCAGCTTCCACATGTAGAAGCAAGTTTACCCTCGTGATGTTTAGAATCCAGGCAACTCTTGCAGATTGACGTGCTACACGCATGACAATCTGTGAAATCACAGTATTGAAGGCAAAGAGTGTCCTCACAACCCAAGCAGGTTGCACCCTCATCATCACAGCAATAATCGCAAATGATCAAACCGAAACCTGACACTCCAAGATCCTTGTAACACTGACAAGCGCTGAGCTCTTTTCTATCAGCTTCTTCATTGCAGACAAAACATAAGTTCTTCTGTACCCATTGGCTCCGTTTAGCAGCCAGCGAGGCACTGCATTTTCCAGACTGTCTCTTCTTCTTGGACTGTTCTCCAATACGCTTAGTAGGCTTTCGTTGACTTTTTCCTTCTCTAAACCAATTCATGTCAGCTGCTACTCTGCTACCTACCGGTAGCGAGCACCAGCACAACGTTGGGTGAGTGGTGAGCGCCGTATAATCGTGGTGCCAAGTGCCAAGTGCCAAGTGCCAAGCCGTCATTGGCTTCTGCTTTCTGAAAATTGAGCATCTATTCAAAGATTTAACGAACAAAACTTTTCACATTTATCGCGGTAATGGCAACAATGCTTCAAACTAGACCACATGTACAGTACCGTATGAACTTGTCTTTGCTCCCTGCCCCCCCTTCCCCTGTCCCCCCTTTGCCCTGCTCCCGTCCTCACTGCTCTCCCCGTATGCCCACCACCACAAACAGCAACCACTGCTCTGCCTCTAGCTTAGCCCCCCTTGCTCCTTAACGTATCTATTTAGTGTTTGTTTTTCACTAAAAAAAAATGAACTTGTCTTTGGGATCTTGTATGAGGATTGAGGCACTGCCAGTAGTGGGTACAATGTATGTATGTCATGCAAAAGTGCTCATAGCTACCTAGCAGAGCTCTACTGTACGGTACCGGTACTCACTCGGGCTCCTTGGAATCGCTGCCAGAGGAAGAAGGATCACGCAAAACATGCCATTTGGGAATCAATCCTGAAACTACCGGTAGCTATCACACGCAAGTGGCCTTCCATGAAATCCTTTAATGAAAACATGCCAACGAAAATGGCTGTCCATGGGATACGTGGTTGAAAATGGACATTTGGACTTCCGGAAGTATGTTCATGAAAATGTGTGTCAATGGAACAGTGGCACATGGGAATGGCTGTCCAGGTGATGAATTGCTATTGTTTCAGCCGAAACGCTCTTCGCTCACCCACCCTGTCTATCAATGGCAATCGGAAGGCTACCAAAGGAGGCGCTGGTGATATGGGAAGTACACGAGGAGTAGCGCACTGTACCGGTACCGTTCTATCTAGTTACCGTAGTGCCACGGAGTACCTGGACGAGTACCGACATGTCGGATTGTACAGTACTCAAGATAAGATGCCATGACGGTACAAGGCATCCACCGCATGGTCATACAGTACCGTAAGGAACGATGCAAGGTAAACAACAAAACAAAGCTAAACTCTTGCGTATTATTGAATTTGAACAAATCGGTACATTGTTGTGGGGACTGGGGTTGGCTGGTAGAGACAAGGATAGTGAGGGTAATACATCGTAGGAGTATACTGGAGAATATCTTTGGTTGGTCAACTTCCATCCAATCCAATTGACAGAACGACGACACCACAATAGCCTCCCAACAAGTTGCGAAGGAATGAAATGATATCTGTGTATATAGATTGTCGTGTTTGCTACTTTCCTTTTTTGGCATCTTTTCGAATCTCTTTTAGTTTCTGGAAAAAGTATCGTGCTTGTTTCTCTTCGCCCAACACTTGTGTTGTCGCTTCCATTTTCATTTCTTCTTCGAGACGCACTTTGAGCATTTCGTTCATCATGGGTTCCATTTTGGCTTGTACGATTCGCGGCAAGTATTCTTCTTCGAGTGTTTTCTGATGGGTTGCTCCGAGGAGCGACAAGAACCACGTCAATAATCGGATGAGCCATGTCCAATCGGTTTCCTTGTCTTCCAGTGCTTTGACTTCGGCCATGAGCACGGAATTTAGTTTTTGTACTTGCAATTGAATGACAACGTAGGGTCCTTCTTGAAAGACGGCTTCGGCTGTTACGGTCATGCCCTTTTCCGCCATTTCGAGTGGCATTTTCTTGGGCATTTCTTGACTCATTTTGGTGGCAATGGTGGTGGGTGTGGCCAATTTGGAAGCGGCCTTGGCTCCAATCTTTTTGGCGGCATCCTTGATGGGTTGTGGCATGTTGGTCTTGTCAATCTTCTCCTTGACCGCTTTCTTCACTCCCTGGGTCCCATCGAGGACTAATAAATAAATAAAGAAAGGATGATGATGTTACGTAAGAAACAGATAGAAAAACAACCATACAATAATGAGAAAATCGCCAATGCATGAAAGCGTGGAACCATCGACAGTCATTTGATCATGAATACATGTATGGTACAAACCAAAGCATCCCGAGTAGAGTGCTGACAGAAGCGTCTCTCTTGTATCCTCATCACTCAATCAATCACCAGCAGAAGAGACTATAGCTAGCTAGCTAGCTAGCAAGCACTCACCGATGATGTTCAGGAAGAGGACCGATTTCAAAAGATCCGTCATTCTTCTTCTTTCTTCTTCAAAACTCCAATTTGTTCGAGATTGATTGCAGGATCTTCAGCTCTTCTTGAGGCTCTCTAGCCAGCTATTGGTTCTTTGACCAGTAGACCGATACTATTACTCAATAGATAGAATGCCTACTACTACCGTATGGAACAAATCAATGATGTCCTCTTCCTCATCAAAGCCAGGTGGTTGTGTGTGCGGCGGAATGCGGATTGAATGATCAATCGAATCGAATCGGAAGCGAAGCTGATGTCCTCAAGGACAAAGATCTTGCTGACGCGTCGTTCATGACTGCATCAATACGAGACTAACCACCACAGCCACCCTTTTTCCCACTCATCTTTCCATTTCAGAGCAAAAACAAGGAAACACTTTGCTCACATCATCATCATCATCAACAACAAACAGTCAAACAACATCACCACCATGGGCCGAACGGAACGACGACCCAACAAGGATGACGATGGTGCACGCCGCCGTGTGTTGGCGATTGACGACTTTGCGCATCGCAAGGGAGTGACCAAGGCCATCCAAGACTGTCGAAAACGCAAAGAAAAGAAACGAACGGCCACCGCCAAGGCATTGCGTTCGTATCGCAAGACCATGAAACAAGAAGGATTCACTCCAGGACAAGGTGCCAGTCGGAAACGAAACAACGGCGACACGAAAGTTACAGCTGCTGCTACTACTGATAGCAATGATGAAAAAGAAAAAGAAGAAACAACCATGAACAATACTACTTCCACCACCAAACAACATCAGGAAGGAAAGAAATTCCACAAGACCAATCCCTTTCAACAATCCCTGCGAAAAGCAAAAGAATCAAAGCAAAAGAAACAACAAGACATTGTTGACAGAGAAGCGCACGAAAAGGAACGTGAACAAAAACTCAAGCAACGGCGCAAGAGAAGCAAGCAGTTGCGACAACGAACTTCCAAGGGGCAGCCCGTCATGAAACATGTGATTGGCGATATTCTACGAAAACTAGAACGAGACAAGCAACAAGAAGAGCAACAAGGATAAGAGGTAGCGTAGCAATCCAAATGGCTTGGTGATCGATTGTACTGTGCCGTGGACGGACAGAGGAATTCAATCGAATCAAATCTTCTGGGAAAACAAGGTACTGTAGCAATTGTCTGCTTGCTAAAGGTACAGAACATTACTGCAGCGTGCCACTTTCCCTGATTAATTAATGCAAGAAAACCACGATGTCATCACGGTACCAGACAGAAAACGTAACAACAACGAAAGAAAGAAGAGAGCGTGGCATTCGTGGATTCTGCGTGGGAAAGGCAGATCTCGACCGAGCGACCAAAACGAAACGATCCATCCACGATGATCATCCAGCAACGAACAATTACCAATGCAGTAATGTAATAGCTAATCAATCGTCATTATCATGGCGGTGCCACAATACTATCTATCTAGCTAGACTAGACTACTCGCTCGTCAATCAAAAAGAGAAGATGGCGCACACCGCCGATTACTTTCGGGAATCCATCATTGAAACCGCCTTTCCCATGGCCTACCACAACATGAACAAGAGTCACCGTGTGGACAGTGTGCGAGAGAAGTTCACCGTGGGACTTCAGCAACCATCACAACAGCAGCAAGAAAAGCACCACCATTACCAGCCGAATGCTTCCCCCCAAAAGACAACGCGCCACACATCATTCCCACCACCGGCCATTTCCGCTGCCGAGAGCCTGCTCGATGACAGTTACTACGAACCATCCATTGCATCCCCACGGTCCATTGTCCACGAAGCAAACGACAACAAGGTCGAAGTGAGATTGGAACCAACAGACGACCAGGAGAAACCCAAGCGACGTCGCAAGCGAAAGCGTCGCACTCCTCGATATCCACTCAATGGAACGACGCCCTCGGAAATCATTTGCGCCAACATGGTGTGTTGTGCCGATTGCACCCTCGATGCATTCGAGTACGGATTCGGCATTGAAGAGGAAATGCAAATCATCAATAGTGATATCGGATGGTTTGCCTCGTTCTTTGATACACCCTGAGGCAGCCCAAGCCCACTTGGTACGGTGTGTGTTTTTGTACGAACAGAACGGAACAATAGGGACGATGCACTCCATGGCAATACAATATCTGTGACCGTACTTAGACTACTTACTTTCCAGCTTTCAAAGCATATCGTAGCTCCGTCCGTGGCTGTAGCTTGAAATCGACATGGACTAGACGGCGTACGTACGTAGCCTTGGCTTGAAACGAAATGAGGGTTGACAAAAAATAAGGAGCAGTGGCACCACAATCGCTTCGTTGTGGTGTCTCCCGGTACCTTAGGAGCCTCAGCGATGGTTGCATTGCTTGACGTTTGACGCGAACTCAGCCAGTTTGTCGGCCTTCCCTTTGGTCGGACGTCCCATAATCATGACCAAGGTGCATTCATTGTGCCGTGCGCTTGCTTCTTTTCTGTCACTTGCTCGCCAAGTTCAGGCAAGCAAGTACGCGGGTTTGGGCTGTGCCACAAGAACGCTTGATGCTCGTGTGCTCGTTTACCACCTCTAGCTACTAGTAGAGATGAAGAAGCTCTCTGAAATCCTCAGCAACCTTCTTGTGAGCGGCAGACGAAGTAACTTCCGATACGTGGATAATGGGGATGGTGCTGGCTAGCTAGTAGTCCAAGATTTCGATATCGGCGACCAAGGGAAAAGCGCGTCGCATACATGTATGCCCCTCGAATAATGGCACGTCTCTTGATACCCCCATCTTCTCTGCTTTGTACCTGCAGTACAAAGCTAGCTGCCGTACCGCAGTAGAAAACAGGCACCGATGTACCGGTACCGGTACGAATAGCTGATGTACGAGAGGGCAATGATTCTTTAATCTTATGTGTACGCGCCATTGTGTACCGTACGTTAGCGTACAACTGCGAAGTGAAGGGCTAGCTAGGTACAGTGCGACGCCACCCTAGTTTACAGTAACAATTTTGGAGAGACTGATGGCTTACGGGAAATTAAAGCCCACAGCCACAAACAAACGACAATGGACCGAGAAATTGAGACATGCAAACATGCATGAAGCCACAGAGAGTACATGTATGTAGGGAGCTGGGTAGGGACAGAGGGTGAGGCAACGACCTTGATAGGGTTCTTAGCCTCGCTTCAATGTTGGACAACTTGCCCCCCAAAGCAATATCATAAACGTAGGCTGGACATAGGCAGTCCTTTCCGCAGCATCTGAGCTGCCCCTAGTACGGCCGCCAATTTTACAATGGGTTTGGGCGAAGAATAAGCTGGGCAGCTAGATACTAGGCATCTCTGAACCTGCTGGATTCTGGAGTACATAGTTATGCATCCGCACCGGTACCGCACCCTGCCAGCGTCTCTCTAGTGCCCAAGTATTGACAGGTTTGATGCATGCAGTCTCAATAGCTGCCAGCCTCTTGTACCGGTGTCTCGGGCATCTGTTGTCGTTGGGATATCTTCGCCAACAGACAAACATGTATCCGCCCCAGACAAGACTTTGAATTTTTGGTTGGGACACCTGAATCCATGACCAGACCACCGGACAATCATTTGCTGCACTCTGATGTGCTGTCAGCCTTTCTCGAGGTAGCTAGCGATATGGAAAAAAATGGTGTTCGGAGCTCTTGAACTCACCGTTGAGCCCACCTGGACTGCTGCGGCTTAAAGAACTCCTTCAATAGAGGAGTCTATAGTGACGGCCCCAAACCAATTTTCGTGTACCGGTTGCAAGGCTCCCATCCCACATCAACCGAAACCAAGTGCAGCATTTAGTTGATTCGGCGAGAGAGAGCACTGTAAGTTAATCATCCTTGTCGCGTGAGATGAGGCAATAACCTGCATGATGGGTTGACAATGGATGGAATTGAGCCCACAGACCTGGACAATGAGCCGGAAAGGCTTGAGATCCTACATTCGCAGCCGTTGCCCAAGCATCTCACTCAGACCTTTGGCGAAAAAGATATTTGGAAATTCCGGTTTACGTACCCCGGTATCTCGGACATATCGAGCAGAAGAAATTCATCGTCCAACCACTCCACGCGTTGAACTGTCACGTTTGATAGTGGAGTGTAGCACTTTATGGGATTGCAAGCACGGTTTACAGCACGGTACGAGCGCATTTCTCTAAGAAAGAAACGCCCGTCAATGCCCATCGGCACTGCCCTTCCGAGAGATGACGCACTAACGGTTTGGGGGAGGGTTTTTCAATATGTCCTCTAACTCTTACTGTTGTGTGTTGGGGGAAGATTTAACCTTACGTCTGGCCTTCGACCGAAAGTCCCGCTTTAGACTGTCCAGACTTCTGCAAAAAGGGTGCGCAGCACCATCATGGCTCACGAAAAAAGAAAGCCCACCACTGCAAAGGTGCCGGTGGCTAGACTACTGGCTACATGTGTAGCCAGCAATTGTTTCGAGGTCTGCCTCTATCACTCTCGAGGCACATCATCCATCATCTCAAAGCCAGCTGCCATAAAATCGCTGGTTGGTCAGTGATAAACGGCAAACTTTGATCGATCCACAAAGTCTTGTCGTCTTCCTTGCTGCTCGCTTTCCCCACGACACCAAGGACCACGAAAGCTGAACCGCTTCCGTGAAAGGCAACACACACGCATTTACAAGCCCTCATTCTTTCCCAAACCCAGAACGACCATGAGCATCCAAGACGGAAACTACGTTATCGAGGTCTCTTCCGATGAAGAAGGCTCTACTACTGAGTTGAAGCTCGACGATGTCGGGGATACTGCATTTAAGAATGCCTACTGCAATCGAAATCCCTTTACTTATCACACTGATGACGAAGACGAAGAAGCGAGTGTCGGCGACGACGACATGGGCAATGTACAGTTTCATGTTGCCAATGGACACGGAGAGCTGGTCCAGTTCCCCGAGGAAACCAGAGGAGATACCTCTCACCTCTCAGAGAGTGATGAAAAATCTCTCGGCTCGGATTCGTTAAGCTACAGTGGTTTTCCCTCGCGCGATAAACTGGAATACGAGGAGCAGGAGGAAATGCCGCCACCACTCAAGAGAGGAGGTGGTCGCTCCGTGATTGGCGCCGGTGTTGAGAGTATCAAATACATATTCTCCATGGTACTTCTCGTTTTCTCCGTGATCGTTGTTTCGGCTTCCATCTTTGCCAGTCAAACTGTTGCCACGGCAGAGAGTGGAATCCATCCCATTGCAGCCTTTGTCATTTTCTGGTTCCTCATTTGCTGGCTGGCAATGATGGAAGGAGGACAAGGCGCCTTGGTCGGTCTCCAACCTATCGAACCTGAACTCTATGAACAGACTCATCACAAGGCGGCCATGGTCGCAAGATATTCTCAAAAGGGAGACAACATGGAACGCTTCATTGTTGGAAGGCAGTTCTTGGTCGTCTTGGTGGTGTTTGTTATGAACATGATGGCCTCGGCGACAGCGGATGCGGATGTCCTGGGTCTCTCTGGTGTCATGAAAGAAATCTTCCTCTCTACTGGGGTATCCTTGATGATGGTTGCCATTGTGATTGGGCAGCTCACAGCCCAGGTCAATGCGGCCAATTGCATGATTGATTTCATCAACAACTACTTCATGCTCTTCACTCTCTGGCTGTCTCTAATGATTGAGTTCTCAGGGCTCCTCCACTGTGTCTACTTGGTCCAGATGATTTTTGCCAAGATTGCTGGGACGCCCATTGAAACTGCTCCAAGGAATCTCCTACAGACCATCTTCTTCTGGGTGAGAGTTCTCCTATCTCTTGTCATCCTAGCTTTTGCCCTTGCTGTCACCCTTCAAGCTCTCTTTGATGGAAATACTGCCATGTGGGAAGGTGTCCCTTCTGGAGTTTCCGTGGTAGTTCTGTTCCTTCTCATGGCTTTTGTTGGTCTAATGGAGGGCATGCAGATTGCTCTCTTTGCTGTTGTGAATCTTCCAGAAGAAGAGCTTCAAAGGCATCCTAGAGCTTTTGCCAACTGTCAGTTTACCTTTACGGGACAGAACCTCCAAGCCTTCCTGATTGGTCGCCAAATCTGTGCAACCATTTGCATGTTTGTGGTGGCTCGCATTACCACGTTGGCTGTGCCTGCGGGTGAGCCCAACATCTTTGATGTCAATGACGGACTCCAGCAATTCTTTAATACTGGTCTTCTTGGAGCTCTCATCACCACTGTCCTTGCCTCCTTGGTTTGGCGTATCATTGCTTCCTCCTTCCCTGTTGCCTTCCTGTCAAACCCTGTGATCTACTGGATCATTCGACTCTGCTTGCTGCTTGAGCATTCTGGTGTCTGTTCCTCGGCCTGGGTTCTGGCCCGTTTCCACAAGCCCTTTGTTGGATATCAACCTGATGAAGTGCACCTGGATGGTGCTGATCCTCACACAGCCGAGCCAGTGACCCGCCGTGACAAGGATATTGACCGCATGTCTACAGTCTTCAAGTTTACCTATTCTTTGGCGCTCCATGGATTTGCTGTCGTGCTGGTCATCGCTGCTATGTTTCAACAGCAGACTGCTGCCACTGCTGATATGGGTATCCCCCCGATTGCTGCTTTCGTCATCTTCTGGTTTCTGATTGCATGGTTGGCTATGATGGAGGGTGGCCAAGGAGCACTAGTTGGCCTTCAGCCCATTGATCCAAAGAGGTATGCCGGAAGCCACCCTAAAACCCTTATGAGTACCAAAATCATTCACAACGGAGACAATATGGAGCGTTTTATTGTCGGAAGGCAGTTTTTGGTTGTCCTGGTGGTCTTTGTGATCAACATGATGGCTTCCGCAATCAAGAACCCTTCCGTACTTGGACTTGGTGACTTGCTGACGGAAATATTTGTAAACTCTGGCCTATCCCTCATCCTTGTGACCATCACAATCGGCCAACTGACAGCCCAAGTTAATGCGGCCAACTGGTAAGTTCAATGTGGTGACTCTGTATAGCATGTTGTGCCGGTTCCTTTTAAGTCTTACTGACTCCATTCATTTCTCTCTGTCTAGTATGCTTGATTTCTTGAATAACTACTTCATGGTCTTCACCAGTTGGATCTCCCTCGCCATTGAGTTCTCTGGTCTACTACACTGTGTATATCTTGTTCAAATTGTCTTCTCCAAGGTTACTGGTCAAGCCACAGAGGGCACAGAAAAGCCAAACAGTGCTCTGCAGTCCCTCTTCTTCTGGGCACGCGTTCTGGTGTCGCTTGCCATCCTTGGGTTTTCATTTGCAGTCATCCTGAAGGCACTTTTCGATGGAAACACTACAATGTGGGAAGGTGTTCCTCAAGCAGTATCCGTGGTCATCTTCTTTGTCTTGATGTTCTTTGTGGGCCTTATGGAGGGCATGCAGATTGCCTTGTTCGCAGTCATCAACATGGAGGAGGAAGAGGTTCAAAACCATTCAGTGGCACATGCAAACTGCAAATTGGTTTTTACGGGACAGAACTTGCAAGCATTCTTGATTGGCCGCCAAGTCTGTGTGACCATATGCATGTTTGTGGTCGCCAGGATCACTACACTTGCTGTACCCGCTGATGAACCTAACATCTTTGGAGTCAGCAATGGCACTCAGGTGTTCTTTGACACTGGTCTCCTTGGGGCCTTGATTACTACTGTTGTTGCGTCCCTTGTTTGGCGAATCGTTGCATCATCATTCCCACTTGCCTTCCTGTCGAATCCACTGATCTATTTGATCATCCGCATCTGCTTGGTTCTTGAAACGTCAGGGGTTTGCTCTGCAGCATGGGTTCTTGGACGGTGGAACAAGCTAATTGCTGGCTACCAGCCAGATGAGGTCTATCTCGAAGATGCAGAGCCACACACAGATGAACCAGTGACTCGTCGTGACAAGGATGTCGATGTGACTGTGACTGTCATCAAGTATGTCTACTCTACTGCCCTGTTGGTGTTCTCTGTGGTTGTTGTCATGGCGGCTGTCTTCAGTGAGCAAACCCTGCTCAGTAAAGAAGCACATCCTGCTGTTGCATTCATTGTACTTTGGGTGCTTGTGATTTGGCTTGCCATGATGGAAGGAGGACAAGGTTGTTTGGTCGGTCTCCAGCCAGTAGACAAGACCTTGTATAGCCACAGCCATCCAACTGCTTTGAGGAGTACTGCACTGGCACACCGAGGAGACAACATGGAACGTTTTATTGTGGGCCGTCAGTTCCTTGTTGTCCTGGTTGTCTTTGTCATCAACATGTGCGGTGCTGCCCTGTCAGGTACTACGGTACTCAATCTTCCAACGCTCGCAAATGAAATCTTTGTGGCTTCTGGTGTGGCAATGATGCTGATGACCATTGTCATTGGGCAACTGACGGCCCAAGTGAATGCAGCGAATTGCATGTTGGATTTCATCAACAATTACTTCATGGTCTTCACCACCCATGCTTCATTGGCTATTGAGTTTTCGGGCCTTCTGCACAGTGTATATCTTGTCCAGATGTTCTTTGGCCTGTGCACTGGCAATGCAGGGGGGGATGGAGGCGGAAGAAGTAATGTTCAGAAGGCATTCTTCTGGTCCCGAGTTCTCATGTCTCTGGGTATCCTTGGTCTCTCTTTTGCTGTCACACTCGAAGCCCTCTTTTCTGGCAAGACAGCAATGTGGGAAGGCGTCCCCAATGGAGTGTCCGTAGTTGTTTTCTTTGCATTGATGTGCTTTGTGGGGCTCATGGAGGGCATGCAGATTGCATTGTTTGCTGTCATCAATATGCCAGAGGACATGCTCCAGTCTTCAACATTTGCCAACAAGACCTGTAAATTAACCTTTGAGGGCAACAACCTTCAGGCTTTCTTGATTGGGAGGCAAATCTGTGTGACCATTTGCATGTTTGTTGTGGCTCGCATCACAACCATTGTTGTGGAAGAGGGAGAAAGTAACATCTTCGGCATCTCGAATGGTCTTCAGGCGTTCCTCAACACTGGTCTACTTGGAGCCATCATTACAACTCTGGTGGCCTCTTTGGGCTGGCGCATTGTGGCATCATCCTTCCCAGTTGCATTCTTGTCCAATCCATTGGTCTACATGATCCTTCGGTTGTGTCTTTTGTTGGAGCACACAGGTGTCTGTTCATCAGCTTGGTTGTTGGCCATCATTCAACGGGCTGTTCTAGGTTACAAGGTCGATGAAGACTACATTGGAACACCAGAAGAACGTGCCGCGGCCACCAAGACAGATACCACTGAAGAATACCTGCAATCCATCCATGCATAATGTCCGAGACAAGTCGCTGTCTCTCGGTTTCACTCTTCCGACCTCCAGTTGGTTCCTGCCACCTTCCACGGGGAACACGTGCCTCTTCCGTGGGCATCTTTCATTCTCGGATGGATTGCGTTTGGGGAACATCCGATCTGCAGCAGCGATGAGCACCGCGATCTCATGATCGTTGGCTCATCCACTTTATGTACCGTAGCAAGTAGCAATATTTCATAGATAAAGAATATAGAAGAAAGCATAAGCTGTAAACCACCATGCGATATTCTTGCGTTTGAGACTGCAGCGAGTGGATTCCCTGTCGTCATGGTCGTTTCAACTCTTCGAGTTCGGTACCACCAGCTGCAGCGAAGCAACTCGAGTCGAACAGCCAAGGTCGTCGTTGTTTGTGGTGTTTTGTCTTCGACTGGTCGATGAGTTCACGTCTTGGCGACGTGCCAGGATGCCTTTTACCTCCTCGACGCTTGTTGAATCCACTCGAAAAGCACCCAGCAGTGTAGACCACAAGTTGGCTGCTTCGCATGGGCGGCCGGAGAAGGCTCAGGATCAAGCAGCATTTATCAGCTTGTCTTCGAAACTGGCTTGGATACTACTCCAGTTGTAGGTGTCTTTTCCGCTGATGATCTCGATTAGCGGGTAATGCAATGAGAGGTCGTGAGCTTGGGCGTCCCGTTCTAGCTAGTACCGGGCGGTATGGCGGGTTCTTGTCCTTTGACTTGTGTGCGCTGGGGTCCTTGGACGAAGGGCGTCTTTTGAGGGTCTGCCTGGCTCCGAAACCTCCAAAATGTTGGGCTTTTTTTTGACGCTAGAGACCAGGGATCTTCTTGAAAAAGCATCATGCTGACAGGTTGATTGTTGACTGTCAATGCCATGCCTAATAATGATGCTACTGTACTGGTACCACCACCACAGAAACAACCAGTCGCCTACTAAATTAAAAACTAACTACCTAATAATCAAACTCATTGCCAATTCGGTCATTGTATTCCACTTGGAATACATTTCTCTTCTTCTCAATGAGCACCTGCTCAATGTTGGCAACGGCATGGAAGGCAACACCATGCTTTTGAAGTGGGTGGCGCCAGATGCCGTGGAGGGCTTCCCACTTCTTGAAGCGCCTGTTCACAGTCTCATGCCTGGCACGGGCAAGAGCCTTGCGGCGCCTCTGCTGATCATTGTCGAGATGCTTCCAAGGGGTATCAAAAAACTCAGGGTGGCCACGGTAGCCACTATCAGCAACAGCTCTCTCATCCCCTTCCAGGCAGTCAACAAAGGAACTCATGGCAATCTTCAAATCAGGCCACTCGCCACAAGGGAAGGGACCATTGATCCATACAATGTGACCAGTCTGAATGGCAGTAGCAACCTCATACCTCAAGCCAGCACTCTTGAATTTTTTTGTGAACCAACGGGAGCTGAATGGATGCTGCTCATTGATTCGGAAGTCTGTTCCATCAAGAGTCACCTTGCATCGGCTGCCATTGTCACTGATAAGTCTGTTCTCCCACTTGATCTGTGAGTGGCAGAGAAACATGAGATTTAAGTGTAAAAAAAGTGAAGTGAGTTGATGCCATTTAGACAAAGTGAAGTGAGTTGATGCCATTTAGACGTTCCAGACGTACCACAGGAAGAAGAGCCAATCTCTCTAGAAATTTCCAAATCCACCTGGCAGAAGTAGCTGGATCGACACCCACTTTGGTAGCTAGGACAATGTTGGTGGCATAAGTGCGTAGAAACATAAGAGAAAGCATGAAATACTTTAAGTGGTTGGTGTTCTTCAATGGAGATACCGTCTTATCGATCATGTTCCAGAGAAGGGCAATGTAGTAGGGTTCCAGCCCAAAATGTGCGACATAGGTTGATTTGACATAGGCCTCAGCTCGATCACCATTTATGTCAAAGTACTGTTTGCCAAAGCGCTCAACGTGCTTGCAATTAACTCGGACCATTGTTGTTGTTGTAGTTGTAGTTGCTTTTCAAAGTGTAAGAAAAAAATTTGTGAAATGATAGAAAAAGGGCATGAAGAAGGAAGGCAAAATACGTCGCTCCACCATTTGGTCCGCTGTACCCGTTCAATTGGTATCAAAGTTATACAGTCCCGTCCCGTCATGTTCAAGTGAGATGCCTGAAACAGAGAAGGCCATTGTGACCTTGTGTAAACCGGCAAAAAGAGACGCTTTTTGTCATGGTCAAAGTTACAGTGGTCAGCTGATCTTGTCAAATCTTGTGAATTGGTCATCCACGATTCTAGTATCGAAATCACTCCAAAACTGCATGAGTGGGACAGATTCAAATTTTGTTAAGTAGGAACCAGCGCATGATTTCTATTATGTGGAACTGCCAGACTCGCTAAAATTCAAATTCCTGGCTCACAAACTAGAAGGTCAAGCTCTAGCCCGACCAAAAGTGGATGAAAACTATAAGTCAGGAGAAAGCGCCCATGTCCAAGCTTTGACGCCCAAGATATGTCTAGATAAGTCGAGTTGATTGGTCTAGTTACTTGCCCCTTCTAAAGTAGGTACTAGAGGCTTAGAAGACTATTCGAGGCTGGTCTATACAGTGTTATTCTATGTGCTACAGGTCTGGAATCAAGCGGCACAGGACGCTTTTTGCGTTCTAGGCCGGTTTTCAGGTGTGTGGCCCTGGTCAGCCAGATTGAATTTGCCACTCAAATTTAGGCCCTAGATACTGTCTTTTATATATAGATTGAAGGAACGCTAAGTTTGGCTACACCAAAGCATTTGGTTCTTCCAGGCCGACCACCTAGAGTTGGACAAATGGAATTGTCTCTTGACTTTGTGTTTTTCATGTCGGTGTGGCACACACCGTGGCACGGCCATAGCACGAAATTATAAGTTGATTGTTGGGACACTCTTAATACAGAAGGGCCGACTGGCTAAAGAGTGGGAGAGGACGTTCTAGACGTTATCGTCACACCTGTTTGCTAGGTCATTGCGCAAGTTGACCGGTTTGCACATGAGTCACATTCCGATTACCAGCATCCGACACGATTAAACCCAAACTGCACAGATGTACAAATAGTACCATTCCGGGAAACTCAGTTGCCAATCAAGTCACAACTACCATGAGATCGCTCCTCTGAATATTCCGTTTCATCAAACCAAAAGCCGATGACAGTTTCATTTCCAGATCTCACAATCTTCTGTCCGCAAAGATGGGAAAGCTCGAAGCAACAAAGAAGAAGGCAGTTGTGAAACATGTCTTTCGCCAAGACAGTAAGAGCAGTCACTAAAAAATAGGTCGCACCCAATATTGGTCGATTGGTTTTTAGCTGGAACCCAAATCGAAACCTATTCAGTCACTAACTCATTTCGGTCGAGGTTTAGGTTGCGACCGAAATCGACCGGTCGTTCCACTGGTCGATTCAAGGTCACTTTGCGACCAGTGGATCGACCAGGTCGCTGTTTTGGTTGTAGCCACATCAACACACAAAAGCCTCATCAACAGGCATAGCAACAGGCATAGCAACAGGCATAGCAATACCTGCCAACAAGGATATCCCATGGAAGAAGTAGCAATGAGCCGTAGCAGCTCAAAGACTGATGCGGCAGATTCATCTTGACGCTTCTTCCTGATGTCTGCTGCGGCCTTGTTGTGCTTCTCCACAAAGCCATCTCCCTTTCCCTTAGCTCCTGCAGTCTTCATTGTCAAACCAAAGCAACCAAAGCAACCAAAGCAACCAAAGCAATCAATAAAGCACACTGATGAGTGAGCGAAATGAGCTCGAGCGAAAGTTTCCACGGAACGAACGACCGTTTCGGCGACCTATGTTGCAAACGAAATTTTAGTGATTGAATTGGTCAATTAGGTATCAGTCGACCGATATGGCGACCCAATTTTAGTGAATGAAAAAGGTCGCCGTTTGGGTCGACCAGATAGGTATCTATTTGGGAACGACCAATAGTGCGACCTATATTTTTAGTGACTGCTCTAAGGACTTCAAGTTTCTGTTGAAGGAACTCCGAGCTGGCAAAATCAAGTCCACCGAAAAGCCTGCTAGTGTTCGCAAACGCTATGAGCGCTATGAAAAGTACACTTCTGCTCAGTTTCGATCTCAGTTCAACAAAGCTAAGGCAATCTCGGGTGGAAATTTTAGTAAGTGCTTATTGTTTGCCCATGGTCCCTCCCATTACTATCATTGATTGCTAACACATTTTTCATCTACTAGCTACAAAGAAGGCTGCCACTTGTGGCGATGATTCAGAAGAGGATGACGATGTGGATGAGGTGGAGGATGAAGTGGAAGAGACTGTAACTATGGAAGAGGCGCCGTCTTTGGTCAATGGTCTTCCAGGATTTGCTGGTTTACGAATCTCAGATGATGATCCGACAATGACGGATCCATTGATTTGGACACCCAAGAAGCTAACAAAGCAGTGGAAAAATGGGCAAGGTATTCGCCACTACTCCATTATTATTATATTGTCTAGCGGTGCTGTCGACCACCAGACTAACAATGTGGAGTGTGCTGTCAGCGACAATGGCATGAGATTTTCCATCAGTGAGCGTTGGCCATTGGTGTTGGAGTCCATTACTGAGTTTTATGATAGCTTCCCAAAGGCTATTGATGAAACCACTGATGAGTTCAACAGGCGCATGTATGGCTTTGAAGACACAATCAAGGAGATCAAGCCATCCGGTGGATTGGTTTCGGTCCATCATGTTGAGCTACCATTTCAAGTTGATCCAACTACATTGCGAGTCAGGTTTGTTGGAACTGAAGATGGTGCCAAGTTCTGCCATGTAGACTTGGCTGAAAAGGCTAAGAAGGTAGTTGACAAAGTGCACATGATGAAAATCAGTGGTCGTGGAAACAAGGAAAGGACCAAGCAGATGCATGACTATTCTCAGCTTGGTGGCCATTAGAACAAACTCAACAACAAGCACACTTCGCATGGGTGATAGCCATGCTGTCAACAATCATGATGGGAGGCAACAGTTTCGAGTGCCTCTGTGTTGGTCTGGTAGTACCTAGGATTCTAAAATAGGAACAATTACAATGGCGGATGTCTCTGTAGCTAGCTAGTCTATTAATAGAAATATTAATAATAATTCAATCTAGCAGCATGACGCTTTTTCAAGAAGTTCCCAGCAGTAATAAAGGAACCGAGCTTCAGCCACTCATCGCGAAATTGGAATGGATAGAGTTGCACGTCATGGTGGTCTTCCTGGTTACCAGTACCGGACCCAATTTGAACATTTTGCTTCTGGGTTTTCGAGCACATTTTCCAGCAAAAACGTTTAATTCAAAATTTTCTCTTTGGTTCAAATGATGGAAACGCAGCCGATTCGATTCGATTCGATTCCCCCCCTTTTCCACCCAATCAAATCGGTACCATACCGGTACCGTTACTGGCACCGGTATGTACCAGTACCGCTACCCGTACTGTACTAGTACGTAAGAGGGACTTCTATCTTTGTGCCTCCCACCCTCCCATCGGAAGAAGAAGCGCTGTTTGCAGCTGAAGACGATGATGTTGTGTTTACATCGAGCCAAAAGGCGCTACAAATACTCATGCAGATTGCCGCTGGCATAAGCATCCCATGTGCCATGTGTATCATTGCCGAGACCTACGCATCGCACAGAGCGGGCACTGGGACCTCCGCCACCCGTATCTTGTTCTGCCAAATGATATGGACGGTATTCTATCTGTTTACGCTCATGTTTGGTAGGCTTCCAATGCCTGCCGAATCCGGGGCATGGGGTGCTGCTGGCAACACTGCCTCTTGTACTGCACAAGGATTTTTTGTCAATCTGGGTGCTTGGGCTTTTTTGATCTGGGATATAGCGCTTTCCATCACCTACGTCTTCATGGTCTGCTATGGATGGACAGAGACGCAGCTCAGGCAGAGAATTGAAAAGGTTACCCATGCCATTGGTATCATTGTGCCGATTTTATTCGCCCTCGCTGGGCTCTTTACCAACTCCTACAATCCCGGCTACGCCGTATGCACACTGGCCAAGTTGCCCTACACTTGTGATGGGGATGAAGTTCCTTGCGAAAGGGGAGAATATGCTACGTTGCTGCTCTTTGCTGGTTTACTCATGAGTGTAATTGCACTTTTGGTGTCTACAACTTCCATGATCAAGCTGTATTGCTTTGTGCGACATCAAGAGGTCAGGAACCGACGCTATGGCGCAAGCTCCTTAAAGGCATCCACCACCAACAACAGCCACGCCCCAAACATGTCCATCACCACTCCTTCGTCACAGACACGCGACAAGAAAAAAATTACAAAGACGCAGCGAGTGTCAAGACGAATTGCTATTCAAGGCATCCTGTACTCTGGTACCTATTTCATTGTAGCAATTCCCCAAAACATCATTTGGACTATTCGAGCTACCAGTGATCAGGATGGAAACTCAGTTGCTCTTGGCGTTGTGTACGTTATTCAGGCACTATATGGTGTCATGTATCTGGGCATCTTTACGCGTCGACAGCAAGAAATGAGGACTCGGTATGGTCAATTTGTGAAAAGGTTGATTTCCTGCGGGCCCTTGTTCTCGTTGTGGGCTCGCCTTCGTCAAGAACACCAACAATCAGGAGACGATCGACAGAGTACGTGCCAAGAGCAATCCAAGGACGAGGACATGATCAATGACAACTCTCCCGAATCCATTCACAGCTTTGCAGATGAAGAACCAGAACCCGTTGTGGAACCTGAGGCCTGATTCATTTTTGATATTACCATGGATCAATTGAGGCCCCCGGCAAGAATCTTGCGTTGGCATTGATGCTCTTCCCTGTACGAACACCGTCTGCACGAACATTTGGCGAGAAGTTGCGGCGTTTGCGGAAAGGATGGATCGTGCTTCTTTTGTTGCAATAATGAGCTCCAATTGCAGAAGCCAACGTTGAAACGACAATCCTCAACTTTGCCCCGCGTGGCACCTTACACGAAAGGGATACTGGGTGTTTCAGGTTCCTCCGCGACGCAAACAACGAAAGCTGTCGCGGCCTACAAGCAACGCAATCGTTTTCGACAGCAGTTGCAAATGGCTCTGCCATCCATTTCAGCGTCCTCGTCGACGCCACTTTGGAAAGAAAGCTCGCCAATGGATTCATGACTACGATTCCAGGCTCGAAGACCATGGCTGAACAAGCAGCTCGAGGTCGCACAGACCGCGCATATCGCACTAACCCTGATATTCGCAAGTCGCCCCAACACAACTTGCTACGTCGTGCTCTTCCCATGCCGTAGACTGGATATTGTAACCTCCCGTGCATTTGCTGGAGGGATCTCAAGGCACAACTTCAAGTACAGAGGCGCGTTGTCCAAGTTGCACGAACAGATGGACTCGCGGGATTGCGACGAAAGAAGGGAGTTTACTCGTTGTCTGAACACAGCTGGGCAGTGAAATTTTGGCATGAACTTCCTACTAGCCTGAAGTGAGAGCCGCACTAGCTTGTGCACAAATCAAAACGAAGCGGCCCGCCTATTCGAGCGTCTTTGAACTACATAACCTTTTTCCCAACTACAAATTTAGTTACCATTTCTTCATGTACATCAACGTGCAAATAAATTCCATCCATTTGGTCCTTTCTTAGAATACCGGTACGTGTAGCAAGTATCGTAGTGTTCGTTTCTTCTGGTGGATTGAGTTTTGGTTATCCCGGTGCCGGACCGACCTTTTTATGGCTCTGATCTTTGCTTTCTTTGCTTTCGCCTATTCCGAATCAACGGCCCTTGTATCGCCTCAGTGTCGTTTCGACTTTCCTCGTCTTCATCCATGGTTGGTTGCCCGAAAAAGCTGGTGGGATTAAATAGCGCTTGATGGAACTTCTTCATGCTCTCCAAGGCGCCCATGACCTTGCTCTCACTGGGATTAATTGCGGTTTCTTCTGCGTCAACGTCGTCGTCGCCATCACTAGTATCATTGGAGGCGTAGCTTCCCAATGGCTGTGGTTTCTTGGTAATCCTCTTGGTGCCACCCGCCACAGTTGTTGGTTTTTCGTGTGTCATTGGTTCAATGGGTTCTCGACTCTCCTTATCGACGCCTCGTCGTGGTCGAATGCGTGTCTCCGGTGTGACTGTCTTGACATCGTTCAACACTTCTTCCAAGATGGATCTCCATCGTCCTTTTTCGGTTTTGCGGAGTTTGATCAGTACGCTGTCTGGCTTTATCCGTACCCGACAATGATTCTTGTGTACTTCGGCAAAGAGTACACCGGCCACGACGGGATTGATAATGTCGTCGCGGGTAATTTCGACGCTAATGGTCTTGGGTTCAATCAAGACATTGACGTCGCATTCCGAGAGACCGGGTTCCAAAATGGACACGAGTACCAGCGTGTCCGTTTGACAAATCTTAATGTCGGGTTTTCGACCAGTGGCGCTGACCGATTCTTCTTCCTCCTCGTCTTCCAGTTGTTCCTCTTCCTCCACGGAGTACGGGTGCTCCATCGATCCCAAGGTCGGTATCATCTTGTCTGTTGTTTTTGGTATTTATTGGTTCCGAATTGTTGTTGCTGCTGCTGCTCCTGCTGTTCGTTGGTTTGTGATGTAATGCATGTGAACAGGCTCGAGAGGTGCGATTCCAAATAGATATTGTGAGCGGAGCAACGGACAAGATCAGCCGTTGTCTTTGATTATTAACGGACTGGCGAGCAGCTCACTGTGACATTTATAGCCATTTGTCTTGTCCGGCTACACACAGATACGGGTCATGACCCAACATCTCCACCGTAGGTACCGGTACCCAGGAGGGATTGAAATAGAAGCATGCCCAGTTGTCTAGTTCTGCCACTATTACATAGTGGTACTACATACCTCAGGTACCGCACGAAGAGGTACTAGCTAGTACATGTACGGTAGGTAGACTAATCATGTTGTTGGACGAGGTGGGGGTGTTTTGAAAGCTTGGGCTTGGTTTTGAGAAAATGTGAGCTTGGGTTTGAGAGCCGGGTGAGTCACGAAGAAGTTCCTCGCAGTTCCACGAAGGTTCCGAGATCGCCGTCTCGAGAGATCCAAGTCTTCCACTCGCACCGCGCAACAAGCAACTGACCAGCATGTTCATTATTCTTCAGTGGCTATTACCATGACATCCAAAGAAAGAGACAACATGACAATCCCCATCCCCTCGTATTCCGATAGAGAGACCTTGCTTCGTCTGGGTATAGTCAAAGTACCCATTCCCTCCATTATCGGCAAAGATCAGCAACAATGGGCCTCGGAACTCTCCCAAGTCACTCCCATGATCATGGCCATGCAAGGGGACAGCGAATATGCCTTTTATCGAAACATCATGGTAGAACCCGAGCTGGAATTTCCCTTGGAACAAATCGTGAGCGAGCAGATCCAAGAAGCCTTTGAAAAATATTTTGGAGTGCAACCCGAGGAAATGCGTCTGGATGATGCCTTTTGCGTTCATTACAATGCTGATCAAACCGATTCCTCCGGGAAAAAGCACATGGATCCAAGCGATATTACCGTCAACGTGTGTCTCGAAAACACAGACGACGTGGAAGGAAGTCAAGTGTTGTTTTATGGGAGCAAGAAACTCGAGAATGTTGACATCGACGACAACGACAACGAGAATCAAAACGAGCAGGAACGATTTTTAGTGCCCCAAGAACCGGGATTTGCCACAATACACTACGGGAGCCATCCTCATGAGACAACTCCCTTATCGTCCAAGACTGGTAGACGGACCAATGTCATTGTGACGTACTGCTACAAGGACAAGACCAGGAGTGATGTGGGGAAACGAAATTGTTACTTCATCTAGCTAGCTATGACAGTCACACAGCAACCAACTGATTGAATCAATCATGAATCATTCCATTCAGCATTGACTAGATTTACTGTGGGAAACACCCGGGCCTCGGCTCGTGGGTCGTCCTCAGCACTTCTTGTCTGAATCCGTATAGACGTAAAGTTGTTTTTTAGACTCACCAATCTACAACAAGCAAGGGAGTGCAGTGGATCAGCTAGCTATTTGATTGACACTTGGAAAGGTTTATTGCATGTATCTATCCGATAATTGTATTGTACCAATTTTCAATGAACGCTGCAAAAAAAAACCTTTTATTTTAAGACAGAGACTTGGCATTCAAGTTACTGCGTCACTATGCTCCATTGGCAACTTAGGATCGGGCTAAAGTATGACGGCTTCTTTTCTTGCTGCATGCTCGCCTTCCAAACCTTGCCAAGCAATCCACAGCAGAAAGAAAAGATGGTTCGATTTGTCGACTTACGGTAGTACGAGAAACACCCGAGTCCGAGTCCAGCAAGCTATTCCGCCTCTTCTTTGCCTAAGCATGGCCCCTCGCCGTCGACCTCCGGTTCCGTAGATAGCTTCCGTACTCTAATCGACTAGCTACTAGTAGCTATGGTCGGAGTCAGAGTCCACTTTTGTGGCGTTGGTTCAAGGCGCTACAGTACCAACCAAGCAACTGCCTAGATCACTCAGAGGTAATGCGGGGAAGTTAGACCTCCTCTCTCGCTCCTTCAAGTTCCTGGCTTCTAGAAGCGGGACTGTGCACTATTCACTCGTTGTTGGTGCCGAATAGTGGGAATGAATGAGGTCCATCTTGTTGGTTTTGTTGCAAGTCAAGGAGGGAGCAATGTTGAGTTTCAACTACATGTAACTGCAGGCTATATCCTTACGAGAGGCTTTCATAGCAACCGATATACCGGTACCTCAAGAAGCAGGAACATAGATAGCTAGCTAGCTAGCTAGTAATCGCTAAAAGGGCCAAACTGTCTGCTTACTATGTTCTTTGTTTCAAGCCGCTTTTCCCATCTTCCAGGAGCAAAATCGTTTCAATATTCCCTAGCTAGCACTTGTACACGATTTCATTGGTTGCCGTCTTGGCTTTCACGGTGACTGCATAAACGGCTCTTCGAAAGCTTCTTTGTTTCCATGAGCCGAGGCCTCTATTCTTCTAGCAATTTTCAACTGACAAATCCATTTCTAGTACCACCGAGCCCCCCCACTGCATGACATGCCATTGACTATTCACAACCTTCCTGCCTCTTCCTTCCATACAAACATGTATTCAATAACATTCAAATTCTCAAACAAACGCAATGTGTAACCTTTTTGTTGTTTTTTTCTGTTGTTTTCTTTTCTCCACCTAGTTAGTCAAATTGACTTGACTTGACTATTAGGCAACGTTTTGGAACATGTTGGAGATGGACATGTTGAAGGAAGAATGCAGGTCCGCAATGGGCTTGGGTCGCGACGGCGAAGGCTCGGGAGAAACACGGGTAGCCGCTTGAGCTTGTTGGAGGGAAGTCATCATATCGGGGACACCCAACATTAGCTCTGGCCACACTTCATCGGCCACGCCCTTTCTCAACTTGATTTCCACACAGTCCGGATGCACCTTGACTCGGCTATTGCCAACGTCAACGGAAGCATGAAGCAGCCCCTCGACCATGGTTTCTCCCCGAATGACCACAGTTAGTCGACGTCTTTGAATCTGAACATCCAAGTCATCTTCCTTCACATTCCGGCCCTTGACTAACACATGGATAAAGTTTCCGTGTTGGTGGAATTGGCAGTTTTCGTTCGACATGGTGATCTTGTTTCTGTGCTTGGGTATAATTGCTTCTCCTTCCTTTTTCTGTGAGAAAATTGAGAGCGGAACTTTTTTCAGCTGCCAACTCCAACCAGTCTGTCGATCGACTTCCTTCAAAATTAACCCGCGACTCGCTGGTCCCACTCACTCTTCCCAAGTGGCTTGAGCTGCAACCCGAAGGACCTCTTCGATTCCCGTGCGGTAGCCAAGAAGCATGATACGACGTGGCGACGTGATCCGTGACAGATTAGATTGCCCATTCAACATTCCCAACGCAACGGCAAGTCAGACCCACCACGTTAGCGATTGATGATGTGGGACAGCGCAGCTGCTTGCTTCCGGACTTTAGGAAACTCCATTGCCAAACCGCTCTGATGGCTACAACTCGGAGCGTGGAGCGTAGCGTGGAATGAGGACTCGAACAACATCAAGACTTGGTCGGACTGTCACTACATTCTTTGCTCGCTGCTATTGTTTGGCAACCTTGACCGATAGCTAGCTAGCTAGCTCACTTGTAACCTAATGATATCAACCACAATGGCTACCGACAAAGCCATGACCTTCCAACAAAAGGAGAAAGCAAACCGACCTGAAACCTTTACATCGGGCGATGATTTCTTAAGACGCCGCGAGGAATAGACCTTTAGCAGCTGAAGAGTCAAGAGCTAATAGAGGCTAATAGAGCTAGAGAACAACAAGAAGCAATGACAACAGAGGATTACATTTCTATTATCATCTAGAGCCCATACAACTGAGCGACTTGATTGTCGCTCATGTCATCGTGGTACTCTCGCATGTCAAAAAGCTCCTCACCCTGCTCCATGCTGAGCTACACGAAAACAGCAATGGAGCGAGTGACGGCCCCGTGCTTTTCAGGCCCATGACGGAAGGGGACGTCAAGGGCATGGAAATTCTTCAGTAGTTTGTTGAGTTTCTCCTGACGGATGCGGAGCCGTCCCCGCATGGCCCGTTGATCCTCGTGCGCTCGCAATGAATGAGGGCACTTGACCTTTTCGGCCTCCGCAAGGTAGCCATCGTCGGCCTTCACACGCTCATCTGCACCCAACATGTCTCGCAAGCCAAAACGAAAGATCTGAAGATCGTTGTAGGTACCAGGAAGATACGGTCCAGCAAGCCAGCAGATATAGGAGGCTCGAATGTTGGTAGCAAACTCGTAGCGGTAGCTGGCCTTTTTGAATTTGTTGGAGAAGCGTGTTTTGTCGGGATTGCCATTGTGAAGCTTCTTGCCACGAGAGAGAAAATCAACGCCATCCACAGAACACAAGCAGTCATTGCCGACGTCCCCAATGTATCTGTTGGACCATTGGATCTAGTAAGGAAAGAGAATGGGTGGGCAGAAGGAGAGAGGAGAGCAGCAACGCATGGCACAGTAGGAGGCTCACCACGTCATTTTCCAAATAGGAGATCTCATCAATGAAATACCAAACCCACTTGGACCAAGTGCCCTCATCCACTCCACCACAGCGAGAGGCTACATTCTCTTCGGTAGGATATTGCTGTAGCATGTTGAGCGACCAGAGGTATCGTTCCATGGAGGCACCTTCAATGAGCGACCCACCCATTTCCAGCAAGTACCAGGCAATCGAAAGGACAGAAACTCCACACCAGGCCCGAATACGGCGATCCTTCACAGCTTCGCTCCCAGACAACCGGCCATTGCGGAACAAACCAAAAGCAATCACTTCAAACTCATGTTCAAGCCGTTCGACGGCATCTAAATCGTACTCAACCACCATGGTGAAGAAATGCGAATTTTCGAAAGATCGAAAGATCGGAAGTGAGGTGTCTCCGCTTTTGACAGCACGCACTCCTGCACTCCTCCCTCTGCTTTGTTTCGTGTTTCCTCGGAAGGGGAGTATGCTTGGGCAGTTGACCACCTCTTACGGGACACTCCCTAGCAAACGGAACAATCGTTTTGTCTCTTAAAAGCATGAACGTCTAGACTGCTAGAGAGCCGAATTCGCGCCAATTCAATCGTTCGAAAATAAGAATTCAATCGTAGAATGGAACTCAAGATATTTAGCCGGAGCTAAAAGAATTTAGCTTTTTGATAAGCCCAATGTGACTCAAGTGCTCAAAAATCGCTTAAAAAGTGCTAAATAATCGCTCAAATTATGAGCGAAAAATGATTGAAAAGCTCTCATCGCTCAAAAATGACTCAAAATTCACTCATTTCCTGCACTTTTGACTGAAAAACGGCTCAAAAACAGCTCAAAAATGACTGAAGAATTGCTCATTTTTGAGTGATTTTTGAGTGATTTTTCAGCTATTTTTCAGCTATTTTTCAGTCGTTTTTCAGTCGTTTTTCAGTCAGATTTGAGTAACGGATCCAACTGAAGAGTGAAAAGCGCTCCAAGCTGAATGCCACCAGCCCGACTATTCGCATTAATACATTAGACATCTCCATTAATGAATATAAACATACTGACACGAACCAAGTTTGGTGCTCTCCTCTCCGTCGTCAAAATTCACTTTTTCCTCACTGGAGCCTTCGGATTTCCGAAAAGATTGTTTTGTGTGTAAGTAATCTTTGACCATGGCGGCTTGAGCGGCTGGTGTGCTCCGTTGGGATCGGGAGGAGAAGCAGAAAGTGGCGCAGCATCTCAGTGATGGACGGATCGATCCTACTCGTATGAACTCCACCACGTATCTATCGCAATTGAAGACTCTTGAGGCTGTTTGGGATCGTCATGCCAACAAGAATTTCTATCAGAATGTCCGTCGTGCAGTCCAAGCTTGGTTGGCCGAGGGCCAAGGAGTCGGTCAGCGTCGCAACGATCAGAATATGAGCCGTAACAATCAAGCCGCTGGAGCACCTCCTCCACCAGACGACGATGACGTTGATTGGAGTGAGTGTCGGTCATTTTTTATTTATTTCTCTCTCACACTCTCTCACTCTGCTTCTGTTTCTTCTTAAGAAACCTCCACGGTCGTACCTGGCTGGAGCAAGAGCGCCATCGACAACAGCAGCAGCAGCGACAAGCCGGTGGTGCCAACGTCGATCAAAACCCGGAGACTCCCACTCGTATGCAACGTGGCATTGAAGAGATTTTAGGAGATTTGTCCTTCAACAACACTACCATGATGCACCATGCTTTTGCCTGGCGTGAAGGAATTCGCCGCGATTTGGATCCGGCTGCTCTGATTGAAGCGCCGCCTGTCTACAAGCGAGTCAGCGTCGATGTTCTATTGCCCGGATCAACGAATCTTGACCAGTTGGAGTGTTCTATTCTCCAGCCCGCGAGCCAGAAGAAGGTCAAGATCAAATACACCCCACCGCGAACTTTCTGGAATGCCCGACGCACTGCTGTTCGCATGGCTGCCCATGGTGGTGTCCGTGGAGCTGCTGTGAACATTGCTGCAGATCGTCTTTTGGCCATGCATCGTGTCACAAGTCATGAAGATTCAATTGCAGAGTTGACTCCCGATGACCTCACTATGGAATTCACCATTGACTTGCCTTTCGAAGTTGAGCCTGACTTTACCACTCGGAATGACTGGGGCGTCGTTGGTCAAGGACGTGGAGTGCAGATTGCTACGTATCGTCATGAGGACAATCGCTTTGTTGTCACCAATCAAGTCGTATGGATCCTTCATCTTGAGATGGTGGCCCGTGAACGTCGCATCGCCACACCCAGCCGTCCTGCTGATGCCTTTGACGAGATGCATATGCAAGCCTAGCTAAACACACAACAATCATCGACCATGGTGATGGGATGGGAACAAATGGTAACAACAGCGGCAGCAGACATCAGCGCCAAATCAATTCATACCGGTAGCATCACTAATTGCTAGCGACTTTTTAGCACATAAAGGTCTATTCCTGGCGGCGTCTAAGTCAAAAAGATGTTTGGGTTATCAAGATTTTCCCATTCCTAGGAATGGGGCACTTTGCCTTTGTTGCCCCAGTTTGTCACAAAATGAAAGACCTCTACAAAGCTTATTGTGAAACTGTGGCAAAGCCACCAGGAGTGACTGGTGGTTCCACCTTCCCGTACTGGCACCAGTTCATAGGTACCAGTACCGATAAGCGTCTTGCAACCCCCACAGATACTTTTCACAGCGCAATTTTCTGCAGCGTGCCCAGAGCTCAATTTTGGTACACCTATCAACGTACTGGATTAGGCAGAGAGATCAATGGTGTTAAAATTTGTGCTGCAGCAGCAAAAGTGGACAGTCTTGATGTTCTTCGGTGGGCTCGAAACAAGGGATTTGCTTGGGATCCAGCAACTTGCAGAAATGCAGCTAGAAATGACCATTTGCAGATATTGAAATATTCACGTGAAAACGGTTGCCCCTGGGATGCACACACATGTAGTGAAGCTGCTGCAAATGGCCATGCGGACGTTCTGAAATATGCCCATGAAAGTGGATGTCCATGGGATGCACAGACCTGCGCAGGGGCTGCTAAACATGGCCATTTGAAACTTCTGAAGTATGCCCACAAAAAGGGATGTCCATGGGATTCAGGAACTTGCAAAATGGCTGCCACACATCGACACTTGGACATCCTTACATATGCCCATGAAAATGACTGTCCATGGGATAGATGGACATGCTATGCTGCTGCTAGGTATGGCCATTTGGAGATCCTGGTGTGCGCCCATGAAAATGGCTGTCCGTGGGATCAATGGACATGCAACACTGCTGCAGCAAACGGGCATTTGGAAATCTTAACATTTGCCCACACAAGTGGATGTCCATGGGGTGAAACGGCATGCCACTCTGCTGCTCTCAATGGCAATATGGAAATCCTGAAATATGCCCACGAAAACGATTGCCCATGGGACGAATGGACATGCCGTGCTGCTGCTAGTATTGGCCATTTGGAGATCCTCGAGTATGCCCATGAAAATGGATGTCAATGGGATGAATGGACATGCAACAATGCTGCAGCAAGTGGACATTTGGAAATCTTGAAATACGCCCACAAAAAGGGATGTCCATGGGATTCAAACACCTGCAAAATGGCTGCCAAATATGGGCATTTGCAAATCCTGCAATATGCTCATGAGAATGGCTGTCCATGGGATGAAATGGTATGCCTTCATGCTGCAATGCATGGCCATGTGGTACTGCTGGAATATGCTATCAAAAATGGTTGCCCTTGGGAGGAGGGCACTTTGCAGGAGGGGCCGCAAGTAAAGGCTTGGGTTGAAGGGTTCACAGCCCAGAGGCGCATCTGATTTGTCCCCAAAAAGCACCACGCACGCTCCTATCTTGTAGGAACTGCCCCTCTAGACTTCGTTCTGGCTTCTGGCGCTCTACCTAGGCGAGAAATCAAAACATGATAGCGAAAAAGGATTGGTCATGGTTTTGTTTGTGCTCCAGCAAGAAATCTGTTGCATCAGAGTTCGTGAAGTGGGTGTTACTAGTACCTCCTCATTTCACATTACAAGACAAGGTTTTGGCGGTTGTTGGAGCTGTTGGAGCTGTTCCTGGGGTTTTGTGGACCTTCTCCAGTTCGCTTCCTGATATTATACTACCCACAAACTGCCAAAGTACAGTAGCATTTTAGGCTCCTCCCACTTCTCGTTCCAGCTTTTGCTTGCGAAATCCCAGCTCGCGACGAACGTTGGCTACCTGTGTGGTGATGGATTTCTCATCGACGGGCAAGTCAAATAGATTGTTGAGAGCTTGCAATTCCCCCTTGGCATTTCCCTCTTTTTGATAAATTTCGGCCAGAACTTGCAAACTTTCGGCACACCGATTGCGGGCAATATTGCAGGATGCCTGCGCGGCCAGTACGGCTCCCTCCAAATCTCCCAATGCCATTTTGGCCGACGCCTCGTTTCTCCGCGCCTTGACGAGCCAGAGGAGTCCCACTGGAATGCCATTCTTGTTGATAGTATCGTCGTTCCTCTTTTCTCGCGCACCTTGCAAGTCCATGGCGGATCGAAATGCGATATCAATGGATTTTTCGTAGAGCGTCACGGCTTGCTCATGATCCTTTTTCAAAAAGGCGTCTTCTGCCTGCCGACTGAGTTGGTACCCTTCTGTCAAGGATTCTGGAATGGCCATTCCTTCTTCTTGTTGTTGTTGATCCTCCAATAAGAGTTTCAAAATTTTGTCTTGTCCCTTGACCCGGCGATGTTTTTTTGGTTTCTTGTCATCTGGATTCATCACGACGGGACCATTCCCGCACAAGGAACAACAAACGCCTGTCGTGACGACGCTACCGGGTGGCGCCAGTGCCTGCAAAGTTTCCAGCGTTTCGTGAGCTCCATCGGAAATGCATGCGGGAGAAATGCAGACTTCCCAGGTGACAACGCTATTGGAGGTTGCCGCTGGCTGTGCCGAAAAGCCATGAGCACAGGACAAGATTGAACAGAGGAAGAGGAATGTAACTGTTGTATACCTCGGCGTCATGGTGGTTTGGTTATCACTTGGTCTCCCTATCAAAGCTATGGTACTTCTTACTGGTATGTGTTGGGGCCTATTAGCTCGATTGATGCTGTCGAAGTTGCCGACGTGGCTCGACGGAACTTGAAAGAAGAAAGAAAAGCAACTGTTGTCCTTGAAGATTGTTGCAAGATATTTTTGGCATGACTGAAAGATACCATTGAGATTATCCCGCATCCCCCGAGAGTATCCGCGATACCCCTTTCAGCTGGGGTAATGACGTTATGACTGCAGCTTCCGCGCCTCGAGATCTTCACTCCATCTTACAGTACGCGTCAACCTGGCAAAACAATCACAACATCCTCGACAGCTATCGCGCTTGCGACCTCTTGGATACATTGCTACCCCATCGCAGCATCAAGGAAGCCTAATAAGAGACAACATAGCATACCCATATTCAGCCCCCCTTCGGAATGATCCCCAGACGACGACAGCACAAGTTGAAACGATGACTGTCTCCCCTCGTGCCATTCCCCCGTCGTCGGCCATGAAGGAAAAGATCCAACTGGCGCAGCAAAGCCCGAAAAATGGGCGTCGCAAACGAGGCCTGGGGCATTCTTCCACGTTTCTGTGGTTGAATGGTATCTGCCTGATTATCAATATCACCCTCATGATTGTACTATTTGTCTTTCACGCCAATTGGATGCCCAAACAGGCCAATAGTGTCCAGCGAGCCCATTCCCGCAACCGCAAAGAGTTCTTTAATCTCATGCGGGGACTCAATAAAGATGGAAGTATGAAGAGTTTATTCAAAGAAGTCAAGGAAGAAATAGAAGAAGAATTGCCACGACTGTTTCGGGGATTTCAAGGAGATGCGGACGTGGAAGAACAAGCTGCTGAAGAAGAAGTGCATGCCGATGATACCCCCAATAAGGAAGCAGAAGAAGAAGAAGCCGAGGATAACAATACAGACAACGCCAACGACAACAACAGTGAGTTGCCGTACACATTGAACAACAGTCCCAACAGTGACGACTATGATATTTCCAAACAACAATATCACGTCATCTTTAGTACTGGTTGTTCGGCAAAACAACACTGGCAATCTTACATGCTCTACTACTCCATTGTCACCAGTGGACAAACGGGACAGGCCACTCGAATTGCTTCGGGCTGTACCGACGAAGAAGCCAAGGAACTGAAAAAGATTCACAAGGAACAAATTGAACCCATGGGACGAATTGGGAACGAACAAGAGGCTTCCCGATTTCATCTTCATCTGACACCCGAATTTGGAAAAGATTTTCATTATAACAACAAGGTACGTAACTGTGCTGATACATGACTGTTGTTGTGACAAAATCTTTGTTGCTCACACATGGTCCTCTCTACAGCCCTATGGGGTAGCCCACTGGATGGAAAACGTCTTGGGATACAGTGAAAACCAAAAGAGTACCAATCATGATGATACCCTTCTCATGCTGTTGGACCCGGATATGATCCTTATGCGACCCTTTGTCAATGACTTTGCCGAAAAAGAAATGTGGCTCCCTCGTACTTCGTATCCTCGCATTACACGCGTCAAACATGGATATCCCATGGCGTCCGTCTACGGCTATGGCAATCAATGGTTTCACAAGACCAACATTACCAAAATTGTGGGAAAATCGCCCATGATGTCCTACACCAAGGAACAAATTGATGAAAATTATCATGCCGGGCCGCCCTACGTTAGCATGGCCAAGGACTTTTATCAAATTGTCTCCACATGGCGCATGCTCGCAAACCCGGTCCACGAACAGTACCCCTTTCTCCTCAGTGAAATGTTTGCCTATTCTCTGGCAGCGGCTCATTTGGAACTGCCACATCAATTGGCACAATCCTTCATGGTCTCGGATTGGAAAGGTACGTTTCTTTAATTTTGTGTGTGGAGAAAAACGAATCGGGAGGAAAGCTTACATTGCTCAAATTATCCTTTTCTTCTACAATTTCCACAATCGAAACAACTACAATCTGCCAATCAATACTGTTGCTTTTCATTATCACAACAATCACCACAAACAAAGAACCTGGAGTGGAACTGGCAACCAAGAACACTGATGTCACACCCGGCCAAATGTGCCGTCACATTCCAACCGAAACCAAACCTCACATTCTGCATTATTGTCAACGTCTGGCATTGGGCAAATACCTCATGTCCAAACATCGACTACCAGATGATTTTGTGGGACAGGATGAGAGTTGTGGAAAGCCACTTTTGGCAGAACCTCCGGATGATTTTGCCGTCAAGTACGATTATTTTATCGATGTTGCGTCGGGCAAACGACATGATATTCGTGATGCCGCCAATGGACGATTCACAGGACAAGAAAAGATTAATCAAGCTGCTTTTTTGCTCTGTGAAGAGCTTCAAGCCTTTAACCGTGGAGCCACATATTTCAAGGAACATCATTGCGACGAAGAATCGGCCAACATGCAAAAGACATTTCTGTTTTTCGATTCTACAGAGTTGACCGAGGCAGAAAAGAATCAAAAGGGGGAAACTGTGTAACGAAAACAATACGTTAGTCAGAGCTTTGATGTATGCAATGATGATAGCTAATTACCGTGCCGGTAGGTTTTCAAGGTGATCATCTAGCTACTATTTATTTTACAACTAGTTTCGAACTCTAGTTAGTCTAGAAAGTGAGCTAAACTAGTGTTCCGATTTGGATCTTTTGATCAGACATCCCATGGAAACCGAATCGATATCAAAAGAACGAGGGCCGCTTGACACTTGGTTTTGGCAAGCCGACGCGTTGTTGGGTTTGTTCCAGAAGTCGTATCGATCTTTGCTTGTCCTCTCCAGTACCAAATCGTCAAATGAATCAGACCGTTTTGTCAAATAGGTTGGGAAATCGCTGACATCCCTGAAGATTCTGCCCTTCTTGTTCCCCTTCTTTCCTTTTTTAGGTTTCATTGGAACTGATGCAACTACCGGGGGCACTCCCATGAAAGCAGCAAAATTGTCTTCCATTCCCTGTATTCCTGCGTCTGCCGGTACCGCTGAAGCGCCGAGTTCATCGCTTGGACATGCATTCATTGCCAAAGGGTCCATGGATTCTTTAATGTTGGAAACTGCCTCAAGTATCGCTGAGTCGATTTCGACGCCTTGCGCGCTCACCGATTCAGACTCGTTGCATGATAACTCAGGAGATTTGAGATTTCCTTCTGCTTTTGCTCCCTGAGGTTCCAAAGTTTGTGCTAAAAGGGGCATCGCAGCTCTTGCCAACTCACTACTTGTCTGTGCTCCAGGATCTGATTTGCTGGCAAGATTTGAGTGGGTTGTTGGGAGATTCCAGGAGGAAATTGTCCCCTCCACCAAGTCCCGAACCACGTTAAATGTGCCTTCTGGTACATTCCCCATCACAACATGTTCAAGGATTGTTTGCTTGGGCACGGCTGGTTCGTGTTGGCCTTGTGCAGGAATGTCACAACTAACGCTATCTTCAAGTATAGAGTTGTTATTGTTGTCAATCTCGTCGATGACCTCGGTGGGCTCGACCTCAGGCTCAAGGCTGATTTGTGCATCGGCGGGTGGATCTTCACCTATGACAATGTCAAACACGACATCATTCGTCCTTTCGTCTTGTGCATTGTCATCTTCGTCTCCTGAAATAGTTGTGTCGAGTAGGCTCTTCGCAATCTCAGGTGGTTCTGCCTTCTTGGTTCTGAAAACAGAAGCCCTGTTAAGCACTGCACAATTCTGCTCATCAAGAACTTTGGTCTCGGCAATGGTGCTAAGGTTGTATGGCCCTAGGCCGATCGCACCAAGTTCACCAATATGATCAAACGAGGTGGCCATTTTCCCATCATTCTGGTCAAGTTCATTTTGGTCGCTGCTTAGGTTGCATTGATGGATATATGAGTCCTCAGTCTTGATCGTTGAGCAGAGGGATACATTAGCATCCCTGTCATCGCCGTCGTCAAAACCCAGGATGGGTTGGTCTCCAAGTGGGTCGAACAAGAGCAGTGTATTCTTCGTTGCATCGGGTTCGGCCCTTTCTCTGCAATCAATAGGAAGTGCTTCGCAATCTTGAGAAGCGTTGATGTGTGGGCCTTTGGCAGGGCTTTCGTATTCAGAGACTTTGCTCTTCACAGAGCCGGATTCGTCCAAAAAAGACACGCTGGTAAGTTGCGCAAGGAGATTCGCCTTGTTGGCAAGTTGTCTTATCGTGACATCGGGCTGTGACAATATCCGACGCCGAAGACTGGTCGGATTCTTGTCTTGGCCAAGAACCTGCAACCTTTCGGGCGTGGCAGAACTCCCGGCCGTGAATGGAGTGGTCGTGTTCTTTGTCTCAGGGACATTCTCATTCCGGTTGTCTTCCGTTATCATAACATTTTCTTTCTCTGCTGGTGTGTAGTCGTCGCAAGGGGAGGCCGTGCCAGTCGTTTTTGGCTTCTTCTCATGGACATTCCAGTTGTCGTCGGTGAAGAAGATATTTTCCTTCTCCGCTGATGTGCTGTTGTCGCAAGACACAGTCGGTAAAACAGAAGACTCTGGAGAGAACTGGCATTCAGTCTGTTCGAGGGGCGTCACTTGAAAAGGTCTCGCCGAGTCGTTTTCCTTCTTCGTTGCACACGCTGCGTCTCTGTTGGCATCGATCAATGCACGTGCCTTCTGAACAACTTCATTGCTTCCATTCGTCGATACAGTACTCTTTTCTATCCGGCTTTCCCATTCGCTAATTCTGGTTCCAGCAACCCTAGAAGAACTTCGCCTCTTTGACAACGCACTTTTCAGCAACTCCTTCACCCTTCCAGGGTCTGCGGCCTCTCTGGCACCGCTGCCGGCCTTGTAATGGGGGCACGATGCCTTCGGTTTGAGTTGTTCACTTACAGTGTTCTTTCTCCTCGTCGATGCTAGTCTCTCCCTGAGCCGGACAAGTTCCTGTTCAAAGCGTGACAATTCCTGTCCTGAATCGGTTTGCTTTGCACTCACAACGCTGACTTGATCTGATAGGTTGCGATCTGTAAAGCTTTGCAATGGTTCATCGGGTCTGCCAGGGAAGGCTTTCTGTTCCAAACTAACAGAACATTCAGTGGCACTTCCGGCTTTCGTTTCGCCACTGCTGCTGAATGCTTCAGTTTCGAGTTCAGTCTGCATGGCTGTGGAATCCGGCTGAGCGGCCACAGCGTTGGTTCCCTCGAGACGATCTCCTTGGTCAAACTTGTAGTGGTGCTCCGGCTGGCCACTCTCTCCACGGTTACCCGAACAATCGGGCAATGTGGCCTCCCCGACACAGGCGAGAGCTGATGCCTCATCGACGACTGCTGCTGAGTCAGCCTGAACGGCCAGGCAAAATTCTTCTTGATCCGGTTGCAAAGCTCCACGTACAACTTTTGAAACATAGTTCAGGTCTGCAAAGCCACCACTAGATTCCATTTCACGGTCTCTTCCCTTCGTGTTCAATGTTTCTTTCGAAGTACTGGACGAAACGTCGACTTCTTCCTCGCAATCTGAGAAGTCGGTCTTGCTGCAGCTCTGTCTAGATTCAACGGAATCCGACTTCGCAGGGACCGGGCCGGACGATTCCGCATCGATTGCTTCATCAGCTGCAGCATGTAATGCACATTCGATAGCTCGGCCGCAATCGTCGTCACGGTTACTTCCAGAAAAATGCATTGGAGCTGAAGACTGAAACTTGTCTTCAGAGTCCATGGGATCAGGCTGGGAGCCACTTTCGGCCTCGACCTGGTATTCTGAAGCTGAAGCCGCCTGGCAAGTACTGTCGGGGACGACCACTCCGTGAGGTTCCCTGTCTTGGTCGTCAATGTCGTTTGGGGCGGCGTTGATTGCAATAGTTGTAGCATGGCCATCGTGCTGCCCGGTGTGACCCACTTCGACACCGGCCTTAGAGACCCGTTTTTCGCTTTGGCTTGTGGTAGAGTCAACGGATTCCTCTTCGGAATCTTTCGAGGGTACCGGTACTTGTGGTGCATCCGGAACAAACTCATCACCTTCGGAGGTTTCGACAATCGCACCTTTATCGCAAGCAAATGCGACTTCAGATGAAAAGGCTTCTTCACAGTCGAAGTATTGAGACGCATACTCATCCCAGTTTCCCAAAACTGTCACATTGGTTGCGTCATAGAATATTCCACTCGTTTCTGAAGCTTCGCTTGCGACTTCAACAGCTTGTTCAGCCGAAGAAGGCGATTGGAAATTTGTAGTCAGAGGGACAAACGCATCCTTCTTCTCCTCGGCGTTGTTATCACTATCACGATCCAAGAATGCGTCACTCGGATCTTCTTCAAATGTAACTTCGCGCGATTGGCATCCAACAGGTTGACTCGCCGTGGCTGTCTCTCCTTTGTCCAAGCTTTCTGGAGCAACGGCTCTCTCTGGGGCTGAACCGAAACTAAGGTCACAAATCGTTTGACTTTCACCGGCAGAATCTCGCATGTTTGAAGACGAGGTTTCGCGTTCAGAGTCTGTTACCACACTGCTGGCTGATTCTTCGCCACCCAGAATATCCATGGCCCTCGCAAGAAGTACGCATGCTTCGTTTCCAACTTCAGATTCCTGTTTGTTAATTTTGGATGTCTGGTTAGCAGCTTCTTGATGATTCGACGTGTCCAGTATTGTCGTCGTGTCACAGGCAGTTTGCACAGTGTCTGAGTCTTCATCAATCACACGTCCACTAAGGGCGGGTGCTCCTTCAGCCGCATCAGTGGTCATACCGCGTGCGTCGCTTTCTTCACACGCAAACTTAGCCTGATCAGAAACGATTGAAACCGTTTCTTGGTCGGTCAGCACAGCACAATGTCCCACCGCTGCAGCGCTTGAAGTGTCAGGCAATGCCTTGATTTTGTCACAAGAAGCATTTCCGTCCCTATTGGAGTCCGCATCTGAGGGCGTCTCCTCTGCCATGGAATCCGATTGAGACGATGTTTGACTTGAAGCGGACTGAACACCTTCCGTTTCGGTAGTTTCCTGCGCACTGTGTTCCGGTTCGCCCCCTTGGACATCCGACAACTTGCCTTTGATTGATTGCTCCTCAAGTAGTTCACAGTATTCATCAACTTCTTCTTGGGAGCATTGCATGGTCAGCTCTTCCTTTTCCGATGTCCCTTTGAATTGCCCATCAATGAGTTTTACTTCTGGAGCACAGTTTGACTCATTGTCGCTGTCCCTGGGTAGAACATTGTTGAGCTTCTCCTCGTGAGTGTGGGGGTGAGCTGAGCTTGGCTCATCTCTCTCGTTCATTGCTGGTGCCGTGTCCGGATACCAACCAGAGATTGGCTCATCTGCCTCCACAAAAGCCTGCATTTCAAGACCCGCCTCCATACCATCCACCTGCACATTCCCATCATGGTTGTACTCGTCGATCTCGCCATTCATAACAGGTGAGGATCGGATGAGCACATTTGACGGTTGCTCTTCATCCAGCTCCACTTGTGCACCATAGTAGGAATCGACATCAGGATGCAGGGATTGGTTGGCTTGGCCTCTGTGCGACTCTACTTCTGAGACAGTGCTTGTTCCGTCGCTGTCCTCAGCATAGAGGGATTGGCTTGGCCTGCCGTCGCTTGGGAGTATATCAAAATCAGGGCTTGAATCAACCTGTTCATCAGGAGAGCGTGACTCGATGGGATGCGCTTCATCTGGATGCCTTTGTAGACCCGATGCTGCTTCCTCCGTGTCATCTAGAGGAGCTGGCAAAGCAATGTTATGCTCTTTGTCTGGCTGTGCTTGCACTTCAGAGTTTGATGCTTCAATTTCATCAGGAGGTTGTGATTTGTTACATTCAACTGGAGCCGGTATATTGATTGCAGGGCCTTCATCTGATTGAATTGGTAGGCCATAGGTTGATTCCTCCATGATATCAAGAGCTCGCAAAGCGATGGGATTCTCTTCATCTGGTTGCACTTGTTCCTCACAGCTTGATTCGTCCATGTCATCAGGAGCTTGTGATTCTTTGTCAGGAAGCAGTGACACCATTGGATGCCCTTCAGGTGGCACTTGCAGACCGGAGCTTGGTTCCCCGATGCCATCAAGAGCCGGCAAATGGATGGGACGCTCTTCGTTTGGTAGCACTTCGTCTGGTTCCATGTTTTGACTAGATATTGATTCCTCAGTGCCATCCGGGGCTAGTGTTGTTTTGCCACATTCTCGAGGAGCCATTATGCTGATTGCACACCCTTCATCTGGGGCAAAGAGTGCACCAGAGCTTAGTTCATCCATGATATTAAAAGCTTGTGATTCTTCATCAGGAGATGGTGCTTTGACTAGATGCTCTTCGCCTGATTGCACTTGGAAAATAGAATTCGATTCAACACTGTCACCAGGATCTGGTGATTCTTCGTCGGAAGCAAGTGAAGCGATGAGATGCTCTTGACTTGGTTGCAATGGTACACCAGAGCTTGATTCCTTAATGTCACCCTGAGCTGGTGATTCAACCTGAAATCCTTCATCCAGTTGCTCTTCTTGATGAGAGCTTGATTCATCATCGCCATCAGGAGGTTGCCCTTCTTGATGAGAGCTTGATGTGTCTTTCTCCTCAGGAGTTTGAAGTTCAACAGGATGCGGTTGCTCTTCTTGATGAGAGCTTGATGCATCTTTCTCCTCAGGAGTTTGATCTTCAACAGGATGATGTTGCTCTTCTTGATTAGAGCTTGATGCATCTTGCTCCTCAAGAGTTTGAACTTCAACAGGATGCTGTTGCTCTTCTTGATGAGAGCTTGATTCCTCCTTATCCTCAGGAGTTTGAACTTCAACAGGATGATGTTGCTCTTCTTGATGAGAGCTTGATTCCTTCTTATCCTCAGGAGTTTGAACTTCAACAGGATACGGTTGCTCTTCTTGATGAGAGCTTGATTCCTCATCACCATCAGGAGTTTGAACTTCAACAGGATGCGGTTGCTCTTCTTGATGAGAGCTTGATTCCTCCTTATCCTCGGGAGTTTGAACTTCAACAGGATGCTCTTCACCTGGTTGCATACCGGTTCCTGCTAGATAGAGACAGCTAGAGACACTTGGATTAGACTTCTCATCAAGAGGCAGGGATAGGATGGAACCGCATTCAATCAGTTCTGTTTCCATTTCAGGACCCATTCGATCATTCTCGATGGGGCATGGGTGTTGCGTATGCAGGTCGGAGTATTTGTCATGTTGTTTATCATGTGATGAGGTTGACACATCACTCTCTTTGGGAAGTGCAGGCTGTTCAGGCTGATCTCGCAATTGTAGATCAATGGATTGTAGTGGTCCGAGCTCGTTCTGCGTCGAATCGTCTCTATCGGGAAGTATATTCAGAGCCGGTGATTCGGGTGAAGCTTCACTGGGCTGAACGTCAGGTTCGTCTGTTGAGGAGGCTGCACCCGGGCAACTTGGCTGTACAGAGCTGATAGAATCATTAGAGGCGGCGTCCTGGATTTGGTTGTTCCCAACAACTGAAGCCACAAGCTCCGGTAAGGAGAGCAACTCGGCCAATTCCATGATGCCGCTCTCACTTCCGGGGGAAGGCGATGCCATTGGTTTGATATGCATGTTGTCGTTGACTCTAGTGCCCTCTACTGGGGCGCAACCATTACCTCCCAGTGCCGGCACCACGCGGTGTATTTGCGATCCGACATCAATCACAATGGTAGTTGGCACGCTGCGATGTTGACTTCCTGCAACACTCAATGCACCGACACTTTGGCCCGATCTGTCATTGAGAAGACCTGTTGCTGTCGCAGTCAAGTTTGCTGGCACAATCTTGTCCAAAATGTCTTCAAGAACTTCGTCCCATTCACGCGCTTCTTTGGCTTCGTGCTCCCGTGACGTTGAGTGTAGCAATTTTGCAGCAGCGCGCCCCGAATTATCGTCCGAGTCACTTGCATCGAATGGACCAAAGAACTCATCCAAAATCTTTTCCCGTTCAGGTACATGATCGTCAGAAAAATTCGAAAAAAGGGCAACCCCAAATTCTTGCTCGACACTGACTCCATCCTCCGAAGAGGTTTCGCAAGGTACCACGCTATTGTTGTTTTCAAATATTGAAGTATCACGATGCGGCTCAGGGGGCATCTCCAAGTCAACAGACAAGATCTCCTTTGCCAAACCATCTGATCCCATCGAACCCCCTGCGTTCAGGAATGCCGGTAGGGACGGTTGCGTGGCTTTATCAACAATTCCCTTTGGCGCAGCCGGACTTCCGCTGTCTGGAGACATGATATGACTACTGGTTTTATTCGGCCCATTTTCCTCCTGGCATCTATCATATCGAGACGTTTCGAAACCAGAGTCAACGTGCCTCTTTTCCTTTCGAACTGGGGATAGTTGTTTGGCTTTGTGTGTCGTTTCTTTTTCATCGTTCAATGCTTGCGTTTGGACCATGGTGCTTTCGACCGGGACGCGCTGGCTTTTATCAGCGTTGGGCACAGTCTGCTTTCTAACCTTGCCATCTTCCGATGCGTCGCGAGATTGACCGATGGTCGTGCTGGTGTCGTCGCCGGGTATGCTGTGCTTCGCTTCCTTCTGGTATGCTGCAATCATTTCTTGAACGATTCCTCGGACTGGTTTTGTCCGATTTCCATTGATCGGGAGCAAAACCTGTTTGCCAACTTCGAGTTGACTGTCTTCCCGTCGACTTCTGATATAGGCTTCATCACCAGCGGAAGCCACCCTGTCGTCAGCTGGAATGGATCCAACGTTCTTTTGCGATGACTGGTTTTTAGGCAACATCTCCGTAGAAGATTCAACAGGCATGTCTTCCATTGCGGGAAACCGCCCATTGTCACCATTGGGGGACAACTCCATCAGAGATGTGGCCTCGCTGTCCGCAACGTTACGCTCAGAGCATGGCATGCTGCTTTCTTGATGCTTCCCGCCAACATCTTCATCAACGCCAACCTCTGGGGGGTCCTCTTCCATCAAACTAGAGCCATTTAACCGAGAAGGAGACGTCGAATGTGGACTGACACCCGTAGTTTGACCGAATAATACTTGCCTACTGCCTGCCGAGGGGGAGTCAAAGTTGTTCATCAGAACAGCTCGGTTGGACCCAACGGGCAAGAAATCCAGCTTCTTCTTGGTCGAAGACTTCGCATGACCTCGAATGCCCCCACCTCGTTGGGTGCCCCCACCTGTGTACGTTCTTTCGTTCGTGCCGGTGAGCCCGCCTTGGTAGTAACTCTTTCGCGTATTTCCTGTTGGTGTCGCCGAAGATGGTGATGATTGGAAGATAGAAGTATCGTTGTTTAAGCTAAAGAGTCTTCTATCTGGTTTTGACACTCTGTGGCTTCGACTGGGAAACGCAGGGGACGACGAGTGGAAGCCACGCATCGTCTCCAATTCCATTTTGTTGTCAACGTGCTTGCTTCCAAGTTGCGACGATCCGTCTCCACGAGGAATCGGGACGGATTGGGGTGTTGACAGGCTCGTGCAGCCGAGCATTGCACCTTCTCTTGCGGGCGATGATGGCTCCACCTTCTTTCGCTCAAATAAGTCTCTCAACTTTGCCACTGGGGAATACCCTGTTGGCTCCACTGGTGGTGCCGAAACAGTAGCTCCTGTCTCTCCGATGTCAGCTTGTTCGGCACACCAATTCTGACCCGTCTCGGTGTTGGGATGGCTGTCCGTACAGGCGTCGCCTCCGGCAGCCTTTTCGAGGACGTCGTAGTTACATTGGACTTGCTCTGGAAGCTGTGCCCTGCTTTGTCTCGCGGTCGCAACCTCCGTCTCCAAGTTCTCATGTTCCGTTGGGTTCATTCTTTGCTTTGCTTTAAGAAAGCTTATGAAGCTCGCGCCATCAACTGGAGGCGAGGAAGTTCCCAATCCCGTGATCGGTCCCACGGAAGAATTGGCCCCTTGGGGCTCAGTCGATTGAATCCTGCGATATTGCGCGTCACGCAGCATTCGACGCTGGCTCCGACGGTGTCGTCGCTCTCCCCAGCTGGAGCCTTGTGGTGCCGTATGTCCCACTACAGCATAAGACGTATCAATAGTAATAGCATCAGCATTTTGACCAACCGTGGCGTCGGTGCTGCGAACACTCGCACTGTAACCGGCCGTTGTGGCAGCATCAGTGGCGTTTGCATCATCCACAGTCATTACAGCGACCATACTGTCCTCACGAGCGTCTGCGATTCCATCATCCTCCTCCACAATGGCGTTTCCAGTAGCGTCAGTGGCGTAGCCGTCGGCCGTAATCGAATCCATCACGGAAATGTTGGGCTGAGGAATTGCCACTGCAGCGTCAGTGCCATAGCCGTCAATTGTCATCGAATCCATCACGGCGACGTTGGGCTGCGCAATTGGCACCGTAGCGTCAGTGGCGTAGCCGTCTGCTGTCATCGAATCCATCAAGAAAACATTGGGCTGAGGAATTCGTACGGTGGCTGAAACGGAACTATCCGTGGAATCCGCATCCATCAAGGCATGGGACACATGATGGGAAATGCGGTCTCTTTCGGATAGATTGGTATTAGCAACCGATGCTGTGTCGCCTCTGGTAGTAGCATCCAAGTCATCAGCAGCGGATGTTTCATCGTCAGTGACCACTTGGGCAACTGCAGCTTCATCTACCAAAGAACCCATTTTCATCTTTCCACCACAATTCCGGGGTTCGACGTTGTCTCCGGAGAGCTTCCCTTCTGCGTGTTCACTGACCTCCGCGGCAACTGGTTTTCTGGCAGCTTTGGCCGCTTCGACGTATCTGTTCCTCGTAGAGCCCGGTTTCAAATCCAGAATGGAAGATGTCACTCTGTGGTTTCTGCTCAAAGGGGGTTTGTCGTCACAAGCCGTGGCCGGGTCACGATTGGTGTCAGTCTCGCTGGTCATGACATTGCTTGCATCGTTGTCCTTGATGCCTTCCCACAATCTCATGTAGGTTCCAGCTGTAGATTGGTCGTCATCAGATGGGTGTCCAGAGAGTTGCTGCACGGCATGGTTTCCCTCCGTGCGCTTGGCTCCAATGCTTAGTTCCACCTTTTCATCTCCGTGCTCATCAACGAAAGCGGTGTAGCCGACAACATTGTCGCGTTTTTCCGTGTCCATACTGTTGGTACCTTGACTGCGTGACGCTTCTGTTTCAGATGCGGCATCGTGAATTGATTCAGTGCGGTCTGGGTCTCTTTCCTCTGTCACAGCAGCCGGCGTGTTGCGTTCTTGAATGACAGGGTCCACTTTTGCAGGCCCGCCTTCAAAGTCATCTGACTGGATCGAATCTACTTCAATGGATTGTTCCACATCCATGATCCGTGAATCCTTATCGTCGTCCCAGCCAAAACTAGAAGTCACATCCGTCGGCTTTGGAATCGTATGGGTCAAAAAGATAACACCATCCGTGTTGTTGTCGTTGTTGCGGTAATGATCCCCTTGAGCAGGTGAAAAGCTGTGTCGTTCTTCTTCATCCTTTTGCATGGCTGCAATGCTCTGAATCAATTCTTCTGCCTGTCGTTCCAGCTCTCGTTCGTGCTGCTCGAGTGCAAATTCCAATGCTTCCGACGTGACGACTCCTTTGGGCAACGGTTCTTGTTGTGCCATGAGATCTTGCGAGTAACGTTTGGTGTCATCGTCGTGTGCTACTTGTTCCTCAGCCGGCTGCTGACTCTTTGGTTGTTGCGACTCATCATCGGGCCACACATCTGCTGCTGCTGCTGCGTCACTTTGACGAAACTCCTCTGTGGCCAATCCTACAATGGAAATGCCCTTGTCTTCGGTGGCTTTAGGGTCCGTCGACAATGGTGGGTCTGCCTCATGGTAGTCGTGTAGTACAATGTTTTCTGGTGGCCTAATGAGATGAATGCGTGGAGTTTCGGCAAAGAGCGCTTTTCGAAGAGGAGAATTTGGAGGATGATTGTTGGTGCTTCGGCTCATGCTGCTAAGGGCAGACCCTCCTTCGCCACTGGACTGAGATTCAACGTCTTGTACATCCTCGACATGATGACGGAAACTGAAAGCACTCGGCATCTGTGGATTGTTTCTGTTGGTGTTGATATTATCTGGCGGTTGTGGATTGTAGCTCTGCTTATTGCAACTGGTACTAATAGTGTCATTGCCTTCCGTGTCTGTGTTATGAGGACTGTAGTGGTAGGGATGTTGGAGGAAGTTTGGAAAGCGGTTCTCACTAGTCTCATTTTCAGGAGTATCCGGTTCGGCTATATCACAATGCGCGATTGTTTCTGGCGATGGAGAAAGGATGGCTGTGGGCGGCGTAAAGATGCCAGGTGCACCGCCCGCGGGTGTTACGGGCTTGGTGTCAGTTCCCTTTGGATGATTTCTTGACGATGCTGCTTGTTTGCTGCTACCGCCACCCACTACCTTTTTGGCCAACTTTTTGAGTGTTTTGACAAAGGTTCGTGGTTTCTTGGGTTTTGTACCAGTACCAGTACCAGTACCGGTACTTTTGTTGGCAGGAGTAATAGTGATAGTGCCACTGGTGCGGGTAAGGCGAGTTGGGTTGTTCATGGACAATTCAAAAATGGGATCCGGTTCTACCTGTGGCTTGTCGGGAGACTCCAGGTCGTTGTACTGCTGTTGAGTCGAGCATAGAAGTCCGTTATCATCAGTGAGATAAAAGCAACATCCAAATAATGACAGACAACGAAGCTTGACTTACCCTTGCCGAATTGGTCTTCCTCTGTCCTGCAATACCTGCCAGACCATTTTGGAAGCGCCTCGCTCTTCCACCAGATTGTTTTCTCTTGGAAGAAGCCGCGATATCAAAAGAAGGAGGGCTGTCGCCTTTTTCAGAGGGAGAAACACAGGCCAGCAACGGTTGTTTGGAAGGTGTTGTGACAACGGTAGCATTATGCTGGCCTCTTCGAAATTTGCTTCTACTCAGCAAATGTCTCGTTGGGGACGATGCCGAAGAGTTTATTGGTGAATACGGACTCGCGAATACTGTTGGATCTGGTGGTGGAGAACTTGTTGTTGTTCCGGTCTTGGTGGGCGTCCGATAGGGCCGCTGCAAATTGCTGGGAGCTCTGTATGGTTGTTGATGCTCTTTCTTGACTTCATGGTGTCGATGACGGGTGGGTGGCGTGTAGGAGTGCATCAGCAAGTTAGTACAGTTGGCCTCAAAGTAATAGAGCAACTAGCTAAAGCTAGCTACCGTAGCAAGTAATAGTACTGTACTGCAGGAGGAAGAAGACTGGAGGAGAGGAGAAGCAAGTGAAGTGTCAAAGACGAGAGTGAGCAAAATCTTTCTTCCAATGCTCTGGATTTGATTTTTCTATGTTGGGGGGAAGACGCTAAGCATTTTGAAACCTCGTCCAGCGCGTGACAAGGCACGAGGCGACAATGGGACGGCCACAAAAATCGTTCACCAGTATCTACATGTACGGTACTGGGTGTGGTGGTAGCTAGAGGACTCGACTCTCTAGTAGCTAGCCAGCGAGTAATAGTTGATGTTTCATTAGCTTTAGACGGAGGGAGTAGCTAGCTAGCTACCGTATCTAGCTGCAGTAGCTACCGTACCTGGCTGAGAATGATGGCTGAATGTTGGCCTATCATACCAATACCGGTACGGATGCAGGCAAGGTTCCATTGGATCATGCGGTACGTGGGACCAATGCATGGTGCTATTAATACCGGTACATGTAGCTTGATATGTTGGCAACCTCGGAGGCAGAGATTATGGGAGGTACGTGTACTGTTGCTAACTGGCTGCAACGACAAGCCAACTTTGTCTTATGATACATATTATGCATACCGGCCCAGGCAAGATCGTGGCAGAATCCTTCTGATTCTAAAACGTACATTATGCTTACTACCTAGCTACCATAGCATTCCAATTCGAGCATTCTCCCAAAACGTTGAAGATCCGCTAAGCTAGCTACTAGCTAGGTCATGAAAGAAGTTTGAAACAAATGAACCGTTAAAGGATCACATCCCATCCATCCAAAGAAAAAGCTACATACACACAAGAGCAACTCATATTTCAGCCATCACAGATGTGGGACTCTGCTGTGACAGTTTCTTCTTCTTCCCGCTGTCAGAGTTTTTTCGGCGGCGAAAGAAGAACCGACCATGGCGCTTGGAAGACGAAGAGGAAGTGTCGTTGGCATCTGCAAATGGAGGTAGGGTACCACTTTGATGTCGGTGTCGATATTCAGCTGCCGCAATAGATGCCTTTGCCGCTGCTTGGCCATAGATGGATTCGTCGGTAGAGGAATTCATCACCGGATCCCAGTCTGCCGCGTCCAGAATAACTCTACCGCCTTCGGAATCTTCGCGGGAAGACTCCAAGGCCTTAGGACAGGGCAAGCTCTCCACGTTCCCGTTGGCGTCGGCAATCATGGAGATTTCGGCCAAAGTATTCTTGAGGGACAAGGGGATTTCATGTTCGGTACTGCCAATCATGATCTTTAGCTCCACGTCTTCATTTTCAGCTTCCTGCCGTGCGGCCTCTGCAAACAAATCTAAGCTCGGGGTGTGAATGCATGAGGTGATAGTGGATGCTGGAGCAGCGGTGCTCTGACTCCGCGCAGAGACGGAAGGTTGGCTTTGGCTTGCGATGCTTCCCCGGCTGCGGCTTCGCTCCAGTTCCTTCACGATGCTCATTACCACGCTCTCAGCCACACTCTCGACCTCAGGGGTGGTATCCATCGGGCTACTGTTTGACTTGTTCTTGACTTCTAAGGCTTCAATCATAGCATCAAGGGCTTCGACTTCTTCCTCCAGCTGACATTCAACCTCCAAATGCACTACTTGGTTTTGTTGTGAAGACATGGACCGATTTACTGCTGCGGCGTGGTTGTTTGGGGTCTCAGCAACAGGTTTTTCACTGTTCAAAGATGGAAGTTTGTCACTGTTCAAAGATGGAAGTTTGTCTGACGTAGACATGAGGCTCGGTGGGGTAGTAATCACGGTTGATGTTGCCATCATGCTGGGTGCTCTGCTGGCGTCGCAAGATTCTCTTGTTGGAGTTGCGTTCACGTTTTCATCGTCCTCCCGCTTCACAGCAGTTTCTAGTTGCTCCGTCGCAGAATTGTTGCTTTCTGCTTGTCCCGTAGCATAACTGGCCGTGGTCTCTTTTTTTGTCGAGAGAGGAGACGAGAATCGCAACAACGAGTTCAGATTCCAAGATTTCCATGATTCTTCGAAATCACTCATTCTTTCGTTAACGTGGCTGCGGAAACCGCTCCATCCAGCTTCCAGAGCAACGAGTCGTTCATTGAGAGCCTCTTTGGCCGCCGGGTCAGGTGGTCCAGTGCAACCTCCAGTAACTATGTTTAGAATTTCATCTGGCACGATGGAACCAGCTTCTGTGGCATCATCGTCGTTACCGGTTGCAGCACTAAACGCTGTAGCACCAGATGAAGGGGCGGTTCTGCTCCGGGTCCATGTGCTGCCAACACTTGAGGCAACACATGAGTTCTCATCGGGGATGCAGTTCAGGTTTGTTTCTTGAGGACACTGTGCTTGGTCCCAAAACGAATTGATCGCGTCTGAACGATACATTAGTCTTGGACCGTGGGCAGGAAGGGATTGACAGCGACTGTGACCGCTCATTGTGCTGGCTCCGCCGTCCCCTATTGGCGCACTGTGCACACTTTGGCCTGTGGGGCTCAGAATGGAGTTCTCAAACTCACCGTCTTGGGAGTACAAATAACAGAGCTTGGAATGATCTTCGGCGTCAGCTGCGCCTTTGCACTCTAGGATGTTGCTGTTAGTTTCGTTGGTGGGCGTGGTGTCCGCGTTGGCATTGAGAGCAGGTTGGTCAACAATCACATCTTCCTCGTCCGCTTCATTATCCATCAGTGATGTCGTGGACATTGCCTCACTGAAAACACTTGATTTAGATTGTGATTCTTGATTGCATCGTCCTGATTCGGCGTCCCCAACATCCATCAAGAACTGTGCATAAGGGCTGTTAGAAGCAATCGGATCCAGAGTTTGCATACGGACATTCGTTACTTGTGCTGTAGACTTGGATGCCTGCGAACAAGCAGCTGACGACCGTCGTAGAGAGGAGTAGCTAATAGCGCTGGTATTGCTGACAACCCTATGCCTGTTTCGAACGGCAATCGACGTGGTCGATGCAATAGTGGAAGACCCAAAGGAAGTGTCTGTGGTCATGGGTAGCGACAGAGGCGGGTCCTGATCGTGATGTTCCGCCATCAGCCTGTCATCTTCACGTTTAGCAGCTTCCAGCCGCTCGAGGAGTTTGATAGGAAGATCACTGGTGGTGCTCGTTCCTGGGGGATCGTCATTGGCGCCGTCGTCGTCGTTGGTGGCGAAAGAGTCATCAGGGCGTTGTACACTTTGAACAGAAGGCTCGTCGCTCTCCTTGAAACCAACCTGCGGGGGATCTTGACCTTGTTTGTGCTCTATAGCTTCAATGTATGCCTCCATGAACGCTTTTCTGGGTGCTTTAGGCGGTAGGGTGGGAGGCGGTTTCAACGGCGCTATCTTTTTGCTGCTTGCGCTGTTAGTACTGGCATTCAGGTTTGCACTGTTGTTGGAGGTGGACACGTTGCTGGCATTTAGGTCCCTTTGGGTATTGGAAATGACATAACCAGGATATGCATCAGAGGATTGTCTTGTGGGAATTTTGTTTGCAACTTGATCTAGTCGGTCCAAGAGCCGTTCTTTGACCAAGTCAGTAATGCTGGAGTCTGCATCATCTGCTGGGGGGGAGAATGCCGAGGGTTTACGGACCACCTCGCAAGCCGTGCGCATTGTGGATGAATCATCCTCTTTCTCGTACGAAAACAAGGCTTTGGTGCCGCGGAGACTGCTTTGGAGGCTCTGGTGCTGTTGGTCTAAAGACCCCATACTGGCACTGTAGTTCAAGGTCGACGAAGTCTTCTCTGACACACCTGAACCAACCGTCGACAAATTGTGTGGATATGTGACTCTTGATGCATGCCGCTGCGAAGAACTGCGTTCGCTGGTGCTGCCCAAAGACAAACCGGAAATGTTGTGACTGAAGAGATCCGGCGGCTTCTCGGGTGAAGATTGGCGATGACTTTCAGTACTTGTATTGTCAAATGAGGCTTCACCGCGTTCGTCGTACGGCAGTGGCTCAAAATCCATGGCGGGCTTGGATTGACTACCAGATCGAGGTTCCACCACATTGAACGATGATCTAGCGGATCTTCGAAACTTGGAACCATGATCATCCGTGGCAACAGAATCCTGCTTATGGGAAACAGAGAGTTAGTTGGGGGCAGGTCAGAAAATTTCTCGAACGGAAGCCCTGAGGACTCAGCAGCGAGACAAAACCAAGACCTACCATTTTGGAAAAGTTCCCTTGGAACATGCGCCGTTCTCCTCGAAACAATGCTTTAGAAATCTTGGAAGACATGCTGGTAACACCATTCTTGGCGGCAGAAGAAGCTCGTTTCTTCTTCATGATTTGGTGGGCCTTGCTAATGCTGCTGCTGCTACTCCTCGAAAGATGGATCTCGTCGCGACCGGGACTGTCATGGCTCTTCGTCCCTGGCAAAAGCTGGTCGATACTGTCGCCGTGGGAGTGAGAGTCGTTGTCACCCGAACTGGTGGTCTCTATCGAGGTCGTCATGGTGATACTGTTCATCATTAACGGGGACGCAGTGTCCGAGAACGGTGGCTTGACAGGTTTCAGGAGAGACCGCGTCTTCCGTAGCATGGTGCTGGGAGACTCAGGGGTGATGGGTTTCATATCCATGGTCGCAGATCCCAAGAGTCAAAGGGAAAGAATCGTATTTGCGCGAAAGATAATGGATGAGGTGCGGATACCCCTGAGCAAAAAAGTCAATGGTCAGCTGAAAGAAGAAATATGAAGCAGCCAATGGCTTGGCTTGGCGCCTTGTTTCTTCTGGTGCTAGTCTGGCTCCTTGACTGGCTACTTTCCTTGTTCGTCTCAAGCTAAACAGAAACTGATTGAACTCTCATCTTCGTCTAATTCGTTGAGAGTCAGAGGGTCGAGGGCACGAGAATGATCATTGCCAGAAATGGATTTCCAAAAACCGTTGGAAAAGGTGATGCCGACGTGACTTTGTCTTTTTGACAGGAGGCATCCAATAAATGTTGTCTTCAGGGATGAATACATTTCCAATGACAAATCCGATGTGGCAGACTTGTCCCTAAGTGTGACAGAGCATGGCAAAATGGCGGAATCCAACAAATGGCGCCAACTCATTCGCGTTGGAAAGTTCTATGCATAAGCTTACAAGGCTGTCAAAGGTGCTATAAATTCGACCGTTTGCAGGTTGGAACAACGGTCCCAAAGGCAAAGCTGACCGGCCACTACGCATAGCTATCACAAACTCCTACCAGGTACAGGCAGCTTCGTTTCAATTAATTCAAACGCGAGCCGAGCTTCTTCGTACATTTCTACACCAGCACTCGTAGAAGTGTACAAGAGAAGTCGGCACGCGTTTGAATCAGATAAATCGAAGCTGCTCGTACGTACATCGTAGCGTACGTCCTGTAATTGCGCGTGGTACAGGTACATGATGTTTCTATAGGGAGCTAGGAAAGAATGATTGGATCAAAGGAAACTAACTCAACTAGCTAGCTGTTTGTTTGTATGTATGTTTTCTCAGCCATGCTCTTTTCCATTTTGGAGTTAGATTCCGCATGGCTCGCCAAGTCAGAGCCCTTACACGCTCATCAGGCCCATGGGTTTTCGAAGCAAGCTTGAGGACAGCGATTCCCCCTGCATCCTTGGCAGAAGCTTGGATTTCTTTGCTCTTGCATGTCAGCTCCCCAAGTGCTCCAATTGCATTCTTTTGGATCTTCGCTTCTGATTGGTGCTCTCTCATGGCTGTAATGATGGCAGTTATGCCCCCGCACGGGCAATTGAGACTTGATTGTCTGTGTTACTGGCAAGATTCCAAAGAGCCCCACAAGCTGTAAATTGGATTTGAGCTACAGTCTCATGTTCCTTCATGGTGGTGATGATTTCGGTGATTCCACCGGCGTCAGCAATGGCTGCTTGGTTCTCTTCCTTGGCAGCAAGATTGGAGAGTGCTTCACAAGCATATTCTTGGACAACTGGCTCAGCTTTGTACTCTTTCATGGCTGAAATGATCGCCACAATGCCCCCCACATTTTCAATCAAATCATAGTTCCCTTTGTTGTATCCCAGACTCCAAAGTGTTGCACAGGCGTTTGCTTGCACTGCGGCCAGTCCTGGGTGGTTTTGCATTGCACTGATGATTGCTACAATGCCTCCAGAACTAGCAATAGCAGCTTTGTTGTCAGCATCTTTGGCAATCTCGTGCAGCGTAATGCAGGCTTGAACTTGGACATCTGGCACAGCTGGGTGCGCCTGCATGGCAGTGATGATTGTCATTATGCCCCCAGCTTTAGCAATTGAGAGACGGTTCTTGTCGTTTTGAGCCAAATGCTGCAGTGCCTTACAGGCATTCATTTGAACCATATCATCCGCCTTTTTGCACATTTTCATGGTTGCTAAAACTGCAGTGATGCCTCCTGCATCAGCAATGGCAACTTGATTGTCAGTATGTTTTGACAGCACTGCGAGCGCAGCACAGGCTTCGTTTTGTAGTTCTGACGCAACCGGATACATCTTCATAGCCCTGATGATCGTCACAATGCCCCCACCATCAGAAATTGAGCTACAGGTCTCCTCATCGAAGGCCAGTTGATGCAGTGCTCTACATGCTCTGTGTAGGACATACTCAGTTTTGTGTTCCTTCGTGGCGTCAATGATTGCAGTGACACCTCCAGTGTTGACAATGAAAACTCTATTGTCTGAACTTTTTGCCAAATCCCAGAGTTCTTCACACGCACTCACTTGGACAGAAGCCTCAATCGAATACTTTGTCATGGTTCTGATTATTACTGTAATGCGACGTTGAGTGCGGGTAAGACTGATTTCCGTGCCATTGCAGTCAGTATTTTCAAGTGCCAAAAGTGTCTTCCGTGCGGTTGCGGGACGGGAGGACGACGTCGGCAAAAATGCTGCATGGCATTGATGATTTTAGTTACACCTCCAGCATTGGAAATTGACTCGTTGTTTTGAAGCGCTAGATTCGTCGGTATCTGACAACCACATCCTCTTCTTGTTCTGTGGGATGGTTGTGCATTGAACATGCCTCTCCTTGTGCTGTAGCGGGATGGTTTTCCATAGCTCTGATGATAGTTGTGATGCCCCCAGCATCAGCGATGGCACTTGGTTAGCATGGGCAACCCGTTTGTCAGTATCTTTGGCAAGCAATTCCAGCGCACTGCAGCCCCCAACTTGAACCCGCACCACACTTGGATGCATCTGCATGGCGGCGATGACTGCTTTGATGCATCCAGCCCTGGCAATCGCGCGCTTGTGTTTTCTGCTGTGTTCATCATCATTCTCTTTATCGTGATTCTTGGATAGCAACTTCACTACACTTTCTAATGGAACGCAAAGTCTTGTTGCGTCATGTAGTCTGCAAAGCAATGCTCTCACCAAAAATTGCTCAACTGATACCTCATTCTTCGTTCGTTCGACTTTTGTGATTCGTTCCTGAGAAACCATTGTCTCTGGGTGTAGATCACCCAATAGCGACCGCCGAACTGACAATGCAATGCCGAGATGGTACAGAGCCGTTTCATGATCACCAAGATCAATGCATACCGATCCAAGTGCGTGGTGGGTGGCCGCTGTCTCTGGGTGCCTTCTCACATAAAGCAGTTCCTGCATTTCCAAGCCTTTGCGGAAATGATGAAGTGCAGCTTCCCGTAGATTCTTCAATTGGAATGCCGTTCCCATGAATGAATGACACAGGGCTTTCTTGGCCTTGCTTTCGACCTCTGGTGCCCTTTCCCAGATTTCCAATGCTTTCTCATGTTGTTTCAGGGCACCATCAATATCTCCTAGCGCCGCAAGAGCACAACCTCGGCCATCCAGGGAAAGAGCTGTATCGGGATGATCACTACCCAAGAATGTCTCCCTGATGTTCACGGCCATATTGTGTTGCTGTAAGGCTTCTTTGTGCTTGCCTCGGTTCTGAAGGACAGCACCAACAGTGTGGTGACAGTAAGCTTTCTCAAGCATTTCATCCCAATCGCAGGAACCCAGTTGTTCATGTGAATTTATTGCTTTTTGTCCCATACTAACGGCAGCAACATCATTCCCTCTACTGCCGTCCGAAGCATGCCGGACCTCTGCAACTTCTGTTGTTCCACAACACGGCTAAAGATTCATAATCACGATTGAGCGGAACATTCTAAATACTTCAGGTGGGCCAGGACACGACAATCGTGAACTTACTGTTGATTTATACAGAAACTGCAAATCCAAACGAACGTCAATTTCGGATCATAACCGCTGGCACTGCAATATGCTACCAACGTATCGACAACATCCCCAACGGTGTATCCCCAAGTCCAGCTAAGAAAGGGCGTAGCCCTGCCCACATTTTCTTCGCCTTGCACGCAGTGGACATATGCAGCGCCCATTCTTCCATCGATAGGGCAAGTGATATTGATGCCTTTGCGGCGAATAAGACCAGGTTCGTCATTCCTCAGGTCTTCAATATCATAGAACGTAGACTCCCTACTCAACACAGGAGTCGCCAGAACTCCATTCAGAAAATGCGAGGCAATGTAGTGAACACTCAGCGCAGCTTACATGCTTGTCTGAACATCATCAATCTCAATATCTTCAGATCGTGGTTGTCTGTTCCTTCTGTCAGCACTCATGTTTGCTTGTCTGATCAAATGCGATGCTGGATCTATCGATTGAAGAGTTGACGAGGCGCAAGGAGAAAGGAGGATGACACCGGTACAACAGGCAAAGGTTTTTCGCCAGACACAACAAAAGATCTTTTATGTTCCCGCCGCATCAGTCGTGGATAATCCCGATCCATTTGGGACGAAGATTCGATTCGATTAATCATTCGAATTGAATCGATTCAATTCCTCACTTCCACGTTGCGGAATCCGTGCGTGGTCCGTGTGCGTTGAAGGAGCGCCGTGGAATGTCAAGGAACTGTTCGGGAGTCACAGAATCACGCCGGCCGACTACTTGGGCCATGTGCATTAAATCTCAAGGATGGATCGGCTCGTTCAGATGACCCAGGAACCCAGCAACATGCAGCCACGAAGCAAAATTTCCAAACCACAGCCTCGGCGCCGCGGCGATGCCACAACAACACCTTCCTTTCCCAACACACCACACAACCCCTCCGCAACATCTCCATCGGCGAACAACAGCCACCGCCGAGCTCTCCGCTTTGCCCGCCCATCATCTTTCGGCGTTCGAATTCAGAACGCGCTCTTCTCCTTTCTTGCGTTTGTGCGTTTGGTACAACCAGCTCGAGCATCAGATCTGTTCTTTTCGAAGCACTAAGGGACCCAAGCAGGACTACACGTGTCGTCAGCCAAATCTGTCTGTCCGCTGTAGAAAGGTCTCATAGGCTGCATCAACAATGGCGTGTCGTGAATGCCATCAAGCCAAGGCATGTTGAATCGATTCGATTCGATGCTCGTCTGTTGGAGACTGCGATGAATGTAAAATTTCTCACAACTTGTTTTTCCCTTGTGCTTCTTCCTCTGCCTTTTTCTATCATGTCAGGTCAAATGCGACAAGGTCATTCCTTGCTCTCGTTGCGTGCGTTTGTCCAAGGTGTGCGTCCGCCATGAGTCTCGTCAAGGCCAGGGCCGGAACAAGAAACGTGCTCGTACCAAGGTCTCGGAAGATGCTGTCATTAGCACGGAAGTGGGAACGCTCAAGCCCAACCACTACGGATTGCAGTATCTCATACGCAGTTGGGTGTCGTTGTCGTTGCGGCGACGAAACTTTGGGTTACTGGCTCGGGCCGGGATGATTGCCGATCGGAGTGGGATATCCATGGATCAGATCCTGTGCGAGTATGGGAATCGGCGTGGCATGGATTTCCTGTACTCGTTGCTCTTGACGCCCGCTCCGCAGCAAGTCGTCTTGGGCAGTCGTCTCAGTTGGTCCGAAATCCCTCAATCCAGCTTGATTGCGACGGGATGTGTCGGTGCCACGGATGGACTCAACGATCCCATTGTGGCTCATCGCTGGATTTGGATACGCGAGATCCGACAGGGGATTTCCCGTTACCTCGTTACGCCCGCCTTTGAACGGGACATTGCCGATTGGAGCTTGATCCAGCAGACGTACCAGGAAAACAAAAAGAGCGTTGTGGAGTTGTTCCTGTGCCCGGGCGATATTTCCAAACATACCAAAGCATTGGCACATCAGATTGCGCTCCATGCTGCGCCTAATCTCCCCCGCAAGTCCAGTCGGATGAAGAGTAAGGTCAAACTCAAGACCAAAATGCCCAACCCCAAGGGAGGCCCTCCCATGAGCTCGGTCGAGGTCGATCAGGTGTTTTGTTTGGATATTCAGAACCTGGACCACGACTATTCGTTCCAGGAATACGTCCCTCGGTAAGTTGTGCAGGAAGATGCATGTCACGACCCCCACAAAGCAGCTTGACACTCACACTTCGTTTGTTTCCTTGTGTGTATCAGTGTGGAAATGCCGGCTCGTGCCTCGACTGCTGATGTCGATGCTGATACTGCGTTCAAGTCCAGTCTCGACTTCGGTTTGCCTTTGTTGGATTTGGACAATTTCGACGACGACGAGGAAACCGATTTGGATTTCTTTTTGACTGTGCTGAAATAAGGAGCGAAAGCTGAGCAATTGTACATATTGGCGTGCTTTGAGGCGGTGATGCTTGGGCATGTGTGATGCATACTTGGTCTGCATTTCCTGGACAAAAGGAACTGAATGATGCACATGGGTGACAGTTGTGTGACACCCTCGATACAAACTGGAAGAACAAAGGAGAGACTACATATTATATATGAGAGCTGAAGAACAAGAAAAGATACCAGCGGATTCGATTCAACATATTCTACGTAGGCGAGACAATGAACAGTATGATATGTGGTGGCAGTGACGGCCGTCAAGGTACTGATAGCAGCCTTGACCAAGTGAGTGAAAGTTAGGAGCTTATCTCGGTCTCGATTTGACTAAGGAGTTCTTCCAACGAATGTTGCCTACTGGCACCGACGGATAAGGGTCTGAGGTCAAAAACGGTGCCAAAGCCCCGTGGCCAGGATTGCTACGGCAGGATACACAGGGACACTCTTTCTGAATAGGAATTGTATATCTATATGTATATCTACATGTATATCTGTATGATTCAGGCCCCACAAAGAGACTTGATGCTTTCTGCTGAGAGTCAACCGACTACTACAGGTACATTGAAATCAGTGTACCTTATCCTCCTCAAGTACGGAAAGGATCCCAAATCCAGAGGTTTGCTGCAAGAAAATACAAGAAACACTTCCGTGAGGAGAAGTCACGGTCGTCATTCTGGTCCTGCTTTGCTGTTGTTACTTACCAAACCACTTCTCGCCCTCAATGACAGGCATGGCAGCATGTTGCGTCAAATCATCGAGGTTTCCATCTGGATTCACCATGTAAAAGATCATGGCCTTGCCCTTCTCGGGCACCATCTTCATCGAGTCGGAGGTTTCGGCATTTCGCCATCGAGGGAAAGCTGTCTCACCACCAACCATTCCTTCGTTCAGGTAGATGCAAAGATTGATGGATCGAGAAGCCCGTTCCGAATATCCAAAGTCATGATGAGCTGTATATTCCTCGGTTCGGTCGTAGTGGACTATTTGCATCTGCTCATTGATCGGCTCCAAAGCACGCCATTCGTCGCGGTCAGCCCCAAAGTCGGAAATATCGCGGGGTTGCGGCTCGGCGGGAGATCTTTTCCTTAGCAATGCTTCATCGATACGAAGAGCATCTGCTGCCCGGCGGTAAATGGCGTCCAAGATAGGACTGGCAGTTCTCGGTACCCAAGTGTTCTTGGACGTACGAGTCTCCGACACATCCGACTCTTCTTTGCCCGCAATGTTGCCAGTGGTAGATCGTCTCAGACTGTAGCGGCCCTTGACCACGTCCAGAACGTGATCTACTTCCACATCTGAAAGGAAATGATCGAGTTGAAAGGCGCGCGGAGACGCCGAAACTGCCTTGATGGTAATATTCATCTGTCCCGGCTTTCGATATTCAGGGAATGCAATGTCTGCAGAGTTGTTTCGCTTTACAGCATACTTTTCACCGCGCAGACCTTGAGCGGCAGGTGGAATGGATTCAAAGTGACTTTCCCAGGTAGAGACGACGTCTGAAGGTTGACACGATCAAAGGAACAAGGCATGAGTTTGTTTTTGGAAGGTGTAGCCAGCAAGGGGACAATCATCAGTACCTGTTTACCCCAAGACAAAACTTACGTTCTTGACCATAGTAGTCGGCTCTCCAGATCTTGTGGAGTGGAGGACTTTTTGGATAATGAGCGAGCCATTCAGAACCACCAGTAAAGTTGCGGTATTGGGTGGCGAACTTGAGGTTGAACCTATGCTCGTCATAGTTTTCCCGGTCTCGTGGACCAAGATATTTAAGAGACCGTGGGATATGGTCCTCGTCGGTAAAGACTCCTTGATTGGCAACAAACTGCCGATCGTCGCCTTGTGCCACAAATGGATCATAGTAGTAGAGAGAGACACCTTTCTTCATTGTGAATCGACAAACAATTTCTTTGGTGTCGCGACGCTTGAACAAGAATTTGTGGTTTGGATGAGTGGCTGTGCCACCATTCTCCCAGGGTCCAACATTGCCAATAAAGTATTGACCGCCATTGTCATTTTCCCTGAAGTAAAACGTACATGTACAAAAACAGATAAGACGCTTGTTTCCACGATGGTGTTTGTCAGTCTGCGCGGAGGCAAGCGAGGACGTACCAGTATAGTTCCATTCGATGTGGCGAAACGTTGATGAATTTGCCGGCCTGGCCTTGGAAGCTTGGTGTTTTCTCGACACGAGATCCCGGTTCTTCTCCATAAAAGGAAGAAATATCGGCGCGGGTGTAGACGTTCTTGTAGAATGGAGGTTGGTCAATTGGCATTGGCTTGAGCATTGGATCAACTTCGTCGTCTTCGTTCTGCGGCTCAACGCAAGATTGTTCTTCGGTCGACAGTTTGCGTGTTTCTTCTTGTAACGTCAGATACGGTTCCGGCTCGGTAGGACGGAAACCAAGCCTGAGATTTTCAATGTTGACTTGTGCATTGGCTTTGCGTGGCTGAAACACGACGACAAGGAAGGACGCAAACAGCAAATTCAACACGGTTGCCGCGAGGGGCAGAGCCAAGTAGAAAGCAGATTTCATGGTCGACGTCAGACAATCTGAATAAAACTATTAGGGGCTTGAGTTACCGTGCTGTTGAGGAGGAGGATTGATTTGTGTGCAAGGTGATGTGGATGTTGGTTGTTGGCTTTGTTGTCAAAAGATACGCTTCTGATTTTTAATGCGATGACTCTGGTTAAAATTTTCTTGGCTTCTCATGCTATCCAATACTTTTGCCAAGCACGATAATGGGTTCGGAATGATCCATAAGGTCGTTTCCCTTGGTCTTGTTGCTTGGTTGCTACCCTTTGCTCTGCAGCTTTGTGGGCGCTAGTTGCTTCGTCCTGTTCGCGTTGTGTGCAAAGTTCGCATTTGAAAGCTCAATTTTGGTCAAAATGTGAGGCAGAAGACCCAAGCCAGCAAGAGGCATTATTTGTTCACACTTGTGACTAAATAATTCATGACTCGACTCATTTCATTCGCACGCACCGGTACCGGTACCGGTGTTGTAGGGAAGAGGATAAATTCTTTATTACAGATTTTCGTTTTCTGCAGACCCAAGGCCTGCAAGCTAGCTAGCTAGCCAGGACAAAGATCTTGCCTTGAACAATTGCCTTCTTGATAGGTTGGCTACAGGTATCATGTAAATGTACTGGAGTACCAGAAGTGTAATGTGAAAATAATGAGCTTGTAGGCAGCTTTCCGTGCTTGGTTTCTGGATCGCTGTCATCAGATTCTTTTATCTGGATTCATTCCTCCAGTCGGCAGGCCTTGAAGTTTCCTGAAGCCTGAAGGCTGAAGTCCGGAAAAGACATCTTCATTCCAATGCAAAGGCTCTTATCGTAGAAGGACCAACAAAAAATACTAGCTCTAGAACTCTAACATAAGGCACAAGTAAATAATGTAGTTTTTAAAGTAGCCAGCCAAGCTAAATGGCCAAAGTAGCAACGTACTAGTATGCAAGAAACATAGAAACAGAATCTGATGTAAACTACAGTGGCTACATTCTGTTCTCGTTACCCGGATGAACGCTCAATGCTCATTCACCTTGTACCTTGTGTACTGTACCTTGTAAACTACTAGCTACACTACTATCGCTAGCTAGCTAGCTAGCTAGCTAGCTACTACGCATAGATGCATAGTACTGATGATGAGCACCCCTGCTCCAAGCTTTCTGCAAAAGGCTTCCCCCAACACCACCCCTCACACCATGACCGCTTACCCCCGTTGCAATGCTACGTGGGAGTGACATCACCTCTACGTCCATGTACTCTGTTCAATGTTCCTGATGGATGAACTCTACTCGCGCAGTGCAAGGTCCGGAAACCATGATGAAGTTTTGAAATTTTCAAACAGTTTTAGTATCTCATTTTTAGTTTTACTTTCTCATTTCTAGTTTCTCAACTTGAGAAACTATTAATTTTCTCATTTGAGAAAATAAATAGTTTCTCACTTCAGTCTCACATTTAACAGAAGTTTCTCCTATAGTTTCTCATTTCAAAAGATAGTTTCTCATTTGTGACAATTAAGAAACTAACTTTCTCTTTTGAGAAGCTAATTTCTCAAATGAGAAACTAATTTCTCATTTGAGAAACTGTCCAAAAGTCATGCTTCCGGACCTTGCCTGAACTTATTTGCCGGAAGGTGGACCGTTGGTTTGGTCGTAGTGGCACAGTAGCACTATGAGTCCCGATTGCAGGAGTCGTGATATAAAGAAGGCAACCCGAAGAAGCGAACGGGGCGATTTAAGTAGGGCAGAGAAGTTGAAGCTTCTTAAACTACCAAACAGTCGCACTGAATCAAAGATTGAGGTAAATGCGAAAAGATGCAACAACGCACTACATTTAAAAATTTTATTTACATTATTGGAACAAGTTTCGTGCAGCGTATTACAAGTAATACCCTTACTTGGGTAGTGTTTCCCCAAACACCCTCATATTTTATTTAAAACAGACATGAGGGAACCAAGGAATCACCGTCTCTTGTCCATTCCGGTCTTTTATCTTAAGTCTGTTCCTTGAAAAGATCTCGTTGCAAAAACCTTGTTAAAGCTGTCGTAAATCTGCTGGTACACTGGAACACATACATGTAGTTCACGCTGGCCATTGAGTTTTAAAATGTCTTGTGTACCCTACTCAGAATAGCAGACTTAAAGGCCTTGCTCCTTGTGCCACTGAAGACGGATGCTGTGTTGTTCCTTCTGTGTTTGCAGTTTGCAGCTGGCTTGCTGACGCAGCAAGTGCTGGTTAATGGTGATTAGGGGTTGTAAGGCTGTGTGCAAGCTAAAGCGGTGGCAGCAACAGCCGCTCTGTTTGAAGTGTTGCTTCGTTGCTTCAAAGAGCTCTTCAAAAGCACCAGAGCGGCACTCTCCTCCATCACGAGGAACAATCGAAAGACACGGCATTAACTCCTTCCTGCGTTGTGAAATCTCGAGAACAAGCATTACCTCTCGAGCTCGAGAGGACACAGCTCCCACCAATAGCTAGCTAGAGTGCTCCTTGACCAGGTTGCTCGATCGTAGTAGATACCCATTCCACAACAACTAACTAACTTGGTTTGTCGCATTGAATGCGGACACTCGATTCGATCCACAAACAAGACAAAACAACCCACACTACAACAACATGCTGTCGTCCCAAACGATGCGCTTCGGCAACGTGATGACTAAGAAGCCCGCCATGACGAAGGACGCGGCCTTGAAGAGGCGTGGACGGCCGGCCGCACAAGGGCCAGATCCGGATGCCAGGACGGGGATCAACCACCCAGGGATGAATGGTAAGGTCACGCCGAGTCGGAACGAGACTGCTGCTGTTTGTTTTCTTTACAAATGCTAACGATGTCCATGTGCTGCGCTGTTGGGTTTTCCCGCTTATTATTAAAATATCGAACCGCAGATGTCATGGTAAGTTAGCATTGGCAACAAGGCGGTAGCCAACCTCGATCTTGAACCTAACAACTACTTGGGTACCCCCTATCATCTCTTTATCATCGCAGTTTGGTAGAGGCGGAGACACGGTAAGTCTGCTATCCTTCCTTTCTCTTGCGCTTACTCGCATGCTCAGGTTTAGCTTACCTTTGTTCCTTTCTGTGCATTCCTTCGTCGTCGTCTCGTCAGAACTATCACATTGGCAACAATTCCTTCAGGCACTTGGTCGAGTCCTTCAGCGATCAATATTGGGCCGCCAAGAATCGAAAGGAGAAGTCTTCCATCATTGGCCTCATCATTAATGGATGGAGGACGCAAGATCCTCCGGGGAGGTTTCTGGCCAAGACGGATCCTGCCAAGGGAGACGACAGTCTGTGGCATGACGTTGGCGACCAGGTAGGTTTTAGTTTGTTTGTTTGTTGGACGTTGATGGCTAGCCAGCCAGCCAGCTAGCTAGGTTGCAAGCACTGCTAGATAGATAGATAGGCGAAAGATGCTCACCGACTACGCTGTGTGCTTCTTTTTCATGTCGTAGGTTGCCGGAAGGAAGGCTTCCAAAATCTTATCCGAGATGCGGATCGGAAAGAGAAACAAGGCAGCCAAAGCAGGAGCGAAGCGGGCGGCAGCAACGAAGAAGACCCCAGCGCGGACATCCAGTAACAAGACTCCTCTGGCCGCAACGAGCAGTTGCATCATCACGGACTCGAGTGTGGAGCAGACCAACCCCCGCAAGCGAAAAGCCCAAGACAGTCCGTCTTCCCCTACCGGTGCACAGGAGTTCCCGCAGGTCCGTTGCGAGCCACAGCAGTTCTCGAATGCTTGCCCTCCAGCTCTTCCAAAGAGTTCAGCAGAGGAAGTTCTCTCATCGTCCTCTGCAGCTTGGTCGTTCGAATCGTCGTCCTCGCCGCTGGTCCGAGAAGACACATTCACAACTTGGGCGCCGACATTGTTCCCGACTGGGTCTCTAGTGCACGATGAGGCGGCTTTACAGGAGGGAGGCACGTTTCCCTTGCCCGGTGGTGGAGGCGCGTTCCCCTTGCCCGGCGGTGAATCGGCCGCGAAGAATCCATCCTTTTCCCTTGGTGCGCTTGTGCAAGAAGACAACACTCCGCTGCTCCCGCCTTCCAAGAGAAGGCTTGCCGAGTCGATGCCAGTGGCTGCTGAGTTGACACATGTCTTTGAAGATCCAGCCTATCATGAAATGCCACAAGCCAGGCATTCGAATGCGGATGATGAAGAAGCAGCACTCATGGAGCTGATCGGTGCATAGAGTGGCAGCGGATGGATTGCCTCTGCATCCTCTGACTACTACTCCTAGTAGGCATGAAAAAAATTGGATGGTTGCGTTTTGCTGGCTACCGTACGGTACCGCCGCAAGCCAATTTTAAACCAAGTTGTAAATATCGAATCATACATTTTCAATAGAAGTCTTTGCGCCATTTTCTAGATTACAAATCTCTTTCATAGCTACGTACGACGACTGTCTGCTCAATTATTATTGGGACCTTTCATTCGGCTGAAGAATTCCTCGAGTTCATTTGTCAACGACCCGAAACTTTGACCGGTGCTTCGAGGAGAGGAAGGGGAATTGCGTAGCCACTTGGGCAAAGCAGACCATACGTTTTGCTGAGCCGCGTACCGATAGTCGCACAAGAAGACCGCTGCATAGTCATTGGCGTGCCGAATGGCACGGCCAACACTTTGGTTCACAGCTCGCATGCACAAGTTCTGGTAGTATGCCTGTCCCGAGATGCCGCCCACACCGCACTGGTCGATGTTCGCCATCTTCTCCCGCAAGATGGGATCGGTGCAATCGGGATATGGTAGCCCCACCACCACGACTCCTCGAGCAAGGTTGTTGGACAGATTGATGCCCTCCGACATCTTGCCGCCTATCACGGAAAGCAACAGGGCTCCGTTGCGACCATCCTTTTCGCCAACCGCGGCATGCTTGGCATACTGTTGGAGTGTAGAATCCAACTGCTGAGCCCTCTTTGGTTCACGGAAAAGCGTCTTTCTCTGATTCAGCTTGTCGTACAGTCCCGATTGATGCCACTGTTGCACCAAGTGTGCCTCATAGCTGTAGCTTGGTAGAAAGACAACAAGACCGTTTGGAACCGCTTGACAAAGCTGCAGTAAAGCTCGGCCCAGATCCTGACACAGATCCGACGCCATGCGAGACTGATGACGAAAGTCAAACTTTTGGCGGTTGGGTCCCATCGACAGGCACTTGAAAAAGACGCGGCTCTTGTCAATCACATGGTCACAGGTAAAAGCTGCGAATCGCGACGACACCATAGACAAGCTGCTTTCGCTGCTCTTGGATTGCTGTTGGAATTTGCGATCGGCCTGAATGGACAGTTGGAGCAGAGATGCCCCCGTTGCAGGCTCGTTTTGCTGTTCATCGGAGGCCAGCAGCTCGGCTGCGACATGCCCAAACGGTGACAACGTTCCTCCAACCAGAGCAAGTGCATGAGCTTCTTCCACGACGTTGTCAAAGCACGATGCTGGTTGCAGCAAGACAAAGCGAATAGTCGGGGCTTTGCTGCTGGAGTCTGACTTTGCCGGCCATTCCGTGACTACCTTGCCCTCTCGACCCGACAGATTGAGCTTTTCCAAGAACTTCTGCACAAAGGACATGGCCGAGACATGCTTGGACAATCCTGCTTCCGTAGATTGCTCTCCGGAGTCGCCTTCTTTGCTTTCGTTGGCCTGAGTAAACCCCAGGAGTTTCTGCGCCAAGCGGGATTCTTCGAGGTAGCGTTGAAGCTGGAAGGTATTGATGTGGCTCATTCGTAGTTCCAGCATGAATTCGTTGGTCGATTGCAGCGTTCGTTTCTTGGTGGAGGAGGAACTATCTGTTTGATCTTTCGACGTGGATTCCTTCTCCTTCTTGTTGCTCTTGGACCTGTTTTTCTTTTCGCGCGCCTTTCTCTTTCGTTCCGCCAAAGTGTTTCCCGTCAAGTGATCTGAAAAGGCCTTCAAGAGTTTGCGCAGATTGCCCAGTATCATGATACTCTCTCCCTTGAACCGGTCCAAATACTTTTCCATGTATCTTGTAAGTTGTTGCATGGCTGCTTGAACGACGTGTAATGTCAGTGTTTCCGAATGCAACTCCCGAATTTGCTCTGGCAAGTTGTGAGCTTCATCGACGATTACCAAGGATTCATGCAAGTCCAAGCCCACAGACTGTCGAGTCGACCTCGACAGGAGCATGCTGTAGGGCAAGACAACTACTTCGGCTGCCGCGAGTGCTTTCTACCATACAGAAATAATCCCAAAAAAGAAGGATACATGTATGTGAGTGAGTGCGTGAGATGAACAAGCAAAAGCTCAATGACGAAACAAAGGCTGCCTACCCGAGAAGCGTAATAGGCGCACGTATGACTGGCTTTCCCCATCCGAGCGGCATCTTCAATATCGGTAGGCGTGGTAAGCAGATGCATCCCCAAGGTGGCTACGGCTTCTTTCGACTCGAGCAAGGGACATCCCTTTGTTCGTTTGGTTTTGCCACTGCTCTCCTTTTTCAAATCGAGACAGGCCTCTGTCAAATTCGCTTCACCGGTGGGGTGTTTCTTTTTCAAGGCGGTGTTCCCACACAAGAGTTGCCGGCCACCCAATGCCACGACACGGGTGGTTTCTCCCCATGTCGTTCGCTTCAATTCTCCTACAAATTGCGAGAGCTGTGAATGAGTCCTGGCGGCGTAAATGATCTTTCGGACGCCACTCCCAGCTGCCACGTGAGAGATAGTCTTGGGAGGATCATCGCTACTTTTGATGATTTGGTGGTTGCGATGGCTCCCGTCTAGACGATTCCCATCCAGTAACACTGAAGCAGCGCGAAGGCCTGTGCTTGTAGTTGTATTGCGTGGCTGCCGGTGAGGATTCTTGTCAGCTTCAATGTCACTGTCGTCACTCATATCGGTGGCACAGAAGTCGTCTGGCTTGTTGGTTTCTTTTTTGCGCTTGACACGACGTTTGGGTCCTGAATTTTCCGCCATTTTGGCGGTGTGGATGGCAGATCTTGCCAAGTACTCTCGTCTCTGCTTGACGCGCTCGGATGTATCATTGTTAATATTGTCTTCGCTATTCTTCTTTTGTAGTTTGCTTCTCCACAACTCCAGTTCCTCCTGGAGCGCTGCTCGTGACTCTTGTGCGGTTTGTCGTGTGATGCTCCATTCTTGTTCCGTTTGTTTTTGATCAGGAGGGACCCATGCATTCCACCAATCGGTAGCATTGCTGGTAGTATTAGCGTCATTGGTTTTCTTGTCATTTTCTTTACTACTAGATTCTTCTTCTGCAGTCAAATCTCGTTGTTCGCAGTACTTGAGCCACGCCATGGCACTACACGCCAAAGATAGAGACTTGCCAGTGCCGGTAGGAGACTCCAACATCATCACGGCCGCACGGGGTTTCTTCTTGTTCTTGCTATGGCTGTCATTGGTTTGGCGCCATGTTGAATCATCGTGATCCTTTTGCTGCAAACACTCGAGCAGCGTGTCCATCAAAGCTGTCTGCTGAGGATAAGGAGATTCATAGGGAAAGGGTACCGTCGATCCGGTGGGAAACTTTGGAAGCTCTTGTTGCGGCATCTTCTTCAGTGCTTTTACAACAACAAATCAAGTTGAAAAATGAATCCATGTCCAATTGTCGCTGGGTTCAGTCGTGAATAATTAGGGACTGAATTGGTTTCCAATGCTAACCTCATATCTGTCCGTCCAATTGGGATGACAGCCTTGTGCTTGGTGGGGTGCTGAAATGGGAGCAAAGTGGCCTCCCCGCCATGGAACAACAACTTCCATCCTCCTTCAGTGCCACTCACCAAGGCTCAACATAGGATGTGTTATATCAAAGTTCAGCTATGTCATACGGTAGCTGTCCATTGCCATTCTTGAGGAAGGCTACGAGCACTCATGACTGCCAAGATTCGGTCTTGCTTTTAAAAACTGGTTTAAGCACTTCCTAATAAGGTATACGACTATATGATATATACTTTATACCCCTCGATCCAATGAATGGAGCCTTGTCTGAAGTTGCCTCTTCTATGTTTTCATTGAGCTTGTCCTTTTCATTGAGCTTGTCCCTACTCTGCTTTTTGTGCACATAATAGGGAAACACTGATACTCACCTCCCGTCTTCTTAGTGCCTGTATACCGGTATACCCGTACAGTAGTTACACATGTGCTACTCTACTAGCTACATCGTACCAGCTGCAGCAGGTACGGTGGAGTATGATACGGGTACTAGTAATAGAGTTTTGTCTGCAAAGCCCACCCTTGTGAGTGGCGTCCAAAGAGAAAAAGTGAGTGCTCGAAGGTCCCATGGAGGCGCCATGGTACTTAGCGTGCCTTGCAGGCTACTTAGCGAGTTGGCGAACTCTAAGTATCCTTGGACGCACCTTTTTGATCCAAATTTTGTTGCTGGATCACAGTGTGGAGCTCTGTGCTCTTCATCAGCATCTCAGCATCCCGTCCCATCCCACCCCATCCAACAACAATAGAATCGAATTGAAAAGGGAAACAAACAAGACAATTGGAATTCAGCAGTAGCAACAACAACAATTCTTTGACCATGGGGAAACGAAACTCTATCAAATCGGAGAAAGCCACCATTTCGGTTTCTTCGTCCGCCAAGAATTCGTCGCCCAGTCAAAAGGGAGTGAACGCCCAACTCAAGGAGCTAAAGAACAAGTACAACTATGAATGCTCGGCGACAGATCCGGTGGTGGTCAACTTGGATATAATACCCAAGTTACTGTTTGAGGGAATGGTTAGTCAAAAAGCGACCACGGTCGAAAATGCGGTTGAGAATCTTGCCGATATCTTTCGTTTATCCAGCGAAAAACGAATCGAGGCGTATCAAGCCGGTGGTCATGCCGTGCTGGTGGTCACCATGAAGAAATGGCGTCTCAATGAGTCCATCCAAACATCCAGCTGCCGATGCATCCAAAACATGAGTTGTACCAATGCCGAAGCCAAAGAATCCTTTGCTGTTGTGGGGGGTATGGAAGCCGTCCTCAACGCCATGCGGACGTTCCCCAAATCGCAACGGGTCCAACGCAGTGCTTGTGGGGCTCTCATGAACCTCTTGTCGGGGAGTGACGAGGAGAGGGCCATACTAGATGCCATGGCGGATAAATTTGTCAAGGAATGGGATGGAATAGCACTGATAGTGGCGGCCATGAGAAACTTTCCCAAGGAAGTCAAAATTCAGCTATGGGGGAATGGACTATTCCAGAATCTAGCGCAAAACAGAAACTACCGAATGAAAATGATGAAGTCGGGCGCCGTCACTGCAGCAGGTGGGTCGCTGGAACAGCATTCCGACGACGAAAATATCAAGCAATACGCCTCCAAATTCCTCAGAATCATGTTCTCATAGCAAAACAAAAGGGCTACTACTACCCGTATCCCACCTGAAGTTTCAAATCGTAACCAATAGAGGCAAGCACTTGTCCAATTTGTTAGTTTCCAAAGATATGCATGCCGGTAGATCTTTACAACTAGCTAGACTAGTACCAGTAGTACAGTATTATCAATGATAGCCTAGATCATTATTACTGCTTCCAGGATCCAGGATATCGTACCGTACAACCATGCACTGAACTATTGGTACGGTCTGGCACCAGGATTCCGTGCAACCATGCACTGCCATACCGGTACTAGTACCGGTAGCTCGTACTAGTAGCAGATCGGTGCATACAGCTGCTAACTAAAACCTGGGTTTTTGAGGTTCTGAGCAGCACCATCTTGACACGGTTTTGTTCTGCCGGTTCAGCGCAGCTACGTGTATCATACCGGTAGGTTTGTCGTCCAGCTCAACCTGGCGCTATTATGGTTATTGGGCGATTTCAAATGTAGGCTGGCTCGAAATACCGTTGGATTTAGGCCGAATTCATGGATGGCTTCGAAGAAATGAGCGCATTATCGTTTGGCACGTGGTTGAGGAAGGCAGGAACGCAATTACTAGTAGTTGAATTCAGAACGTCGTGGGGTTGCCTTGGAAAGATGGTCCAACTAGCCCGCAGTGGCTCTCTGAGGAATGCCACCAAACTACTCAAACGAACGATTGGTTTGGGGACGATTGCGGGCGACTCGGAAACTCGCGACCAGGCAGAAGACGCTGGGTCTGTGTCGGAATCTTCTCTGGGAACGGGCACCTTTGTCAGTGGCCTTACAGAAGAACAACGAGATGATTTTGACATCAAGACACGTGGATCCGACACCATGACATCTCGTTCCAACACCCTGGGGCTTGGCTTGAAGCTACCCAGGTCGCAGTCATCACCGTCGCAACAACACTCACTACCACCCAAACCAGTACCAATCAATCTGACCAGACAATCGTCCAAGCAAAAGGCGAAACAACTCCTTCCACTGCAAGATCAGCAGCAGATACAGGCCACTGGAACACATTCCGCATCCAATTCACAACAACAGAAGCAAGAACAAGAGCAAATCAAACACCATCACGAGACCAATCCCAACTTGGATTTCGAACCCATGGCCCCCAATCTGGATTCCATTCCACGTCTACTATTGGAAGAAGTACTGAGTACCAATGCCAAGGTTGCGGAGGATGCTATTGACCGATTGGCACGACGATGCCGGAAATCGGCGGAGATACGAGAAGAAGCCTTTCGCGCCGGTGGGCATGCCATTGTCATCATGGTGATGCGCCAATGGAGGGATAATGAAGCCATTCAAGCGGGAGGATGTCGTTGTATTACCAACATGACCTGCCAGTTCCCGGATGCCAAAAAGTCATTCGCCATGATTGGAGGTGTCGAATCGACGCTAGTGGCCATGAAAAACTATCCCAACTCTCTGCAAGTGCAAGGCTACGGGTGTGGGTCGCTCATGAATATTCTATGCGGACACACGGATGAGGGGGCCGATAGTTCCATGGCCATGTCGCGGCGGTTCGTCAATGATCTGAATGGGATTGCCGTCGTGGTAGAAGCCATGAAACAATTCCCACAAGACTCCAAGATCCAACTGGGTGGTTGTGGCTTGTTTCAAAACTTGGCACAAGAAAAGTCCTTTGTCTACAACATGATGCAAGCTGGTGCGGTGGCGGCTGTGGGCGCTTCTCTAGAAACGCATCCGGGAGACCCCAACATTAAAAAAGCGGCAGGGTCATTCATGAAGAAGGTATTTGCATAACTAACTTGTCGATCCGGGCGAAGGCTATTCGAGGATCTGTGGAAGATAGTGCAGGATACATTAATGTGTCCCCAAGTTTACACTGCTTATTGTTTACGGCTGTCTTGGCGGAGCAGATCTGCAAGGATGTCGCTGTGTGATCCTAAGAGCGAGCGAGGTAGAACGAAAATGTAAACTATGTGGTCAAGGATACTAATATATCATTATTTTCTTTCGCCTACATCAACAAAGCGAGGGCTGACAGGAGGCAATGAAGTTGGAATTTCCATTGCAGCTTAATTCAAGGGAAGAAACATTTCATGACGGCTCCTCCCCACTCTTGAATATCCTCGTTCTGGCGGTGGCTGTCAATTGCTTTGGCAACCGAGGTGATGGCGCCAGACACTCGAATCGGGATTCTGCAGCCTGAAACTCGGAACATGGCGTAGAGCAGTTCCAACGCCCCTTGCTGAACCTTGGCATCCTTGAGATAGCTTTCCATCGTTTGCAAGCACACTGCAATGCCATTGACTTCCTTGACAAAGTACTCGGCGTAGTGCCGTGCCTCAAACTCTGATGTATTGGAAAACAAGCTTGACATTGCTGTGAATGAGACCAGTTGGACCTTTTGTGATTCGGGGAAGTAATTCATTGCCGTCAAAATGGCCTTGAGCATGTCCTTGCCGTGAAAGGGCACTGCAGCTCCGTTCAAATCATCAAGCACAATCAGTTGCAGTGTGGCACACGCGTATATCTGAATCAGCTCCGTGTTGCCCCATTTGGACATTGCCTTCAAGACGAGACTTGGGGCTCCCGCTTTGAAGGCTTGCTTTCGTGTAAGAGGACAACTTTTGCAGGTTTTATGCAGCTTCGTCATGGCAGCCGCTGCAATCTTGATCTGGTTGCTTTGGACATTCGAAAGTGTCTTGGCTAGCATTCTTTCTGACAATGCCGATGTCGTGGCGGTGCCGCGCTTTGTTGAGTTCGTGATGATAGGCTCTTTAGGTTCTTGCTCGACAACGCTTGGTTTCTGAGATGTCTTGGAACGGCATTCCTTCGTGGGCTCCGTCTTGATGCCAACACTACCTTCTATGGTTTCTTTCTTGATGGCTGCGCTACTCCAGAGCCCTTTCTGATTGACGGCAACTAACTTTCGACGCTTCAATGCCGTCTCAAGGTCGACTTTGCCGTTCTGACGCTTTGCCATTTTGCTTTCTCGAACAGTCAGGGTTATTGACGTGGTTTTCCAGATTGAATCAGTGCTCTTCTCTTGGTTTTGTGGCACCATAAAAGAATGGGCACCTGGAGACTCTGATTGAATCATTTGAGGGATATGAACCTTGGAGTCGAGTCGAGTCGTTGCGTGGAAGTGCATCGTGGGAAACCCCGCCCACACATTCACGTTGCGGCTGTCGCATGCTTTCTCCCACCGAGGGCACCTCCAGGGCTCCGAGTTGCAAATCACTGTACCGGTACGAACCGGTATGACGTTACCGGTGGCAATACTGGTGGTACCAGGCACTTATTGCATGTTCCTTTACAGAGTTGATGTGGAGCATCGTGGCAAGCCATCGTGGTACTTAAAACAAAGAAACTCCACATCGTTTCGATGATCACGACAGCAAGCGTTTGAGATGGTTTCGACAAAAACGCTGAGACCATTATTTGATTAACCAACGTAAGTTGCAATCAGTCGACTAGTAGCTAGTAGCCTTCGAACTCATCATCGCGGTGTATTGCCACGATGCATCCGGTACGCTGCGCCGCGGAAGTTCTCTTTTGGAATTGACTTCGTGCGAGATTTTCATGTTTTGATCTTTTTGTTTCGTCCTGTTGATTTTACTTCTTCACCATTGCCACATGATTATGAAGAAGGCATCCCCCGTGGGGCCACCCTTTCCCGCCGTGAACCAGATGGCGACACTGCCCTGGTATGATGATTTTTCTGGTCAACTGATGGCATTTTCGAATGGCAGCAAATAGAAACCTTTGGGGATTTTTGTGAAAGTGTCCAGTGTTCGCCCAACAGCAACTTTTGGTTTGTCATCTTCTTCTTTTTAATCCTTCTTTTCCGCGTGTTGTTGTTGAGTATCTTTGGCCACGACGAGCACTAGATAATTTCGAATCATCCATAGCTCCACCACCAAGCTGAGTGCCCTTCCCACATATGCCAGATAGAAGAAAGCATAGAAAAAGGGAACCGTATCTCTCAATTCCGCTGGATGATGGTATCCATAGGAAAACAAATTGGCCGTGAACAATCCATAAATGGATAGGATACCAATTGGATTGCGAAAGTTATTGGCAAAGAGAGCCCGCACCAACCAAGGATCGTGTTCTCGCGACTCTTTCCAATGTTGGCCGTGCACTCCCGCATGCAGCTGGGTCGCCAACATGGTCATCCATTCCACACACACAATTATGGAGGCGACCGTTTTCAGCCCTGCCGATGCGTCCGGACAAGACGCCGCTGCCATCCACGAACAGGTCCTCATGATATTGTCGGCCGCGATATCGACCAAGACTCCCAACGACGATGTTTGATTCAATGCTCTGGCCAACATGCCGTCGAACAAGTCCAGACTGCCCGACAATGTAAAAACCACAACGGTTTGTCGTGGGAATCGATCGCTCAAGTACATGGCATAAAAAGACAAGACTATCCGAGCATAGCCCAACAGATTGGGAATGTACAAAAAGACTGGTAGAGAAGACCGAGGTGTTGTTGATGTCGATGATGATGACATGGTGATTATTACTTCAGTCCAAGTACGGGAGAGGGATGCATATGCAACGCCTTCTTTTTTCCTTTGAAAAAGGTGGTGCCATGGTCGCTTCTGATTTCTGACCGTTGGAAGTACCGTATCTTTGACTCATTGGACTAGATAAAAGTCGACCGAGCCGTCCTCTCGGGTTTCGCGAAGACAGAAACGGAACACAATTTTTGAAAATCAAGACGAAGTCCAACAACACCACACACGCCGCTCTTGTTATCCCCTCCTCTTCTTTCCTTTTATCGTTCAATCTCCACCATGGTCTTTTGCTGCTTTTCTTCCAAGCCTCTTGCCTCCTACGAAGTTGAAAAGGGAAAATATGGAGCCGCCTACGCCCCGTTCCTCGGGAACCAAAGCAAATTTGACATTTCACTTTGCGAAGCACCCTGCCGGGAGCCTGGCTGTCTGTTGGCCACGGTGCTCTGCTTTTGTCCCATTCAAGTTCACATGCGTCACAAGGCGCTCAACCATGTCGATCCGGGATCTGGTTGGGCCAACTACAAGTGCTGTCAAGGATACTTTGGAGGATGCTGCTGTCTACAGCCGGGACAAATGGGCGAACAGTCCTGTCCATCGCTCTGCATGTGCGTCGAAGCATCCATCTTTCCAGGACCGGCCGTATCCGCCACTTCCAATATCGTTCGAGAAGCATACCGATTGGGCTTGGATGAAGATGACGTGCGCTTGATCCGATGCAACAATTGTCTCTTTGTTCTGTCGTGCATTTTGAACTGCATTGCTCCCCTGACAGATTGTGAAGGAGACGATGTCCTGGCGCATATTGTGAATGTCATATCCGACATTACATTTTGTTGTGTCAGTGGATGCATGACAGCGCAAGTACATCATGAGATCAAATTGAGAGAGCAGCATAGTGCACCCACAAGAGAAGAAATGGAGAGATGTTAACAAGCTCAAGTCCTGCCGCCACTGGTTTTGTTCTTGTGAAGTTACTGTGTTACTGTGCCAGATCAGAAGCTGAATCGAATCTACTAGTAATTGTTCCATTTAAAGTGACTGCTTGTGATATTTTGGTATTAAAGCCCAACATCGCGTAAAGCGGAAGCTACCGGAAGCTGCAAATACGGCACTATACCGGAAGCCTCCAATGATCTTGAATGTCATCCACAATCTACTATTCTATTACTGGTAGCATGCGAGATTTCGCTTGACAGCAACACCCTTACTAATTAGTAATTACGTTTTATTCCTTTTTTAGTTCAATTCTTCTATCGTACCGGTACTGTGCCAGGCGCCACATAATTTAGCCGAAAACACATCCATGCTCAACCACAAGAGCTGGAAAAGGCAGTACCAGTACGGATACATCCGCCCTCCGCCTTGCAACACAATCGTCAACAAACCTCTGCGCTCGGACCGCCGCGAGCCTCCATGTACTTGCACTTTAGCTGGTACCGGTACTAGCAGCAATCGCTTGCGCAGCCCACGGCATGTATACCTTGTTCCAAGACAGAATTTGAGCTTCGTCAAAATGTGAAACAATGATCTGGTGCAAGTACTTTGTGTGAAAGATGGCGTCACGGTTCTGTGGATCATGTTCGAAGCGATGGGAATGCGCCACCAACAGAGCAGCCACTTGATACGGGTAATGGAAAAGCGGGTCCGGTCTCTGCTTTTTGCACGCGTCCATGGTGTCTCGAAGGGGTCCAAAGGTCGCGAGAAGAGGAATGAAATAGCTCTTGAAGCCACGACGCTCGCCGTCCTCGTTGAGCATCAAACTCTGGTCGGCTCCCCAAAGAACAGCCTTGGCTGGTGCCGGGTGAGTCAGACAATCTACCATCCACTGCCAAAGCATGTAGGCAGATCGAATCCAACTCGTCGGGATTTCGGTGTCGCGGGGAGCACAGTAGAGATGACGCAACAAGAGCGCACAAAGCCCCATACAGTCTTCCCACAACACGTGAAGAAATTCACAGCTTCTCTCGCTGCTCCATCGTCGGGGAATGGCGACCGAACCAAACGGCCCGTCGTCGCCAGGTCCTCGGTGGACACAGAACGAATCCACCTCTTCGGGAAACCCCTGCAGGACTTGCAAAATGAGTTCACAGGACGGCAGAGACCATGGATCATGATTCAAGTTGATTCGTCCGGAATGACAATGGGCCGGTCCTCTGGAACTGCGGGAGAGTAGCAGTTGGGAAAGGTCGTGGTTCAACAAATGCGTGAGCACACGGCGACACAGAAATCGCATGTCCTGGCTTTTCTCAAACCCTCGTGCTTGTTCCAGGCACAAAGCTCGGAAGAGACGACCATCGTTCTCGTGAAATAGTCGCTCCAACAGCGCAACCGAAAAGACCATGTTGGCACACGTATTAGCCCCCAACAAATTTTCTTCTTCATCATCGAAATAGTCAGGCGAAAAATCCATGTACGACAAGGGTTCGTCGTCGTCGTCGTAGTAAATGATGTCATGGTTCATTTTGAGAAGCTCGAGCATCTCTTTAGCCTCCTCCAATGGTTTCTTTGGTGGAGAAATCTCTTGTTCCTCCTCCTCGTCGTCGTCCTCCTCCATGGACAAGTAAAACTCAGTCTCCATTGCATTCTCCAGGGACTCTCGTGCACGAATGCCGTTCGGTACTTGGGAAAGAATGCTGTCGCATTCACTCTCGTGTTGCTCCCAGTGCTCGACTTGGCAACGTCGTGAGCAGTACCACGGACGACACTTGTTGGTACGACAGCATTGATGACACTGAAAAAGAACGACCAACTCGCTCTGATCGAAGCTTCGTCGTCGTCTCGGCGCTGAAACACCGCAAACCTGGCAACTCGACATTCCTTCTACAGTTTGTATCGTTCTTCTTGCTCGTGTCGGATTGTGTGCAAAGACAAGCCTTCTTTGCTTCAAAATATAGTGTGTTGTGGTGACAATGACAACAATCGAGACGAGGTGGCGATCGAGGTGGTGAAGCATCGAATTTGAATCGCGCTGAGTCGAATGAGTCGAGTGACGAGTGACAGTCGATCGGGTGTCGAAGATGGAGAAAGGAGAAAGGACTCTTCTGTCCTGATAGCAACGGAGTTCACCGCATCTTGGACTTGTAAAAGAGTAGAATCCAATCTGGATCCCTTCCTCCGGGGCTGCCAACAGGCATCTTTAGCTTGGAATCTCCCTGGTCAAGTCCCACAATCCACATCGTCTTGGGGGCAAACTGGTTGCCAGATGCGAGACTGCTATCATCACCGCGCTCTATTATTTGTCGCACCGACACTATTGCCAGGGCATCTTGATCGATCAGCGTGTGTATTAACTTCTAGTAGGCAACGTCATTCATCAACCACAAACAGGTCTGATTCGGTGAAACCGTGAGGCGAGTCGAATCTGATTTTGACTGGAGCACGACTACAGTACAGTTCAAGAAACGTCAAAAGGCTCTCTAGCTAGCTAGCAATGTCTATAGACATGAATGAAGTCAAAATGTACCGTGCTATACATAGAATATTTATTAACCAAAAAAGTTGCTCGAGTCTTGATGCAGGCGTTAGTGGCTTGGTTGTCATGCCATTGATAAAAAGCTTCGTCGTTGTACTGTGGGATGAATGGAGGACATGTTGCCAATGCAACTTGGAATGTGAAGGAATGAAAGTGACCGGATCGATCGGTGGAGGAGGTAGAAGTGGGAAATTCCACCGGGCTTGGAAGAGCTGGTACCAGTAGGATACATGTACATGGGCGGGAATGGTATGTGATTATCATGCAGCTGGTGCTGGTTGCTGCTTCAAAACCCAGCTTTGCACATTGTGAAGGAAACCATCAATCTGAGGAACTTTCTGACTTGTCCAGCCACAGCCAGTAACATACATGATGGTGTTGAGAAGATGTTGGAAGCACTGGGTTGCCTTGTCTTGGTGACCAACGTATCCATGAATGTGCCCAATGTTGTTGGAGATACCGATACTGAGCAACGTACTGATGTCGTTACCCAGATCGTTGGGCACTTGTTGGATGTTATGTGCCAACTGATAGAAAGACAACGCCTTCCGGAAGATACTGTCACATGGCTTGGTCTCTGTTGCACCCAAGTGATAGGTGAGCGCCAGATTGTACACTGTCATCAAGGAAAGAGTCAGATTGGAGGGCGGCTTCGTGGACGCTGTAGGGCAATCCACAATGATCAGGGGGCTGGCAAAGATAAAGCACTCTGAATCATTCAAATCTTGTCTCTGGATGGGATGCAAGAAGTGCACCCATTGGTGTTCATCTTTTTGATCAAAAGAAGCTTGACCCTCCTCGTCCTCCATGCAAGACCTCTGTGCCCTCAGTCGACCCAACAAAGAGGTGAAGGTGGCAACAGCTTCGTGGTATCGTTTATCGAGAAGCAGTTTCACGCCACAGTTAAGGCCTGCCATGGCGAGAGCAGTTGGGGAAGGTACATCTGTTGAGCTACCGGTATGCATTTTACGGGACGGTGTGGTGGCGGTCTTTTGATTGTTGGCTGAATATTATGGATTGTGATGAGAAGAGAGAAAAACATGCAACGCACCGATGGAACTGACTCGGCACTCGACTCACTCGACTCTCTGGTCACTAAAAAAGAAAAGAATTTCACCTAACCTACATGCAAAAGCTTGACAAATAACGAATGAGTTCCGCACAATGTCAATGGCAGCTGAAGCATTAATGCAAGCTCGAATGTTGTGCTCCTGGAAATCCTTCGCGTCGTGTCTCTACAAGACATTCACAGAAGTCCAAAACGAACCAAGAAACACCCCTTTAAATCTCAAGTAACCACTGTTGCGAAACTGAATTATTACTAGTAGTGCCACTTGCTGCCTAGAAAAGTGTGACTGGAGGGTGTTACTGGTATGCGGTTGCGTGGCTTGGTTGGTATTTACTGTTTATTCCTTACTGCCATGAGGTCAGTAAAAGGAGCAGTAATGGCAGTAATGCAGTAATTCCTCAGTAGCAGTAATTATGCACAGTAATTTAAAGCCAATTGAAGGCAGTAAACTACAGTAATTGCACTAATAAAGGCTAATTACTGTGCTTTTACTGTCATTTACTGGATATTACTGTTGCAAAGGCAGATTACTTACTGCATGGGATTACTTACTGCAGTAATTATGTGGCCAACAATGGCAGTAATTGGACAGTAAGGAGCCAGTAACCCGGATTTACTGCAGTAAATACCAACCAAGTTGCGTGGCAATCGAACTATTATGGGATGCGTTGATTTTGTACCAGAGGTCATTTAGAAACAAACGTTTGTGGCTGATTTCTAATTAGAATCTTGAACCTGCTTTTCACTGGTAAGAAAGAGAATTGCACTTTGCCTTGCTTTCTCGTGGAAAGGCTACCACCTACCACCAGCATTCTGGTACTGTAGCCTAGTACCTCTCTGGTCATCATTCAACCGGTATCGTTACACTACAGTACTGGCAATAAGGAGCTCAATAAGCAGATTGCAGATTGTCTTTATCCAGCCAATCCATGGGCTTACGTTATTAATAGTGCAAAGCTCCATTCACACACCACGGGTTCAATACAGCCAAAACGCCAAAACACTGCATAGTCACCTGGGATGAAAGGCAAGCAATTGCAGGATCAGAAGGTATTATTGTACTATTTTAAGACGATCCAACACGGTCTTCTGGTTCGCTCTGAATGACCTTGGGATAAATAATAACAAGAACCTCTTCCTGTAAAAATAAATGACAGAATGCTTCAACTGAAATAAGGGCCTTTCCACTTTCCATGATGTGATGGTTTTGCTGGACATTGGTTGCTGCGATGCGTACATGTATGATGTGCTGGGTCTGATCATGAAGCTTCGGGAAGCTGGAAGCAACATTGTCGTGTACAAGCTAGTCTATGTATCGGCACCCAAAGCTATTAGAGAGCCCTCTACATTCCTACTAGAGCTGTAGCGGGTGGTACCAGTACCAACCACAAGCTCTTCACTCTTCACAGCTCTCTTCACGCAGAGAATCAAGAAAGGCAGATTACAGTGCTTCTTGGTCTGCTACAGCACCTCCTGCCCCCACCGTAAAACAGCAACATTCTTCTGTTAATCGCCCTCTGCCAGGATTGAAGGAAACTCCAAACTTAAAGTCTTGCTAGGTTGAAGGTTGAAGGTTGAAGTAGGCTATGTAGCCATCTCGGGTTGGCATCACAATGTCATCATAACGACTGTTGATTTATTTGTAATGAGGAAGGCATAGGAATTTACTGGAATGTCAGGCCAGTTGTTGGGTGGAACCTGACTAGCTCCTGACTATCGGCGACGTGTGACAAACAGCCCTGTCCTACCCATGATAACCTGGTGGAGCAGCTAGGTGCATGGGCGCGGGACTTCAGACTTTGAAAAGCATTGGCATGGGTGTGGCAGAGCACCAAAACTGGTTGAAGTTTCCTCCACAGGCACAATCAAGGAAGTTGAAAGAAAACCAACTTTACCCGGGTAAGCTGCCTTTGGTTGAGGTTCCTTGGAAGCAGAGCTCAACTGGCTTCTTTCTGTCTGGTGCATGGCTGGCTGCACCTATAGCCCTATAGCTAATTTCATCGAGTTGGTTTTCATGATTGCTGCGAAATAATGGAAGAAAAGAAACACTGGTGATTGTCGAGGCGATGAGGTGGACCCTTTTGCCATGGACTTGTGCTATGGCTGGCTGCTCAGGGTGGGTACTTTATGATACCCAAGCAAGCAAGTTTTGCTCGAGTCAACATCTGCCCTTGTTGGGATGAATGCTGGAGTTGGCCATCTTGAAATGCTTCAATGGGATCGATCCAATGGCTGCCCTTGGGAAGGACATAGTTTGGAGTTAGCAGAAAGGTTTGGGCACCCTGAAGTCTGGGCTGCGATGGGCTCGTGACGATTTGCTGCCTACTAGCTACTGGAGGACTGTGTTGATGGACTGTGGGAGGATCACGATTTGGACAAAGAACCATTCTGTCAGAGCTACCGTACCATGTAGCCTACCTGCTATGGTACCGGCCAACCTACATGGCTCAATGTCATGATGAGTGAGTGACGAGTCAAAGTAGACTAGATGCGAAATTGCCACACTGCTATTATGCTGCTACCTGGAGCTACGGTACGGTATGTTACCGGAGCTACCGGTACCTCGTACCGGGGTACCGGTACTGTACTGGTGGGTTGGGCCTGTGCATCTGGATTTTATAAAATCCCTAAAAGCTAACCCTACGTAACTATATGTTATTTTGGTGGGGTTTGCCGTTGAAAACCAATGACAATTCGGCGCCCATGGCACACATCCCCTTTCAAACAACAAACTTTACTGCCTAGCTACCGGTATCATAGAACTTCTCTGACCAGAGTGACAGCAACATGAGGGCCAAACAAAGCGATGATGAAGAACTGTCGGGAAAATCAAAGGCAGAAGAACCGGAATTAAGTGTCCATGACAAAACAACCACACAGGACAGCACAGAAAAAGACAAGAAAAAGAAGGAAGAGGTGGATGATGAGACCGCAGCAATGGAGGAAGACGCCAAGAGTACCGATGAAGACAAGACCAGGTCCATTCGCGCCAGAAAAGCTCTCTTTGCTGCGATTGAAGGAGGCGCTGGAGAGGAGGACTTGGACGAGGAAGGGGATCCGCTGACACATCGTCCTTTGGTGCGTCTGTTTGAATCTGCGAGAGAATATCGCAAAATAGACCCCAACTCCACTGCCCGTGACAACAAAGATTTGCTGTTTGACGTTGTCAAGGGTTTTCACAAGGGTCACGCTCGCCGACTCTTTGCGGCCTTGAAGCCGATTGTCCAGCAAGTCGTCGATGGTGAAACATACGTTCCAGAGTCAATCTATCATGACGACAACAGAACCTTGAATACTGCCGACGACAAAACCTTGGCACCCGAGGACATTATTCCAGATGCACGGTCGTCCGAGGCACTCTCCTTTCTCTTCTACACGGCTCGCATGCTTCAAATTTACCTGGACGGAGTAGTACAAAAACAATCCAAAAATTCGCGGCGAAAATCCTTGGCAGGCCAAGAACTACCCGTCATTACGGAGGCCTATGATGTTGCAAATGTCTTGCATGATGTTTTGCTCAAATTATTTGAGTGCGGACCAGACGCGGTTCCTGTCGAAAGTGCCGTGTTGACCCTCTGCGAAAAATGGTGGCATGCCAACGCTTATGGCCGCGATGATCTCATCATGTCTGTCCTGCCGCTGTTGCTAGTCAAGGCCTACGGGACGGAACAAAAACCTCCACAAAAGTCAGATTTGAAGCGATTGGTCAAACTGCAAAATGCCTTTTCCTTTGTGGATTGGGAGGATGAGCGTAGCGAATTCTTGCGTGGTTTGGTCCTCAAGGTGGCATCGTCGCCTCTGTGTCTCAAACTAACGGAAGGCAAACGCTTTGTGGCTGGATTGTTTCTTATTGATTCAATTCTGATCCGCGACTTGCATCAATCCATTCGAGCTCAAATTCCAGATGCCAAAAGACCCATCTTGGAAGCCTACGGAGAAATCTACAAGAGGGCGTGGAAAGATGCGGCATCCAATGACAGCAAAGACACCGATCAGTGCCCGGAGGACATCCAAACGGCCATTGAACAAGATGTACTGCAGGATTACATGTACGCCATTCTTCACATGGAAAAACCAAAAATGACAAAAGCTTTGATGGTGGTACTGGAACCATTTCACGAGGGCAAGAAATCTAAGGACGTGGAGGCCCTCTTGCATCGAATGTATGGCCCCATTCTGTGGAGAGCGCTCAGTGCAACCCACCCACAAGTGAGAATGAACGCTGCAAAGATACTAGGCGAGGTGTTTCCTCTTCACGATCCCTCGCATCTGCAGCCGGATGCTGATTTCAAACGGGCAGCCGACGCTCTAAAGGCGCTTTTGGACGATGGGTGCCACAAGGTGCGAGTGATAGCCTCAGGAGTTGTGGCAAAGGTATTGGGCACCTATTGGGACGTGCTCTCCACAGATCAGATTCGCATGCTGTTGACTAGTGAGTTCCCAAGTAGTTTTCATTTTGTATGTATTTTCTCCTACGTGTATTCTAAACAAGTTTGCTCGTTGCACTTCATTTCAGGGGTCATGTCGCGACACACGTCGGATGCGTCCTCCTGGCAAGTTCGGGCTGCGGCACTTGATGCGGTTTCAGTGCTTTTGGATTCGCCCCAGTGTCATGCAGTTCTAAGAGGCTTGCTCCCATCGGTGGCAAATTTGATCCACGACACCAACAAAACTGTACGACTAGCAGCTGTCAACCTGCTGCTAAAAGTCAAGTCTGTTCGTAGTATCAAGTACTATCACGTGGTGACATCTGGCCATTTGAAAGCTCGGTTGGAGGATGAAGGACACCAAAGCAGCAGGACGAGCAATAGCTACAATCCACTCGACTTTCATAGTCCAGTCGCATCGGGGTTGACCAAACTAATGCTCAACTCCTTTGTTCCGCAAGGGGAAAACGTGTCGGCAGTGGATCAAATCACGCGAACTCTTACCTTCATGTCTGGAGATCAGGGGGCAGCGCTAGTGTTCTTTGCCAATCTGGCGGATCATCTTCCCATGTCAGCCATTGCAAAACTTGCTGTCATGCTGTTACGATGTTTGATATCAGTAGTGGAGACCGAGAAGCAACGCGCCAGCACCTCCAAACGACGCCGTTTAAATGATGTACAGAGTGATAGTGAGAGCGAAGAGGAGGGGGAAAGTGAGAGCGAAGTACTAAAAGCTTCAAACACTGCGTTGATGGCCACGATAGCCGATGTCATTGCTTCGTTGTGGGAGAGTATCGAGGCAGATTTGGACTACGAAGACGACACCGGCAGTTTCTTGATCGGTGCGTTCAATGGCGACAGGCTGACAAACCTGCTAGATTTCTTTGAGAAACAGGCCGCCAGTGAGAAAGACTCGAAAAGACTACACGATTACGACCGAATCAGTGCCGCGATTCATCGGTGTGCGGGGTTCCTTGAAGCCGAGGACACTGAGAGTCTGTTTTCTCATGTAAAGTCTTCCTTGAAGGACTTATCAAACCAGGAGCGGAGACCAGAGAATCAAGTTCAGAAAGCGTCGGATCACATTGCGCTTCTGAGTCAGTGGAATATGATTGAGGACGTTGCGGTTTCATTAGCTTCGTCCATCTTGTCAGGGTTTGACGAAGAGCAGTGTGGCGACAATTTGCTATCTCCAGAGTCAGTTTCTGACAGTTCGAAAAAGAGGAGCAGCTCCGCGAGAAAGAAAGCAGCTTCGGACAAACGGTTGGTCCCAATGTTGAATCCAGATTTGGCTATCGATGTTTTCCACGCAATCCTGAACGGGGCTGATCCAGGCAACCAAGCGGCTCGGACGTCCCTGTTCTTGTCGATCGAGGCGAGAGAAGCAATCGAAGATGCACTCGATCAAGCAACCGCTTTCACAGGTCGAATTCTGAGAGATACATCGTTGGTAAGCCGTTCATGGCAGTTGCACGGAAGGATATTGCATGAAATCGAATCATCTCACTGTTGCTCGGTTTCTATTCCCAAGTTTCAAAATCATGATCTCGAAGAGCGCTTGAGCTTCATCATCAAAACATTTGATGCCTTTGCTCGCTATTCGTTGCACAAGGCTTCGTTTGACGCATTGGAAGAAGGCGATGCGACAAAATTCAACTTGGAAGCGGAACATTTGCTAGATTGGACAAGCCAGAATGTTGTCCCCGCCATCCAGAAAGCTGGAAGGGGCGTTTCGCTGCAAGAACTTGATTTGTCACGCATCTCGTTTGTCAATGATTCGATGGTGTCATTGGATTTAGATACCACCCTGGACGGCGAGGTAGCGTCGCCACAGTTGACGCCTCTGGGTCCCCCCCGAAAGAAAAGCAACATGAGCACTACGCCCGAAAGACTTGACGGTGCGTTTGAAGGGGTTGCGAGGGAACGCCGCAAATCTACCCGCAAGGACAGCAAAGTCATCCCCGGAGACGCGGCTTTGCTCAGTCTGAGGTGTCTATCAACGAGCCTTCTCCAGTCTTCCTGTTTGGTGTGCTGCGAGTGGCTGTCCATCGGAGCTGGCCCCGGGACAAAGAACATTTCAGAGAAGGCCAATCAGTGGATCGCCATCTTTGCACCAGAGGACGAGGATGAGGAGGATCGGGGCGGTGTGTTGGTTGAAACCTTTGTCGATCTCTTACCATCATTTGCCAAGCTCGCGATTACTTTGGGCGTCCGCGCCAATGACTACACATTCTTCCAGCAGTTCGTGGCACAGTGCGTCGCGGTATCGGATAGTATCGAGAACAGCAATGATCAGGTGGAAAAATTGGTCATGGATCTATGTTCAAAGCTTTTGAAGGCCAGGCCAACTGAGGGCGAGACGCCTGTCGCTAAGATTGTTCCTATTGTCCTCGCAATCGCCTACGAGGTTGCCCGAGCTGGTGCGTCTGGAGATCTGGACGAACTCCCGTCTACGATGCAAGACGTAGTCTGCGACAGCAACCAAGGCCTTATGATCGGTTCCGCCCTTCAAGCTGTCTTGTTGCATAAGCATGGAAGCCTGCTCCTGGCGCAGAAGGTAGCCGAGAGCTTCTTCAATCATGTCCGTCCTAACACCAACACGGGCAAGGGAGGGGGAAACGATGAGGAAAACGTGTGCGCAGAGAATGAAAACGCGGCAGTAGACAAAAACGAACCCGTTGAAACTAGCAAAGACGGCGAAGGAGAAGGGGGGACTGAAAAAAGAGACGAGGCAACGACGGAATCAGGCGAAGCAAGCGAAGATGACAACAAAGAGAAATCGGAGGAAACAGAGAATCTGGAACTGATCCTTCTGTTCGAGGTTCGTTGTCTGTACCTCATTTCCGACTCAGGCGCTTGCAGGAAGGAAAAGGCCATGAAAGAAATCGTGCGTGATTTAAAATCGAACCTTGACAGCGTGGACAAGGTTGTATTGCCCGAAGGCAGCCCGGTTTATGATATTCTTCAGGAGATGACGCATGGACTCGATTAGTCAGTGGGTACGGTACCTCTCGTTGTACAGTGTAGTGGTAACTTGTAATGGGGATTCAGGAAACGCTGAACTTTGCAATCTGTAGGTACGATGTATGATTCGTCTTCGACGTTGAGGCTCCAACGACTTCGCAGGCAACCCGATGGCTTTGCTCGCAACCAGCTATCTACGTGTACCGGTACGGTCCTTGCCAGGGCAACATTTAATGTGGAAGGACATTATTTACAATGGGTATGTACAAGATTGAACGTTCAGTTCCTCACGACTTGTAGTGTCGTTGGGTGCTACCATCGATGCCTGCAAAGTCGACGTACGCCAACAAGTTGTAGTTGTGCACGGTCCATGGACTGCGAAGCTTATTGTATGCGCGTTGTTCGATGTTTCTAATGGCTGGTGTGCGTGAAGGAGGCTAACAAGTGAGGACCCCAGCATCCGGTACCGTATACCCCTTCATCAACCAAACAGGGGCATTATTTACCTGCAACCGTCAAGCGTCCAGCAAAGACATCAGAAACCTCTTTAACGGATCGGATCACACCGTCGTCTAGTCCCAAACGCATGCGTATCACGTCACGTTCACTCCTAAGACAAAGAAGGACAAGTAAGTTAGCATCATCCCATGAAGAAACAACTTTACGAGCGATCTGTACGGCTTACGGTGACAACTCTGTCGCCATGATGTTCTCTAGGCACTGCCTTAGCAGAGACCGTTCAACGTGATCCTCGGGAAGCGGTTCATCACTATGTCAGCAAAGCACTGTTAGGTTCTCCTGTGTAATCGTCGCGCTGGTAATGACAAACGATGCATGCCAAACTTACCAGGCAAGCAACGAAGCCAGGGAATAGTCGCTCTCGCCACCTGCGCTTTCCACTCCACCAGCTTTTCCAGCTCCAAGGCTTGCCGCAGTGGCCAGGGGCGAGTCGAGGGAAGCCAATGGTTGCGTCATCCGCAGCGCTTTGATCAATCGTTTCTCAGTAACGCCAAGGTCATCCGCCAGTTTTTCCATGGAGGGTACGCTTCGATGGGTCCTAATGTAATGCCGCACTCGGTTGATGTAGTTCCTTTTGATTTCGTAATGTTGCGTGGGCAATCGAATTCCAGATGAAGATTCAAGCTGGAAGATTCTTCGGACTCTATTGTTGATCCACGCAGTAGCGTAAGTCGAGAACCGGAATCCTCGGCCGGGATCAAAGCGAATAGCGGCCTCTTGCAACCCAAGTACACCTTCTTGGATAGCTTCGTCCAGGGTGGGTCGACCAACAATGCTGTTGGCCCCTCCTCCATTGTACGCTCGTACCAAAGAAGATGACTGAGGTTGATCTCCAACCCAGCGCTTTGCAATGCTCGTGACAAGCTTGACATTGCATCGAATGAGCTTTTCCTGTGCCATGGCTCCCTCGAGAAGAATCGTTCGGAGCTCTGTCCTTCCTCCTGGAATACCCAATTCGTTGCGAATGTCTTCATCCGTCAAACTATTGTCCGTGGAAGAAGACAGTGGTGGTGCTGCCTGTTGTCGATCCATCTCCAAGACATCATCCATCCAGGACTCGGGTGTGTAAGGCGCTGGCTTTTGAGGTTGTTGCTCAAAGATGAGACTATCAAATGTCGACATTCCAAAGGCTTCTTCTCCTTCAAAGGGAGTCCCATCTGGGTAGAAGAGTTCCTCCTCCTGGGAGAACAACATTTGTCGCTCCATGGCTTGGCCTGCTGTCGTGCCATACAACAAGGGATGGTTTGCGGCATCCACGTGGCTGCTGCTGCTGCTGTCCAACCCGTATACACTCAGGTTCGTATAGTCATCCTCACTGTCATTGCCAAATTGCTCTTGGTGGAGTTGTCGTTTGATGCTTTGCTCTTCCCACCAAGACACTACGGCTTGTTGGATTTGAATGGCACGTTGCACTTGTGCTCCCAGCACCAGTTCTTCTTGTTTGGATAACAGCTCGTGTTCCAACATGCCAGTATTGATAGGCGAATAATTATCTGCTGCAGCAGACGAAAGAGCGCCTTTGTTCTTGCCCCTGCGGGTCTTTGTCTTAGTTTTCTTGCTGACTGCTGCAGCGCCAGTATCAGTAGCCGACGCCGCCAATGTGGTGGACGTGGTAGTCTTGGCAGTGCGCCTCGCAGTAGTAGAAGACTTTTTGGATACCTTTGGTTTCTTGGCAGCTGTGGTGGGAGTCGAGGAAGAAGCTGCGGCCTTTCGGGGTCTCCCACGGCCTCTTGGCTTTGGTCGGCCGCTGTCCAAGCTGTCTTTGGGAGCATACGAGAGCCGTGTTCGCTGTTGTTGTTGTTGTGTGACTGGCAATGTGGAAGTAGCCGAAAAGGCCTCAGATGGACCAATGCTCGACGAGAGCAAGAGAGTCGCCGCCAGAATGGATCTGGTACTGGTATAAGTCATAGTAGTATTGCTGTGGCTATATAATGGTCTTCTTCTGTCTCTTGGATAAATGATCTTGGAGCTCTGAAAGAATGCTTGTTTGCTTTGATTGATTGATTGCTTCACTCAGTGAATGTTCCGGTAGACCAGCAGTGGCATTGGTTGTCGAGTGAAAGAATTCTGAGAGTGCAATATCTTGCGAAACAGATGGATATACGGTAGCTGGCTTCGGTAGTACAACCAATGCTGCGGCGAGAAAAAGAATTCTTTTCTTCCTTTGTCAAGATGGAAAAGATGACAGTAGTGTGCCGACAGGATTGCTGTCTCGACAGACTTGACTTGACTCTTGACTCCACTACAGTATGTGTATACTGTTGATACCCAAAAAGTTCTGATCGGTAGGTGCCAGAACCCCAACTTATTATTGTGTGTGTCAAAACTTGCTTCAACCTCCACAAGAGAACTGGTTAACGAGGTACCGGTAGGTAGCGAGGTAACAAACGGGGCAATGGCAACAAGAGACTGACTTCCAGCACGACCCCACCACACACTCTTCTTCTTCAAAGCCGACGGCGAGCAATTAATTGGTTGTCGTCACAACAACAAGCAGCATCAAGGAGACGTGTTGCATGGCGCTGAGCACGGTAGAAAGATCGAAGCAGCTTGCGGGCGGACATTCACATTGCCGAATTCGACTATCTCATTGGTTCATTTTGTTGAACATGTCCACGTGGTTATTACGTAGCTTTGGTACCAGGCGGTATCTTATTAGATTCTGTGGTAACTCGTGTCTTTGCATTCCGTTGCAGTTGTGTTAGTCATTGGGCAACAAGCATTTCACGGTTGCTATACAAGTACGCGTAGTAGAATCAAATTATGGGTATTGTATAACATTCTTTGGTTACATAATTTTTGTCAGGTGATGGTATAAGTTTACTTGAGACGCACATTTGCTTTCAGGAAACGTTCTGAGAAAGTGGCGAGGTACGACTGTACCGGTATCGTGCCGCAAGAATGATGAAACTCCCCAAACTAGACTAGCTAGGCTACAGGATGCCATTCTGCCTCTGGCCAATCTCCAGGCCTTACTCTAGGACCGGATCTCCTGAGCCAATTCCAGGCCCCATTCAAGGACCAAGTCCATGCCAAACTACAGGTCCCACACCACAACAAATCTTTGTTCTCTTGCTTAGTGAGTCGGGTGAGGCAGCACCTGAGTACCGGTATACCTTCAGTTAGTTTCGGTGGACGTCTACCTGTATCACTGCGTGTCCCTTGGTTGAGCCCAAGAACGCTAGATCGTTGAGGGTAATTCCCAGATCTGGTACTAGTAGAGGAGTCGCTCAATCAAGCTGTTGCTTCATGAAGAGGCAGAACAACAGCATTTGGGGAAAGAAGCTCTGTTGGGGAGGCGGAACTGAGACCAGCAAATTGTTCGTACTCCAGCTGCCAACGAAGAGAGCCTTCACCTCGCAGGCTTTTAGTCTCTAAACCTACTAGAGAAATGGGTAAATTCTCCCTCCAAAGATGAGATCAAGTGGGTTTGACAGCTGAACCGTTTTATTTTACTTGCTCTGGCCGTTTCGTGCTGACGAAAGATCGACGTCTCGATCCCACCCCCAACTTGCAAGCAAGCAACAGACACAACAAGTCTCCTTCACCCATGGTCCATCGAACACTAGCTAGCTGACTAGCCTACCGGTAGTAGAGACAAAACAATAGTGGAAGACATGTCCCGTCGTTTTGACTTGGAATGCAAGGGTGTTGTATTGTCCATGGATGAGAAGTATGGGTTATCTATTACCGACAGCAAGCCGTTGCCTCTTCGCATGCCTGCTCCCCCTTCCAATCAACGGGATGCGCGACGACAGTTGGGTTCCTTTCTCCGCAATGGACGCATGGAGAGTCGATACTCGCAAGAACACCATGGTCGCATCTCAGACATTCTCCAGACGTACCCAGCCTTGGCGACCACGCTGTTTGGCAATCGTCGTCATGATCGAGCTCTGCCATTCCATCACGTGGTAGGGGCCAAAGGTGTGGCCTTGTCGCTGCTGCAAACTCTATTACGACAGCATCCACAAGCCATTTACGAATTTGGTGGGCAAGGTGGCTTGCTGCCATTACATTATGCATGTCATGCGTGTGCCGATGCCACAGTCATTCAATGGCTGATCGAACAGAATCCCCAGGCTGTCACGACACCTTGTCAATCCAATAAAGAACGATTGCCCCTGCACTATGCCGTCACCAAATACAATACATCCTTGGAAACACTCAGTTTGTTGGTTCAGGCATGTCCCGATAAAACAGCTTGTTGGACAACCCAAGACAATCGAGGTTTTTCCGTCTTGAATTTGGCGGTTCTAGAGTCCTGCAAGCCTTCCATGGTAGAACATCTCGTCCGTCTACTGCCATCAACAACAGAAACACCGTTGGATTTGCATCTGAAACTGTCGTCATCCGGGGATGTCTACAAAGTGAATTCGTCAGTGCTCGAGTCATCCTTGACCATGGTGCTACCTCATGTGACCAGAGTTACCTGGGATCTATCCAACTCCTTCTGGCGCAACAGCAACAGCAACAGCAACAACCAACACAATTTTGTCATTATTCAATGCCTACAGAATTGGTACCTGTATCCCAGCTCTTGTGATGATGATACTTCTCTCAGCTATTGTGCAAAGAGGAGAAAAAGAGCTTCACTGCGCGTGATCACGCCAAAAACCACGAATGACAATCAACCTTGGGATACTGTTGTCAGTTTGCTGTCACCTCCAGCTGGAAAACCCATACTGCGTCACCTGCAGTTGGGGCCCTCTCATGACGTTGGTCATCACCTACTCGACGCCAGTAACCTTTGGCAAATGTGTTTGCCGTTGCAGTTGGAAACAATGGAATTGCAAGAAGTGACATTTAATTGTCAGTCGTTGGCCAACTTGTTGGGTACCTTGACAACGACGTGGGGTAGAAACCAACAGGAAAGCAAACCATTGCGGGGCCTCAAACTTACATTGGCGCAACTGGAGGATCAAATTGGAATGCCAGATGCTCGATGGGATCTGAACCGCATTTCTGCACTGAACAATGGCATGAACAATCCATGGAGACATTCTCAGTTAGAGAGGTTGTCCTTATGGAATTGTTTGATCCTAGAACACCATATCCTTCGACGACTGCTCCTTGAAATATCACACATGCCAAGGTTGACGCAACTGGAAGTTGTTTTTCGTAGTCACGTTCACCCCACATCCGCGTCCTTTGAGACGGAAGAGGAAGAAGAACTGTATTGGCAACGATACAGTGCTCGATCAGAACCCATGTTTCATGAAATCGATAACGCCAATGTCACACCGGAGATTGTCACTATCTTGCGTCAAGGCAGATTGCAAGCCTTGACACTGGAAGGTCCAAGTGTGGATGTCGAAGCACTGGCCGATGTGTTGCTACCGGTACTACCACCCCGCAATGACAATAACGACGCAGTGCAACATTCGTCGCTACAGAAACTTTGGATACCTTCCAGTCTCGACGAGAACTTGCCCAATTTGAAGGCGTTCAGTAACCTTCTCGCCAACAATTTTGCCATTGATAGTGTCGTCATCCCAAAGGAGAAACCCCATGGCGGGGATGTGCGACCCAATGACGAAGAACTACGTCGACTGGAGCAAAAGATTGTCTACTTTGCAGCCCTCAACCGCAGTGGGCGGGCACAAATTGTCGATGGTGGTAGGCATCCATCCATGGCAGACTTTGTCAAGAGATTGGCATCCATAGGTGTTGACGACGTTTGCATTCACAGTGACACTTGCCATCCAGGAAATGTGGAAGTCTATCAAATCCTTTACGGAGTGCTACGATTTGCGCCCGGCTTGTGGTCGTCTTGAACCTAAGAATTGGAAATGGAACAAGCAGCGTCGTAAAATAGCAATCGAGATTTCGCACCGCCGCTAGTCTTTAACACGTGAGTAACATACACACCGTCACTAATGGTTCTCCTCCAGGGGGCTGTGTACTCGAATGTCGCATCAACAAGCCTCCGCTGCGGCTGCCTGCCTTCTGCCAGAAACTCTGAAATATATGACTCAAGAAGGCAGTGACCCTATCCATTATGGCTCACTGAGTCTATGCATCTTTAGAAAAACAGCTTTTATTCTACAATTCTCACTCTCCTCATTGCGTAGCGGTCACTTCCGTTTGGCGGTGGTGCTGGGCCACTTTCTTCGCTTTCGTCGTCACTCGGCAACGTCATAGTCGACGTTGGGTATATTGCCATGAATGAACCAACGTCCTCCGAAGGCTTTTGCAAGCCATTGCTAGTTTTCAGTGTCTTGTTCATTGCCAGCTCCAGTTCAACTTCTTCCTCGTCCGCAACATCCCAGTCATTTTCGTTATCAGAATCAAAGCTATCATGAGCTTCACGTTTTTCTGCTCGGCGTCGGTAAACGACCAATCCAATGATTAGCAGAGCCAAAATTAACATCATAAGAATCCCTGTCACTGCCCCAGGATGTCGCTGGCCCCAGGACGATTCTTCCGTGGCCGCGCCGCTTGCCGAAGCTGCAATGTTTTCATTTCCTTCTGTGCATCTATTGTTGATGCAGACAAATGGTGGTCCCCCACAATGACAATCCTTGGAACAAACCCCTCCGTCTGGAACTGCTTGAATGCCAGATGGCTCATAGTAGAAGTCATCAATGACCACTCTCACTTCATGTGTATCTTCGAGCCCAGCTGGGGGAGAGGAACCGAACAGGTGCCAAAGATTGATGCGTACCTCCACATTGGCTGGCATGCACTGTGTGTAGTCAGGTTGACCAGAATCCAGAGCATCTTGTGTTGAATAAGTGAAGGTTTGCCCACCACCAGCACTTGAAGACCATGTAATCTCAGCTGGATTCCAGTCAAACTCATATGTATTCGGGGCTTGCTTGTAGGCTGGTACAGTGGGTGAAGAACCACTATAGAATCGATACTTTTGGGGTGATCCTGGCGGCTGAACCAAGAACTGGACATCTTCATTGTTGGGGATATTCCATTGGGATATCTCCACATCTACTTCATGCATCCAATTCTCTTCTGCTCTTTTGCTGAAGTCTTGTGTATCGTCCCATGTAAAGAGCCCCAAAATGACACTGATAGGGAGCCGATTGCTGACGATAGTGTTGGTGACAGTATCACGAACTTCGATGGTCTTCACGGAAAATCTGTAGGTTCCATAGTCATAGTAGTCGTTGGGTTCTGGAAGCAGAATGCGCACTTCGCTGCCCGACCATCGTCCATCAGGTTGTCTGCCCATTGTCAGGGTTAGTTCCGAGAGGTCATTGCTGACTGAAACCGCCTCCTTTGTAAAAAGATTATCAGATGGCCCACATTTATCCCCCTCTTTGACTTCCACCCAATAGTTCCCAAAGACGTTGTTATATATCGTTCTTTCTTCAAAAGGAGGGTAACAGTACAATTCCATCGGAGGTGAGTGGAGTGATGTCTCTTCCTCTGTTTCTACTGCTTCCTCCTGCTGCAGCGATGAATTATCCGGTGGTGGACCCTGTAACGTTGGCCTCTCCAGCGATTCCTGAGGCGTTTCCTCAGGCGTCGTTTCTTGTGGCTCTTGCTCTTCTGGATCTTCGGGAGGTGGTTCTTCCTCATCCTCCACCTGTTCCTGCGGTTCCTCCTCTTCTGTTGGTTCTTGCTCCGGCTGCATTTGCGGTCGTGGTCGTGGCCGAGGTTGTCCATCATCTCCCTGGTGGTTGAATCCTGAACCACCCCTCGTGCAAGAGTCTGGGTTGCAGGCACCGCATTCCTGAGGAAACTCCTCCCCTCCTACGCGACGGCAGGCTTCCTGCTCATTGGTGTATACATTGGCATGTTGCTCCAGGAGGTAGCCAATTCTAGAACCACAAGAGTATAGCCCGGCAATGGTATCCCAGACATTGGAGTCACATGAATCACAGCCACAGAACGGAGCGATTTTGGGTGCCAGTATGCCTTCTGCCGGTTCTATTGGCTTTTCCGCATCAGGATCACAGTTGCCACATATATGAGGGAATTGAGACTTGGCCACAGTGCGACATGCCTTGCTGGACGCATAGTTTCGCTGCTCGATCAAGTATTCGATGCGATCCCCGCATAGATAACCCTCTGCATCGGTCGACCAGTCCAACACACAGTAGGGACCACAGACGTTCCAAGGATTCATTTTGCTGGATCCGGTAGCCGGTGCAACTCCCAAAAGGAGCGAACATACCGTCCAACAGAGCCCAATTCGACGGAAATTTGTCATTTTCCTTTTGATTGTGCCTTTATCCAAACGAACCCAACCTTTTTTGGATCATCCGGGTTTTGTGCCTCTTTTCCATGGACACATTCCAAAAGTAGACAGGTCTACATCAAGTAGATTCATCCCGATCAATCAAGGACTAATGACAACTGTTGTTCTGGATTATGCTCCCTTGCTCTCTATGAGACGCTAACGGATTTGTATATATTTGTTGTTTAGTATTCATGTTAACAACGGCTAATTCTCATAGCCAAATTTTAACCAAGATTTGAGCTCGATCTCTCGCGTCAATTTGCCCGTTGCATGACTGAATGTCGCCGAGTGGTCACCCAGCAGAGCTATCTGGTTAACCAGTTGTTGGTCAGCGGCCGACTTGCATTTGGATTCCCAAAGAAGAGAGCCCACCACCCCCTGTCACCTCTAGTAGAGGACCGGTCGTGTTGTACCTCAGTGGAACCACACTCATACCGTACGCTGTACTCACCAAAAGTCGAGGCTTGCTGTGCTGGTCGGCATGTTATCAGCAAATGGGTCTGATGAAAATCTGCTGCCTTATGTGCATGTCAGTGCGTACTAGTATTGATGATGAACTGCAAGGCCCCACTTCTGTTCCCAACCTGGATCTACACCTGACCCTGAAATGAGAGCAAAAGTCAGCCCCACTTGGTTCAGTGTCAGGCCTTCCGCAGATCCCACTACTAGTACTGGACCAACACTCAACCCAACTCATACCACTAACCAACTCCGCTAACACTAGAACCATACCGGGCCTGACTCGACTCTGACTCCCCGATCAATTCATGGACCCATCCTACCGGTACTAGCCGGACCTGGACCTAACTAAATCTGGCCCAACACCCTGGCTGTCACTCCAGGACCAACCCCAAGGCCCCTCCGCTCCTATCCACAAGCACAAACCCACAACATCATAAAATTTAATCTGCACCGCACGATGCACGATTGTGTCATTCGTGCGCCCCAAGAACTTCTAAGAGGGCTCAGTCACGAGCGAAACTGCACTCACCCGAGGACCGCGACGAGGATTCTCAGATCTCATCACATCTCACATCTCCTGCAGATCTCCATCTCCACCAAAGGTCTGTTTGCTCTATAACGACAAGTACCCTTTTGCCATCACCGTTGCGTTATCAAATCATTTGTGAATCTTGCTCCATGGCATTCGGTTTCCTCCTCTACTTGTGGTTTGTTTTCCTCTTGCATTTCCAACTCTCGGCAGCACTGGCTTCGCAAAACGGCCCATCAGGAAAAATGAGCGGAACAACGACCAAAAAAGAGCCTCCCATGATCGAGTATCCATCGCTCAGTAGTATCCCCTTAAAGAGTGCCCAAGATATTGTCTGGCAGATGCTGATGCACGCAGCACATGAAAACGACCTGGAGCAAGTCAAGGCCAATTCCTTGCTCCAGCCGTACGCCCAAGATTTTGGACAACAGAAGGGAGATATTGGCGTTGGTGCCATCACCAAGAAACAAGAGGATGACGAAGTAGTTCCTATTGGAGCTGCATGGGTACGATTCTTGCCAGGAGTTGGATTTGCCACGGCGCATTTGAAGCAAAAAGACGGACATGATAATGATAACAAGCCAGAGTTTCAGATGGTGCTGGAACTTCCGGAATTGGCGATTGCCTGCCTTCCAGAGTATCGTGGAATGGGAGTTGGATCATCTCTGTTGAAACGCCTGTTTGAGGTTGTCCAACAAGAAAAAGGAGGCTACAAGGGCATTTGCTTGAGTTGTCGATCCGACAATCCTGCTTTGCGGCTGTATGAACGGGTTGGCTTTGTCAATGTAGAAGGGTCGGAACTGACAAATCGAGCTGGAGGGACCTCGTTGACCTTGATGTACCTTTTTGACAAGAAAGAGTAACTAGAAACACAGTTCTGTGATCACATATATATCGTTGTAATACATGTAGAGGACAAACAGACGTCCTGCGATGCTTCCTGTAGCTACTACTACTGTAGCTAGCCAGTCACAGGTAAAGATGAAGATCGTCCAGCCCAAAGCTTGCGTTTTACAGAAAAGTGTGCGGGGACAGATTCATACAGTAGCACAAGGATCTAGACTGCCGGTATAGTAGCACCTCGTGTGCCCTCTGCCATCCTAGAACATTGCTGGTGATGTCGGCTGTGGAGGTACTACCGGTACACTGTGGCCCTCTTCTCCAAGACTCTCCTCGCTGTGCTACCACGCAGTTAGCTGCGACAATAGTTAGTTTGTACCGGTACTCATTCAATCAGCACGAGAGACTTGTATCATATCAATACAAACTATTAGCTAGACTTGGTTTGTTTTTAATAAACTACACGTAGAATCTTGTAGAGGCATGATGATAAGGAAAGCTTGCCGTGGTGCGGTGTGGAATAGAGTTTCATGGTTGGTTGTTGTACATACAAATAATACAATGATGTGTGCTGTTGTTGCTGTAGATGAAATGCAATACAGTATATTTGCGGATAGCTGTTCTTCTGAGTCAACGTCGGGTCGAATCGAGTCTGCTCTGTTCAGTCCAATCAAAAGGACAGCAAACAAATCAAGACAAAGAGGGAGAGACCTAAGAGAAGCCGTGACAAAAAGACGGTGGAATCCGGATCTTGATCCAGTTCAGTAGCGGTGGGAAGATCCGCTCGTCGTTGTGGATAGTGCAAGGAAGGGACGCCTTCTTGTTCGGCGGCTGGATTGTTATTGTGGTTGTTGTTGGAGCTATTGCTATCAGTAGCTTGAAGTAGAGTTTGATGCATAGCCAACACCAATCCATAACTGAGCGTGGCTCGTGCGAAATGATGGGGATTGGGTCCATTGCTTCCGCGCGACGCAGGAGACGTCCCACGTCCATTGGTTGTGGTGTCTGCGGATTGTCGATTGGGGACAGGACGAGTGGGGACAATGGTGGTGGAAGTAGTGGTCATGTCATCTCGGCTTTCTGTCCGTCGTCGCTGTCGAAGACCATCCGGAGTGGTGGTGATGGTTCTGGGAATCATCATGACATTCTCACTTCCTTCCTCGTCGTCATCCCCATCAATATCCAGTCCCATATTGCCCTCTTCCGATAGATCGTCCCGTGACAGAGAAGGTGGAGATTCTTGTCGTTGCTCTGGACTTTGCTGTTGTTGCTGTGTCGTTTCTTGTTGTCGCACATAAATGGGAACCACCGTCGGCAGGGCACAATCCGACTTGCAGACCGGACACACCCGACGAGACGTATCAGGAGCGCTTCCGGACGGTCGCATCCCCAAAGAAGTTCGCTCTCGGGGCGTCATGCCAGGAGAGAGCCAACGATACAGACAGGGCCAACAATAGAGGTGACCGCATCGTGTAACGACTGGTTCTGTCACCGCGTCAAGGCAAATGTTGCAACTGAATCGGGCATCTTGCTGAACTTGTACGGCAGTGCCATCGCCCATGGTAGACGATTGTCCTTCTTCAGTTGTTGGTTTGGGACTTACAACTGCACTAGTAGTCTCGGTTGGTACTCTCATCATGGTTGTCCTAGCTAGCTCTTACTGCCAATCAAGTGGTGCAAGTGGAACTGGGGAAAGATGACGAGGCGTCTGATGGCGATTGGGTGATTGATAAGGAGTTTGTTTGTTGTCAAGAAAAAAAAGAAAGAACAAGACGTTGACGAGCCCGGTTGAAGACCCGGAAGACCCGTCTGTCTCAGCTTGTGAGACTGCTCTCAGACAGGACCAAATGGGTGCATCATGACATCTGACAAGATATTAAATAGCACACTTGCTCTTACATGTTCCGGAACCTTCTCACAAATTGTGCAACGTGGTGCACATTGGAACCCTGACACTATCACACTCACATGAGGTTAGAGCTAACTTGTGAGAATCTTTCTCGCTTTTCCTCATGCATGTTTGTTCATGTACGGTTCGTACTATGGCTCTTGTCCTCTCGAGTTTAAATGCGTTCAAAAGCTACGGCTCTGGTACAAAATCGCTAGAAGCTCGCCAAATGACATCATCTTTATTTAAAGGAAACCTATATTATTATTATTATTCTTTCTTCTTTTCGTGCCTCCGTAACAGCACATCAATCGATCGAAGAGCACAACACCATGGCGTCCTCCTCTTTCCTCTTCCTGTGCTTCGCTCATGCATGGCAGATAACAATGTAGTAGCAGGCAACACTCTGTACTCTTCAGTAGCTGCTATTGGATGGCGTCGTTCGACTGCTCTAATCATCAAGTGCAAGGTCAAACTCGTCGACGTGTTCAAAAAGAAAACCAAAGTCCTCTCCTTCTTTCTTCTTTCCTTCGGCGGCGGGGGCATCGGCACGAGCGAACATACCAACGACTTTTGTCAATCCTTGACCAGTGACATTCTCAAAGGCTCCTTCGAAGGCAGAGTCGGTTGACTCGATGGACTCTCGAGCGGCTCGCTTCTTGGTTTCCTTCTTGGCTTCCATGATCTTGCGATTGTGCAATACACGGCTCTTAGCCTTATTCACGACTCGATCCTAGATAGGGTTTGAGTTCGACTCATGACTGAGTCTCTCGTGAATAGTTATTGAGACAGGGTTCTCAATGACCGCTCTAGTCATACTAGGTTGATGATGAAACATCGCTCTAGATATTTAGCCAGCGTGGAGTACTTCCACGCTGCTAGATCCATGCTAGACGAATCTTCCACGCGTTCCGTTTTAGGATCGTTGAGATACGTATGATTACTACCGCAACCTACTCTATCACACTTTATAGTCTCCCGCGGGAGACCAGATCTACGATCCTTTGATGGTGATCTCTCTCGTTGATTAGTTTTCATAGCTTTCTAATCTCTCTCATAACTTTCATTCTCTCAAACTCAAAACACTCGAAAGATCTTTACAATAGCTTTTAGCGTAGTGCATTTTGTTAACAAACACAATAGCTTTCAGCTACCCTCAACCTATTCCTTCACCATGAAGATTGCTCAAGGAAAGCATGCGTTCACCAACTTCGAGAAACAGTTGCGTGACAAACCCATTCTTCCTCTCGTCGACAATGATGAAGACGCCGAGATCGACGATTCTCGTGCAACCACCTACAAACTTCGCACCGTTCCTGCAGATGCAAACAGTGCCAAATACACCTTCAAGGTAGCCATCATCAATGGTTTCAACACTCCACGTCAGACCATCAAATGGGCTACGAAAATGGAGAAGGTCTTCGTTGGACTCAACCTTGCTAGTCCCGACGACAAACATCGCCTTCTCAAGGAGATGACTTCCAGCTCTGCGAAGAGTGCCTACGAAGCTGGGTGTGCAGGCCATCGTGCCGTGCGTCATAACGCCCTACGACAAATTGCTGTGAACGCAATTCCTCCACGCGATGTGACTTCTGGAGAAACCGAAGTAGCCTTCCAGGCTCGTGTCCAAGCCGCATGAGACGGTGCAGCGGAACCCGCTCTAAGCGATGCTGACATCACCTTTGGAATCAACACGGTTATCGAAGCAGCCTGTCCTTACAAGGCTCTCGAAAAACAGAAACGCTTCATGCGTCGCAAGATGCGTAAGCCTAGCGAGATGACAACTCGCGCCTACATCAACAACCTCACTCGGATGAATACCGATGAGCTTCCACGTTTGCCACCTTTCGGTGTCAATCAACAGTTGAACCAGGACGAATTCATCGACATCATCTGTCCTGGCATTCCTCGTTCCTGGATGCGCAAAATGGACGAACACGACTTCGATCCTTTCACTGCCGAGATGACAGCTCTCATTGGATTCTGTAAGCGCATGGAATCCGCTGAAGACTTTGACAAAGGTAGTGATGCCAAGCAAGCTCCTTCGAAGAAGAACAACAGCAAGAAGTACAAGTCTACTCGCAACAACGACCATTCTTCCAAGAGCGAAGA